CAGCGAGCCCGTTCCCTTCCTCGCCCGGATGTGTTTGATGATGTACAGAGCTAAGTAGCTAGTGGACGACGGCGTTGCGACACAGGATGCGTTAGGCGGAACTGGACTGGAGGTGGGAGAGGGTCGGGGCGGATGCAGTAAACGCCATGAAGATCATGATGCGTATGTGTTTCATCGATCAAGGGTATCTGTTTCAGTGCTAGCTCGCAGTTGGTCGAGGAACAAAGATTGCTGCCCACACCCACGCCCGGCGAACCACGAAAGCAGCAAAGGCGGACGCATAACGTACAAATCCACGCACTTAAAACCCTTTGCTCGACATCATCGTGCCGCCGACCTCCCCAGCACTACCACAGGCGCGCAAAGCCAGGGACGCTCATGGCAGATTGCTGACTGGCTGTCCAAGCAGTGCTGTGGAGACAGATTGGGAACAGCGTCTTTGCTTTGTCCAGCACTAGGTAGTCACTGGGACAGGCGCTGACGATCAATGCAGGTTGTTGGGGATCACCGTCGGCGGTTTTCCTGGTCAAGATCAATGCGGCAAGCGGCAGCCAATCACGTCGAGGGAACAGGGCTTCGAGGCAGCGAGGTGGAACGAGCGGGCAGAGAGACAAAAGTCGACCGGTAACAACGGCTCTGCGTGCTTGGCTGTCTCATCAACAGCGCCGTGTTGTCGTCAGCCAGGTTTGGCCCGCACGCCCGTCATCGCAGCTGCTGCTTTGCAGCGCCTGTCTGCCGCGTTGCGCCAATCAAGGAATCATTGCCGATCACAACCGGTCAAAAGGCGCCCTGGCGCTGCGGCGGGACGGACACAAGGGGGCTGCGTCGACGGCTCGCTTGGTACCTATTGCTACACGGGCCGGGCAGTTGGCCACACGGAACCGCTCTCGACGTCTCCGTGGCCTCTTTTGGTGCGGACAGGAGCTTCGACGCCGACGGCTGTGCAGCAGTTCTAAGCGAACCGGACTGGCGCTGCTGGCGGATTCCGTTTCGGCCAAGGGCGTCCGACAAAGCGGCGGCATGGCGGCGGCGGCGACAGAGGCACGGAAAAGAGGACGGGCATTGAGAGTGTGGCATTAGCACGGCGAGGCGGCGGCGCGGTGGCGGCGAGAATGGCAGCGCCTTCTCTCTCCGACGGACACGCAAGGCGACGCCACGCATGCCGGTGCCGCCCTCGCACCGAAGACACAGCGGCGCTAGCTGTTGGAAGTCAGGGTGGAGGCGAAATGGAGGTAAGGGCAAGTGGGCACGGTTGGTGAGAGTGGGCACGCGGGCGGCTGGTGGTTGAGGTGAGAAGGTGACGGACGAGCAGCTGACGAGCGGGACTCCGCTTCGTGTTGGCGTGGTATGCTGCGTGGCGCCCGGCAGGAGGGGAAAAAGCGGAGCCGGCTAGTGCCCGCTGCCAGCTGGTTCACAGGTCGACAGAGCGCACAACAAGTCATGCCGTGGGCGGCGTAGATCACTGACGGTCAGCACCGGCCGTCGATCAACGGAAGGCAGATTCGCGGCCGTCGTGGTGCGTAGGTTTGTGCGATGTGAGCAGCTGCGCAGTTACGTAGGGCGAGGGTGGGCGAGGACCGGCGAGGGTGGCTGGCTGAGCTGGCGGAGCTGCGAGCAGAAGGACCGACGCGGGCTGGTGCGACCCGGTCGCTGGGCGCTGAAGAAGATTCGCCGGAGGCTTCGAGGGCGGCGCAGAGGGCGCGGGCGATTGGCAGGTGGCAGTTTGGCACAGCCCGGCATGGCCTCTTGTCTTTCTGTCGTCGGTCGCAGGATGCGCGGGGCACTGCGTCGCTCCGCGTCGCTGTGCTGTCAGAGTGCAGCAAACGGCGGGCGTGCCGATCGCGGCTGTGGTGGTGGGTGGCACAGTGGCACTGGCGAACGGCGCGGAGACGGTGGTGAGATGACGCAGGGTCTCTTGCGGCTGCTGCGCGCAGAGAGCGTGAGAGCCTCTGCCCAATGCTGTCGGTCCCGAGCGCCGTGTCACGCTTGATTTCGAGCGCCAACCGCGCGCTGCTGAGCGCTGCTTGGCCGGGCGTGCATGCTGCATGCCCCCAGCTCTGCCCCCATCCCTCCCGCTCACGTGCCGACCAACGCGTCGCCTCCCGGCCTATCGCTGCAACCGCGCCCGCAGGATCCGTTATGCAACTGCACCAACCACCCGCTCGACTATCTCGCATGCCGTCGCCTCGGTCGGAGATGCTGCCGGCACTGCGCATCGTGACCGGCCATTGTACGACGGCTGACTGAAACCCATGACGGGCTGCAACACGGCTCTCATTGGGTCGACGGCGACGGTGGGCTTCCCCATTGGGAGGTGCAGCACGGTTTGACCCGGCCTACAGCAGCAACCTCAGCTTCGCGCCTAATCCAGCACCTCGCACCATCATGCACTCCGGCCCAACCGTGTATCACAATGACCGACATCGAAAATCAGGCGGTGGAGATGCCGAAGCTTTTCTGGGCAGATCTTTGCTGGCCCCTCTATCCCACATGCACATCCTGATCCACGCTCGCCAGCCTGCAGCACCGTTGGTCTGCCGCCTTGTATCAATGCGGCTGCTTCGCGAAGGCACGGCATCTGATGAGCCAATTCGCCCAGAGCGTCTGTCCTCCTGGGTACTCAGTACGTAGTAGTATTCCGGCCCAGCACGCAATCCTCGGAGCATCTAAGCGCCATCGTCACGTGCACAGAACAAACGTCCCACGCGCCGCCTCTTAGCACAAACACACCGGTGTCCCGCCCTTTTTGCTTGACCGGTGGCATCGTTATCCGTAGATGAGGTGAGGTCCAAGTCTGAAACCGCCATTCTCCACTCTGCATCGCGCGACGGAGAACGTGGCCTCCATAGTCTCCATCGCGCTGCGGCCCGCGTCCGCAGCCGGCGCAAGCCATCGAGCCGGGATGGCCCATGGAGGGAGTTGCCCATCTCGCCGCATCGGCGGTGCATGGAAGCAGTCGAAAAGAAGGGACGGAACATGTGGAGATGGGGATGCCATTTTCTCCAGCGCATGCGGCGCCCCATGAGAAAAGAACAGCGATAGGCCCCCGGTCCCCAGCATCCACCCACCTAGGCAGCAGAGCGGTTCGCTGCCCTGTTTTCGGGCATTGAACGGAACTCCTCTTTTCTTCTTCACACGCTCTCCATTTATTACCCTAGTTCAATCGTACTTTGGTAACCCAAGCTCCTTGCTTGCTCTCCCCCAGACTTTGAGTACCCTGCGCTCCACCTCCAACAAGGTACGTGTACAAACGAAACCCATCCACGGAGATTCTTCCCCTTCAAAACCCGCTCAACATCAAACCAAGCGTTCCTTCCGCCTTTCACACTAGAAGAGGCAACAGTAAAAGTCAACCGCCGACACACAAGAGAGCGGGCAGCGGAGCCGCAATTTTTGTTTCCTTTGGTCTCCATGAACAGTGCGGACAAAACACCGAGAATGTCGTGATATCCGTAAATAGAAAAATAGGATCAATTGATCCTCGGCAACCATCAGCTCACCAGCTCACCATCCCGTATTCCGGACCGCACATTCGTCTTTGCTCGGGTTCCGCATGGTGGCTCTCGTTCTCCTTCGTCGTCGTTTCTTGCTTTTCCCCCGTGGAAATCTTTTGCCCCGCCCGAAACCCACCCCGCCCGGCCGCTGTCTGTGGAAGCGCCCGGGGAAGCGCGGTTGGCGGAGCACGACGACCGTGTGTGTGTGTGCGCGCGTGCGTGCGCGAGCGTGCCAGATAGCTGAGCCGCGTCTTTCTTTCGGCTTTTTCTTTTTTATCTCTTATTTGCTTTTCCTCGGCTCGTTTTTTGACTTTTGTCTAGGGTTCACGAAGTTGCCCCGCCTTCGTCTTCATGCCCGACTTCTGGCGACAACGCAGCGCAACGGAATCGGTCAAGGCCGTGTCCAAGGAACGCCCAGCCCAGGCAACAGCGGTTCGGCGACGCCAGGAAAGAAAAAAAAAAGGACGACTCATTCGTGATCGTCGGGGACGTGCTTGATCAGGGCCGGCGGAAGCGCATTATTTTGGCGCGGGTGACGGGGAGCAAAAGTGGTGGGGCCGGCCCGCCGGGGGGATGACGGGGCGGCCGTGCCGACTGCGACCTCACTCCCTCCCCTTGGAAAAGAAAGGGCAGTGCGGGACTTTTGTTGCCGCGGCATTTGCTTGCATCGAAGCGGAAAGTTTTGGTAGCCGACGTCGGGATGTATGGCAAACGCATGCCTGCGCGCAAACAATGCGCATGAGCCAGTCGAAGCTTATCGTCAAGGGAGCTACGCGTACCCTGGCAAAAACCGCTTCCGGCTTCTCGTGATGCGCCCTGCGCCGTCTCGACCCTGGCCACGTTGGGTGCTGGAAACTTGTCGTCTCGCGCGTGCAATGCCCGCTCTCTGCCTTCCTTGTCGCCCTCGCCGTGATGGCGGCCAACGTGGCCAGCATGGGGAGGCTACTGAGAATAGCACAGAGTGCCTTCGACTGAGGGTAGTCGAGCAGACGGGCAATGCCAGCAGCCTGTGACGCGTGGCTCATGGATGCGTATGCATGCATGCACGTGGCTGACTCGACGCCGGGCCAGTTTCCAGTGAGGTCTACTGTGTACATGCACCAGCTGCGTTTGACTATCTTTGCTCTCAATCCCCATCATCGGAGCCCTCCCTCGCTTCCTGTTGGTGCTCGGAACAAAGCGAGAACTCTGGACGACTCCCTTTGTTGCCCATTCTATCAAGGGCAGCAAGATTTGCACTACACCGTTTCCCTCCGATAGCGTGACCTGTCTAGTCATTTCCTTTTATCCTACAATCCTACTTCCATCTGGTTCGTACCCATCGTCCATTTTGCTTACTGGTGCCAAGTGTGAACAGAAGCTTCGTGCCGTTAGAATCCGTGTCCCATGAACGCCAGCAACCCTTGCCCGTAGACAGGGGCTTTCATGAGTCAAAAGTCGTCCCCTCGCTACGAGAACCCATCGCATCCCGTCCAACGTTTGAGACGTCAGTCTGTTTTTCATCCTTCAGCGGCGCCCCATGAACGAACGATAGAAGTCGTCCGCAGCGTCGTTACCGAGGACGGCCTGGCCATTGACGCGGTAACTCTGAGCCTCTTTCTGCGCCTTGGTGACCTTTTCGTGAAGCTCCGCAGCACCCGAATCGATCGCCTGGAGCTGTGAGAGATGGTTGTTGAGGACGCGGACAACCTGAGAGAGCTATTTGCAGCTGCATCAGCATACCATCAATTGTGGGCCAAGATATCTTCCGCTTACCGGATCATCAGGCTTATCCGTCTTGCTGAGAGTCGCCGAGACGCTGTTGATCTCCTCGATCATATCGGACAAATCCTTGTTCAAATCGTTCAGACGATCAGAGAGTTTCTCCGCAAGCTTGTACCTGCTATAGTGTCAGCAAACATACTCAAGAATAGCCCATTGCCAACGTTGAGACGATGCGAAAAGGAAGGTTCAATGCCCTTCACACGAGAAATTCTAGACATCTCCGGCCATGACAGCCATCCTCAAGCCTGCCTGCGCACAACTGTGTGGCGAAAGGGCGGTCAAAGTTAAACTTACGTTCTCTCTCTCTCCTGGTCTGGTCCCTGAAGGCCGTCTTGACCGCCAACCATCTTGTCCATCAAATCATCAACTTCCCTCTCATAGTTGTCCAGCCACCTGGACAACTCAGCCTGGTCACTCTCAACAGCTGTCAGCTGCCGCTCTACTTCCTCGGTATCCTTTCGCGCCTGGAAAGTCTTGCTGTAGAGCTTGGAAATCTTATCGCTGTTCTCCACGAGCATTCGGTCCCATTCCGCAACTTGCTTCGCCTGGCTCTGGAAGCTCTTCTGGTACTTCGACAGGTCAGTCGCCCAGCGTGTGATGATCTCGTCCATAGACTTGTTCTTCAGACGAGATTGAGCATTAGGCGGCTGTCCAATGGTAGATGCACCTAGGCTGCCATTACCTGCCGCAGCAGGAGCCGGGGTGGAGGCAATCCCAGAGATAGCCGTTGTTGCGGGCTGCGCAGTAGAGGTACTGGAACTTTGGCCTGTGGTAGAACCCAGGCTGAAAGCGGGAGCGGCAGTCGCTGTATTCGATGCTTGGGAAGTGCTAGAGCCCTGGGCTGGCGCAGTGCCACCCAGTTTGAATGCGCTTGATGCTGCAGGAGTCGTTGCAGCCGGTGTTGCCAGGGTAGCGCCCGTGGAAGCGGGTGTCTCAGTAGGCTTGTTGAACAGACTGAACCCACTACCGGAGGTAGCAGGAGTCTGGGGTGGGGCCGTGCCAGTGGAAGACGTTTCTTTGTTGCTGTCCTTGGCGCCGCCGCCGAAAAGACCACCAGTTGCGGGCGCGGTAGCACCAGGGCTGAAAAGACTTGGCTTGTCGGATGCGGTCGAAGCAGCCGTTGTTGCAGGTTTTGAGCTCGCAGGCTGTGAACCACCACTGCCTAGGGCGAATGGAGAAGGTGCTGCAGCATTTCCAGAAGAAGACTGACCCGAAGAAGCCCCACCGAGGGTGAAGGGCGAGGAAGGCTTATTTCCGGTTGAGGAACCTAGATTGAACAAACCAGAGCCTGCCGGTTTGGCCGCATCTTGAGGCTGTGCCGGCTGAGTAGAGGGCGTAGCGCCACCAATACTGAAGGCGGGTTTGTTGCCTGTAGATCCTCCCATGTTGCTGAACAAGTTTCCGCCGGATTGGTTCTGCGTCGGGGTCGAGGCACTGGGCGCAGCGGTAGCTGGAGTGGATTGAGGAGCACTGCTCGACGAGCCTCCAAGACCTCCAAACAAGTTGCTTGCAGGCTTACTGGCGGCATTGCTGCCTCCACCGAGCGGGAAAGGGCTGGCAGCCGGCTGCGCAGAGGCCTGATTACCGAAAGAAAACCCGCCGGTAGAGCTTGCGGGAGGCGGGCCAGCTGGAGTGGTTGAACCTGCGAAAGAGGGAAACGCGGGCTTTGCGGGTGTGGTTGCAGGGGCAGCTCCAGGTGTGGTGGTGCCAGTCTTGAATGGCGAGCTGCCTGCGCCGCCGCCGAAAAGACCGCTGCCACTGCCGCTACCACTACCAGCGGCAGCTCCACCAAAGAGGCCCGGCTGCGACGCGCCAGTCGAAGCCGGGGTGCCGCCACCGCCGAACAAACTGGATCCTGAGGCACCAGGTGTAGTGGATGAACTCTGGCCGGTGCTCGCGCCAAAGAGGCTGGCGCCGCCGGCACCAGGCTTGTTTCCAGTGCTGCTGCCAAACACGCTGCTACCGGACGTGTTGGTGTTCGCTGCTCCGAAGATGGATCCTCCGCCGGCGCCGCCGAAGCTAAAGCCCGATGCGCCCTTGGAAGCGTCGTTGGACATGTTGGGTTGGATGGCTGGTAGAGCGAGGTGGTGGAGAGAAATGCGCGCTCGCGGATTCGACGCGACGACAGCACGCGGAGCAGGGCGCGAAGCGGCGAATGCTCGGGCGACGAGCGGCGACGCGGTGGGTGCGCGAGAGGAAGGCGCGCGGCGGGCGAGTGTGGTGGAATTGGGCGGGCGCTGGCGCTTGAGGTGCTGCTCGATGCAGCTTCCGCTGAGCGTGTTTTGGTCGGGCTAGAGCTGGCAACAGCCCCTGCACGGATCGAGACTTAATCCACACCGGCGGGCGGGCGATCACTACCCCAAACTATCGCTGCCGGGCTGATCAGTACACATACGTCGGCCATCCAACTCCTCAAGCCTCATTTCTATTCCCTCTTCAAATCCAACGAGCCTCGTTGGTCCAGACGGCTCCCTGCGACACGTCCTACGTCTTCTCATCATGTCGGAGCTGGAACCTCCAAGGAAGAGTGTGGAGCTGCAGGACCCCGGTGCACATGAGCTGGGTAAGTTCCCGCCCTTTCCACGAGCTCCTCGCAACAGCCGTCGGCGTACCGCGCTTTCTGCTCTGCGCAGTTGGGCAATGGATTCACTGTGGCTGCGGTGGTGGACCGCATGCTTCTATTTCGCCGCCCTGCCTCCGGCTTCTTTCACGCAGCCTGGTTCATTCGACCCCTCGGCTCATGCACCTCCCCCATCCCGTGCACCCCTCTCTGCCTTCTCGTTTTCCGCCGACTAATATGCCTGGTAGAGTCTTCAGACGGAGATGACCATTTCTCTGACGCCTCAGAGGGCAACAAGTCAAGCGCAGACCGATCCTCCGTAGCCTCACCTGTCCCTGTGACCCGCGTGGAAAAGATCGATGATGAGCCTAGCTATGGAGAAGTGCCGGGTACATCGGCATACAACATGAGGACGCAGGACGCAGTGCCGGATGAAGTGGAGATTGTCCCGGAGGGCGGTCGCAGCAGAAGCACGTCAAGGCTGAGCGTTTCGGACCGCCCTACCACTCCGCTGTCCCCCGGTGGCACCCCCATCCCTAAGACGGTCGTTGAAAAGGTCGATGATACGCCGAGCTATGGCGAAGTTCCCGGGACTGCTGCATATGCAAGCCACCAGGCCGACGCTGTCCCTGACGTTGTGCTCAAGGCTCCGGAACCACCCAAAGGTAAGCTAACCAGAGTTCTGTTTTCTGGTTTCGTCAACGAACCATTGACGGGACAAGGATCGCCAACTGCCTCTGATAGATCGGACCAAGTAGACGAAACTCTCGCCGCCCCCGCCCCCGCCAACGACGACAAACAGGAGGAGGATATGGGAACGTCGCAAGTTTCGGATCCGGATCAGGAAACAACAGCTGCGGATGACAATCATGAATTCGGCGATGACTTTGACGACTTTGAAGAGGGCGGGGAGGAGGACTTCGGAGACGATTTTGGTGATTTCGATGATGGCTTCCAGAACGCGGAAGATGAAACCGCCAATGCTTTTGAAGAGCCTGCCCCTCTGCCTCCTGTATCCGACCCCTTACCTTCACTTGTAAGTAACGAGAATTTATTCAAGATTGTGCTTTTAAATCGAGACGTCTGCGAGCCGATGAGAACATGCAACAAACCGCTGACGCCTATGTTGCACCAGCCAATCCCCAGCTTCGACGACCTCGACAGCTTGGCCGATATTGTGAGTGCCAGCCAGCCCTTCGTGGACAAGGTATTCGAGTCATCCTTTGTCGACCGCCCGACCATAGAGCAAGAGGTCAACCCTTCCCTACTGTCAGAAAGAAGCTTGTCTCTATGGGCTCAATTAGTAGCCCCGCCGCCGCTTCAACCTCCGAACTGGGTCCGCTCGCGCATCAGGCGGCTGTTTCTTGTTTCTTTGGGGGTGCCAGTCGACCTCGATGAAATTCTCCCTGCCAGTAAGCAAAAGAAATTGGTGCTCCCCTCGGTCAACATTCCCGGGGACCGCTCTCCGCGCGTCTCTTCCGATGACCGCACAAATGGGACTGTGGCCCGGTTAAAGAAAGAGGATAACGACTCGTCAACGTCGGTCAACTCGTCTTCATCGAAAACGGAGCGGAAAAGGCGTGGACCGCCTCCTCCGCCGGAGTTCGATATCACGGCCGTCACCATGCTCTGCTCCACTACGGATGCGGCGCTCCAGAATTTCACGGCGGGGGAGCTCGAAGCGCATGTGAGGACGCTCCAAGGACTGCAGAGACGGGCGAACGAGGTGTTGGACTACTGGACCAAGCGCAAGGAAAGTGCCATTGGCGACAAAGAGGCGTTCGAAGGGGTCATTGAGAATCTGGTGAAGCACGCCAAGAAGGTGAGGAAATGAAGAGATGAGACTCTTGTGGCGATGGGGCTCGGTCCCAGTCGCCGGCGTTGCGAGCGAAGGCGCGTCCGAGAAGGAAGAAGCATCTATACCCCGCGTACTATAGCTAATATACGCTCCAATGGGAGCTGCGGTCGTGATCCGACCGGAAATACTAAGTAAAGAACCGCTCACGGTTTTCCAATCGCACTTCCGAGACCTTTCGTGGCAAGGCCACGGGCTGCCTGTTGATCAAGCATTTGGCTGCCTCGGCGGTGGCCTAGTGCTGGAGTGCTGGAGTGATCATTCCTCAATCCGCCAATCCGCATGGCCGGCAGAGGGCCCTGTGCCCCCACCTGACTCCCTTGCAACGGGCGGTGGGCAGCTGGCGCGTTTGGCAGGCAGCAGGGACACGGAGTGGGCGACTTCTCACGGCAGATTGGCGGCTCCCAGATCCCACGCTCACCGGCGGGCTCACCGTTTTCACATGGCGCGCGAGGCGTGGCGACTGGCGACCGGTCGTGGCGGCGCTACCGTACGGCTGCAACCTAGAGGGCCTGTCCCGGAGGTCACCTGCCGGATCTACGTGCTCGTGGCCCTAGCTCCCCGGATCGATCTTTTTCAGTAATCACAGAGGGCGACACCGAGAATTATCCTGGCCACCAAGGCTGCCCGGGGCGACGTCGAGAGACTGTTTATTTCCGAGCACCGCGCCGGGCTCCGGCGGCGCGCTCACGGCAACGTTGCAGCGCCGCACTCGCGACCCACGCCAGGCGGCTATCCAGCGGGTGGTGCCGGCTGTCGAATTTTCCCTGGATTTAGAACCCACCCGCGCCACCCCACAGACGTGTGCAGGCGCAGCCGGCGCAGCTTTAGGACGCAGGGTCAGACGCCGATTCGGGCCGAGATTGTGGTGGGATTTGATCTTCGCTCGCGGTTGAGACTGGGTGCGGTGAGATTGGCAGGTAGATCTCTTCACCGTCGTGTGGGCATGTCGTGCTGAGGTAGAAATTGAGCCCGGCCGCGCACGTGTGGCTTCCGCGCCCGACCTGCGAGGCGACGCCAGCCAGCATTATTAGCGGGCGGGCGCAGGACCCTGAAACCCTGTTGCAAAGGCAGCGATACTGAGAGCTAACCCGTCGGGTGCTGCGATCGGCGAGCTTAAGTTGCGCGCCCGCGCCTGAAACGAGCAGTGCAGACTCGTGTCTACAATACCGAGCGCGAGGTGGAGCAGCACAGCACGTCGTCGCGAACACCGCACCTTGGCTGCGTCTCGTGCGTCTCGTGCGTCCTCCGCGGCGGCGGCGACGCGAGCGAGCGTCGAGCGCGCGCACGCGCACGCGCAACGCTCGGGGCCCGCCAGCGAATCAGTGCCGCCTCGCCGCGTGCTCGTATTCCCATGCCCGCCCGCGCCGAGTCATTGGCCGCCCTTGGGTGCCCGCCCTCGGTGCCTGTGCCCGTGAGCTGCTCTGACCTGGGCGACGCTCAGCCGGGCGGCCTTCAGCCGGGCGGCGTCACACAGGCGGCTGCGGTATCGACGATGGGTGCTGCGCGACTGCGACTCTACATACAGAGCAGAAAGGGGCTCGGGCATCGCGGAGGGTTGTTTCCACTTAACTACCAGCCCTGTAGTCCGTACGGCCTGCAGCGCCGGCGCGCCACTGGAGCGCAGCAACATCCCTCACCCGTCCTGGCGCCCGCTTTCGCGCCCGCGCGAGCAAGCCCCTCAGATCGCGGGCCCCGGGACAGTCGGCCACGAGGCGCGCTTGTCGAGGGCCTTCCTGGCACGCGTCCGCCGCCTAGCCACGCTTCCCTTTGTCGCTGTCCGCCAGCACGCCCGCCCGCGCCCCGCGCACGTCCCCGTGTCGCTGGGCGGCGTGCTCACTACGTCAGAAATTGGCCCAAGCCAGCGCGGCGGCGTTGAACCTTTGTCGCTAGCCCCCTGTCGGCCGGGGCGCTCCATTCGCTAAGATAGGCTCTGGGCAGCCCAGCGCCCATCAAGTGCAGACGGAGCGTTCTGCATTGCGACTGCCTCTCCACCACGCTCCTTTTTTCGTGCGCTGCGCCGTTGCAGAGTCCTTCAACCCTGGGCCAGGGCTGTTTTGCTTCTCCCGCTTCCTCTTCCGCCTCCCTCCTGCGGTGTCCTCCTGCACCGCCTTGCCACCCGTCCCATCTGTCCCCAAGCCCGCGCTCCCCGCCGTCGTACGAGCAGCCTCACCCTCCCCAAGTCCGCGGACCAGCACCCACACTTCACAGCGACTTTTTGGCCCAATGCACGGTGCGAGAACCACGCTGTAGACGTGCGTCACAACGATGTCTCACGACGAGACCGCCTCAGCGCTCGTCGCTATCCTGTCGAACCTCGCGAAGCAGCATGATCCCCAGGTTGACAGGTCCTTCCCCGGCCAGGTTGCGGCCAACGGCGAGAAGGCCGCTTCCTTGACGCTGCCGGGCCCTGACACCGAGATGAAGCAGGCGCTCGAGCGTGAGCTCGCCGCCCTGTCGTCGCGCGTCCAGTACCTCGAGGCGAAAGCCCGGACGGTCGACAACAACACCTTTCCCATCACCCCCGGCGAGCCCAACCTGCACTCTCCCTTCCCCGGCGAAAACCACCAGCTGCAGACGCCCCAGAGCCGCGCGATCGCCGGCCGAGACAGGCAGGCCTCATGGGTTACAAACTGGCTGAAGGAGAAGGAGACGCCCGGCGAACGGGCGGTGCCCGCGGCGCAGCTGACCGAGGATCAGCTTGCCTACCTGCGCGACCACTTGAACAAGCAGGCCGAGCAGATCCAGAGCCAGCGGGAACACATAGACAGCCTCAGCGCCGAGGTTACCCGGCAGCTCCGGGACCAGGACAAGGCCTTTGGCCATGGCATCGAAGACATTGGTGCTCTCAAGCGAGAGCTGCAGAAACATCAACAGGCAAATCTGGCCTTCCAGAAGGCTCTACGGGAAATTGGTAGCATTGTCACGGCTGTCGCACACGGTGATCTCAGTAAAAAGGTTTTGATTCACGCTAAGGAGATGGACCCCGAAATTACGACTTTCAAGCGAACCATCAACACCATGGTGGACCAGCTTCAGGATTTCGCCAGTCAGGTCACCAACTTGGCCAAGGAGGTCGGCACTGAGGGCCGCCTCGGTGGCCAGGCTGTCCTGACCGGCGTCGACGGTATTTGGGCCGAGTTGACCAACAGCGGTAGGCTTTGATTTCTCTCTCTCTCTCACAAATAGAACACCTGCTAATCATGCCCAGTCAACGACATGGCACGCAATCTCACGGAACAGGTGCGAGAAATCGCAGTCGTCACAACAGCTGTCGCCCATGGTGATCTCAGTCGCAAAATCGAACGTCCTGCGAGGGGAGAGATCTTGCAACTCCAGGAAACGATCAATACCATGGTGGACCAACTCCGTTCTTTCGCATCAGAAGTTACAAGGGTCGCTCGCGATGTCGGTGTAGAAGGCATTCTCGGCGGACAAGCAAGAATAGAAGGCGTCCAGGGCATGTGGAATGACCTCACGATCAACGTCAATGCCATGGCCTTAAATCTCACGACACAAGTGCGCGACATAGCCCAAGTCACTACGGCCGTCGCGCAAGGTAATCTCACGCGCAAGGTTTCGGCCGAGTGCAAGGGCGAGATTGCGGAACTCAAGAACACGATCAACTCCATGGTCGACCAACTGCAGCAGTTTGCACACGAGGTCACCAAAATTGCCAGAGAGGTCGGTACAGAAGGCCGTCTCGGTGGACAGGCCAGAGTGCATGGTGTTGAGGGTACCTGGAAAGACCTGACAGAAAACGTCAACGGTATGGCCGATAATCTTACGACACAAGTCAGAGAGATTGCAGAAGTCACAACCGCGGTCGCTCGAGGTGATCTCAGCAAAAAGATCAAAGCAGAAGTCAGAGGAGAGATTTTAGCATTGAAGATTACCATCAACACCATGGTGGACCGTTTGAACGATTTTGCATACCAGGTCAGCAAGGTTGCCAGAGAAGTCGGAACCGAAGGAAAACTTGGAGGTCAAGCCGAAGTGGAGAATGTTGAGGGCAAATGGAAGGATTTGACCGACAATGTCAACACGATGGCGCAGAATTTGACACTCCAGGTGCGAAGTATTTCGGATGTCACAAGCGCACTTTCTCGCGGAGACTTGACACGTCGCGTGCACGTCGATGCTGAAGGAGAGATTCGTTTGCTCAAGGACACCATCAACGACATGGTCGCCAGACTGGACGAGTGGTCTCTTGCGGTCAAGCGCGTCGCAAGGGATGTCGGAGTCGACGGCAAGATGGGCGGTCAAGCCGAGGTCGAGGGCATCACCGGGCGCTGGAAGGAAATCACAGCAGACGTCAACACCATGGCTCAGAACTTGACGTCGCAAGTGAGAGCCTTCGGAGACATCACGCAGGCGGCCACAGATGGAAAGTTCACCCAAATCACTGTTGAAGCCGCCGGTGAAATGGACGAACTCAAACGGAAGATCAACAAGATGGTTTCAAGCTTGAGGGAAAGTATCCAGAGGAACACTGCAGCAAGGGAAGCTGCAGAATTAGCCAACAAGACCAAGTCCGAATTCTTGGCGAATATGTCGCACGAGATCCGAACGCCAATGAACGGCATTATCGGCATGACGCAGTTAACGCTCGACACCGATCTTACGCACTCACAGCGTGAGATGCTCACAATCGTTCACAACCTTGCCGGTCAGCTTCTCACCATCATTGACGACATTCTGGATATTTCCAAGATCGAAGCGAATCGCATGGTCATGGAAGAAATTCCGTTCTCTCTGCGTGGTACCATCTTCAACGCTCTCAAGTCGCTCTCGTCTAGAGCCAACGAAAGAAGACTCAACCTCGCGTATCAGGTCGACAGCTCCGTCCCTGACTATGTCATCGGTGACTCTTTCAGGCTCAGACAGATCATTCTCAACCTTGTCGGCAACGCAATCAAGTTCACGGAACATGGCGAGGTGAAGGTTGCCATCTCCATGGCACCCCAAACCGACTGCAAACCCGACCAGTACATCTTCAAGTTTGCTGTTTCCGACACGGGCATAGGTATCCACGGCGACAAGCTCAACTTGATTTTCGACACATTCCAGCAGGCCGACGGCTCTACAACAAGAAAATTCGGCGGTACGGGTCTTGGTCTATCTATTTCCAAGCGGCTTGTCACTCTCATGGGCGGTAGGATGTGGGTTGAATCGGAGTTTGGCTGCGGCAGCACTTTCTACTTCACCTGCAAGGTGAGGCTCGGAAACCCCGACATCAGCGCCATCCAGCCTCAGCTCTCGCCGTACAGCAAGCATACGGTGCTTTTCATTGATCAGGGGAAGACCGGATACGGCGAAGAAATCGTCAACCATCTCAAGGCCCTCGATCTTCGTCCGCATGTCATTCATACGGATGAAAACACCCCTCTGTCGGAAATCCCAAGCCCAGGCAAGCATGCGTACGACTGCGTCATTGTTGACTGCAACTTGACTGCGCGGAAGCTTCGCGGCGAGGAAAGGTTCAAGTATATTCCGCTGGTCATGGTTACGCCCCGCGTCGCCATCAGCTTGAAGTCGGCTTTGGAGGATGGCATTTCGAGCTTCATTACCACACCTTGCCTTCCCATTGACTTGGGCAATGCATTGATCCCAGCACTCGACGGTCGCGCTGCACCTCTCATCTCGAACCAGTCAAAGTCCTTCAACATTCTTCTCGCAGAAGACAACGCTGTCAACCAGCGGTTGGCCGTCAAGATCCTGCAGAAGTACCATCACATCGTCACCGTTGCTAACAACGGCTTGGAAGCGTTTGAACAGATCAAGAAGACCAAGTACGACATTGTGTTGATGGATGTGCAGATGCCGGTGATGGGAGGCTTTGAGGCTACGGCCAAGATCAGAGAGTACGAGCGCGAGCACCATCTCACGCCTACCCCTGTTATTGCGCTTACCGCGCACGCCATGGTTGGTGATAGAGAGAAGTGCCTGCAGGCGCAGATGGACGTGAGTAATTGCCGTTGTGAATACCGATGCCTCGCCAGAGCTGACGACTTGTAGGACTACCTCTCGAAACCGCTCAAACAGAACCAGCTCATTCAGACGATCCTCCGCTGTGCAACCCTCGGGGGAGCATTGCTTGAACAGGACAGGCAACGGATGGCGCTTTCGCAGAATGAGAAGGATGGATATGGTGGTGACAATGATAAAGAGAAACAGAAGGACGGGGCGCAGCAGGGCACACCCAGAGGTACGCCACGCCGGCCGCAATTGGATAACCGCGGCTACACGGAAACGGGTGCAGCGGGCAAAGAGAGTCCGAAGCTACTGGCTGCCGATCAGTCCGATCACGTGGATAGAGTGAGCAAACCGTCGACGCTAGATAGGTGGCGAGCTTGTCGCTAACAAGACGCCAGCTTCTCCTAAGATCACACAGTAGCTGATGACCTCTCCGTCTCACTTGTGAGAATACGAAAGTCAAATCAGTTACGCTGACTTGACTTCTTAGGCGACAATCGATAGTCATGATGCGCCACGGTGCCCGGAGCGAAACGTGAGTTTCGTCGCGCCGCTGCGGCTGTCGCCCAGTAAGTAAGCCGCCACGGGCAAGAAAGAAAGGAAGAAGCGCAAACCATTCGGCCCGACATGTCCCACGTCCAACGAGCGTATACCATCTATATTTCTCGTGTACCTACGTTGCTCGACCCTTGTCTTTTCTTGCTCTTGCGCGTCATGGCACAACAGACTTATCGGGGGATTTCATTTTGTCTTGTACTTGGCGTTCAGCAACAAATGCAATCGGAGCGGACGGTTTCTTGCAATTTTTCTTTTGGTGGCTGGGGTTGGAGAGTGGGACACGAAGGCACGTCCTCTCCTGGTACTCGGGCATCCAATGTTCTGCTCTGCGTTTTGTTGGCTTCAAGTTTGGATTCTGTGCTTATTGGGGCACGCCTGTCCGGCCGGGACTGCAGGCGCGGTGCTGGCCAGGGTGGCGCGCGTGACGTGGAGTGTGGAGAACACAGAGCCCGGCGGGGGAGGGCGCGCATTGTCAAGGGCCCAAGGCACCACGGTAGTTGCGGCGGCGGCGAAGGGAAAAAGATGGGAAGGCAGGCTTGGGGGAGGGCCGATTCCGGCGGAGTCTTTTTGGGAGGCGAAAGGCACAACTGTTTTCTACTTTGGCATGAGTTTCCTGCGATCGCCGTGTTTGGTTGCTGCACAGTCTTGGTCCTTGATTGTCCTTCTCATCTCGATGGCTTGCGCCTTGCGTTAGACACGACCGTTACGCCCAAGGCAGGTTGGTGCGACGGGCGGCGACGGGCGGCGCCGTGCACCACGCGAGAGAAGGACGGTTCGTATAGCGCGGCGGTATACCAGTCCGGTTCGGATTTCTTTTGTTGCTCTGGCCCCGGTCGGGCAGAGGCGAGCAGGGTGCCGCCGGGCCGGGCAGCTGGATGATTTGAAATATCGAGTAGCTGATGATCGTCATTCTCTGCTGGTTTAGTGATACGGTGCAAATGGCTCATGGTGGTGGACTGCAACTGTGGCGAGCTCTCCATCATGTTTGCTGCGGCCTCGCCGGAGAGTGGCTAGGGCGGGTGCCAACCAGGGAGGCCTGAGCAGCGAGTTGATTAGCATGTGACGGCACGACCGCGCGACGGGGCAGCTGAGCGGCGCGCGCTGAAGTGATTCGTTGCGCGCGCGGGTGCGGGCATCGGGGAGCTGAGGGCGGTCTTGGCCCAACGGCCGGCTGGGGAAACTTGACCCCACGGCAGCCTGGAGAAGCTGGGGCGGGCCGCAGGGCTGGCGCCGGCCTCGTCGCGGTATGCGAGGCTCAGCGCGGGCGCGGCGTCGGGCTGCGGGCTCTGCGGGCTCTGCGGGCTTTGTGCCAGACGGGCGTTGGGGGGCAGCGCGACTGGTCCCCAGACGGTCTCACCGGACGCTGCATTTGCATTGAGCAGCGGCATGCTGTGCGCCCCAGAGGCAAGCCAGCCTTATGCTGGCCCGTGGAGGCCGTCTACTTAAGAGCGCTGGCTGATTCTCTGCCCGCAAGCCCTCGCCACGGCGGTGCTTCGACACGCGTTTAGCTTGAGCAGCGCGTGTGCGTCATTGGTCGCCCGTCGCCGTCAGCTGCACGCTGCTCGCTGCTCGCTTTTTGGCCCTTGAGCCGCATCGCAACATCCGCAGCCTCGCCGCCGTCCCGCTGAACCATCACGCTCTTTGCGGCTTCCCCCGCCCCCAGAACGCCCTGTTCAGATCGCTCGTTCGCGCCGCCGCCGCTCTCGCCAACGCGTGCGAGCGCTGGACCGCGCCAGCCCGAAGCGCGTCACCCTAGGCCTGCGCGCACCGCCAGACCACCGCCGCGCCTTTCCTTCCTTCCTGTTCCGTGGTCAAGGGACCGTCCTGGACGCCGCCCTCGTCGCCCGCACCCCACCGTCGTCTCCTCCACCGTGCCTGGGCACTCCGCTCAAGACCATTTCTCGCCACAGCCCCGGCCGCTTTCCGCATGCTTCCATCATGATTCTGAGCAGCCTGGGCCCCGGCGCTTCGGCGCAAGAGATCCAGGACGATATAACCTTCATGCAGATCCTCATCGACACGCTCGACCCTCACTCGGAAAGCTTCGAGCAAGACAGGGCCGACAGAGAGCAAACCATCACGTATCTGCAGGCACTCCTCGGGGCCCCTCAAGGAAGCACAGCTGGCCCTTCATCTGCAAACGACAGCTACCAGTCTGTCCAGACTGCGCCCTTCCAGTCTCATGGCGCCTACCAACACCCTGGCGAATCTTCCAACTTCTTCACTTCAAGCGCCCGCAAGCGCCCGAGGGCTTTTGACGATGCCTTGGCTGCCGATCATGCGAACAAGTCGAGTCGAACCACACCTAGTCCTGCTGCCACCACCCCGGGTACCTCCAGCTCGAACGACTCATATCCGGAGCTTTACGAGGCCTGGCCCTCGCAGGCTCAGTCTCAAGCTGGTGGGGTGAGGTACGCACACAGCTCACTCAACCAAATGCTGGAACCGCCGAGACAAAGTGAGGTTCAACAGGATCTGGGGTCACAGCAGGCTTCCTACGGCGCTGGGAACCTCTATGCGTGGGACTGGCCCGCGCAGGACCAGATGCAGTCCCAGCCACCTCAACAATCGGCGTCGGCCAATTTTCACCAGACTCTACCTACCCTCCAAAGCAGCACGCCTTCTGCATCTTCGAACAGCCCATTTCAAGTGCCTTTGCGCGTTTCACACCATAATGGTGCGCCATCGCCATTTCAGCGTTCTGTCTCCTCTCAGTCTATGAACGCTCAGGTCCCCAGACAAACACCTCAACGATTTCCTTCTGTGAATGGGGTCGCATTGCCACACTCTGTGCCCTCTCAATCCATCAAATCCGAATACCCTAGAAACAGTCCTTTGCGAACGCCCATTTCAAGACCAAGACCACTACATCGCTTGCCATCGTCAAATTCGACCGAGGCTGGGTTCGGTCGCTCTCAAAACACTAGCGAAGGGATTGAGATCATTGATCTTTGCGACTCTGATTCCGATCCAGACATCCAGGAGATGGCGGCATACCCAAGCCGCAATCACCTTACAACCCCGATGTTCACACCGAGACACAATCAACATGCCAGTCGCTTCACTCCTTCGCGGCAGGCATATGGCACAGGAGCCTCTCGGATGATGGGTGGACAGTCCATCTACAACTCCTTGCAGGGCACCGTAGACAACCCGCTGTCGATTGACGAGTACGAGGACTTTTTTCAGATTGTTGAGAATCCTGCGGCACATGGAGACCGTCAGCGGGGCGGTCCTTCGACTGCTGCTATTTTCCAAGGTGGCATTATGGGTCCCAATCCGTTCACTAACTCGATAGGTGGCGATGTAATGGGCCAAATGCCCGTCTTTTACCCTAATCATGCGATCCCCGACACCATGCTCGATCGTCAACGGGAGTGGCTCGACCGCTACGGTGGATATGGGCAATACAGCCAGCGAGCGACCGGCGAGGCTGTGAAACAACTGCTAGGCAATATTCGCCCGGATGAGGATGTCCCCCCTGAGCGTCGTCTTGCGACTCCCGAAGGCATGGCTGTCCAACTGATGGAACACCAAAAACTGGGAGTCGCCTGGATGAAGAAAATGGAGGAAGGATCTAACAAGGGCAGTGTCCTTGCTGATGAGATGGGCCTCGGCAAGACTGTCCAGGCTTTGTCCTTGATTGTTTCAAGGCCTGCCGAAGATCCTATGAGGAAGACAACCCTTGTCATCGCACCCGTTGCTTTGATGCGGCAGTGGGAACGGGAAATCAAGACGAAGGTCAAGGGTGGCAGTCATGCTTTGTCTGTCATGACATACCATGGATCGAAGAAGAAGTCCTTTAGAGATCTTCGGGCGTTTGACATTATCCTTACGTCTTACGGAACGGTGGCGTCGGAGTTTACCAAGAAGGAAAAGATCAGGGAATTCGAGGCTCGCGATGCTGATGAACTTGAGGGGGCTCCACCAAGGCCGAAGAATACGGACTACCCGCTGCTGGGAGCAGATTCACTATGGTACAGAATCATCCTCGACGAAGCTCACAACATTAGGAACAAGGAAACGAAGACTTCAAAGGCTTGTTGCGAGTTGAAGGCTATTCATCGACTGTGCATGACTGGCACGCCGATGATGAACAGGACCGACGAACTGTACGGGCTTGTCAGGTTCCTTCGGATTCAACCCTACTGCGAATGGGGCAACTTCAGGGCTGATATCAAAACTTCACTTGAGAAGGGAAGCAAGTCGATAAGAGAGGATGGCATGCGCAAGCTCCAGGCTTTGCTGAAGGCCATTCTTCTTCGTCGCACCCAAGAGTCCAAGATAGACGGTAAAGTCATTTTCGAGCTGCCCCCGAAGACCATCACTATGGAACACGTTGTCTTCGACGAGGATCAAGACGAGTTTTACAGGGCACTCGAAAGCAAGACACAGCTCAAGTTCAACAAGTATCTCAAAGCAGGTACTGTTGGCAAGTCGTACTCGCACATTTTGGTCTTGCTGCTTCGTCTCCGCCAGGCATGCTGTCATCCTCACCTTCTTAAGGACTTCGCCGAGCCGGCAGCAGGTCTCACCGATGAGGAGCTACTCGACTTTGCCATGCAGCTAGGTGAGGATGTTGTTGCACGTATAAAGGCGGAGGAGGGCGCGTTCAGCTGCCCGATTTGCCTCGATGGCGTTGAAAACCCAGCCATTTTCCTCCCTTGCGGCCACAACGCCTGCAGTGAGTGCTTTGCACGGATCACTTCCGATTCTTCGCGGGGCGAGGAAGGTTATAAGTGTCCCAACTGCCGTGGGAAGCTAGACCCTAAGAGGATCACCGATTACAACTCCTTCAAGAAGGTTCACATGCCAGACGCCCCCGAAGACGAAGATGGACCGTTCGCCAAGGAGGAAGCGTACGCCAGCAGCGATTCAGAGAGTGATGCGGATGAAGAGGATGATCTCGATGGATTTATTGTGCCAGACGATGAAGTCGAGGGTTCTGGCTCGGATCCCTCGAAGCAGAAGCCCAAGAAGTCGAAGGGAAAGGAAAGAAGAGCGGACCGGCCGCCCAAGCAGAAAAAGACACTTGCACAGCTTCGCAGGGAGGCTCACAGGAACATTGCTGCCAAACGTCGCTACTTCAACCGGCTGTGCAAGGACTGGGTCACCAGCGCTAAGGTGGACCGCACAATGGGACTGCTGCGCAGCATCCAGACCAACGACCCCACTGAGAAGACGCTCGTCTTCTCTCAGTTCACCAGCCTGCTTGATATTGTCGAAGTGCCTTTGGCTCGAGAGGAGATTGAGTACTGCCGTCTTGATGGGAGCATGTCTGTCGACCTGCGTAACGACTCCGTGAACAGGTTCATCGATTCGCCTTCCTGCAACGTCATGCTCGTTTCACTCAAGGCTGGCAATGCTGGTCTGAACCTTAATGCTGCCTCGCAAGTCATCATCCTGGATCCCTTCTGGAATCCTTACGTTGAGTATCAGGCCATTGGCCGTGCTCACCGCCTCGGGCAGACACGGCCTGTCACGGTGAGCCGCATTTTGGTGAAAAAGATGGGATCTGAAGACCAGCACCATACGGTCGAAGATCGCATCATGGCTCTCCAGCAGAAGAAGGAGCACCTGATCACACAGGCTTTGGATGAGGAAGCCGGGAAGTCCCTCTCGAAGCTGACTATCCAGGATTTGGCCTTCCTTTTCGTAAGTTACCACGCTTTCTCGTAGTGTTCCTATACCTAACTGGTGTTTTCAGGGAGTGCGTGCCCCAGCGGGTTAGATGACTTCACACTCGGTCCACCTTGTCACTTTAGGTCGGGCTTTTTCTTTTCGTTTTATCATTTGCGAGCACTTTGCCAGCAGCTCTGCAATATTTGTGCAGACTCACAGTGGAGCAAGCGAACAGAAATGACTTCAGCGCATTGATACCCTCGGCACGGTTTCACGGTTTTGCTGGAGTAATAGCTATCATGAAAAACTTCCGGGTAATTGCAGCATTCGGCTCAGTCGAGATGCTTCTACCCACCCTTAGAGACGTAACTTTCTTTTCTTTCTCTCCGCCCCCTGAAACCAGAGGTGCCCGGATTTCGAGCCTCACTTCACTCATATGCGACTGAAAAAAAAAAAAAAAACAAGGGTTGGGTTCCGGGGGGAGAGAGGGAGGGAGGTGATAAAACGGAGAAAGAGAAGAGAGGTACATATATGGGCTTTTTCGCAGAGCTAGCTGGTCAGCCCCCCCTTTTTATTTTCGTTGCTGCTTTGGGGTCTAGACAAAAAATATCTTTGCTTTTCTTTTTGTTTTTATATTGGCCTTCGTGCCTGATCGAGAGAACGCATAATTTCTGGAGAGATTTTCGATGAAAGGGAGCAAATTATACGATGATGATGATGATGGCAACGACGATGCTGATTCAACTATGGTAATGCTCTCTATGTGACATCGCCTGGAGCTAGGGTTCTTTAGCGACCCTATTCGGTGACCAACGCAGGCCACACCCGTTTTTGAGACAAAAACGGCCGATCGGGAGAGGGTTGATACGTGACTCCTCGATGACACTGTTGAGTCATGCTACCATTGTTAAACTACATCACCGACGCTGGGGGGACACTATTTTCCTTGATGGAAGCTTTCCAATAGATAAGAAGGTTGAAACGTCATTCATTAGTGGTGGACGCTTAAGGCCCTCACAATCACCCATATACAAGCTCTTGTCCAAGATGAAGCTTTCTTCCAGATAAAGTAAAGGGAAGACAGAAAACAAAAGAAGGAAAAGGTAAAGCGAGAACGCCGTGCAATGCAATCGCGAAAGGGGAATCATCAGTGATTGGCGTTATTGGGGAGTGGAGTCATCAATCAGCCAGCCCCATCAGCGCCTCGAGCTCCTCGGGGCTGAGAGTACTTTTCCTCCGCTTCGCTCGGCCTTTGATGTTACTTCTGCGCGGTGCCCGCCTGGAACGCGTGTCGACATTTTCATTTTCTTCGACGGCGGTGAAGGCATTTTCTGCGGCGGTCGGGGCGGTCTTTCGTCTGGCTGCTTTCCTCTCTTCCTCTTCTTCCGCCGCCTCCGCAGCCTTTGCGGTAGCTGCTGCTGTGTCGGCTTCTTGTGCTGCGATAGCGAGCTTCTCCTGCACGGTGAGCTTCGGAGATGGCCCGTCTTGGTGCGATAGAGGGGAGGAGCGGCGTTTGCGGGTCTGCGGCGTGACAAGCAAAGTTAGTCTATGTAGATGTCTCCGGGTGTGAAAACGTATGTTAAGGTGCTGTGAGTGTGGAGCGTGTCGCCTCTGAGGCCATCAGTTGTTGTTGGGATGATGCTGGGTGAGCTGTAATGCTTGTGGTGGGTGATGGGGTGAGAAATCGTACGCTGCGTGGGATGCCACTTTCGCGAGGCGTGGGTCTGCCGCGCGCTCCGGACGGGGGCTGCGGCAATTGTCTGGGTGTGGATCGAGGTTTACTGGTAGACGAAGGCTTGGAGCCTGATCTTGAATTCGGCTTGGAGCTAACTCGGGATCCGGACTTGATCAGGTCGACTTCGGAGGCGTTCTCATCCGTGGGAGAATAGTCAAGGGGGCTATCCTTCGAGGCCTCGAAAATCACCTTTCGTGGGGATCTCACGTTTCCGTCAGATTCTCGAAGAGCGTGGTGCGGTGTGGGGTTAAGCTTAATGTCGAAAAGGTCCGTATTCCGGTTTTCAGGTACTGGCTTTTCAGGAGAAGGAAGTGCTGGCTCCTCGTCGATGTCATATTCCTCCTCATCGTCCATGTCTACTTCGCTTTCCATTTCCTCTTCTTCTTCCTCCTCCTCATCGTCCTCGTCCTCGTCCTCATCCTCCTCCTCCTCCTCTTCTTCTTCCTCCTCTTCGACAGGAGCAAGCATATTACCTGGCCCAAGTCCCATTCGTAATTCGTCAAGCGTGATGGTGTCACCTCCGTCCATCATGCGTTGTCTCCAGCCCTGCATCATGGTGACAACATCGCGCCATCTGGCCTCCATCATCTCCCAGCCGTCGCGCAGTTTCATAATCTCCTCTTCTCGCGTTTCCACTTCTGAGATGGGCACGAAATTGGGGTTCGTCAAAAGGTTTTGCAGGTGCTCTAGTACGTGGTCCATGTCCGTATCCAGAGCATCATAAGAGGTAGGGAGAGCATGAGCCATAGTCGCGTCCTCACCATCTTCTTCGCCATGTCCGTGTTCTGGCATTCCTTGCAATTCCCTCAACGTTGCAAGTGTTCTTCTGACCAAGCCGATGAGATTGTCATTCTCATCACTCAGACTCTGGCTCAGTTCTGTCAGGAACTCGGTTGTCTCCTGCTTGAGACTATACTCTGCATCCTCAAGACTGGGTACATCTTTGTCTCTTGCCCTGCTAGTGGAGGCGCTGCCGGCGGAGCCGGGAGTGATGGTAATGCTGGCGCCGACCAAGCCCGTCTTATTTCCTCTCTGCTGGGCGGTGAGGTGTGATTTCAGGCGCTGTATTTGTACGTCGCGTCTGCGGACATCGTTGGCGCAAGCGGTGCGGATTTGTTGCACGGTGGCCTTGAGGCGGATCATCTCTTCGCGCAAGGAACGGGCGGAACTCTCGGCAGAGCGGAGAGCAGCCTTGGCAGAGCGTTCGGACGACTGGGCGAGCGCCAATTGGCGCTGTAGGTCGTCGTTGCGCTGCTTTAGGCGATCGAGGGTGGAAGTGGCCTGCTGGTTTTCGGCGCGGACGGCGCGCAACGCCTGGCTGAGAGAGTCGCGCTGTTCTTGCTCACGCTGTAGACACGAAATACAATCAGGAGGCGGCAGTGCATCAGTGTGGAGGGAGGCGTACGTCTCTGCGCAGGACCAGGTCGTGGACAAGGTTGATGATCTGGGCCATTGTCTCGTGCTTTCCGCCCTCGCCCTTGGACGGATGGGCAAACTCGACGGGCTTGCCATTGCGCAGAAGGCCGCGGGCCAGCAGCAGGTTGTTGAGATAGCTGGACGCGCTTTTCAGGTTCTGCGGATCCATTTGGGGTCTGGCGTGGAGTGCGGTGGTGTTGGGGAAGACGAGTCGGCGGGGCGTAAACACGGCGTTGCTAGGCAGGTGCGCGCGCCCGGGCGCTCGGGCCAAGCGCACCCTCTGGATGCTCCTCCATGCAGACTGCACATCTTTCGCCACTCCCACCGGCCGAAGAACCAGGTGCATTACGTGCATTACTTGCTTGCAGCTGTGCAGCTGCATTTCCCCAGCCGTGCCAGCCGTGCCTGTTTCAGCGCTTGGACTGCGCCTTCCCGCGACAGTCAATTGGCCCGCTGCGATAGCGCTGCACGTGACTCCGCATCTACGAAGATTTTCACCTCAACCTCATCCTCCATCATCCTCATCCAAAGAACCACCCTTCTGCTCAGCGAGACTCGCGCGCTGCCGCTTGTTCCCAGGGCCGGGAAACCCATCCGTCTCGTTGCGGCTTTTGTCACGCCGTCTCGGTAGGCCTCTTGCCTCGTTCGGCCAACACCATTTCCTACCGAGCTGTCGACACTGCATTCCAAGTCACGCGTCCCCTCACTTTTCGCAAAATGGCTGGCGACGACGGAATCCCTCCCGCCGAGCCCGTGCCGGCCACCTCGGCAACCATCCCGCCGAACCCGGTGGACGAGTCGGCCCCATTAGTGCCGCCGCCGTCTGGAACCATCACTACTGAACCAGCCCACCCGCCTCAGCCGCCGTTGCCTGGCGACTCGGCCATAACCAAGGCTGAGAAGGTCGAGCGCCACGGTTTACCTGAACCAGCATCCCCGCCTCCGGGAGGTGAGTTCGAGCGCTCCCCAACCAAGCGCGTGAAACTAGACAAAGGTATCCGCGATCGAAATCGCAATGCCCATCGAAGACTTGCTCTAACGTAGTGTGCGTAGGTCAAGCGGAATCCAGTGGCCGTGATAGACAGAAGGGGGTCGCGCCGATCAAGCCTGAGTAAGTCCACCGGCTACGGCACGGGTATTGGACGCCTCTCAGACTAATGACTCGTCAGATATCTCATCGACCCGGCTACTCTGAGACACGGCCGTGCCGTGGCCCAGAAGGATCCAGACGATGACGCTGCTGAAGCCTCCAAGCATGCCGCCCAAGACGGCGAGCAAAAGACGGGGAGGAGGGGAAAAAAGGACAAGGAGAGGGGCCAGAACAAGGCCCGCGAGCATTTCAAGCAACGCGACACCCTTCCACTCTGCTCTACCGTGGCCTTCAGCAACGAATTCTCCCCGAAAGAGTGCCAGTTCGGCCCCAAGTGCAAGTACGAGCACGACATCCGCAAGTATCTCAAAGAAGGCAAACACGGAGATCTCTCGACCTTCACCATATGCCCAGTCTGGGATGTGAGGGGCTGGTGCCCCGCTGGCTGGAAATGTCGGCTGGTGGGTACCCATTCGGACGAGGTGGCGCGTCCGGATGGCCGCCAGGAACTTGTCCTCATCGAAGATCCCGAGCGGAAGGCTAGGGCTGATAAGGCAAAGGCCGAGCTGGGCGACGAGCTGGGCCACATCAACGTCGTTTCCCCGCAAGCGAAGATCGAGCTGGGCAAGAAGAAGAGGAAGACTCCGAAGGCCGACGCTTACTTGGAGTACCTGAACCAATTCAACGAGGAAACGAGGAAGAAGGAGCCCGCACCTGCCGGTGACGCCGAGGCCAAAGACGCCAAAGAGGACAACAGAGCACAGTACAAAGAGCCTCCGTTTCTGCCGTCAGAGAAGCGCCGGATTTACTATGGCCCGGAAACTCCCGTCCTAGCTCCCCTGACAACCCAGGGCAATCTCCCGTTTAGGCGTCTGTGTGTCGACCTCGGTGCTCAGGTTACCTGGTCCGAGATGGCGATGGGCATGCCGTTGGTTCAAGGAGCTAAAAGCGAGTGGGCTTTGATCAAAGCTCATGAGTCGGAAGCTACGCCACCCAGGTTCCTCGGCAAGAGTGACGTCGTCGCTGGATATGACAACAGCAAGGACCTCAAGTTTGGCGCCCAGGTTGCGGGGAACAAGCCGTGGATTGCGCTCAAGACGGTCGAGGTCCTGACCGCGCTGGCACCCCACCTTCGGGCTATCGACCTCAACTGCGGCTGTCCGATTGACCTCGTATACCGGCAGGGCGCCGGATCTGCCCTGCTTGACGCGCACGGAAAGCTTGACAAGATGCTGCGCGGCATGAACGCCGTCTCCGAGAACATCCCTATTACGGTCAAGATCCGCATGGGAGTCAAGGACAACGAGCCTACTGCGGAGAAGCTGGTCCAGAGGCTGGTTCTCGGCACCGCGGAAGCCCGCAAATCTGGAGAAGGTCCTTGCGGCGTGGCTGCCATCACGCTGCATGGTCGGAGTCGCCAACAACGCTACACCAGATCGGCCGATTGGGGATACATCTCAGAGGTGGCGGCGCTGATTAACCGACTCAATGGCGAAAGAGCTGCAGTGATTGACACGGCGTCGGACGTCGATGCGCGGCACCTGCCTAATGGCGGCAAAGTGTACTTTGTTGGCAACGGCGACTGTTACTCACACGTCGACTACTACAGGGCCATAAACGAGCACAAGGTCGATTCCGTCATGGTAGCGCGCGGGGCGCTTATCAAGCCGTGGATCTTCGAAGAAATCGAGCAGGACCAGTACCTCGATAAGCGGTCATCTGAGCGGTTGGCGTACATCGAGAAGTTCGTCAAGTACGGGCTGGAGACGTGGGGGTCTGACGAGATGGGAGTCGGCACGACTCGTCGCTTCCTGATGGAATGGCTCAGCTTCACTTGCCGATACACGCCGATCGGGCTGCTGGAGCATCTGCCGCCGAACATCCAGGACCGGGCGCCAGCCTTCAAGGGCCGCGACGAACTGGAGACGCTGATGGCGTCGGACAACTACAAGGACTGGATCAAAATCAGCGAGATGTTCCTCGGCAAGGCGCCTGAAACGTTCAAGTTCACGCCGAAACACAAGTCGAATGCGTACGAGATGGAAGCGGAGGGCTGAGGTCGCCGCGAGCAGCGGCAGCGCAGCAGGACAGGCGGGATATGCGGGACATGCTGGATATGCAACCGGAAATACGAGCCCGACATGTATTACGCACAGGAAGGTGTTGCCAGGTAACGGGGATTATTTGCGGAGCTGCGTTGGCAGCCCAAACTGGAAGGCGGGCTCACCGGGATGGGTGGACGGCCAAAGGGCCGGGACCACCATGAGGCTCTTCGCATGGTTGTTGAGCGGGCTAGGCTGGATCTCTGGTAGAGCTTGTCGCCAGCGCCGGGGTTGGGTTTTCAGGGACCATTTTAGTGGGCTGGCGCATCCGCACCGCGTTATACAATAGCCGCCCGGCAGCTTACTGCGGCGGCTGTTTGGGGCCGTGCTGGCGCGCTGGCGAGGCTGAAGAACGAGCGGTACTGCTTATTGGCGACTCGCGAGGCTCGACATGACAATACGGAATCAGTAATCAGAGAGCTAGTCGTCGAAGGCCGGCGTGTGGGATGCAGCACGTGCCCCGTGACGAACCAGGGTAAGTGGCCGTTCAGCGCCGACCGCCCTGGGCGACCGGCCGTGGAGCCGTGGCTCTGTGGCTCTGTTGAGCCAGACGGGAGCGCGCCGGCGTCGGCAGCGGCGATTGGGACTTGCGAGGCAGGGCGGAGGCAGGACGCGCCTTCATCAGCATGCGGCCGGGCGCATGGCGCGCTCCGGCGGGCTCCATGGAAATTTGGACGGCGACGAGCCTCCGCATGCAGGCGGCGGTCGGTGACGGGCGGCGGCCCTGCGGCGTGACACAGCACAGCATCAGGCACGGCCGAGGGCGATCATCACGGTGGACCAAGCACTCGCATGCGCACCCACAAGAGACGACGCTGGCTTGGCCGATCGCAGGCCGCGTCTGAGAAGCGCAGCGCGCCTGGCGTTTGGCCGTAGGGCCGGGCAGGAACAAAAAGGTTCCAGCAGGCCATTGCGCCATGGGCCTGGCGGGAAACGGGTCCTTGGCCCTCTGGGGAAGGGTTCCCGTCCGGCGGTCGTCTGCGCGGCCGCCGTGTGGCCGTGGCCTGTGGGCTCGCGGCCGTGGGCTCGCGGCCGTGGGCTCACGGGCTCACGGGCTCACGGGCTCACGGGCTCACGGGCTCACGGGCTCGCGGGCTGTGGCCTCGTCGCCAGGCAGTGGAGAGAAGTCCGGCAGCCCCACTGGCTGAAACGACGCAGCGGTCGTGCGCCTGGCCGAGGAAGCTCCTCGTCAGGGTCCGGCTCGCTTGCGCGGTGACGACGTGGAGGAGGCGGGCGGAGGCTGGCGCAGAAGCCGTGGATCGTCTTGCGCATGCTCAGGCGGGCGACTCATTCACACGCAGGCCATGAGGTCACGACGCGAGGGGTGGTTGCGCTGCCTTGCCGCAGCACCACGCACCACGCACCACGCCGGCCAGGACAGATCCGTCTCCACGTGTGGCCCGGCCCCATCTAGTCCCCTCCGGCGAGCTTCGAGAAGGCTGCCGCCAGTAACGGTAGCCCTGCTGCGCTACTGTGGCGCGCGCGACGCCCGCCAGCAAAGGGCCGAAGGGATGGCGGAGCAGTGATTAATGCTGCCGCTGCCGCTGCTGCTGCCGCTGCTGGGCATCGTGCCTCGCCTGCCTGCACCTCAGCCAGCACCCAGCATCCGCTTCAGCTCGCCCGGCGCCCGACCCGTCACATGCGCGAGCGTTCCGCCCCCAAGCCCAGCACCGCTCGCCGCTCGCCGCGACACGTCTCGTACCCAGCGCCGCCAGCCCGCAGCCGACTTGAGCCCTGCTAGCTCCGGCCGCCATTGGCCGACTGCATCATAGCGCCTGGCGAGTCAACCGTTCCGCTGCTCAGCGCCGTCGCCTTAGTTACCTAACCGCGCCCACCCTCGCCGTCCGCATCCACTCCGTTAATTTGGCCTGGCTCGCGCATCCTGCCACTGCCCAGCGCCGCGTTCCACCTGCTTGGTTCGATCCAGCGGCTCCACCGACTGAGCCGATCCCACACGCCGAGCCTGGCGCGCCGATTGACATAACCGCTGCCCGCCGCTCCACCGAGAAGCTGGCTTCCCTACAGACGCCTCCTCCTCTCCCCAACTGCCCCAACTCGTCCTCCGCCGACGACCGCGACCGCGAGAGCACCCTCGACCCCACTCCCGTCACCACTCCCGTCTTCCGCCACCCCGAGCCCGCCTCTGGCCCACCCACGAAGGAGAAGGACCGCCACTTCTCCTGCCAACGCACGCCTTGGGCCCAGCCCGACCACCTCCAGCACTCCGACCCGCTCGAGCTGGACGCGGACATATTGTTTGACCACCTCGCCGACTGCACGCTCCCGCTGCTTCCCGCATCGCCTCCGCCTCCGCCTCTCCGGATCGGGCAGCAACTGTTTTCGCACCACCAGCCAACCCACCGTGCGGCACAGATGGCGGCCATCGACGGCCCCGTGGACATTGCCACGTCCCGGCAGAACTCGACCTCGCCGCGGAATCAGACATCAACCCTCAGCGCTGCTCTTCAGGGAGCTGCAGCCCAGCCCATAGCCACGCCGACCTCGGCCCCGAGGAGTGGCAATGATGCTCGCCTAAGCATAGGCGGCCGGCAAGACTCCATCAGCCACATTGGCTCATACTATGGCACTGGCGCTCGCCCCATATCCATGAAGGATCGCCCGCGGCGAGAAAGCACTACTGCCGGCAGCCTGCTAAACGGCATGAGCTGGGGCGGTGTCTCCGTTGGCAGCTGGATCCGAGACGAGTATGTGTCCCCATGTCCTCCCCCCCACCCCCACCATTCCGACTCTCCTCCCAATTTCCGAAGCTGCGTGACCTACCCAGAAATGGGTGAATTGGAGTGGCCTGGCCCGACTACGTCATAGGCATTTTTAGGGGCCGCTTCCCCGGCATTCCCTTCCCCATCCATCCGTTTTCGACGATTGACTCAACTGATTCGTGCCTAACAGTATCGTGATGGCTGGTACGTCTCCATACGCCTTTGGACGCTCTCCCTCCTTCCATTCCTCGTCGTATCTGCCAAAGATGGAGGCGAATTTCATGAAGGACTTCAACTGCTGCGGTCTCACGCTCGATTCACTGCACGAACTGCTGCAGCACTTCGAAGAGTGCCACGCCGCACCGTCGGCAACCATGCAGAGGCCATCGATATCCGGCCAGAGCGGCTTCAGCAATGGCGGACGGAATTCCATCACTTCCGCCGGCGGAATCAACCCCCAGCAGGCTGAAAACCAGCAAATGCCCCAGCAGCAGAACGGCTTCAGGCCCCAGCAGTTTCAAAACCAGCAGTTCACAAGCAATGGCTTCAACAAGAGCCAGCTCTCGACCGTGCAAGATATGGACACGCTGGAGGATATGGAGATGGATGACCCGCAGACGCCGATGGGTGGACCGCCCTCGCAGTTCAGCTCGCAACCGCCGCAGTTTGGCCAGAACAACGACCGGCAGCCGCAGCTGAACATTAACCTTGCAAACAATGTCCAAAACCAGGCCTTCAGGACATCGACGCCGACGACGCCCAACACCAACCATCCCAACTTCCCTCTGCAAAACAACCCCACCGTTTCCTCAGTCAACACGCCGACGCTTGGCGGTGCTGGGCAGTCGCAGAGAACGCCGGATTCGTCGGTGCCGGGCACTCCCGGCGAGTTTGACCAGGACCTCGGCAACTACTTTGGCGGGCTGCCCATGGGCATGAACGCGCAGATGATGCAGGGCAACAACATGGAGTTTGGAAACATGGGCTTCAACGCAAACGGCTACGACGGCTTCGACGGCACAATAGATCAGCCGGCTAAGCGGCTGTACAGCAAGCAAGGCGGAGGTCTGACGCCACAGCAACTGCAATATGCGCTACGGCAAGGAAAGCTTGGCACGGACAGCGAGCTCGCCAAGCAGATGCGGGCACAGCAGCTGATTATGGCGAACGGTGGCGTTTTCCCCAGCGAGGAGATCAAGCCGTTCAAATGCCCGGTGATTGGGTGCGAAAAGGCTTACAAGAACCAGAACGGGCTGAAGTACCACAAGCAGGTGAGTGACGGGCTCCTGATGACAAAAAAATTGAATGATCCCCATTGACTAACGCTCGGATTCCTGCACAGCACGGACACCAAAACCAGCAACTCAAGGAAAACGCCGACGGCACCTTTTCGATTGTCGATCCGGAGACTTCCGTGCCATATCCTGGCACCGTCGGCATGGAGAAGGAAAAGCCGTACCGTTGCGAGACATGCGGCAAGCGGTACAAGAACCTCAACGGGCTGAAGTACCACCGCGCGCACTCTCCGCCGTGCAACCCGGACCTCAAGCTCAATGCGATGAACCTGCTCAACGCCGCGAACCTGCAAGGCATGAACGTCAACGTTGCCGGCGCAGGGATGGCAGGGATGGGCGACGGCATGTTCTGAGCAACGCGCCTGACTCGACCAATACGACGACGTCCATTCCGGCGGCACGAGACGTCGTCACAGGCATGTGCCTCGCGAGACGAGGCGTGCCACGACTCATATTCCCCACGCTTCACGGATGCTTTCGAATCGAATTGATTTTGCGAGGCGTTGCTTCGTCCATATAGAAGGCTCGATGTTGATTGTTTTTCTCGTTTCCTTTCGTTTTTGAGACGCAGTTCTGCGCATAGAATGGCCGGTTGGATTCCTCTTCGATTCTTCAAGGAGAGGACAGGAAATTGAGGCTGCGTGCAAGCGTTGTCCATTTTTCATTGGGCCTTCACCCTTCACAGATTCCCCCTTCTGGTTCGATCCTCTCCGCGGACGCACCTTGGCTTGCGCTGTCATGAGTTTGCATTGCGTGGAGTGGAATTTTTGCCATGCGTACTTGCTTTGTTCATTTCTCTATACCTCTCGGCTCGTCTTCGCGCACGGAGAGACTGCGCGTCAGTCGCTTACGAGGCGGACGACGCTGTCATTTTTCTTGGTCTGTCATGACACACCCCTTTTTTGCGACACAAATATGGCGTGGGATGGTGGGATGAAATTCTGCTCTTGCTATGCCCTCGAAGTTCGGTCAGGCGTTTAATACTTCGTTTTGCCGCGCTGGGTATCGAAAAACAAAAAAGTTTCCTTTTCCTGCTTCTCGTTTCACACGGTTCTCACTGAACAGAGTACAAAATCAATTCGGCGGGCTATATTCTTCCCACCCTTTTTTTCTTGCCGTCTTTCCTTCCAAGTTATTATCCCTCTCACCTCCAGATCGCACACGACGGGTGCTTGAGCTCGGCCCAGGCCGGGCACGGTGCAAGGTTCGGGCCGCAATACCTTCGCTCTTCAATCATGCAGCGCCAGCAGCTGGGCTTCCGGTTGCAATCTCCGAAGGTCTCAGGAATCGCATTGCCAGGGCCGCTATGTTTGGCTCAACTAGGGTGGAACGTCGATGGTGACGCTCCATCAAGAGCATGGACTCGTCAGCGAACGTCACACTCCAGCTGACGCGAAGTCGAATCTGCCGAGCGGCTAACAATTCCGATCCGACTCCTTTTTTAGGCTCCCGACCAAGGACCAAGGACGCAGGAGGCTCTTTGCAGGGCTGCAAGCATCTTGTTATTATTAGCTAACATTGTACGGCCGAAGGACTAGGTGACGCGGTTCCTGGAAATAGCGTCCTTTTTTTCTTTTCTTTTTCCTTGGGAACATGGCAGGCAGAGGGCCGGTGGTGAAAACGCCCGTCGGCGGTGGCCGAGACTCCGCTCCGGAAGCGGGCGGGTTGCATCACACAGGTGGCAAGAAGGGCCAAGAGGTCGGCGTTGCGCTCCCACTAGAGCGTTGCCCGATGCGGGCCGATCGATGGGCTGCAGGACTACTTCTGCCTTGGTGTATCGACACGATCTCCGATGCTGGACGTGAGTGTTTGATCTAACAACAACCGGACGGTGGTGGTGGTCGGCAGGTGCGCTACCAAAGGACTCGCAGCACATGTCGATCGTACCTATTATCTACAGGACATGGGCTCCGGATCCGGCCCGCATCATGAAGGCTCCAGACGCAACTTGTTCTTGCAACATTGACTTCTCGGCGCGCCATGTTTGGCGACGGTTTGCTGCACACGATCGGTCCTATTCCACGCTAAGCGCTGTCGCTGGAGAACAGTCGAGCGGGGGTGCCCCCTTCTTGCTGCTGTTCCTCGAGGATGCTGTTGCAGCGCCAGGCACGTTTCGTAGGCATTCAATCTAGCGGGGCCGCGCCTGCTTCATCTCCCCGCATGGCCGTGTCTTTATAGGCGGGATGCTGGACATACAGGTAGGTGCACAGCTACTGCCGTCTGGGAGGAAGATTGCGTGCCCCACACACACGTGAAACTGATAGGTCAACATGACATCGTCCCGGGCATTCCCAAGCTAGCGCCAACCGTGCTACGCCTTTCAAACCCGGACGAGCCGACGCCGCCGCCAGCGCTCATGGTTGCAGCCAGGATCAATCCTGGCGCCTGTCTGCCTTTGACGGTTTCTTTCCCGTTCCTCCCCCCCCCTTCAGCTCTCGACAAGCATTGGTCCAATGGCGCGAGGTGGCGCACCGCCGGCGATCCCGCACCACTGCAGGCGCGTTTAGGACTACTGCAAGATGCAAGTGCGGTGGCGTTTTGGCTGCACCAACAACGGTTCTCGCCGTTGCTTACCACCCATCAATTGTTGATCCGCGCGTCCGCCGCCGCCGCCTGTTCGCCCGCATCTGGCTGCATGCCCACCTGGCTCACTTGTACTCTTTACTGCTAGCTGCCGTGCCGTGCGCCGTCTTCCCCTCCTCTCTCTCTCTCTCTCTCTCTCTCTCTCTCTTTCTCTCTCTTTCTCCCTTTATCCGTCCCGCGTGTGGGTGAGCGGGTGTGTGCGTGTGTTGAAGATGATCGGCGCTGTTGCTGCAGTAGTGCGCGACCTTAGTATGTGCGGTACGCAAGAGGTACCTTTTTTACTCCTTTTTTTTTTCACTCCTCTCTGTCTCTTCCCTTTTCCGCTCCAGTCCTCTATCAGTCGTGCCGCGTGTTATTGGCTGCATCGACTCCACAAAAAAGCCAGTGAGAGGAACCGGACGCGGGACCCACGTGGCTTTAGTCGTCCCGCGTTTGAGACCAATGGTTTGGGGATTGTGTAACACGAGCAAAATCTCCGGCTGGCAGATGGCAAGACCAAGGGCAGGCCAGCACGTGCGGGACTGAGGAAGTAGTCGGATTAGTGGGGCATTTGTTCCCATTCTTTCGCGCTATCCTGAAGCCAACGTAAAATCAAACGCTACTACCCGGACAAGTGCAAATGAATAAACTATCGCTTCGATACGGGCTTGAGGGTTGAGTTTCGGTCGTATACACGATTCGAGCCTCAGCCCTGCCATCGTCGACGACAATCTCCTGCATTACGACAAGGTTGGTCTCGAATCGAGGGGCGATGAACAAACGGTGTTGGAGACGATACCGATAGCGTGCATCTTTTGGTGCAAGGACGTCAATCACCTTTCCTTTCTCGGCACTACCGTACCAAACAAAGGAAAAAGCCGTCAAGCCCTACCCATTAAATATGGAGTCGCGCGAGACATGGGAAACCAAAGGAGTCAAGGCCACATGTCTGCTACTTCGCCGAGCGGGACCGTTAACGAACGTACAGCACAAGCATGGCAAAAGAGCCCAACGCCATCATCACTAGGTATCACATCGCATCGGATTCATTCCCGCCCTTTCTTTGACTTTCCGTCATCATCGTGTAGCGCCGAAACTCCCATCGCCATTATCGCCGCCACAGAGTCGTAATCGACGCCCCCCCCCCCCCAACGCATTCATCCATCCCAATCACACACGCCAATCCCCCAACAGGCAGGCCGGCCGGCCGGCCGCAAAACTAACAATCATCAACCAATACACTGCCGGCACCCCGCCCGTAATCCATCGCACGCGGGGAACGGTCCCACGAGCGCTAGTCCCCGCGATTCAGGGGCGCGGGAATCCTGAAAAAGGCATAAAAGACGCTCCTGCTTATAAGCGCCGACTGACTGGGTCGCCGGGCGAAAGGGAAGTAGTGGCAAACGGAGTGAGTAGTGACGAGGAATGAGATTTGTGGGAACAGACAGAAACGTGCGTGTGAGAGAGATGGAGAGAGAAAAAGCGGGGCAAGTAGAGACCGCTGGCCGATTTGCTCGTCATCGCGAAATGCTTTTTGCGGCGGCGACGATCTTCGACGCCTGATATGCGTGTGAAGGAAGCGGGAACATGCAGGTAACGTGATCCACGAAGCTGGTTGGCATGGCCGAACGACCACGGCCCCGGTTATTTGATCGCGGCATGAATCAGGTCCTTGCATGGGGAGGACTGGGGGGAGACAGGAACCCCGACCCCTGGTGTTGTTGTGAGCTCCCGCGCCTGGAGCGAGAAGAGACGGGGCGTGGGGGATCATAAGCCTGTCGTCCGCCACCGATTCATCGTTTGGTACGTATGAGGTTGATTGAGGACGCCAGAAGATGTCGATCCTGTTCCGCATCATGGAGTTTTGGGTAAGTTCCCCGTGGCATACCTAGCGGGTTGCAGATGATCTGATCCTTGTGTGGCCCACGCAGGGATGCTAGTATCATCATCCATGGGCAGTTGGAGCGAATCTCCAGACGTAGATGCGAGTAGTGCCATTGTGCGAATATGCTCAGACACATGATTCCACTGCTTACATGAGTAGTAGAGTGCAGTACACAATCAACGCATGTCATCTGCATAGTGTTGCGGCTATGACGAACGTGGCTGAGGGATGGTCCGTCCCTGAGCCAGCTAAACTATGAGCTCGAAGGGTGTCGGGAAAGGTGTCGCGTGCCGCGTCGGTGAGCTAATCCGGTCCATTAGCGATAGCCAGGCAAGACGTCCAAAACTTGGTTATGCGAGATCGGCGAGACAAGGATGAGAATAGACGTAGTAATTCAAACCGAGGTTTCTGTACATGAGGTATCGTAAGTCTCGCTCGTTCAGCCCATACACGCCATCATCCACCTTCATCGCTCGCAGCCCCGCATCATCTTTACCGATTATCTCGACTAATTGCCCTACTTCTCACCAGGAGCTTCTGCTCCCCAAACCCAACCCCCTCACGAATCGCACATCTGCCGCCTGCTTCTCCAATGCCCTCCTCATCGTCCGGCCGTACTCGTGCTCTCTCTTCAGCCTCGCCAGCTCCTCGGCACTCTCCATCCTCTCCTCAAAATCACCTTGTTCAAACAGCGGACGCGTTCCAAAGCCCAAGAGGCCGATGCGCCCATCGCCCGTCCAGACAACAAGATCGTCCTTGTTCAGCTCGGCACTGTGCGCGCTGTCCACGGTGCTACGGCAGAGCGTAGGGACCAGCTTCTGGACAATGTCGCCCTCGCCATGCTGCTGAGATGGTGCCGAGAAGAGTGTGCCGACGTCGAAGGGACCATCGTCTCGCGGAGCCTGTGATTGGTTGGATGAGTCTGAGCGGTCAGGGTTAATGTTGAACGACCGGATGGGGGTAAAGCCATCGCGCTCCATCCATTTCACGTTGCCGTCACCGTCGCTGTATACCAGGCGTGCCCCGTGCGTAGTCACGCTGAGAAGCTTTGAGGATGAGGCTGTCTGCCGGTTCTGAATGCAGGCACCCCGGTTCCGCACAGCGGAGCCAGTGTCGCTGGAGAGGATGGTGTGGCGTGGGTCGGGAGAGAGCCCGAAGAGCTCGAGGGCACCTTTGCCTTTGTATTCGCCAGCTGCGATTATGGTATGGCCGGTAACTGATGGATCCTTGTGCGGCGTGTTGTCCAAGTACATGCTATGGAAACCAAGATTGCGCGGGATAAAGGGATGATGGATGAGTGCCATGGAAGACAGGCGAGCACCGGAGTGAACAGTGCCCCGAAGGCGCGGAAAGAAGCGTCTGTCGTAGTTCAAGAGGCTGGTGAAACGGCCGGCCACCCAAATGTCACCGTTCCCATCCCACTCGCGGTCAGGTAAGTGAAGAATTGACAGCGGACCGGGCTGGGACAGTGTGGCATGCTTCTGAGGGACATTTCCGAGCAGGATATCGCGGAAGCTATCCTTCGGCGGAGTGCCTGCAATCAGTTCACAGCGGAGCTGCAGGTTGGAGTCATCTGAAGACTGCTGTTGACGCGGGTCATGCAGATGAATCGTCATGTTGGTTCCTACGGTGACTGGGGTTGGGTGGCGTGCCTCTGACACGGTCGTGATTGGAAAAGGATACTTCGATTCAGAGACGACTTGAAGCGTATCGAGGTCGACCTCTTTGAGGACGTTGAGGACGGCAAAGTAGCCTTTGTTCTGCCTGTTGTCGATGCTCACGCACTCGACCGCGCCTGTTTCGGTCATGACGGCCTTGCTCTCGGCGAGGGGTGCACGTCCGGCCAGGAGCCCGGGCTCGGTCCTGTCAACCATGGCTCCTTGCTTGGTATCAGATGCGCGTCTTTCCCGGGCGCTGATGTCCCAGACGCCGATGCTGCCGTCGTCCAGCGGCGCGAATACCTTGTCGGCCATCTGGGTGCCCTCGTCGTAGTAGAGACCGAGGCCGGTCGCCTCGGCAGGCTCCTTCTGGTCGCCCGAGCCATGGTGTGCCTGCTGCAGCCAGCTCATCTGGACAGGAGCATGGCGTGCAATGAACTCCTCGTAGAAGCTGATCTTCTCGTCCGGGTACGAGGGGTCCCAATTGGCAAAGGCGCGCTCGCGCTGAGCAACGGCCAGCCTGTGGGCAACCATTTCGGCGTTGGGAGCACCTGGATCGTGCACGCCGGATGCCGACCTCCTCTCTTGCACAGCACTGGCAAGCTGGGCCATGTGAGGGGTCATGTGCGAGAGGAGCTGCTGGCGGCGGCGGATGGCCTCGGCGCGGGAGTGCTGGTAGCATGTTGCTTTCCAGAGGCGATCGTCCCGGAAGACTCGGAGGAAGCGGCGGGACACGGACTGGAGGCTGATGATGTCAAGAGGCTCGAGGACTGGGCTTCCTCGTCAGCGATGCAGCTCATGTCAATCCCGCGTGGGGCAGCAGGAGGGTGGGAATTCACTTGCAAGGTGCGACGTAGAGAATGAGCTCGTCCGGAAGCGAGTCCATGATCGCAGGGAAGACTGGCGGCCGTCAGACCGGGAACACACAAGACACGAGGGGCGAGGGCGAAGACATGGGAGCGAGCGGCGTTGTTATAGCTCGCACAGCAGCACCCCGGATTCCCAAGCTCGGCCCTTATCGCCGCCCCTCGGGCCTTATCAGCCAAATCCGGCATAGCGTCCTGGACCTCCATCTCCCCCCCGCCTGCACAACACCACCAACTCTGTTGCTCCTGTCACCAGCGCACCGCACCAACGCCCCGCTGGCATGCCGGCATGCCCGAACATGTCTATCTAGTGCCCCGATTCCGGCTGTGTGTCTGCAGAGAGCCAGCGCTGCAACCAGCTTCCCGACTTGGTAACGTTTCTGGAACATTCCTCGTCATGCTTGCCCAGCCTTGCTTCAGCTTCTTGTTGCTCTTTCCGACAACCGACGTCCCTTTTCATTGAACCCGCCAGCGGGCGCGAACTTCAGCGGATCACAATGCGTGACATGCCCCCCATGCTTGTCCTGCTTTGGTTTCCCTTTCGCCCGCGGTGCGTGGGGATCCACGTGCTGGTTGAAGCTGTCTTTGTAAGGGTGCACGTTGCAACCCTCACGGATGTTGAACCAGAACTTGCAGCCCGCGGCGCTGCATTTGGCAACGTGGCCGAGGTTGATGCAGCGCTGGCGTGATGTGCTCTTGCACACAGTGCTGTATCCGACACGAGAAGCCCTTAGCATCTTTTTCGCCATGGCTCCTGCGCGACCAGGGGGTTCTGCTACCATTTGTGTGTTTTCCGTGCCTTCCTCTGGACCTGGTCCATGTCCGCGGTACAAGGCGACCCTGGAAACCATCAGCTGCTTCTTTCCGTCTCCTCGATGCCTGCAAACCCACAGTTGACTGGCCTGATAGATGGTCTTGCACGAGACACGCCTGTCCTATGCATCAGTCAGCCTCTTGACATGTATCTTTGGCGTTTGCTCACTCCAACTCCGGTTCGCTTGGCCTGACGTCTCTCGACGACCTCCTTCAAGGGAAAAAGACCCTCGACGGTGACGGAAATTGCAGAGACGAATTGAAAGCGCCGTACTTCTCGGCGCTTACACAATGGCGGTTAATAGTAGCGTGATGAGCACCGTACGCCATGACTCTATGAAGTACGCGAATTTTCGGTAGGTGGCCGTCAACGGTTGCCTGCATGAAACAAGACCTGTCAGCAGCAAGAACGTCAACACTCCCATGTTCAAGAGGGAACGTATACTGTATGCCAGAGATTGTTCCAGACAAAACAATGCCTTGCCACCTACGCCGTTCTGAAGTGAAACGCCATACACTGGAGAGAAACACCGAAGAAATAATGAACGTTGGCCGTTTTTAAATCGAGTTGTTTATGTGATGAGCATGCGGACATAAGAGTGGGTGGTTGAAAAGCCCCATAGGCTTGATCCATGGATATGGCAGTAACTCTGCCCGCGAAGCTGCCTGGCGTACATCGAAGAGCTTACACCCTATATGGTAAGAACATGATTGGCATATCGAATGAAGCATGTGGGTACAGGTCACATAAGATACAGTTAACGTCGTCGGCAAATAACGCGCATAATTGAAGGATTTAGCAGATATTAGAATGATGGTGCCTAGTCGGCTATTATGATGATGTAAAACCCTTAACGGGAAATAGAGAATGGCGTGCGCTAGATTAGAAGGCTGAAAAACGAAGTAGCCAACATTACAAAGGAGTAATTGCAAAACGACATTAACGGAAGTGTACGATGTATGTGCTCCCGCAGTTACGTTGCAGTGCTGGGCGAAGCAACCTCGTGGACTAAGACACAATTTCGAGCGATAGCCCCTGCTGTTGCAACGGTGCCGATGAGCCCTGTGCCGTTAGGAATCATCGCTGTGCGGCTTCTGCGCGTAGTGAACAGTCCTAGGACCCTGTCAGCGACATTTGCATGAAGATGCCTTGGACCCCCACATCTGCCAGTAGTAATGCTTCTCACGATTACTCATGTCTTGTCGTACGTTGACAAGAAAGAGCTCAACCGCTTCTTTCGACCAGCCAAGAACCTTGGTCAGGAGCGCCAGGCTTATTCCCTGGAGGCCCCGGCCCAAGTTCTCGAACGTCCACCGCCCAAGCATCTTCTGCTTCTGGCCCTTCGGCCAAGCCCCGACGGCCCATTTGACGACTTGTTCATTTATATTTTCAAAGCCTTGGTCCCTTAACTGCTGGGGGAACTTGTCGCTGGCCATTGTGTCAAGGCCGCACTTGGCGGCTGCCTCATGCACCAGAATCGACCAGTTTTGCAATGGATCATCCCTTGTCACGCTGGCATCATCGCATCTCGTAGGCAGCTGTCCCTCTTGCAGCTCGAGCCAGCCGCCGGGCTTCAAGTGGCAGTAGCATTGTTCGATGAAGCGCCGCCAGTTGTGCATGCCGAGACAGAGCATTCGAGCGTGTATGAAGTCGAATTTCCTGCCGTCAATGTCCCAGTCGCTCTCCGCATCGTCAACAAGAAAGGTCACGTTCGGTGGTACCTACACCAAATCAGCCACGCCCAGTGGGATGGCCCTACCCGCAGGGTCCGCATACCCACTCGGGCTGGATGGCAGACAAATCGGTGCCTGTGACGTGGGCAGAGGGATTCTCGTCGGCGAATTCTATGGCCCACAGGCCAGAGCCGGTTCCGACGTCGAGGACTTGGTGCACATTGGGCGGAACTGGGGCGGCGTGCAGGGCGCCGTCAAGAGACAGGCGCCAGACACGATGCTGGAGGTCGAGGCGGTCGGCCTCGTCTTGGTCATTGGGCAGCCAATAGGCGCCTTCCCTGAAAGAGTGGTAGCGACGGCCATGCTCGTAGCGATAGTCGACGACCTCGGAGTTGAGCGAGGTGGTTGTGGAGTCGGGGCCCGCCGAGCCCAGGGCGGAATCGGCGTCGGAGAGGACGGGGGCGCTGTCGACATGGAGCTGGTATGCATAGCTTGGCAGCTGGAACCCGGCGGGCTGGTCGGGCGACGGGCCGGCAAGGTGGTGCTGCAGGGGCTCGAGCAGCGGCGAGGACTGACGAGGCAGGGCGGGCTCAGGGCCAGGGCAGTGGCTCGCGGGCCGTGTCGGCGACGCAGCCATGTGGAGCGTAGGCGGGCAGAGCGGAGAGCGGGCGCGACATGTCGGCGGGGGTTCAGCGCTCTTCAGCTCGGGGTTCAGCCTTCTCAGGTGGACGGGGCGGCGACAGGCGCTGGTCGTGGCTTGGGCTGGCGGCGCAGTTCGCAGTTAGCGGCCGGACTGGAAGCGACAGAGGAGGCAGGGGTGGCATCGCGCGCACGTGGAAACGCGGAGCCCGATCCGCGGGCCGCTTATTCTCACAACGCCAGGACGGGAACAACCTTCCCTCGATATTGCGTTTGCCTTGCACGAGCCTGTTCCTCGTCCCGAGTGGAGAGAGTTGTGTCGCCTGTCAGCCGAGGGTGCCGCTCGGAGTCAATCGCGCCTTCCGTCCCATCCGCTCGGCTACTTAAGGAGTCGACTATGGGCGACGACACCGCTCGCATCCTGCACTTCGAGCCGCCGCCCACCAAGGTGACGCGGGTGCGCCCGCAGCTCTCATGCATTCCGTGCCGCCAAGGCAAGCTCAAATGCAACCGCCAGCACCCGGCCTGCGACCAGTGCGTGAAGCGCTCGCGCGAGGCTCACTGCACCTATGTGCCGCCCCCGCCCAAGGACCGCACCCGCAAGGCCAAGGACATGCGCGGCCGCATCCGCCACCTCGAGAGCCTCGTTGTCGATCTGATGAACGGCAAGGACCCGCGCGCGCTAGCTCTCAACCCCCAGGACCCTCAGCAATCCTCCTCGCGCCGCCTGCCTACTCCCGATCAGCCCTCTCCTGAACACCCTACCGCCTCCGACGGCCCGAAAACCCACTCTAGCTCCGGCGACGATGATCTCAGCTTCCCTAGCGCCTTCGGCGCCCTAAAGATCAGCGACGAGGAAACCACCTACATGGGCGGCTCCCACTGGATGACCGTCCTGAACGATGTAAGCCTGCCTGCACCCGTCCGCCGGCCCGAGCGCGACGCTAATCTACCACCAGATCAAAGAGGTGAAAAGCTTCCTGGCCCTGGAGGAAGAGGACGAGCAGGAGTCGGAGAAGCCCGAGAGCGAGCAGGACACGGAGCTCCCCCACCGCCACACGCTCATTGTCGGCTCGCCCAAGCCATTGAGCAAGCGAGAACTCCTGCAGAACTTGCCCCCGAAGGCCGACGTCGACAGGCTTGTCCTCCTTTACCTTCGGGGCGGAGATCCAACCTCCGTCATGTTCCATGAGCCGTCCTTCCGGCTCGAGTACGAGCGCCACTGGCAGAACCCGTCGGCCGCGCCAACCATCTGGATTGCCCTCATGTACGGCATTCTATGTCTGTCCTCCATCTTCTCTTTGCGCGTGCCCACCAGCGGAATGCACCCTCAATCGCCAGAAGCAGTCCTCAAGCAAGCGGCGAAATACCACGACCTCTGTGCGTCTGCTGCCGTGCTCGGCGACTTTTCCAGACCGAAGCCGTGGTCATTGGAGACGGTGATGCTCTACGCCGCGGCCGAATTCCTTTCCGGCAGCCGGGGTGGAGGAAGTCCGACGGATGTTTGGCACATCTTCGGGACCGTCATTCGAATAGCCCTGAGAATGGGTTACCACAGAGACCCGAGCCACTATGGCATCAGTCCGTTCCATGGCGAGATGCGGAGGCGGACCTGGTACCTCATTTACGGCTTGGATGTTCTGCTGGGCTTCTCTCTGGGCATGCCTTCGATCGCCCGAGGATTCCAAAGCGACACGAGGCTGCCCCGCAACCTTCACAGCGAAGATCTGTCGCCAGACATGACGGACTTGCCCCCGGAGAGGCCTGACTCTGAGTTAACCATCATTCTATACACGATTGCAAAGGCAAAACTTCTCTCTGTCTTTGCTCCCGCAGCTGATGCGGCACACTCGGTCACACCGCCGACTTACCCCGAGATCATGGATTTGGACCAAAAGCTGGAGGAAATCCACTCGGAGATGCCATTGGCTTACAAGATGAAGCCTTTGGAGGAATCGGCGGGTGAGACGCCAGATGTCATCATGAACCGATTGAACTTGGAACTCCTGTACCAAAAGACGCGCTGTGTCCTGCACCGCACCTATCTGGCAAAGGCACACAACGATTCTCGCTATGAGCATTCGAGAAAAGCGTGTCTGGAGGCATCCTTGGCACTTCTTGAGCTGCAAGCCATGATTTACCGGGCATGCCAGCCTGGGGGTCTTCTGGTGCGTTGTAGTTGGTACTACGGGTCCTTGACAAGCCACGACTTCCTCCTTGCCGCCATGCTACTTTGCCTGGAAATCAACCTGAATCGCGAAAAGAGGATGCAAGACTCCGAAAGCTATTGCGAAGGGCCGTTCTCGTGTGCAGAAATGTTCAGGGCTCTGGAAAACGCGACACACATCTGGGATTCTTACGGGGACAATTTGATCGATGCCAATGACACCAAAAAAGCTGCCAGAGCTTTCCGTCATATCCTGGCGAAGCTGAAGGCGACTCCAGCAGAGTTTGGCATGCAACAGGAGCGCGTGAACGGGGAGATGCCTCAGCAATGTCTGTACCCGGTTCGAGGTCGCCGTACGAGCAACTGGCTAACGTATGCAGTCACTACACTTCCCCAGCAATACAGTCAGCCGCCGGTCGTCCCATCCAACGGCCCTGGGATCGCGTACTTGCCTGCGCAGACAGCAGCACCGGTCGCCACTCAGGGCTACAGTGTAGCTCCTGTTGAACCTATTCCTCTCGAGGGCATGTTGGAGATGCCACCGTTTGACATCAACTGGGTGAGTCGGTATCGCGTCCCATCTCTCTAAGAGTGTATCACTGACAGGGGGTTAGGATGTATGGGACAAGAGTGTACTTCCCTACGACGAGTACATGCAACATGAACCACAGCAGTGGCCGGTTCCTCAGCAGCCTCCCAATATTGGCGGTCCATCGGGCTACCCTCCCGGATACCTCCATGGCATGCCGTACCCGTACCAGCATCAGTAGCAATGTGACAGCTCCTGGGCAGTGCGAGAGAGAGAGAGCCAAGGGTGGAGCTTCAATACATGCAGGATTTTTCTGCATTAGGCTCCACTGCAGGACCGTGGAACCCCGCTGCATCCCTCATGCATCATGATGAAACGGCTCATCAAGATGAAGCTGCGTCGTCGGAGCTTGAGGGCCTTGGCTAGTGCCTGCATAAGGAATACTTGTGCGGGTCTTTGCTGTCCGACTCGGAGCTCTTTCAGCATTTTCTGTTGCAATGGGGGAACTCAAGTCCTTGAGAAACCCCTCGTTGAATATTCCCCATGCACTGGGTCTTTCGTTTCGAACGCCTTGTCGGTAGCTGACCGGATGGTACCTTTCCGGCTGGAATCAGCGCCCGATCGGAGCCGGCCAAATCGGGATGCACCAGACATTCTCTTCGGGCGGTAGTCTTCTTGTCCTGAGCGATTCACGCAAGTGGCCTCGGCTCCAACCGATGCTGCTCGGTCCTGGAAGTGTCTGGTTGGGGTCCCAAGCCCGGCAGCAGCCGTCTCGCGTGATTGATGGCGATCATGGGTCCTGACTGCAGCGACATGGGTGGGAGACGCATCTGACTCGACTTTGCCGTTTTGGGACTACCAAATGATCGGATTCGGCCATGTGCAGACCAAGGCCACAGATATCACTCGGTGGAAGGACGTGGGCTTTCGGAGTAGGGTGGGTTTACTTTGGGTGCAGGAGGAGCAAAGGGACTTGGACTGGCGGTAGATGTAATCTTCGACATGCGGCTGTACATAGCTGTAATACTAGGGAACTCTGGGGATTTGAGGCGTTGGCGATTTTGCGACAGCGGGTCGGAGTGCGGGACGATGACAGGCGCAGTGCGGGCGAGTGCAGCAGCAGCGCTTTATGTGGCTGCCCTCGCAGTCCCACCAGCATGGCTCAAATCACCGAGAGGAGCCGAGCATGACGAAGTTGGGCTCAAACAAGCTTTGGAGAAGAGCTAGCTCAGCATTAACACGATTCCTGTAAGAGGATGGTCATCTACTTCCGGCGGGGCCTGTGCGCAGTCGGACATACAGAGCATGGTGCGCTCATGCTGGAATCCGACGATTGACAATCACAGCCTAACTCGGCGAGGCGGCGACGATTTTTCTCCAGCTGCAGGGCGGCTGCATGGCACGGGTGGGTACAGAGTATTGTTAGAGTGGGCGGCGGCAACGCACAGGGCGGAGCGGCCGAAGGGGATTGATTGCCTTCCCCTTGGCCAGGGTCGGCTACAAGAACCGCACCGCTGGCTCTCGTGACGGCCGCCACACCGGCAAGTAGCGCAGCCCTGCCGCAATGGCGAGGGCGATGGAGCAGCTCACAGACGAGAGTGCGAGGCCGGGGATGAAGTACCTGATCGCCGGAGGTAAAGGCGGCGTCTAGGGCCGAGGTCGAGGCAGCTGCATGCGCGTTCTTGCAGATTTGCTGCAACGGCGGCGCAAGCGTGTTACTAAGCGTGCGTAGCCGCCCCAGTGCAGTCGCCAGCTTCCGCTTCCGCACTCTCAGGCCCGCGGGAGAAGGCGCGCCCGGAGGTTACTCCTGGGCGGGGCGCACGTGATTTCCGTCATCGGGCCGCCTGCCCGCGCAGGAGCTGTGGGACGTCGCTGCAGGGACGGGCGGCGTTGCTCGGCCAACTGCCAAACAGAGTTCCCGAAAGGGCGAAATAAAAACGCCCGCCGTCCTCGCCCTCTGCCTCGCTGCTCCTCCATCCCATCATCTGCCATCTACAGTCCAAACACACCCGCCGCTACCCTTCAAAATCCCAAAAGCCTCTCTGCGCCTTTCAGCGTCGCATTCCAGCATCAGCATACCCAAAACTACAACAAAAGTTATCCAACTCAGCACCTAATACGCCATGGCCTGTCCCCTGGTGATGAGCTCACCCTCTACACCGGTTGGCATCAAGAGACAGACCCGCGCCCGCAACGAGTCGCCCCAGACTCCCATCCGCAAGCTGGTCTTGCAGGAAGACAAGCACGACTCCATTCACATCCCCTCGCCGCTCGCCTCGTCGCGGAGCCGCCAGGCGTCCAACATCCCCAAGTCCAACATCGCTCGCGACTCCCCCAAGAGCAAGAAGATAGACCTTGGCGTCTCCGACTTTGCCCTTACGGGATCCGGCAACCCCACTCCGGTCACTGCAACCGGCAAGAAGACCAAGAAGTCGTCTTCGACGGTCAAGTCGCGCCCGCAGAAGTCGACCCTCCGCGTGCCTCGCAACCCCACCGACCGCTTCATTCCCCAACGCCTCACCACCGAGGCCATCGACAACGTCAACGTAGCGAGGATATCCAAGCGCGGAGAGAACAGCCGCCCGGCCTCGAGGGAAAGCACTGCCGAGGGCTCTGCCGTTCTGGCCTCTGCTGCCAACGACCTCAACATCTTCGGCTCCAGCGCGCCCGACGACGACCTGACCCTGGCCCTGGGCCGCGTCAACCTGGACGACGAGGACGAGGAAGAGACGGTCAAGAAGCCCTCTCCCAGAACCGTGGCCTACCAGGACTCTCTTGCTCAAGCCTGCGACATGAACATCGGCTCGCGCATTCTCGAGTTCAAGCCCGCCGCGCCGCAGTCGACCAAGCCTGTGGACCTGCGTGCGCAGTACAACCGTCCGCTCAAGTCGGTCGGCGGCCAGCTTCGCCGCCGCATTGCCTCGGCCCCCGAGAAGGTGCTCGATGCCCCCAGCATTGTGGACGACTACTACCTTAACCTCCTTGATTGGTCCGCCGGCAACCAAGTCGCCGTGGCTCTCGAGCGCGCCGTCTACATCTGGTCCGCTGACTCTGGCTCGGTCAACTCTCTCTTCGAGACTGCCGACGACACGTATGTCACTTCGGTCAAGTGGAGCGGCGACGGCGCCTACGTCGCTGCCGGCCTCGACAATGGCGAGGTTCAGATCTGGGATGTCGAGGATGGCACCAAGCTCCGCAGCATGCACGGCCACCAGTCGCGCGTCGGTGTCATGGGTTGGAACAAGCACCTGCTGTCGACGGGCGACCGCTCGGGTCTCATCATCAACCACGACGTCCGCGTCGCTGACCACAATGTCGCCGAGCTGACGGGCCACAGCCACGAGGTCTGCGGTCTGGAGTGGCGCTCTGACGGCCAGATGCTTGCGAGCGGCGGCAACGACAACCTCGTCAACATCTGGGATGCCCGTAGCTTGACGGAGCCCAAGCACACCAAGACCAACCACCACGCGGCCGTCAAGGCGCTTGCTTGGTGCCCTTGGCAGCTCAACCTTCTTGCCACGGGCGGTGGATCCAACGACAGGCAGATCCACTTCTGGAACTCGACCACTGGCGCTCGTCTGAACTCGATCGACACGGGTAGCCAGGTCACCAGCATCAGGTGGGCGACTCACTACAAGGAGCTCGTCAGCACAGGCGGTTTCCCCAACAACGCGCTCTCGGTCTGGTCGTACCCCACGCTGGTCAAGAACATTGAGATTCCAGCCCACGAGCAGCGCATCCTCTTCAGCTGCCTCAGCCCCGACGGCCAGACGTTGGCTACTGCGTCGGCCGACGAGAACCTCAAGTTCTGGAAGCTTTTCGAGAAGAAGGCGGGCGTTTCGGCCGTGTCTGCCAAGCCGCGCGCCCTTACTGCTCCCTCGACTCAGATCCGCTAAAGTGCGGCCTGGATGGACCGCTGACAAGTACTAACCCACAGCATTATGACAAGATACCATTCATGATCTCGGGTTGTGGGAGGCATGGCGTCTGGGATGGGATCTCATGTCTTAGCGATCTGGTAGCTGGCGGACTGGCGTTCTTTTTGCAATCCTTCTTGGTTATTGCTTTGCAATGGCATTTGTCTAGCTGGACCACTAACCCTTACATAGCAGCTCTAATAACAAAATTGCCCTGTGGGCTTAAACTAAACCTGAGCGTAGCCTGTGCGCATGTGATTGCCTTATGCGGACTGGCGCGCGCGCGATAAGATAAAAATTCGCCGAAGTTCGGGCGCTGGCAGCGGCTCATCGACGACGCGCGCGCATCAACACGCCCGAGCGCAGCTCAAGCTTGCTCCCTCAACACCATACCCACGACTGATCCGCCACCATGCTGTCCGGTAAGCCACTTGGCCTGGAGTCGCGCCGTCCATGCTAACATCCCCCTGCGGCAAATAGGCGAGCAGCTACTGGAGCAGGCTGCCAAAGATGGCTCCATGCTTGCGTGAGTCCCGCCTGCCAGCTTCGGGCTTCCCTTACCCTTCGTGTGCGCATGCTGACACCTGCTGCAGGAGCGAGTGGCCGCGCGCCCTCGAAATAGTGCTGTCGAGGCTCGATCACGTATGCGCTGCCGCCAGCTCCTGTTTCGTGGTTGGCGCAGCCCGCTCACCATGCTGCCTCCGTACAGATCGTTGCCGACGAATTTCCCACCCCGACAATCCCGCCGCCCATCGTCGTTGAGCGAGAACGCTCGCCGACCCCCGTCAGACCGCCGCCTCCTCCCGACCGAATCCTGCGGAGTCAAGTCGCTACGACTGCCGACAAGGAAAACGCGCCGCCTGCCAGTAGTAGCAACACCACTCCCAACGCCGCCGCCCGAATCACACCCTCGCCCGGCCCTTCCGCACAAGCCCTGCCCCACTCCGGCTCGCAAGACGCCAACAGCACTTCTTCTCCCACCGCTGCAGGCGCAGCCAGCGGCGACACCAACGAGGGCAACGACACGTCCTCTCCCCCGTCTTCTGGCGCAGCGACGCCGTCGACATCATCATCGGCATCGTCGTCGCTGCCGTCAGAGCTGGCGGGCCTGCACGCGTCGATCGCGGGAGCGCTGCGGAAGCAGTTCGCAAAGGAGCCCCCGTACACGGTGCAGCGGCTGGCCGAGCTGGTGCTGCACCCGCGGGCGCACTACCGGTTCCTGCCGCCATACCTGCGCGCGCTGGACCGCGTGGTCAGCGTGAGCAGCGCGACGACGGTGTTTCCGCTGCCGCAGGCGGCGGTGCCCACGGGCACGGGCATCCTCAACGGCATCACGCCGACCAGCAGCGCGACGGCGTCGGCCGTCTCCCCGTCGGCGGCCGCCCTCGGCAGCGACGAGAGCTTGGGCGGGGCGCTGCTGACGCCGATTCCGTGGTTGCAGAACCGCGGCGGCGGCGCGGGCGGTGGGTCGTCGTCGTCGTCGGGCGGCAGCGCGAACGGGAACAACAACAACAACAACAGCGAGCTCGTCAGCGAGTGCACGGAGATGGTGGACGGACCGAACGGCGCGGGCCGCATCGAGACGGTGTCTGTCATCAACGGCGCGCTTACGACGACGTCGTCGCCCGCGCCGGGCGCCGGTGCCCCGCCCGCCCCGACGGCAGGAGGCCCCTCCGCAGGCACCGCGGCAGCCGCCACCACGGCCGAAAGCTTGAGAGAGGCGGGCGCGGTGACGCAGGGCGAGCTACTGCGGCAGGAACAGGAGGCTGGCGTCGTGCCCGTCGGGCAGAGCAATCCCAGACGAGTGCTGCTGCCCGGCTACTCCGCCTCCGCTGCCGCTGCAGCTTCGGCGGCGGATGGCGACGAGCAGAAGGAAGGCGACGAGATGGCAACGGGCGAGGAGAAGCAGCAGGAGGAGATGCCCCATGCGCGAGGCCCCGGCGAGGTGGGTGCTGAAGACGTGGGGCCCCAGCATGAGAGCGCCGGTGGCGAAATCAACATGGAAGCGGCCGTGGGGAGGGCGCCGGTCGGCGCGACGAAGAAGGACGACGGAGAGGCGGGTGAGGACGACGACGGCAAGAAGCCGAAGCCCGCGCAGCCTGTGAGTCCTGAAGCGGAGATGAAGGACGTTGACGACGATGAGGACAACGAAGCGAAAGGTAAGCCTGGCGACGAGAAGGCGGGGGACAAGGGTGCTAAGGAAGCAGAAAAAAGGGCGGAGGAAAAGAAAGATGACGGGAGCAAATCTGACACGGAAATGACGGATTGAGGATCGATGACGTTGGAGAAAAGCTATCTACGAGAAATGTTGATTCTAAGACCATCTCCCCGATGTTCATCTTGAAGGCTATATGAGCATACACCATTCTCAATCTTGTTTACCTTATATATTTTTTCCTGTTTGCCTGGCGTTCGGAGAGCGAGCGGGCTTTGATAGGAGGGAGGGTGGCGTATCGGTTCATGGGCTTATCCGTCGTAGATAGGCCTTCTCTCTTTTTCCCATTTGCTAGCGAGCATGTGTGTGTCCTTTTGATTCGGATCCAAAAGGCTGAAAGACGAGATGACGAAGAATGGGGCGGTATCTTGCAAAGTATTCAGTTGAGATAGATAAACAAATCGAGGTATAAAATATGAAACAAGTACTATGTCGACACTCTAATTCATTCGCCGAGCAAGGGACAAACTTGATGGCCCAGTCCGCCTTGCGTCTAGTCGATCGACGTCCTGCTTTTTGTCCGTAGAGGAAGGAGACTTTACTAGTAGCAGCGAGCACGTAAGTCTGGAATCTATCAGGCAACAGCAGATTACTGCTCTGTTGCACGCGAAGAACTTGCTGGAAGACGACGATGTTGACCTTATCGGATACGGGGGTGGGGGAACTCAAGCCTGGAGATAAACGAGTGACTTGAAGAAGATGAGGATACTTTCTTTTTCGAAACACCAAAGGAAATTCATGATGATGAAGATGACAAGCACAATTTCTTGAGAATGTATTGGATGGACTTGCTACTTGAAACCCACTTGGACGAGCAAAGACGCGCCGAATGTACAGAGGTACATACGTACGAATGTGGGCGATACTCGGGCCTTGAAAAGATGAAAGCAAGAAATGAAACGACACGAAGGCAAGAACAGGAGGAAATGCACGGAGCGTGAAAAGCCAAGGGGGAAAAAAAGTACAAGGACCAAAACAAAATGATCAAGTCCTTCTCGCGTCGTACATGCATGCGCTGTCAAGGAGTTTACGCTCAGACGCACACGCTGTACATACAAAGCACCTGGCACAATGTCATGCTGCGCACACAGCGAAAACCCTCCCCTTGGAATACCAAGAAAAAAATCCACGTCGAGCGCCGGCGATTGACATGTGTGTGAACAGAAAACAAACAACAGACAGTCCAGAGATGCATGCCCTCTCAAGACCGACGCGCCAAATCATGAAGACGCCGCCACACACCACCGAAAAAAACAAGGCGATGTTGAAAGGATGCGAATAGAGCTGACTCCCAAACACCCTCCCCTATGACCAGACCAATCTCTCCAACAAGTTGAAATGAATTTCGCTCGACGTTGTACGTAGCCACGAAACTGCTGTTCGTGGAGGAGGGACAGAACCTGAAGAAAGGCCGCAACCTTCCGTAAACCCCCTCTCATCCGGTGAGCCCGTCAAGCATGTCCCACAGCTGACACGTCTCCTCCCACAGTCACATATCTTAGTCCACCCCTCACTTTCGTCCCACCCGCCATTCTTGTCACTCATGCAGCTTGCAGTCACCCATCCATATATAATCCTGCCTTGCACGCAATCCGCCGCAGCCAGCACTCTTTTGGAGGGGGGGAATTGGGTCGGATGAAATCGGTGCAAAGAAAGAAACTCTTTTTCCTCGGTGCTTGCGGGAGCGAAAAGTGTGGTATAAATTAGAGTCGATTTTAAGAAGTGACTTGACGACTTGGTAAATGAAAATATAACGGATAACACCAAACAACGGTTTCGACAGACACTGCAATAGCAGGGGAAAGCAAAAGGAAAAGGGGAAAAATTGTTGCAGACCTCTCCCATCCGACCCATTCCATCCAACACACAGCGCGCCTCCCTTTCCACCAACTACCAGAAAGGGGAGACACCAAAACAAGACAGCAGTATAGTGAGGAAACTTTCGACACGCGTTCAAAGTCGGAAGGAATTTTTGGGGGAATATTGAAAAGTGAGACTTGACGCCGTCACGCAAGTAACGAAAAGTTTAGATACCAGATGCACCACCCGTTCGCGTACCCGCCAGCCTAAGCGCAAGACCAGGAAAAGACACAAGAAAGTTAAGGTTGATATCGAGAGGAATAGTCCACAGTAGTGACTGCTCATGGAGAGAAGCGCAGCCTATCCGTTGCGGTGTTTGTGTGCGCGGATGTACTGTGCAACGAAGGATAACATGTCTGTAACTGAAATAAATGCACAAGTGCTGCGTTCTCCAAGCAAAGGATGCTAAGAGGGGCCATCATCCTGCGCACGCTGCGCGCAAGTCCGGCCATCTCGGCGTCCTTCTCGAATGTCTATCCCCGAGAAAGTTGGAAAATGCCCAGAGAGAAGAGAGCGGGAAGAGAGGACCATCGCGGGCAAAAATCTAAATGTCGACAGGAATCCTATTGGGAAAAACTCGTGAGATCGGATACTCGACGTTGATGTCGTAATCATAGTGCGTCTGCTTCAACTCCGTCATTGAGGAAAGCCTGGTCGAATGTGAAGGCGCTGGGACCGCCGTCGTCAGTGTGCAAGAAGGTATCGAAATCGAAGTTCTCGAGGACGTCGCCGCTGTCGATAGAGCTGAAGTCTAGGTTGAAACCGCCGTTCTGGAAAGTCGTTAGTATCGCGAGACTACGGGCAAAGGGGCAGCCACGTACCGTGTCGTTGCCAAGATCTCCAAAAGGAGCATTGGCGTTGGGGTCCATTTGGGGCTGAGCGGGCACCTGGGGAGGCGGGTTCGCGGGCGCGGTAGGCTGCTGAGGGTTGAGTTGTTGAGCTGTTGTAGACTGGTTACTAATCGATTTCTTTTGTTGCATTGGCATTGATGGCGTACTAGGCGTAGGTGTCGGTGGATGATTGTCCGCGTCCGAGGCCGGGGTAGCACCCGCTGTTGAACCCTTCTTTGCGGCGCCGCCAGCTGGCGGTTTGGATGGGGCATTCTATCATTGGTTAGCTCACGTAGACACGATCAAGGCGCGGCGTTCCAACCTTCTTGTCGTCCTTCTTCTTGTTCTTGGGGTTCGCCTTGTTAGTTTGCGAAGGGGTCGGGGGTTGATTCTGAGGCTGCGCGGGAGAAGACGGTTGCGTCCGGCCATTCTCGTTGCCAACGGCGGGAGCCGGCGGAGGAGGCATCTGTTGGTTCCGCTGTTGGGGAGTGCCCATAGGCGGCGGCTGTTGCTGACCCGGCTGCATGCCCTGGCCCTGTTGCGGGCCTCCTTGTTGCTGGCCCTGCTGCATCATTTGGGGAGGTCCACCTTGAGGCCACATGGCTCCGTTCGGCATCCGTCCACCGTTACGAGCGATCATCTCCATTTGCTGTTGCTGTGGCATCTGTCCTTGGAAGCCGGGGTGTGAGCTTGGTGGTCTCATCATGCCGTTCGCCATCTGTCCCTGGTAGAACTGCGGCATGCCGGGTGGCATTTGGTTGGGATCAAAGCCGCCGTTCGGCAATGGTGAGCTCCTGTTCTGCGGCATTGGTCCATCCGGCATGGGCGAGCCAGGAAGGCCAGCCTGGTTCAGCTTCGGGGTGCCACGTTTCATCTGATCACTGGGATTCGGCGAGGGGCCAGCCCTGCTACCCTGAGGTGACATTGCTGGCGGGAAACCCGGCTGACCGACTGGGCCAGAGGCGGGATGCTGAGTAATGTTGTCCTGCTCCTGGCGTGCCATTAGGAGGCGCTTCTTGTTCTGTTGCTCCAAGAGCATCAGTTGCATCTGGTAGTCCTGCAGCGCATGGTTGCCGCCGGGCTGCTGACCGGGGGCGCCTGGCTGCATACGGGCGTTAGCATTGCCCTGGAAGAAGTCCTGCGAGCCATCCGCGCCCTGCTGAGCCATGGGGGAGTTTTGCATTCCGGCGTTGTTCATTTCCTTTGCCAATTGTTGGTTATTCAAGGCTGCTTTATGCTGCAAGGCAAGATTTTGAGCATATACCTGTAGACCCTTTGCCTGCACATTGGGATTCTGCCCCTGGAATGCATTGAACTGCTGCGGCGTCATGTTATTCGGGTCAATGCCATTTGCCATGAGCATCTGGCCAGCCTGGGCTGCAGAAGTTGCACCCATCTGCTGCGGCTGCATTCCCTGGCTTCTTCCGCCAGGGCCCATCGGCTGGCCACTGAACCCGTTCTCAAGACGTGGACGCTTGTTCGGCGATGGCGCGTTCTCGGCCGAGCCGGGCGACTGCGGACGTTGGTTCATGTCCATCTGCGATCCGTCCCGCTGCATCTGCTGATTCTGCATCATTTGTTGCTGCTGGTTCTTCATCTGCTGGAGCTGCTGTGGGTTCCTACACCGCAGTAAAAAGAATCGTTAGTAACCGTACCACCGGGCCGACGCATCTCTGAGCCCACATACATTGGTCCGCGATTCTGCATCATCCGCATCTGCATCTCCTTGGTATTGGCGGGCATTCCCATCATGCCCCTGTACGGTTGCCCGTTAGGTGTTGTTGTCATCATCAGGCGCTGCTGGTTTTCCTGCCTCAATTGGGCTTGTTGCTGCGGGCGTTATCAGCGATGCGGCAAGCGGGGGAGGGAGGGGGGGGAGGGGCTCGGGATAACAAACCCTAGTGTGAGCCAGATACTGCAGCTGCGCTGAGCCCGGCTTGGAGCGCTGGCGCTGCGCGTTGAAGATGTCCCAGAACTGATGCCACCAGTCGAACAGGAAGGAGTTCTCGGAGGGGTCGATAGGCACGGCGGCGGGAGGGAGATCGTCGGGGCGTTTGTGCACGTCGTCCTTGTTATCAGTGTCCATGTCGTCCATGCCGTTCACGTCGCGTCGACCGCCTGGGCTGGTCTTCGCGGCAGGTCCGATGTTGATGACAAGCGCATCCTTGACCTGGCGGGCGAGTTCCCAGTGGTGGTTCTTGAGGAAATAGTCGTAGATGTATGTGTTAAGCATGGTTTGCGGGTCGGTGGAGTTTCGCGCCACACCGGCCTGCATCAGCGGTGTGCCTCCGACGGGACCGCCTTGCTGCTGCTGCATTGCGGCCATGCTGGCCTGCTGCTGGTTCATCATGAGCGGCGTCGGGTTGTGGAGAGCGCGGATGCGCGGTCAAAAGTGTCTGGGTCCCTTCGCGGCCGTGGGTGTGGGACTGCGGAGGAGAATGCAACGAACCCGCCTCAGGAGATGGGCGTGCTGTGCTCCAGCATGAGCGGGCGCGGCCTTGATCGTCGCGGCGGTCGTGCGATGCAGCGGCGTGAAGGCAAGGTCGGCGCTCCGGGTGTGGACGGCCGAGATGACGGCGGCGTCGGTGATTACTGGGGGCCCGCTGGGCTCGCGGCGTTGGGCGGTCGCAAGGCGCAGGCGTGCGATCACTCGAGGGGCGCGTGGGTGATGGTGTTGGGCGGGAGTCGGAGAGGCGCGGTGGGTGCTGAGTATCCTGATTCTGCTGCGCGCAATCAAATGGCGTCGCTAGCGAGGCGGCGACGTGTTACAGCAGACAGCGGGAGGAAGCGGCCGCGAGAGTAAAGATTTGCACGATGGCCACGCAGGGTATCAGCAGCGCAAGGCCGGGTAAGGAATTGCAAGTAGAGGTGTGCGAGCTTAGCGGTTGGGGGGGCGCGCCTTCATGGCCCTCCAGGCGCTGTCGATTGGGTGCGCACATAATCACGAGGCACCACGCATCCAGCCCAGCCACTTGCAATGCAGCGTCACCACCGCCAAACCAGCCCTCGGAAACACACACATCGCTCTGCCCACGCCAGAAAACATGTCTTGCATCCTTCTCAGCGCTGCTCTGAGTGTTCCGCTCAAATCACGTGACTCCGCCGACGGCCCTCTCCTCCCGCCCTCTCTGCAGCGGCCAGGGGGTGGCGATCAGGGTATAGCACTCATAGTTTATTTAGATGAATCTCTCCGCCCCACGCCGCCTGCACGCCCTACCGCGTCCGCCGCTGCACCGCTCGCTGCGTCGCCCGCGGCCTGCGCCCTTACTGCACGCCTGCCAAACTTTGCGCCGCCCGGTTGCACCGTTGACCGGCCCCGGGCTCCGCTGCGTTGGTCTTGGCGCCCTGCTCCGCCCGTTCACTCATCATCGGGCGGCAGCTCGTCCTCGATAAACCGGACGAGAGTGATGCGCATCTCTGTCGTGTCGTTGCCCCGAAGCACGTCGGTGATGAAATGTACCTCCACTTGCATTTGAACCTACACCGGAGCTTAGCGATGGCGTGATCCATGTGGCGTGAAGCGCCGCTGGGTCCGAGGACATTGGAGACCCGGAGGCAGGGTTGACTAACCATCTCCAATGCTCCCCGCAAAACTCCGCAAAGGATGTTCGAGTACCAGAGTTCATCTTGAGCACGGCCATCGTCCGGCAACTCCACAAAGTCTGCCAGAGGGTTCTCATCGAATATCAGAGAGAACTGCTTGCTGTCGCTGGTCCAGTTGGTGATGGTCGGAGTGATGTTCAGGAACACTTTGAAGCCGACCTGTCCGACATTGCATGTTAGCATGATATTGCCGCCGTATTGGGAGTTTGGAGGGTTTGAGGCTGGGCCCAACGGTCTGCTTGGGGGATCCAGTCGCCAGTATGGTGTTGGCGCGGTTCTACCAACTAGCTGCAAGACCGGTCGAGGGAAAAGAGCGAAGCGCAGCTGTCATCGTACCTTGGAGATCATCTCAGCAACCTCGCGGAAGCTGGAGCACGAGGTGGTATTGGACTTGGCAAGGAAGTCCTCGATCAGGCGTAGGCCAATGTTGTATCCCATCTTGTCTAGCTGTCGATTAACCTCGACATAATCGCTGTCAAAGTCCTTGCAAAGCTGCGCGACGATCGTTCCGTAGGTAAGGGTGACTAGTTCGGCATTGACTTTGTCGACACGGGTTCTTGAAGGCGTTAGAGACAGCGGGCGTTGCGCTGGGCTCGAGAAGGTCGCTACTTACTTCCAAACCCTAGAGGAGGTCAGCTTTTGCATGCGCGGAGAGCGGGCGGGGGGCTCACTCTTCGCCCAGGCGGGCAGCCTTGGTGGAAGCCATGGCGCTCCTGGACACAGACGGTGCGCCCGGTCCTCAGTCGCAACGAGATGAGAACGGTCGGGGCGGGCGCATCAAACTGCCTCAACCGGACAGGGTGGCGATCCGGGTGGGCGGGATGCGCAGAGGGGGTATATGAAGGCAGTTGATTGAATTTCCGACTGAGGAATCGCGGATGGTCTGGGGTACGGTGACGCAGCCTCAGGAGCTCGTCGGCCCGGCCGCGTTCGACGCGCGCCGTGTGCTTAGCGCGGGGATCGCCGCTGTGGGCCGTAAACTTTGAAGCACCGCCATCACCATCTCAACCGCCGCCTTCGTCCCCCGCACTGGACCGCTCACCGCACGCCGGACGTCATCGCCATCATGTCTTCGGAAAAGCGCCCGGCTGCCGACTCTTTCGGCTCCAACCAGCTCGTCAAGAGGCAACGCTCCGACAACGACCTAGGCAACGAAGTCGCCATCACGAATAGCTCCGCACACAATGGCGCTCTCATCCAAGCAGTACGTTTCACCTCGGATATCCCTGTGTTCCTTGCCCTTGAGCTAAGGCGAGAAGAAAGGCGAACAATGGCTGATTCCGTAGGTGCCCCGTACGAGCGGGCTGCAAGCTCCTATCATGGAGCTCACAGGTACTTTTGTCCAACATGGTTGTTCCCGCATGCTCTAACCTTTGGTTCCCTAGGGCATTCTGGCGAGGTGTTTGCGACGAGGTTCGACCCGACCGGCCAACACATAGCCTCTGGCTCAATGGATCGGAACATCCGTAAGTTCACCAACATTCACTCTATATTCTCGCTGTGGCTGAGATGATTCGACAGTCTTGTGGCGGACGTACGGCCAATGCGAAAACTACGGCATTCTGAGCGGACACAAGGGCGCTGTCTTGGACCTGCACTGGTCGCGCGACTCTCGCATTATTTACTCAGCCTCGGCCGACATGATGCTTGCCAGCTGGGATGTCGAGACTGGCCAGAGGATACGCAGACACACGGGGCACGAAGAGGTCATCAACTGCATGGATGTGAGCAAGCGAGGAGAAGAATTGCTTCTCAGCGGCTCAGACGATGGGTACATTGGGGTAAGCAACGAGATGCAGCCCTGTCAGTGGAGCGCCGAAAAATTGACGTTGCGCAGATTTGGGATCCGAGACAAAAGGAGGCGGTCGATTACATCGAGACTGAATTCCCCGTGACCGCCGTGGCCTTGGCAGAAGCTGGTAACGAGCTATACTCAGGTGGCATAGACAACGACATCAAAGTATGGGACATGCGCAAGAAGGCCGTCGCGTATTCGCTGCTGGGACACACGGACACGATTACGTCCCTGCAAGTTTCTCCGGATTCGCAGACGCTGCTCTCCAATTCGCACGACTCGACTGTTCGAACATGGGACATTCGGCCGTTTGCTCCTACGGATCGCCAGCTCAAGACGTACGACGGAGCGCCGACAGGGCTGGAGAAGAATTTGCTGAAGGCGAGCTGGGACCCCAAGGGCCAGAAGATTGCGGCTGGAAGCGGCGACCGCACGGTTGTGGTATGGGACGCCAACACGGGCAAGCTTCTCTACAAGCTGCCAGGCCACAAGGGCGCGGTCAACGATGTGCGGTTTTCGCCGCGTGACGAGCCGATCGGTAAGAGTAGCCGTTGGGTATATTGCGGGAGCACCGAATCCGCTAACTTCCGTGCAGTTGTATCCGGCTCATCGGACGGCATGCTCCTTGTGGGCGAGCTTGGCAAGTGAGGACAGCTACCGCGTTGGGCTAGCGAGATTGATTTGAGGCCGTTCGTGTCACAAGAGCAGACCTTAGGTGCTGCAAGATCAAGCAGCTACCAGAGCTTCGCACGACGACTGGGCCGCGACTGAAGACGACCGACGCGCACAAAGGCGCGGTCCGAGAAGGGCGGCTGGGCACGAAGGCAGACAGAGCCGCAGAGGCTCTCGCAAGAGGGAGGCGGGCGCGGCGGGCGCAGCGGGCGCAGTGGGCGCGGTGGGCAGCGAAGATAGGTAGTAATTAAGCAAAGCCGGGCAAATTGCGGCAACGATGGCAGTGGGTTCGGCGAGGCGGGGGCTAGTGTGTTCGCAGCAGGCGGCGGTGCGGGCGAGCGATAGGCCACGACAGGCCGCGGGCGGTTGGCGCCGGTCGGGGTCACGATCGCCGTCCTGGCGGGCGTTTCAGCGCGGCGACCTGGATCCCCATGGAGCACGACGCATCGCGGCCAGGATGAACCTGATACAATGGCCCGGCCCTGGCATCTCATGCGCCACCAGAGCCCTCGTGCGACCGCAACGGGCTGTTTGGCAACGCCGCTCTTAACCTCGACTCATTGGCGCCTCGGCCTCCTCAGTTTCGCCTTCCCCTTCGTCGCCGCGCTCCTGTGGCCCTGGGGCTCGTTCTTTTGTCCTTTTCTTCGCGCGCCGTCCACTGGCTGCGCCCATGTTTGCCTGGAGCCCTTTCCTCCACGTTTGACCCACACGCCTGCAGCGCCGCTGACCTCCAGCCTCGCGCCAGAGCCAATCACTCGCCGCCTGCATGTGCTCTCTCTTTTTGACTCCGGACCGGTTCCCGTCATTGGCCTCTCAGCGAACGAAGTTGCCCGCCGTCCACGAGCCTGGGGAACCGCGCACTCGCCCGCCTGCATCTGCTGGGCCTTCTGGCGCCGCTGTGGACGGAATCCCCCCACGTGTCTGCCCTCCACAGTGAACCATTAATAATCCCGCCCGCCTCTGCACGACCCGCCCGTTGTCGATATACCTCAGGCCGCCCGTAAACATCCTTCGTGCTGGCTCTCGTGGGGACTCGACGCGCAACCATCCACAAAGCTCCAGGTGCCACGGCTGGCCGACATCAACAACATGCCTGTCCCTTTCAGTTTTCCCTTTCAATTCTCTCTTTTCAACCGCGCCGCTGCACAGCCTCAGGAAGAGCCGGCAGCACCGCAAACCCCGCCAAACCCTCCCTCTCTCACGTCATCGCTGTCGTCTGCCTCGTCCGTCTCTGGCGCGTCTTCCACTCCCTCGACCATCTCCGACGTCCAGTCCCAAGTTCGCTCGTTATTACAGGACGGGACTTCCATATATGCCGCTTCTCCAGCACTTTCGGACCGCAGCACTCCCAAACCACCAAGCTTTGTGGGTTTTCGCCGTGGCCTTGATACCCCGGAAACCATCTCGCCAGATGGTGGTTTTGCAAGGGGCTTCACTGAACCTCCGGCCCCTCTATACCACCAGTATCCAACTGCTGGTTTTGCGAGGGATTTCACCGACTATGAGACCCCTCTTCACCACCAATATCCGACCGGCCCGTACCGCCCAGCAGTTCTTTCCAGCCCCCAGCATGATGTCCCTGCGCCTCCTCCAGCAGTCTACACCCGGGAACCATCGTTCAACGATGCCGTTGATCCAGAAACGGCGCAGCTTGCTTCTCTCGTCAACAAGAGGGCAAAGAAAAGACAGCAAGGAGCATGGGTGAGGAGGCGCGGTTCGCGCAGGACAAGAGGCCGACGCCGAAGCTCCCGCAGGGGGTGGGGGCCCTCTAGCCCCCAGGCGAGGAAGAAGGCGTTGCTGCTCTTTGGCAGCGGTCTATTCCTTGCCATGATTTTGACAGTTTGTAGGTTCTCGCGCTTTGCCTTTGATGTACTTGGACTGACTCTTGGCAGACCTTTCGATCGCTCTCACTCGTCCCCACACCGGCCAGGAAGTGCACGTTCTCTTCATTCTCATCATTCTCAGTACCACGATCCTTTTCTGCCACTCGCTGGTTCGGCTTTGCATGTTGTCCTTCGGCCCGCAGCGCGGAGACGATGGACCAAGAATCCCCGAAGTCACTGGACCGGATGGTTTTCAACCCGACAGACCGATACGCGTGCACATGGCACGCGACGAGGAGCTCGGAGAAGAAGAAGAAGAAGACGACGACGACGACCGGACTCTGCACGGTGCTATGGATCCCGAGAAGGAGGTTCTCAAAGCACCGCCGCCCGCTTACGGTCTCTGGCGATGCAGTGTGGTAAGTGCATGATTCGAAAGCACTACAGCGAGGGATTCAAATCTAATAGCACGCGAATAGCCCATCAACCCGGATCTGCTTTACTGGCAACGAGTCGACGGCGGGATGCATCCGCTCCATCAGAACCCGGTGTCTCCCAACCCACCAGTCGACGCGAACGCACAGCCGACGGAGCTGCTGGACCCTTTCCAAACTCCGCATCTGGGGCAGCAGCCGCCGCCGCCGACGCAGACGCGGCAGGGTGGCCTTCATCCGAATAGGGAAGGTGGTGAGCAGGTGCCAAGGCCACCGAGCTACGTGTCTGACGACGGGGTGCGGTATGTGGTGGAGGCCGCTCCGCGATCAGTCGCACCAGCCGTTCATGAAGACACTTTGAGCGATGTGCATCCCGCTTACAGGGGCGGGCTCGGTATTGGACGGTAAGCGATGTGCCGTGAGACACTACGCTTTCCGCGGCATTTTGAAAGGGCGTTTTACGTTTATTCTCTTTCTTCGTGGAAAAAGACGTGGCACGGGGAGGACTTGGAAAAAGGATTTAAAAGCGACCAGTGGAGTGGTCTTTTGCATCGTTGGACGTCTAGGAGCACTCGGCGCGTAGATAGCGCATCACGTTGCGCCAGGTGCTGTTGCCATTTTATGCGGAGGATCAGGACAATGTTTGGAGAAAAGGGCTGGCCCAGGAATGAAGGGAAGGAAAATACCACGGAGGGAATACCCACACGAACGAGAGCTACGAGTTTACGCCACCGTCCTTATCTCAAGCCAGCGCTCTGGTTAGCCAGGCGAGAAGGACTCAATACAATATCCCCTAAATGAAAGAATACAGAGAAAGAAATGAACAAACCGAACAGTGGAAATCAAATCAAATCTTTGCTCGTGCTCATGTTCTGTCGAAGGCTTACGCTGCAACAACGAATAGAGGGCTCTACATTTGCAGTCCTTTTTTTTTTCCCTTGCCACTTCGTGAGCAATCTTACCCGACTTTAGAACGACGAAACCCCCCCTCCCCACACGTAGAAGGTCTGTCTCCAACAACACAAGACCAATGATCCAACCTTCATTCCCTCCTCCATCCTATCCCGTCCCATCATGCTCACTGGCAAGGACCCAAAAAAAAAAAAAACCGGGCGAGAAAGCGGAGTTATCGGGTTCGCGTTCGGGCGATAGTACAATAGAGAACTAGGCCATTCAAACCCACCCCTTGTTGCGACGTCCCGGTCTCAGCAAGCGTTTCGCATCACCATTCTCACAAGACCAAGACTGCCGCCTCCCCCCGGCCCCCCCGGCACCAGCATAGCACAGACCGTTTTTCCATGGCCATCAGACGGTGAATTCCGCCTCGCGCCTTGGGAATCCGCCGAGTGTCCAAAACAATGGAGTATTCTGGGCTTGGCTTGGCCGAGGCATTTTCCGTACTGCAGGTCAATGCGGTATAGATATATATACACACACACACACACAACAGCGGGGGCGGGTGTGAATCAGGAGCGATGAAACTTGGCGGGCGCGGTGCGACAAAAGTTCCACGCGTATGTGCAATGCTGCTTTCGGCCACGGGATGCTGTTGCGACAAGCTCTCCTGGAAAGTTGTGGGGTAAAGAGCAGTCCCACCGTCGTGGGAGATGACGGGACGGCAGGCGGTGCCGGCTGTTGATTAGCGTGACGATCTTGCTTTCTGATGGGGTGTCCGACAGGAATGTGATCTGCAATAAGCTTCTCATTTTTTTTGTATGCGTTATTATTCTACATGGCTCTTGTATATCGTTCGTCAAACCCGTCAAGCTCTAGGTACTGCCGCGCTCATCCGGCCAATCAACATTACGTAGGTACGAGAGATGAAACCGGAGAGAGCCCCGTGTGCTTGCTTCCGAAACCCAGTCTTCACCAACTCCATTCTACCTCTTCACATGGTCATTCGTCCATTGCTCTCTTCTTCCTCTTTCGGTCGTGACTCCAACAGCGCCCCACCGCCGTAAAAAAAAAAACTCACGTTCCGGCGATGACGACGACGACGACGACGACGATGATGCACGCGTACGAAGCGCGATCAAAACTTCTTACCCAACCCCCACCCGACCTTCAGCACCCTCACGGCGACGTAGCACGCGACGGCTAGCGCATACGTGACGATGGTGAAGATGGCGACGCCCCAGTAGCGGCCCCCGCTCCGCTGCAGCAGCGCCCCGGCGATGGGGATGCCGGTAAGGGTGCCGAAGCTGACGATGGTGTAGCACGTCGCGTAGTAGCGGCCGTACTGGGCCGTGTCGCACAGCTGGCCGATGCACACGGGCGTCAGCGAGATGTTGCTGCCGCTGGCGAGGCCGAAGAGGAAGGCGAAGGCGACCGTCAGCCCCTTGACCGTCGCCGGGTCGCCGCCGACGCTGAAGACCGGCGTCATGATGGCGGCGGGCAACCACAGGGCGATGGTGGTGAAGAAGCAAAAGGCCAGCGTCGCGACCATGCAGTTGAAGCGGCCGACGCGGTCCGCGACGTAGCCCGGCGCCCAGCGGCCGATGCTGCTGCCGGCGTTGAGCACGGCGATGATCTGGTATGCGAACGTCTGGTCGAAGGCGCCCGACGTCAGCGCGAACGACGTCGTGTACGTGATGGGCACGAAGAGGCCCCACTCCATGAAGAAGACGCCCGCCGTCGCCAGCGCGAAGCTGGGGTCGCGGAAGATGCGGAAGTCGGGCAGGACCGAGGAGCCCGGCTTGGGGGGGAGCCGCGACTTGATGCACAGCTGCGCCACGCCGCACAGCAGGATGAAGATGAAGCCCAGGATCCGCGTCGCCCAGCCGAAGCCGACTTTGGGGAAGAGCGACTGCAGCATAAGCGGGAAGATTATGCCACCGATGGAGCCGCCGGCAGCCGCCGCGCCCGTCGCCGCCCCGCGCTTGACTTGGAAGTAGTGCCCGATGCTGCTGATGGCCGGCGTGAAGATGAGCGAGGTGCCGATGCCGCCGAGGACGCCGAAGACGAGGAGGAACTGGTAGTATTCTGGAGGAAAAGGCGTCAGCATCAAAGGGGAAAAGGGAAAAAAAAAAAAAGGATGCTACTACTGACCCTTGCACACGCCGAGCAGGAGCATCGATAAGATGAGCAGGATGTTGCCCGCGAGCACCAAGAGCCGCGGGCCGTAGGCGTCGAAGATGGGGCCGATCTGGATGCCACAGAAGAAGGAAAGGAAGGTGTAGACGGAGAAGATCCAGCCAATGGTGCTCTCGTCGTAGTGCGACAGCTGGTGCGTCGCCAGGTAGGCTTGGAAGATTCCAACCGAGTTCCTGTTCAAAGACGTTAGGTTGTGGCGTCGAATAGTTTGTTTGAAGTTCTGTCCTTGGATCACATGTCCAGACCATAAACGTATCACTGGGGAAAGGAGCGGACTCACATCATGCCAAAAGACGCCAACATGCCGGAAAAGGATCCCAGCACGACCAGCCAGGCCTCAGTCCCGCCCTCGGGATAGACGACCTCGTCCGACGGCCGGGACACGGTACTCGAGCCATCGGAAGAAAAGCGTGGAGAGGCAGCGCGGGCAGCACGCTCGGCCTCGCCGTCGTCTTCATACTGCGGCACCTGGTGCGCCTTCTTCTCGTCGTCGTCCTTGGCGGTCCATTCTCCCTTCTCGCTGGACAGGGTCAGCTCAGACGGATCGCATGTCGGGACTTGGTTGTCCTGGGCGGCCGGGGCGATGGGGTCGGTGGCGGTGATGCTCGCGCTCGCGCCGTGGAAGGGGGGTTCAATTGGTCCTGGCTTGCTGCCTTTGGGTTGTGTGTGCATTCGCCCTGGTATGTATACGAAAGGATGGCTGGAGGGCGTGGTCTTCTCTCGGATGGAGTTGCGCAATCGGGAAACTACCCTACGATCCTTGCTCTTTCAAGACGTCGATCTCGGTCTCCAGTCTCTGTTCCGCTTCTCTATTCAGCGTGCGCCCAACACTCTGCGATGCCGCACCTTGGGAAACGAGGGGCGTCGGAGCGGGGGGATAGGGCAGGGTTTATATGGGCGGGGTAAAAGACTAGACGCATGGGCTTGCAGGAGAAAGGGATGAAAAAGGCGGACCAAAAAAAAAAGGCGTCACGGTGTGTGGGGATCGCATAGAACCCCACAGAGCGCCATGTAGGTATCATTGAGTAATCGTTTTGCCTGATGGGTCGAGCCGCGCTGTGCGCCGTGCCGTAGTGCCGCGCCGTCGGCTTCATCTTGGCTGGACCGCCGCCGGCATTGCATGCAACAAGATGCACACTCATCCAACAAAACGTGGTCTTCCCTCACTACCTGTCTGATTTGAAGCGTGTGGTCGGGGCTGAAACTGTTAGTCAAAATCGGCCCAGAGTGTTGCCAGAGCTCGTCAAGTCACAGGTGAGGTCAGGAGTGACGTTGCGGCCCACGCTCCGCTGTCGGCAGACCGCTCCCTCGCTCCCTCGTTGGTCGCCGCTCTCCGCCGCCGCTAGTCTCCGGTCAGCTCTTTGCCTGAGCCGCCGATGCCCGGCCACCGAGAAGAAATCAACAGAGCCGAACTTCATGGATAAATACTCTAGAATTCTGTCATCGATCTTCAGTACAGCCCGCACCTATCCATTTCCTTGCTCATGCCGCCGCGCCGACGGACGTGTACTGCGCAGCCAGCTGTCGTCTCATGCACCATCCTTCACTCACAAATAGTACCCTGCTTTCAGCAAGCAAGCAACTTCTTGAACTCTTGCTTGAGCTTGTCCCTCTCTGCAGGGGCGATGCCATGGTCGCCGATGTACTGTACGGCAACTTTGGCGTTGACCTGGGGGAGCGTGACCAAAAGGATCCTCTGAAGAATGACGTCCATGTAATCAGTCCGGCCGATGGCAAACGCAACTTGCTCGAATATATGAGACTTGGCCGTGTACTTGCAATCGCCCTCTCCATCACAAGCATCCATCATGAAGCGAGCATAGTCGTCACGGTACTTGGCGTACTCCATGGGCGACATGGTCTTCTGGGCCCAGTGCGGCCAGACGTACCAGCCATTGGGCTCCCAGTCCCTGAAAAGGAATTCAGGGAGCATGGACCAGCCCAGGTAGCGCGGCAAGGTTTCGACCCGGTCCCAGTCGAGGATGGCCGTGACGTTGCCGTTGGCGTCTGCCAAAATGTTCTGCCAATCCAAGTCGGGCGGTGCGAGCACGAACTTCTCCTCTGGGTCCTCTGCCATGGGGAATTCGTCAAGCACCATGGAGAAGAGGCGAAAGGCTCCGAGTTTCTCGTGAAATATGAGCCCTCTCGGGCGGGGGTTCTCATCCGAAGGCCCAGTCTCCTCCTTCATCCAATCCTTGAGCCGACCGCGGAGCCAGGCTCGTGAGTCGGACAACGGGTTCTTGTCCATCTTGTTGACGTATTCCATGAAGTCGGGGTTGCGGCTAGCTCCGAAGTTGATGACGTTGAACGGGCCAATGGTGGGGTTGTCGTCTTGCTCAGCGCTGAAGTGGAGGGATCCCATCTTGTCAAACGTCAGAGGGCGCAGCTCGGAGACGGCCTTGGCCAGTGAGCGCAGGATGTTTTGGCGCATATCCTCCAGCGGCAGAGGACCAGTGTCGTCGTACCACAGCTCCTCGACTGACCGGCCCTCAATGTAGGCCATGGCGACATACGGGGCGTGGATGGCGTTGTCGAAGGTGGTGTCGTAGCTGATGATGTCGGGTATGGGGCATTTGGTGTGTCGCGAGATGTACTGCATGGTGCGGACCTGGACCTGGAGAGAATCGGCGTCGGCGTCGCTCCACTTGCCTTCCCAGCCACAGGCCGGGACGCGTATGCAGAGCCTCAGGCCCTCATGATACTCGACGACAAAGACGCAGTTGTTGCAGCCATTCATTTTGGATACGACCTTGACGCTGGAACTGTCCGGGAGGGCGCTCTTCGGGATGGTAGAGATGTTGGAGGCGATGTCCAGAGCGAGGTTCGCAAGCGACTCATCGGAGAGGGCGAGGACGGGGCCCCATTTTGGGTCGGCCTCGTCCGAGCCGTGGCCGTCACCGACTATAGGGCGCTTGGGGGTCTGCAGTTCCCTTTTCTTGTTCAGATGCACCACGCGTGCGAGGCGGCGCAGCATAGCTGGACAGTACCTGTTGCGTTCCGGGTGGAGAGTAGAGTGAGATCAGGGAACCAGAGGAGCGGGTGACGTTGGACTTCACGTTGTGGAGCGCGTTCTTGACAGTTGACACTGCTGCGAAGGCCAGCGCCGAAGTTTGCCGGTCCACCATCTCTTTGTGGAAGTCGTGGTTGGTTGAGCCGGGCAGGCGCGACGTCGAAGGGGAAGGAAGCATCGCGGGCCCACGGCGACATGACGGCAGGGCACATGCCCGCCTCCGTAACCACGACATGTCTACGGAGCCAAGAAGAGAACAGGACACGGACGAAAGGCCTGTGAGTCACCCCGTGCCCGCACTTCGCAATAGTCGACAGCTGAGGTCTTCACTCACATACTCGGCGCGTTTGTACGCGTTTCAGCCGCTACTGAGTCCTACATGAACAAGGATAATGCCTCTGATCCTTTCCGCGTCAACCCCACGAGGCATCCGCTGCTGAGACATGTCAGATCTGGATCATGCAGTCTCGAAGATATGCCAAAGACTTGGAGAACTCAACCACTATGCAGAAGTGTCCATAAATACCCATATACCGCCCATTTCGAGTCTAGATATATGCTCCCAAATCAATTGTCGTTCTCTCTCAAGAGACACTTTTCCATCACGCACAAAAATCTTCAAGCACGTGCATCTCTGTGTCTGAATTACATTACCACCACAAATCCATCAGGATACGCACCGTCTGTTCGCAATGCCGCAGGGGGTAAATCACAGAAGCGCCGGCAGGACCGGCAGGGGGAAGAGAAACCATCACTGCGGTACGTGTAGGAATGCGATCACCGCCAAGTGTATTCGGAGAGGACACGAACTCCCCTGCGAATTCGAGAGCTGTAAGCACCGCTTCTCGCCCAAGTACGGCTGTCCCAAGCACCCATACCACGACGACTACAACCTTCCCATACGGGACGCCTATCACCAACGCCATCGCCTGGCCAGGCTGCCGGCAGAGGTTTAGCCGGCAGGGGGTGCCACGAAAGGGCCCAGAAACGCTTGAGTCGGAGACATAGATGCGGAAATGACCGAGCAACGAGGAAATGTTGGCAACAATCCGGATTCAAGACGAGTTTGTTCGGCGTCGAGTTTCGCTTGAGTCTGGGTGTAAATTTTGCTCCATTAAAGAACAAGGCCTTTAAGCAAAATCTCCCTCAGCTCTGTTCTTTGTCCCGCCGTGCTGAGACATTTGTCTCACACACCACAAACCCGTCTGTGCTGCCTTACTACAACGTCTCCTACGACGATGTTCCATTGACAGCCAAGCTTCGGCAGCGGCAGGCGCCACTATTAATGAATTAGTTGACAGTGATGAAAAATCTGTAACAAACAAGTGATCTTCGCAAGCTGCAACCCGGTCCCATCTTCTTTCCCTTTACCTCCTTGCCCGGCCCCTCACCCATTGTTACGACCACAAGATACTTCTAGCCACCGCCCTCGTGTCAGCTCTTTACTTTTCTTTCTCTTCACACCCCCGCACTTCACATCAACAAGTCCCTAAACCTCGCCCTGACAAACCTCTCCTGCTCCACACTCAAGCCCGCCTCCCCCACCAGCGTGACCAGCTCCGCCCGCTTCACCCTCGGCAGCGCCACCTCCAACACGCGATCCAGCACCTCCCTCATGCGGTCCAGATCGTCCAGGCTCCGCAGAACCGCCTGGTACAAATGCCCCTTCCTCGCATACAAGTCGCACAGCCCATCCAGCCCCCCATGGCCCGCCGCCTGCCTCAGATACGCCACGTAATCGCCCCGATAGCCATCCCACCCCCTCCCCTCCTCCAACATGCATTCCTCCATCATCGTCGCCATCGGCCTGGCCGTCGCCGTCGCCGTCGCCGCCGTCGTCATGGACGTCCTCGGCGAAAAGGGCGGTCGCCTTGGCCACGTCACGCCGCGCGTCCAGTCGACGGCGAGCAGGTCCGGGCACGCCGGCCAGCCGAGCATGAGCGGCTGCGTCTCGAGCAGGTCCCAGTCGACGACGCCGGCGACGGCCCCGGTGCGCGGGTCGACGAGGATGTTGGCGGCGTCGAAGTCGGCCGGGGGCGCGAGGACGAAGGTCTCGCCGTTGATGCCGGCATCTTCGTCTTCTTCTTTTTCCTCTTCTTTTTCCTCTTCTTTTTCCTCTTCTTTTTCTTGTTGCTGGTTGTCGTACTCTCCGACTTCGCCGAGGGCGGTGGTGACGGCGGTGCTGCTGCTAGCGGTGGTGGTGGTGTTGGTGCGGCTGTTGTTGTTCTTGTTGCTGGGGGAGGAGGAAGTGGAGGGGGAGGAGTAATACCCCGGCCAAGGCATCTCCTCCATCAGCAACCGCCACATCTTGAAGACACCGCGCACCTCGGCCGTGCGCTCGCGCGATATGGCGTACGTACGGGCTGCATCTAGGCAGCTGAAAAAATAGGCGCGGGAGTCGTGTTCGGGAGTGGAGAGGTGCTCGTCGTGCGGGTCGAATCTGACTCCCTCCTCTTCTTTTTTCTCGTTGCTTGGCCGCACAGGACTGCATACTGGATCGCGGCCGAAGGGGGCCATGATAGCGGCGTCAACGTAGGGATGTTGGTCCGGGTCGTCGCCGTTGCCGGGGTGGAAGAGGAGTGGGCCCATTTGGGGAAAGGTGAGCGAACGGAGTGAGGCGATGGCAGTGGCGAGGGAGCGAAGGGCGTTTTGGCGTTTTTCCTCGAGAGTGAGGGTGGTGGTTGTGGTGTCGTACCAGACGTCGGGCAGCGGACGTCCCTCGACGCACGACATCAGGATGTAGGGAGCGCCGAGGGCGTTGTTGAAGGTGGTATCGTACTGCAGAACATCGGGCACGGGCAGACGGGTGCGGTTGCGGAGGTAGCGCATGGTGAGGGCGGCATTGCGCAGGGCATCCTGGTCCGAGGGCAGCCAGCGGTCGCCCCAGCCGCAGGCGGGGATGCGCACGCAGACTCTGGTTGGGGCGGGGCAGCTGTACTCGAGGGTGTAGACGGCATTGTTCCGGCCGTGGGTGCGGGCGAGCACGGCGATGTGGGTGGCGGACTTGCTCAGGGTCGAGAAGGTGAACAGCTGCACCAGGCTGACCAGCGCGTCGTCCGGGATGGCGAGGACGGGGCCCCAGCGGGCGTTGGGGCGGGCGGGATCAGCGTCGGGGGTCCGCTGGGTCCGCTGGGTCCGCTGGGGCTGGACTGGGGGAGCGTGGTCGGTTGGGCCCTTGAAGCTGCGGGTGGGCGTGACGGGGTTGCGGCGGAGCGTGTGGGAGAGGTTGCGGAGGGCCTTGGCTGTGCCAGCCAGGCGTGGCTTTTTAGCGGAGCCGTGTGCAGATCGGGCGGAGGCCGGGGGGCAGGCGCGGGCGTCATGGTCGTCGAGGCAGGCAAACAGCCTCTTGATGCTGCTGGGCATGGTGCTGCGGAGCCGCGGTGAGGTCGACTTGGAGCCGGGAGCCCTTCCCCTGCGGCAATGGACAGACAGGAGCCATTCGAGCGAGGCCGGCGCACAGGTTGTATTGCAAGTGACATGGCCCTCTTGACGTGGTGCTGGTGGTCGCCGACGGCGGCACGTGCGGCTGCGGAGGTGAGGCGGACCCGCCATTGCACGACTCCCGGGCCACGCGCTGCCTTTCGACCATCAGCTGAGCTGCCCTCTCGATTTCCGTGAGAGGAAGATCTGCCTGCCGCCAGCCTGCCCCTCGACCCTCCCTTTTCTCACGTGCATGCCAGACAAAGGCCTTCAGCAATGGCCCGAGTGCCCAGTCATGCTGCATCTTCCACCGTTGATAACTGCTGGTAGTAAGCAATTCTTGTTACTGGATATCAATTGAGACTTTTTCACGCTACATTGGGAATGATCCACAGTCAGTGTGGACGTCCGAATGCAGAAACAGCGGAACAGGCGGTAACATCTAAGATGAAAAGAAACAAAGTGGCGTATGTTGACTCTTGAACATGTCGTGTTGAGCCAGGTGTTGTGGGTAGATATAGCTTTGAAGTTGGCGCTAGGACGGGGCGGATAGCTTAGATATATTGGCCAACTACCATGTTTAAAGAAGCGAGAGAGAGGAAAAAGGGAAGTGAGAGGATACCTACGGAGTCTCTCAGAATATCTCATGGCAACGGAAGCTGAGATATGCCCGACGACGGGTAGGAGTTGGAAGTGACGGCTTGGCTTCGGCTTGGCCCAAGGTGATTGATTCCGTAGCAGCTGACCCAGCGAGATGCGCTTTGCCCGTGACTGGAGGTTTTTTTTTTTTTCTGGCCTGCACCTGCGCCCGTCTACTCGTCGTCCGTCCAGTGGCGTCACAAAGCAGACGCAGCTTCGCACTACTTCGGCCACCCCTCCTCGCCCTCCCTCCTCCTTACTCCCCACCCCACCACCCCATCGGCGCGACTGCTCCGCTGCAACGCTCACACTTGTTCTTTGCTCGCATCTACCCCAAAAGCTTGTCGGCCAAGATCGCCACCATCATGGCGGATAGAGAGACTCCCAGGCGCAGTGGCAAGCACCACCCCAAAGACGTTCCGAAGATGACCGAGGAGCAGAAAGAAGCCCTTTGCAACGTGAATGGTAAGCCCAAGCTCTAACCGCACGTCACTCACCTTCAATGACCAACACAGTGACTTCAGACCTGTACCACGACCAGCGCAGCCTGGTCCAGATCTGGCGCGACGCGGGCATTCGCTACGACGAGCATGTCATGCCGCCGCCCTCGGGTCCGCGCGCTCATGGTCAGCAGCATCGCCAGACCAACGGCAGCAGGGGCTCGTCCGTTGTCGGCTCGTCCGTTGTCGGCTCGTCCGGTCCCAGCTCCGCTCATCAGTCCATGTCCCAATCTCTTGTGCCCATCGGCTCTCCTCCGTTCAGGAACCACCCTGTCACCAACTTCACCAACGGCACCTATCCCAACGGCAGCTACTCCAACGCCAACTATACCAACGGCACCTCCATGAACAGCACCAACGCGAATGGCTATAACGCGAACGGCTACAACGCGAATGGCGGCTACATGAATGAACACTATCAGAACGGCAACAGCGTGAATGCGAACCATACCAACGGTACCTGTGCGAACGGTGCCTACGCCAACAGCACCACCTCATCGGCCAGCGTCTCGCAGTCTTCCAACGGTTTTCACCTGCGGGCTCCTTCGACCTTTGACGTCCAGCAGCAGGCTGCTTTCCGTCCCGCCCCCCGCATGGGCGACCCTGCTACCGCATACTTTGTCCCCAGCCAGGCCAGCACCAACACCGCCACTGCCACTGCGACCGAGGCTGCCAATGCCGACAACTTCCGCGCCAACAACATCGACAGTGACGGCTTCTTCACCAAGAGCTCTGATGATGAGATTGCAGCCATGCTTCGCCGCCTCATGCCGAACGGCCAGCCGAACGCCGTTGAAGAGGATCTCGCGAGATTCTACAACACCCAGAGGGATGGCCGTGGCGACGGCGACGGCGACGGCGACGGCAACGGCCAGGACGGCGGTGCTGGTGCCGATGGCCCCGGTCACCGCCGCATGAACACCCGCTAAGGTGTAGCGAACACCTCTCCCATGAACACTTACCACCAACGTCTTGGACGGAGGAGTCTGCAGGAGTGGACAATGTGGATCCATGTCCGATGTCCACTTTCCCGGTCAGAATCAACGAGACTGATTCGACAGATCTCTTTTGTTCCATATTCCAGAGGGGGGGTTTTTTTTCCCTTGGTTGGTGCTGCCGTTGGCGGCTTCATTGCTGATACAGCTTCTCATGCATTCCCTTCATAACGCCTCCGCCACGAGGTTTCTTTTGCTGTTTACGGGGAAAACAATACCAAACACCGAGGTCGGAGTCTGGATAATGAAACGGGGCGCTCAAGGCAGGCTTTCTTACAAAAGGAACGTGGTTATTTTGCTAGTGCAGTCGAGTTTTACAAACGGCGGCTTCTGCTGGCTGTGGTCCAAATGAACTCGGGTAGATCTTTTGGTAGCAATTGAGATCAATGCATTACCCACTACTTGAATGATTGCGGACCTCCACAAGCTGCAATGCCAAGAGTGTTGGAACGCGCAAGCAGGAAGTGTTTTGCTCTCGGGTGGTAAAGGGATCATCAACGCCACTGAGGCGCACCGGAAAATCGCCTGGAAACCACAGGCGGCGCTGTTCCAGCCGTAACAGCATTGCCGGCGACGAGCAGCAACCGGTGTATAACCAGCACCAGAACCAGCACCAGCCTCTGCCATCCTGCCCCCCAGACTGGCTCATTGCAACCCACGGTGCACTTGGCTTGTCCTCTGCCGTTGGAGTACGTGGTCGACTACTACGAGCAGGTGTGTTGGGTTGTTAGTAGTATCCTTTGAACCTTGAATGGGAGCAGGAGGCACACATACCTCAAAAGAAAAGTTGAAGCACCGCCCTCGCCAGAGTAATCGGAATCGAATGATACCGGAATACGGTATGCCGCGTATTGCACTGAAGTGTCACATGCTTGCGCACGCACACAATCTTCGCCCTGACTCCCATAGGGGTACAGACCTGCGCAAGCACCACCCGAAGGCGGTGCTGCCGGCTGGCCCTGAGTTTTCTGATGCCAGGAGCAGGCGTGTTCACGCCAGGCCCTCACGGGCAGCGGCCAGAGCGCCGGGGCGAGCCCAGCGATGGCAGGTGAAGTTGAAGATTACTCCGAATTTCTCATTTGCACGCGGTGACAGCCGGGCGGAACCCGGTGTCTGTTTGTGAGCAAAGAAACGCAGCGTTGGCGAGGGCGGCGCTTGGAGGAGGGAGCGGAGGCACTCGCCGGCGGAGGAAATTTAAGCAGGCTGACGTCGGTGCGGCGTATATGACTAAGCGAGCTTTTCTGCCACCGCCTGCCTCGCTCACCACTAGGTCTTCTCCGGCCCTCCACCACCATCTGTTGCCGCCTTGCCTCCCTCCGCCTCGCTCCGCCGCCTCGATCGCGTCTCGCCATCGCTTTGTCCCCAGCCGCATTGACGAGATGCACAATGCCAGCCGAACGCAGAGCGAGCTGTGTCCGGAGACGCTGTCCGGTCCCGGCCGGATCCCTGTCGGTACCCAGAGCCGTGAGGTAATTCCCTCGCGCAATCATTCGCCAAGAGCTGGGGAAATGCGCATCCCCAGGATCAAAATCCCATCTGCCGCGAGTCAGGCTATCTGCTCGCTGGGAGCCTGCTCGATCCACCCCTATCTCAGAGGCAGTGGAAGAGCTGCCGGCCAACCATCTACCTAAGTTCATCGTGTAATCCTTGCAAATCGCTGCGCCCAGGCCCGGGTCAGAGGGAAAAACCGGTCAACTGTCCCTCTGGACTGGCTGAACGGCGGTATACGCACATCCGGGCGAGTTGTCAGAATTAACCAACTTCACATCAGGCTTTACGGAGGCTCCTCTACGGGTGCCCTTGCTCTCAGCAGGTAACAGCTCAAACGGCCCGCTCTCTTCGCTGCCGCGGCTATTCGATGGGAGTACCGACCACCTTTCCTTTGCGATGGCAGTGAGGTTACGTCAAGGTGCAGAATGCTGCAGCAGAGGATAGACTGTGAATCAGCTCATCTTTCAGTCAAGAGCAGCCGCCGAGGTGATGCACTGTATCGGAGACGGTGTTGCCTGAAACCCCACATCCACCGCCGTAAGCATCTGCTGTATGCGGCAAACCAATGACGTTCCATACGCGTAAGAAGACGCACTGTTTCTAACCCCCCTTCAAGCGGTCTGACTCGACACATGTGGGCATGTGCTAATCAATAAACGATCCGCGTCTGCATCGACGATTTACTCAACGTTGCAGTCGGCTACCTTTGCCCTCGGTCTCAATCACACAGGCCCGTCGTCAATGTCTGCGTGTTTGCCACATGAACTGGCCTGCGAGGCTGAGCGTCGCTTCCAAGAAACAGCTTGATGTAATTTTTTGAGGGCTTTTGACGCTGCCGACATCCAATCGGCTTCACGCCTTGCTCCAAAGTACCGCAATCTTGGTCATGGCTCACTTTTCAAGACACGGGTGATCGCCGATTGAGATAAAGTCGTACGAGGAGAGCGGCCAGACGTCATGTGTTCTGCTAGATCAACGGGCAATATGGAGTCTGAACAACCCTCTGATAGGAGCATGGGCCTCATACCACGACAAATTGGGCTGGGAGAGCCGGGTACCCCTGACCGACGGCACAGTCTATCGCTGAGCCACGTTCTGATTGTTACAGTCCGCATGCCTGCTTCCGGTGGCCCACGACACAAACATCCCGCTGTCGGCGATTCGTGTACCGTCACCTGCATTGTGAGCCAAGCAGCATACGAGTGTGCTGTCCTACTATGGACCGTCATGGAGCGTCATAGACAAGGGACTTGGTCTGCCTGGTGTTCGTGAACTGGCACACTATGCAGTTCGAGAACATGCTGGTGGAACTGCGCGGTGTTCCCCGCCGAATGATACGCAGGTCGCCATGGGCGCGCGTTGTTTATGCCACGTCTGATTCATGGGCCATCCGTCATACTGTGCGTCCAAGCGAGTAGAACTCCTTCAGTTATAGCCTGAATAGCTAGTCTCAGAAGCTGAGGTAGACGTGCACGCCAGATGTCCGCAGTTCAGAACGACTGCGTAGAGGTTTCCTGGCCACATTGCGATCGGCCAGTCGGCACACTTCGGAACGCACCTAGCTTTTGTGGCTCTCTCTCTCTCTCCATCATCGAAAACGGGCGCTAAGGATTCAACCGGGTTGACTTTCATCCAAGGGCATGAAAACCGCATAGATTCGTGCCGGGCAAGTATCCACATTGGCAAGCATGGCCCGTGCAAGAAACCCAGCAGATCGCCCAGTTGCGCATCGAATATTGTTACGAGGATCTCGCTTTTCCAACAAAATGCCATGCGCACGAATCCAAAATGCCATATCGGCGATACGCCTGCATCAGGATATTCCTAGCGTGAGGGCACAATGGCATTCTGGAATCCGTCATGCGATCCGGGCACTGTGCCTGCGTGGTCTCGACACGGTCGCCGGCGCACCCGGCCCAGATGAGTGTCATCCATGGTATAAAACAATGCTTGTGTTCCGGATGTCGTGCTGCTACCTCCCATGTGCCGTTTCTCCTGGCTGCCTTGATATACCACTTTAATTGTTCGTCGCACTGTGTACCTTTCCCTCGACAAAGCTTCTCTTGACTGTACCTAATCCTACCGTCGCCATGTATCACTACCTACACCAACCATCTTACGATCCATCCACTGCTGCCAGTCCACCACAATATGCAGCTCAGATTGGGAATTGGCAAGAACCATCCGGTCACCAGGACCCGATGAACCCGATTTCCTTCTCCGGTTCGTTGCATCAGCACTCACACTCGCAACTTGACTGGTACCCTCAGTACCAGCAACAACATCAGCAATTCCCCTCACAAAGTCAACAATATTCCACCCGGGCCCAACAGTTTCCCTCACAAGACCAACAATATAGCCCACAGCCACACGGTCCATCTCCGACACCGTACGTTCAGAGGCGAACGTCGGCGCAAGCGCGTTGGGACGACTACATCGCGAGCGAGGAATGCTCAAACGCTCTGCAAGGTGGTAGGCCTGTCCCCTTGATTGCAGGGGAGCAGCTCCAGACCGGCTGACAACAATGGCAACGAAGCAGAGCACCAAGTGTACGTCAACCAAGTGACGTCGGAACTGGAGCAGCGAGCCATCGCAGACGAACGCCTCGAGGGGCTGTCGCAACGACGCGGCGTCGACACGCAACACGCGCAGCAGGCGGAGCGCGACCGTCGCCTGAGGTGGGCGCAGGAAATGATCATGCAGAACCCGGCTCTCTGCGCCGAGGTCTACTGCGCCATGTCGAAGCGCCCGGCTATGCCGCCACGGAGGGAGTCGTCGTTGTCGTCGTCGTCGTCGTCGTCGCGGCGCTCGCCGAGTACGGCTGCTGGTAGTATGCCGTCGCCGGGGATCAGCAGCAACTCCAGCATCAACAGCGGCAGCCCTACGTAGAAACGTGCCCTCCCCCCCCGTTCCGGCATCAGGAAAAACTTGGCCTGCACCACGCCACTGGCCGCAAATGTGGCTTGTGAACCTCACGCCACGATAATAATCCCCATTCCACACACTGTCTGATGAAAAGTGCGACTTCCGGATCGGGCATCCCGGTTCGTCAGGACATGCGGGGATGGCGTTACAGAATCAGATGATTGCTCCAGCGTGCGGAGCCGATGTCTTGTTTTTCTTTTCATGATTAGCGTGAGGGTGAGAGGGAAAAAGAAATGCCAGATAGAAGATAACGGGGCGGACGCTCTCCTGCTAGCTCCGTACGGGGAGACCAACGAAGGGGCAAAGCGGCGCGAGAAGGTCAGCCGATAAATCGATGATGCTGCAATCTGACTTCATCTTGCCTTCAGGCTCTTGTGAGCGCCGCCTCCGCATCATCTTGTCATCGGCCAGCCCCATGCTGCAGATATGTGGTGTTAGCAGTGTCGACCTCGGTGTGGCGCACTATTAAATCCGAAATGCGGGCGGGGGGGGGCTGATCCCCAGTGCGTCGGATGCCTGTGTAGGTGCTTTTTGGATAATCCAGCCCAGACGCCGCGCGTGGTTGCACGGAGCGCACTTGGCGGTATCTTGCGTCCTTTTTGCAGCACCGCCGGGCGCTATGGGCGGCCGGGTCCGACAACTCATCAGGCGTGATCAGACATGGTTGCTTTTTGGGGACGGAAGGGAGGGGAAGGGTGTGCGCTGGCGGGCCCTCTCTCTCTCTCTCTCTCAGTCGAATGCCATGCCTGCGTACCGGATCCGCTCGTGCCTTAGGAGATATGCTGCGACACCAGTGAAGCAGCGATGGGTTGGGCGCGCCGGCACAGTGCATGGCATGATGCGAGCAGCACAGGGTGGCGTGCGCTCTGGGTCGACGCGAGTGCGGTTGCATGTGCCTAGGATGTACCGGTCAATAATGTCGCCGTGCTTGTCAAAGCAGCGCCACTGATGCTCGGCGGGAGGGATGGAGCGCGTAAAGCTGCTTCGTGTGGGCTGGATGCTCCACTTCTTCACACATGTAGGTGTATGCTGCGGTGCTTGTGTGGCAGCAGCTCGGGCACGCGGAGGAACTTGCCGGGGGTGCCTGAGGCAGCGCAGAAGAGCTACTACCTAGGTTAGGTGGCCAGCGATTGCGGGAGTCGGCATCCGGGTGAGGTGGTCTCGTGGGGTTTCATAGGCTGGCGCTGCTCGGCGTTTTCACGGGATGCCATCGGCCATCGCCGTGCGCTCTCCCATGGCGCTGGCACTGGCACCTGGGCGCGAAAGCTGGGGATCGAGTCTTCCTTAGTGTCCAAGCAAGGCCCGGCGTTGGGAGGAGCGAAGGATGCAGGAAAGGCCCGGGAGAGACGCGTGGGAGCAGGAGCGCGTCCTTGCGTTCTTATTCCCGCCCACCGCAGCTGCGCGGTCTGGAGACGTGCGGGTGCTCGTGTCCAGCAGAACATGAGGTGCGCGAGGTGCGCGAGGCTTCGGGCGACGCGCCGGCGAGCCAGGCCCCACGTGAGAAGGGGAAAACGGTGGCCGCGGCGCGCCCTGGCAGTTACTAAGCCGGCGCGATTTTAGCGGCCGTTTGTTTTCGCTGATCGCTACCCAACCTCACCTCAGCTTCCTCCTGTTTCTGCTTTCGTCGGCCTGCTTCACTCGCTTGTCTCTGCTTGCAGCTGCATCGAGACCGCGGCATCGGCTTGCACGCGCGTGCACCCGCTCGCGCCCATGCTCAAGGTCACTCGTCCGCGCACATCCTGTTCGTTCCTGTGGCGGTTGCCCGCATTGGGCCGCTCAGCCGAGCGCCTATCGTGCGGCCGCGAGTTCTAGAAGGCGCGAGGCCGTGTAGGGACCTCCTTCTGCGAATTGGACCGCGGTCTGAGGATCGGAATCTGCTTGCTGAGCCTTGCTTGCCGATATCTGGTGGTGTTGAACATCCGCAATCAGTGATATTACCGTCTGCCTGTGCCGCACTGCGCTGTCACGCGGCTCTGCCGCGTTTTCTGCTGGCTGGTGGTGCCATTTCGACTGCCGTTCTGGCCCTCCGTGACCCTCAGGTGAGCATGCCCTCGTGTTCGACATCGCCTCGCGGCGAAACGACTTGGGGGCTGCCGCGCGTTATACAAAGAGTCGGAGTCTGGAGGTCAAGCCGTGGTACAACTGGTGTTTTCTCAAGTCACTCTGCAGCCTCAGGCACCCTGTTCTAGCCAAGCTCGTGCTCAAGCTTTGCGGCCACAACTTTTTCTATCCACGCTCCCCTGCTCCCTCGTGCGCCGCACATCATGCCAGACGCCTCATCCGCCGGCAGCCATGCCCTCACGATTGTGCTTCCCACCATCTTCGCAATCATCCTTGTCATGCTGATAGCCGCGTACGGACCAATCACGCCTCACGCGTCTACGTTTTCGCCCTAACAGACGTCAGAACTGCAATCCTCCTGCCGCGCCTCCCGAAGAACAGTGACGACGAGAAGAGCGAATGTCGCAAGAGGCGCATGCTCAACCTCGAACACGCATGCAAGTCTCAGATTTTCAAAGACTGGTGCTCGAAGCATGAATCGGAGCACCCAGAATACAAGTCCGAGCATCCCGTTTGGTATGCATCTCACGGTCGGGACCACGGTTGGAGCATAAGCTGACTGCGATCGATCAGTGTGATCTGCCTGGAAGAGATTGAGGATAAGGCGCATATCCGCGGGCTGGGATGCCTTCACGTCTTCCATCAGGGCTGTCTCGACGACTGGTTTGACCGCTTCAACGAATACTGCCCGCTTTGCCACCGTCCGATTCTGCCGTCTGTGTGCAGCAACAGTAAGAAATCCACTCGGTCTTCTGTGGATACCGCGCACGATGCCGCCGCCATGATGGTTTGAGCATGTGGGTTTGGTGCGGAACCGCACCCACCATCGTCACGGGCGTACCTCCGGTGCAGCTTCTCCCCACAAGGGATCATCTCGAGCCGTAAAGACGAAGATTTTTCCCTGCGTACCCACTGCCAACACAGCGTTTCCATCGCGAAGGAACGCCTTCAGTACCACCGCAGGATCTAGTCAGCGACCGGTGAGGAGCTAGGTCTTTACGGACAGATGGCCCGGGCCTCCGGTCTAGACGCCTGGTCCCTGTAGTTCCCTAGAGCGGCGCTCTTCACGCAAGATGAAAGAGGGTCTGCGCGGATCTCATGGGCGCTTCTTGCCATGGCCAGTGCACGTGCGATAGTGCCGAAACAGGAAGGCGGCGCATCCGAGACGTTCCAAGGTTACCCCAATGAGCAGCCGACGCTCGTTTGCGTGCGAAAAAGCGGCGCAGGATGAGAGATCAAGGGCTGATCTGCGCCGGCTATCCGCAACGGCGACCCACAACGCACGCTGCCGGCTTGGAGTGCCCCACCATTGCCCGTCTCGTGCTGCCAGATATGTAGATGGCAAGCGAGAAGATCTCGGCGGCAACGGGCTTGCTTCGAGGGCATTTTTCGTGTGCCTGAGCTGCTCTCGGCTCGGCGCTGCGAGGGGGAGGGTTGCGCGTCTGGCCGGCCTGGACGCGTCGCAAGCGGACAGGGTCTCGACGCACATCGAGGGTCCCAGGTGCGGGGCCCAAGGCCCGTTTTCCCCGATCTCCGCTGGAGGATGTGCTGCCAGCGTTGTGCATACATATGTGTGCGCAGCGCTGGGCTGGATGGAATAAGAAACGGCTGAGGCGTTGGCCCAAGCCAGATCAGGGTGGCGGCCGAGCGGCAGCTGGCACATGGCGCTGAGACGCGGACAGCTGGCCAGGGCCTGGGTGGACTTACGGAGTAGGCCTCGTACGCGGCCGGCGTGTACAGAGCTATAATAGATGACTAAAACGGCATATCTGGTGCAGCGATGCGTGCAAAAGAGGGTCCGCACGCCTCCCCCCCGGGCCGGCGAAAAGGCAGCGGGCCGCGGCTGGCGTGGTGTGAGAGGGCAATTGGCATGTCTGCAGACTCCAGTATGTAGCCATGGAGCGGTGACAGCATGGCCTCGCGGTGCAATATATCGCAGGATGCAGGCGGCGCTTGACGTGCGGCGGCCGGCTGGGCCGTCGACACTCCACAGGGAGGCGCTGCACAGCGCGGGAATGATCCCAATGCTGCGGCCTGGGACACTACTCGTGCGGCAGGGCGCAAAACCGGTTCTTGTAGCGTCGCATGCCCTCGAGGCCCACCCGTAGATTGCATTGCTCCATCTGGCGGGCCGTATGCGTGCAGCCGGGGACGAGGAGCAAAGGCCGCTGCGGGCGCGGAGCTCGGGCAGAGGTGCGGTGGCAGGCCAGGCAGGTGGCAGGCCAGGCAGGTGGCAGGCCAGGCCGCGGTGAGACACAAACGCGAGTGCAGCAGGCGCACTGCGCGCTAGGGCCGGCTCGGCTGCGCGGGTCGCTCCCGCTGCAGCGAGCGAACGGCGGCTGCTGTTCTTGACTTCTGCGGCCTCTTGTCTCGTCGTCTCGGCGGCGGCGGCGCTGTGCGGTGCGTCGCACGGGCGGCCGGCGCTGAGAATCGGCAGCGCCTCGTCCTGCGCGCTCGTTTTGGGCGGCGAGGTGCTTATGACGGGCGCGCTGGGCTGGGATCGATCGAACCACTCCCCATGCACAAAAGTGGCCTGATCTTTCCGCCATAGGCAAGCGGCGACTCCCAAGGATCTGCTGCTCGCGCCCCTTGGCGCTGTCCGCCTGCGCTTGCCCTGGCCCTCCCCGATGCGCAGCCCTGAGCACCCGACGCATTCCGCCCCTCTGGCGAAACACAAGGCCGGGCCCCAGTCATAAGGAGGGGCATCACGGAGGCTGCTGCTCGGTAACCACACCGGACTCGCTGCCCAGGACAAAATTCGTGCCAGCCATCTCGTCATCGCTGACCGACGTCCCGCCTCGCCCTCGAATGCACTTCACACAAGACCCGAACGACCACACCCTCCCGCCGCAGCTCTACAACTAGCCGCGCCTGCCCTCGACCGCCCTCGACCGCCCTCGACCGCCCGCCACTGGACCCCCGGCCCTCTCACCACCCACTCCAACGCCTCCGATTACCTAAGCCTACGACCGCCCGCGTGGCCCTTTGCCCGCCGCCCTTCCCTCCCCTCCCGTCGCTGGCCCAAGCCAGACCGCCTAGCCGCCGCCCCATCATTGCTTGTCGCCGGGGATGGCTCTCAACTGGAGTTCATTCCTAGGAGACGACGGCCTGAATGCGCAGGACGGCCGCTGGGACCAGCCGTCGGCCCAGCAGCAGCAGCAATCGCTACAGCAGCAGCAGCAACAGAATCAGCGGGCTCAGGCCCAGTCGCAGCACCAGCAGCAGCTGCCCCAGCACCAGAACCGCCCGCCCGCCCACCAACCTCGCGTCTCGAACCCCCAAGTTCCTGCTGGCCAGGTCTCCGCCGCTCAAATGTCACAGGGTCGCCCTGCGTTCAGCCCGTATGAGGACGGCAACCCGGAAACCTACTTCTCCGACGCCTTTTACAATGATCCCAATAACTATTTCCTCAGCGACATGGAGGTCCTCGAGCCACTGGGCGCTGTGACGCTCGCCGGTTCCACTACCGATTCGTCGCCCGAGAACTTCAACGAGGTCGTCGATTTGACTGACCCCAACGGCCGTATGCCGCGCTTCCAGCAGTCCCATCCCGCCAATGCCATGAACCAGCCCGGCGCCCAAGCCAACCAGGCCACTGCGGGCCAGCAACAGCAGCAGAACAGGCAGGGCGCGCCCACAACCACCTCGCTTGCAGAGATCCAGCAGAACTTTGTGACTGCTTTCCCGCAGGACCCGCGCTCAGCCGCTTTCGTCGAAGATCTGACCTTCCCCCAGGGACCCAGAGGCGCTGCGAGGAACTCGGTCACTACTCTGGATACTGTGAATGAGGTGCCCGAGACGGATTTGACGACCAAGCGGAACAAGAACGCCGGAAAGGCCGACTCGCTCTCCGCATGCTGGACCTCGCCACTCTGCCCCAACCACAGCAAGGAAGGGACCCCACCCAACCCATCCACTTGCGGTGGAGCATGTGCGCCATTCCTTTTCGCCAACACGGAAGATTCCAGTTACAGTGGAGCCATCGATTCCTCGCTGCTGACCCAGGACCCCATCCCCTCCAAGGAATCGCCTGAAGGCGTGGTTGAGATTCAGAACCGACCTCGCTTGAAGCGCAGCGAGAGCGAATCGAGCCGCGAACCCTCTGGACGTCTCTTCAGCAAGAGCACCTCAGGAACCGCCGAGCCGCCGCAGCCACAACAGTCGTCAGCATTGAAGAACGAGAGCAGCCCAGACTCGCATTCGCCCGAAGACATGAGCGTCTTACCTGGCGGCGATATGGGAGATGGAAAGGGCAAGACCCGCCGCCGTTTGCCACACAACCAGGTTGAGCGCAAGTACCGCGAGTCTTTGAACACGCAGCTCGACTCGCTCAGGCGAGTGGTGCCAGCGCTCCAGCAGTCTTCCAGGGGCTGTGAAGGTGGCGACATCGAGGATCTGCCCACGCCATCGAAGCCTAGCAAAGCGGTGGTCTTGGCAAGCGCTACGGCCTACATCAAACAGATGGAGAAAGACAAAAAGCAGCTGGCCGACGAAAATCAGCTCCTCAGGACCCGCATCAAGGCGCTTCAGGCCCTCGTTAAATGCGAAGATTGCAGCCTGATGCAATACGTGATGGATCTGAAACTTCACAACGGACCACCGGCGCCTGCTGGCTGCCGCGGCTGAGCGCACGTACGCACGCTTTGAGACACGAGTCTCTGCTTGTCGGATGTTGCTATTCTTGTCGAATGCTCTTTGCGCTCGTCATAATCGCCAGCTTTCTACTGTTCCGCCGTACACGCGATCACCCCCCACTCCTGCGGACTCACGGCCACCTTCACACATGAGCAAAGTGCAAGTGAGCATTTACAGCGCGCATATTCTATTGCTTTTTCTGCTTCAAAAGGCTTTTGGCGTTCAGGGATAATGAAGAGCGCGCTAGTAAGCTTTTCCTTTTGTTCGGCTGAACGCGCTGGAGGAGCACGGCGTTACTTTGGCTGTCTCTTGGTCTCTCGACGTCTCTCTCCTATTCCTCTCCTTTACGAGTTCTCAAAGGAACATCGATTGCTCGACAAACGGTTTCTCGGTTGATGAGAATGGCACGGACGTGGAGGTGGGGGTCGGGGAAAAATGGAAATGAACTGGGACGGAAGGATAGGGGTAAACAGAGTGATGGTCGGACTTTGTTCTTCCGGCTTTTCCATCTTCCTCATCTCGGCTTTTCCCAGTTCTCGGGAAGCTTTACGATCACTCATCCCGAAGTTGCATGCAACTTGGCTGTCTGGCTTTTTTTTATCCCTTCAGAGGAGCAGCACCGGGAAAAGGTGACTAATTCGGAAGGGGACGGCAAGCTTTTCCGGAATCTGCTGATGTGGTATGGCCGGTGGGATGATATGGCTTCCGGAAAACCTGTTCTACAAGCGCCAGAATCGATCGTTAACTTTTTGACTTGTATCGGCTCGAGCACCCCAACAACCCTATCGCGTGCCGCTGTGCACTGGCATTGGCCAGGAAAAATGCCGCCTCGTCACTGTTTTGCTGGTTGCTGCTAACCGTGGAGACCCACATATCCAGTTGGTTTGCGCGTCAGTTCGTCCCTGCCTCCCTCTTTACCCTTACCTCATTACTCATGGCTTCCGGGTCCTTGCTTTCGGGCTTCGCGGAGTCGTGAAATCATCGCCGATGCGACCCTTTTTCCCGTATCGACGTCTCTCTGCCTTCTCCTGGCCGTTAGCAGCAGCATCCGCGATTCCGTCTCTTCGGTCGGTAGTCTCTCAAGGACTCCCCAGTTTTTCAACTTTCCCCACAGCAGACTTTTTGTGTTGCGCCGCCCTTTTTCTTCCTTCTCCACACCGTTAGCCAATCAAGGTACCCATGTTCTCTCTCCGAGCGGAAAGGATGTTGTATCCGCAACAGGCGCCCCGAGGAGCCACCCATGTTGTATACAAAGCCGATGCACGCTGGTGGGGATGCGAGGTCCACACGTTTGCAAGGCACAACTCTGCTCTTCCTCCCGACGACCCTGTATTCCATTTTCTTCTCTCGCCGTGAAAACGATGAGTATTCATAATGATGAATGAACAACCGACCGAACCCGAAAAACCATAGTTTGTGCCGACGGCTGCGACCATGTTATGCTTACCGTTCTGGAGAGGGGGGAAGAGGGAATCAACTGCACCATTTTCCTCGCCTTTTCTCATCAAAAGCATCCCCACCCCTTTCTCCGCGCGAAAAATGCCGTCGGCTCTATTCGCTGTAATGATGCGAACGCTTTAAAAGCAATCACATGTTTCCTTGCTCGCTCGCTCGCTCGCTTCGTTGCTGCAAACTTCACAACCCCGATCTCTCTCTCCCTCTCTCCATCGAAGCGACGACGATAACCCCCGACTGATCCACTTCACAGGTTCCTTTTCTCTTCTTTTCTTTTCTTTCTTTCTTTCTTCTCACCGCTTTTCCCGGTCGTCTTCGCACAGAGCTTGATAGGACGACAAGGCCTGTGTCTTCCCCTGTCTGTCGCGTAGTGTTCGCAATCACTCTCCGTTCATCTCCTCTCATTATGCTGCTTCCGCCCGATTCGGCTCCACGGCTGGTCGTAACGCTTCCTCTCTTCTCTTTTCCCACCCATCTCTCCTCTTCATTCTTTCTTCCATTCCCCTCTTTCGATCAACTGCTCCTCTCAGTCATGGCGGTCGTCGTCGTCATCGTCGCTGCCGTTCCCAGTGTCGGACAAGTCACTCCAATGGCCGTCGCATTCGTCGTCAGCATCGCCGACGTGCGCCACCACGCGCATGCCTTGTGATGGGAATGGCGGTGGTGGTGGTGGTGGTGGTGGGTAGGTTTGATGCATTCCTGCCGACCGGTGGCGCCACCGACATGTAGTCACATCTCAGTGGTTTTCGTGGCCTTTTTCGTGTACGAAGCACCTCGCTCGACGCTGTGCGATCGCGACGCGGGCCGACTGTGGTGGACGGCTGTCGTCTTGTCGTTGTCCTCTTCATCCTCGTTGTTGTCGGTCCGCGCGGGATGGTCGGCGGACGTGGAGAAGGTCACGGAGCGGCGGGTAGGCGACACAGGTGGTACGTTCGGGTCGGTGGCAGCGGATAAGGAGCGGATCGAAGTCGGTGAAGAGGGAGGTGGAGGGGTGGTGGAGGAGCCCTGAGTTCAGTCGCGGTTAGCTCGGGTTGCGTGCGTACGGATATCGATTGAGCAGGGTTGTGTAAGAGGAGGATTGGCCGACAGTGGGATATGAAGCATTGCTGTAAGATGCGATATGGTGCACAGCTTCGGAAAGTATGGAGCTCATGGCAGGAGACGGTGGGGTCGCGTTCCAAGAGAAAAAAGACTGAAGTCGGACGAAAGCTGATCGAAGATCCCGACACGAGCGAAGCGAAAGCGTACAGACGAGGCAGAAAAATGCGACGATCAACACGAGAGGACGTCTACATTCTCGGCAACTCGAATGATTGGATCACCACCACTGAGTCACCGATGCACGCGAATCGACGATCGTGTGCTCTGCGCTCCGACAGGACGGTTCGATCAGCTCATCCGCGTGATGATGCCTAGCTCTCTTGGGGAAATGCTCGATGCGATGTGGGTAGGGCCGAGAAGGGCGTTGGCACGTGTGCCGCAGTACTTACCAGAGTTTCGCCCTCGAGGCGCCGGACGACTACGCCATCGTCGAACGATGTGGGCTCGAAGAGCGTGGTGCGGAGTGAGGGATGCTGGCGGAAGGTAGGTGAATAGGGCGGCGGGGGGCACTGGTGGCGTCTTTGTTGTGTGGGCTGTTGCGGCAGCGGCGTAGGCCCCAGGGATTTCTCCCCTTCTTGTGCTACCGGCCCATGGGAGGAGGAGGTGGATGGGCGGGAGGAGGAGGGAGACGAAGACGACGCGTCGAACACAGCGGCGTATGGATCGTATCCTGTCATGCGCAAAATATTGATAGGATGGATGGGGGGTCCGAAGAGGCTGGATTACCTCTTTGGGAAAGGATGTGGTGGTGAGGGAGACTGGGTGTCGAGACCGGGTCCTGGGAGGTGGAAGGGAGATAAACACTCGGGCTTCGCGCGGGAGGGCAGCGGAGCACTAGAAATACTGTCTGTCTGATCTGGTCCTCGACGCCCAAGCCAAGAGAGAAGGGCAGCCGAGCTCAGCCGCCTGAATCCGTCGAAGGAGCTGCAGAGCTGCATGCCCCTCATGATCTGGGACATTGCACGCGAGACCCTGCGAATCGAGATTCCCATTTTAGCTGCCCTCGAGGATTGAACAAGGCTGTCGGGCAGCGGGCCGTGCCACGCAGCGGTGCTTCCTCAAGCGTGTTGTTGGTTGCCTGCCCGGCAGAGGGGGGGGCCAGTGCTCGGCAGGCAGTCGAGCAAGGGCTGGGCTGGGCTGTTCATCAGCCCGGTCGTCATCATCATCAGGCGATGCTGGCGGTGGGCCCACAACCACGTGTTTGTAGGGCTGTCGGATAGCGTTCTCTCAGCTCGCGTTGGCCCTTCTCAATGCGCCGTCGTCGGATGCGGGCCATTGTGCGCGTAGGTAGGAGACGATGCCGCAGGTGGGCCGTGGGGCGACGGCGCATGCACGGCGGCGCTGGGGTTGGGCGCGGGATCTCGTAGGCCTCGGGCTGCGGGCTGCGGGCTGCGGGCTGCGGGCTGCGGGCTGCGCTCGCAACGGTCGACGGCAGCGGTTGTTGTGGCAGGGCAGCCGAAAGAGGCAAGCTGGTGTTGTTCGCTCTGGAGCGAGCCGGAAACGGCAGGCGGCTAGCTGCAACGGGCGGGCGGCGTTACGTCCGCCCCTTCGGCGCGCCGGTGGTGTGACATATTTCATCTGGGGTGATGATGGTGCGCATGGACGCCGTTCCAGCAACTCCCCTCTCTACTCTCCTTCGCTGCTAGAGCCCGTCACGGGCCGCTTGACTGTTGTCCATCCTCCGAGATCCTTCAGCGCGCCCGCCCCTCCCGCTCGATGTTTTCTCGGGCCTTGGCCCGATGACCTGGCACACTTTGGCTGCCCTGCTGCTGCATGTCTTCTGCGTGCGCTGACTATCGTGCAACGCCGTGGCCCCCATCTCGATGCGGTGTTGAGACGTGGTGTCGGCCGTGCCAAGTCACGTCATGGTTTCCCTCGAGTTTTACCACGCCCGCCCCGATGCAAGGTGCAGGCTGAGATTCGCAGCGGCGCCTCTGGCTTGCCAAGCTCGCTTGACATGGCGCCAGGCCTCCGCAGCAGCGGGGTGGGGAAGCCCGAGTCTGGAGGTGGAAACGGACGGCGTGCTGACCGGGGGCGTCGAAAATGAAACGAAACGAACAACTGACTGACGTTGTGGTGCCGTGATCTTTTGACGACGCGATGCGGCGCCGCGTCGCAGCATGGCCTCGCCGGCGCCGCGTGCGCACGCGTCTTATCGCCGTGTCGCCGTGTCGGCCAGGGCGCGGGCTGCTGGATGGACGCTGGCCGGGCTGGTCCGTGGGCGCGAGACGCTCGCACGCTCGATGCCCCTGCCGCTCGCAGCTCCCCGGGTCGCGTCACGCCGTTGGTCTGTTCCTCTCTGCTCACGCCATCAGCCACCCGGGCTCACCCACAGCACACCCAAACGCCCATTACCCGCGTGCGGAGTAGACGGGAACGGGGCGAGCATGGCTTGCTCGACGGGAGAGCGCAGCGTGGAGTGCAGCGCATCAGACGTCAGACCATGCGCCTGGATTCCCCCAGTGAGCCCACCCGCTCCCTATAAGGGACCACCAAGCACTGGCACTTTAATCACATTAAGCACTTGCACCTCCTGCCTTCGTCACATCAATCCAGCCCACACCGCGCGTTTCTGCAATCCAAGCCTCCAATCAATCTCAATCGACCCGCTTCATCAGACCAACGGACCACCCCGCCGCTTGGACCCGAGCCACTCTTACCCAAAACGGCAATAAAACTATCGCCACCGCGCTCTTGTGTCGCCTGCTCTCCTCCACCCACTCCCGCCCGCCACACCACCTCCCTGCAGCTCCGCGCCAGCGACCCCCAATCACCACTCTCGTACAAGACCGACGTCCGCCGCGGCGCCAAACCACCCAAGACGGCGCAGGTTCACCCAATCACCCTGCCCATCCCGGCCTCCACCACCAACAAGATGGCGCGCCTCTCCCACCACCACCACCGCGGCAGCACCGCCACCCCGAGCCCCAGCGCCTGCGCCACCGCGACCCAGAACCACAAGCAGCAAGCCGTCAAGGCCAGCAACCTCATCTCGCCCCAGCAGGCACAGCAGGCCGCCCAGCTGCGCCGCAGCCTGGTGGCAGCGATGCTCAAGGACATCGGCATGCGCCAGCAGAAGCAACCACAGCTCGTCACCCAGACGACGCCCGCACCGCCGAAGAAGGCGTCTCCCGGGCCGCAGCCGTGCGGCGCCCCCGCCGTCGCGATCCAGCAGCGGCTGCGCAGCCGGCGCCGCGACGCCCTGGCGCCCGACTTCGACGTGCGCGAGACGGAGAGCGCCTTCTACCTCGAGGGCGAGCTGCCCGGCGTCGCCGACCGCGGCGCCGTGCGCCTCGACTGGACCGACCGCCGCACCCTGTCCATTGACGCCAAGATCGAGAAGGTCGACCTCGAGATGGAATGGGGGCTGCTGCGCCCCATCCGCGTGGGCAACAACAACAGCAAGCCCGCCGCCCGCCGGCCGAGCACGTCGGCGTCGTCGACGAGCATGGGCGCGAGCGTGAGCAGCACCTGCAGCAGCGGCAGCGGCAGCGGCAGCAGCAGCAGCTGTGAGGACAACATGGTCGTGGACGAGCAGCAGCAGCAGCAGCAACAAAGGGACGGATCAGACGTCAACATGGCGGCACCGGCACCGGCACCGGCGCCGGCGGCGCCACCATCGCTCGAGGCGCAGCCGTCGAAGCCGCTCGTGCGCGAGTGGCTGAGCGAGCGCCGCGTCGGCCACTACCAGCGCACCTTCACCTTCCCGACCGACGTCGACGCGTCGGCCATCCGCGCCCGCCTCGGCCAGGGCTTGCTGCGCGTGCTGGTGCCCAAGGTCGTCCGGGCCGGCTCTCGCTCCAAGCAGGTCGACATTGAGGATTGCGAGGAGTGAAGCGGGCGAGAAGTTGCAGTAACGAACGACGAAATGCTTCTTCTTTTTCTTTTTTTCCCCCTCTCCTGTATACGTTTGTATTATCTTTGTTACGGGGAAGGAGTCGAGAGGGCGGACTGTCTGGTGGATAATGGCGCTTTACCAATCGGCGCCTGCTTTCGTCTCTCTGCATCGGCGTTTGGCATTTGTGGAGGGTGGGAGGTGTTTCTTCTCCCTTGGATGCATGCATGTTGGAGGTCTGGTAATGGCGCATATACCCGGAAGGACTTGCATATTGGCGTCCTGGGTTTTGTCAAACGGCAACGGTTATGTTGGGGTTCTTGGAAAATTCTCTGCACATATTTCACGACGCTATACAATGCAGCATGATTCTTTCGCAATCTATCATTTGAAGCCCATGTTATGATTGAGAACAGCATTGCCGTGTGTGAAGCAGAGGAGTAGAGGCTGGGGAAAGCATTGCTCCTCCCTGTGTTGTTGCAGCCACTTCCACGATACGTGAGCGCGTGGTGGGCCCACTGCTCCTTCCGTATTCGGTAATGTCACTCGGCATTTCTATTATTGCGTCGGGCGAGTCCGCTGATGCGAACACCAACAGATCTCCGATTGTTTGGTGCGCTCACACGATGCAGGAGGGGCACCCGACAGACTGGATCCTTCCGGCATCTCTCGTGCCTTGCATCGGCAGCGGCGCGCCTCGCGCAAGGTCCCATGACTGCGAGCTACCTTTGTTGCCCGCGACACGAGGTGGGGCGCGGCACTATTGTATACTCAAAGACGCCGCACCGCAAAGGCGCAGCTGAAGCCACCACGATAAGATAAACCTGCTTTTGCAGGCAGGGGATTCCAGATCGCGATGTGTTCTTTCGATCATGAGTTCGGCATTAGCCCATATGGCGTTAGCTCAGGGGATGGTGGTGACGGGAGTGGTATCACGGATGCCAAAAGCTTCAGCTCGATGAAGATGTCGTGGAGCGCTGTTCTCGTCTCTCCTTGACCCACTGTCCGAACGGCCGCCAGATTGCTTCCTTTTCGGCTGGCGTAGTGGATGCTGCCAGTCCACTGGTAGCCGTGGCGACATAAACACGCGCGCCTTGCCAGACATCAGCGCCCTTGTCGTCTGCTACGCTCCCGGGTTTGGGTCTACCGATGTTCTCCCTTTCGTCTTGCCAGCCGTACTTGAATTCAGCCTTGGAGGGGTTGCGGCCGTAGCGCCATCGCCATATGGACTCCCATATGCCCTTCCCCACGATGCAGACGGCCTCGGGTTCATACTCCCGGATCTTCGCCTCAAGGATTGGCGTGCCGGCGGCTTGCTCTTGCTTGGAAAGCTCGGCCTCGTTCTTGCTTGGACGCGACACAAGGTTGGTGTTTCCCATTGAGTACAAGCGGGGCAGATCCACGTCCTCTTCCGGACGGCACAGTCGATCGGTCAAGCCCGATGAGTGCAGCAGCTTCCAAAACAGGTTTGACGGGTGGGCGTATGCATGGCCGGCGGTCGCCGTCCGCACACCGGGGTTAAAACCGACGAACACACAGATCAGGTGCGGCTCGAGAATGTCCGTCAGCGGCTTGAGGTGGGCGTAGTGGGACGGCGGGGCATATTTGCTGGACACACGTCGCTTTTTCGCGGGAGATTGCGTGGCCGCGTCGTCGGGGCGGGTGGTGAGACCTGGACTGGTCCTGGCTCGCTTCAGGCCGGGTCTAGAGGAGCTTGTTGCTTGCGGAGAAGCGGTTTCCCCCGGACTGGTGGCCCCATCGTCGGGGTAGTGAAATTGCTGGAGGCGGCCGTTGAAAGTGGAGGCCGGTCGGGTGATGTCTCGTCTCTCGTGCTTGGTCGTGTCAAGCTCCGATCGTGTGTCGTCGCAGGGCGGCGTTGGTTCGGAGGAGGCGCCATTGGTGCTCGCGAGCTGGTCTGTTGGCCTTGCTTTGCTGGCGCGTGTCCGGGCCATGACTTGGGTGACTACAGAGATGACATGACGCGAGGCGAATGAGGCTGGAACGGCGTGGAGGAGAGGCGACGGGAGCGAGCAGCGTGTGACGTGCCGCACTACTGCCGCCTGGCCGGTGCGCGACTGCCTGGGATCCTCTAGCCGTATGCGGCATGGTCGGGCCACTGCACTACCTCCGCACCGCCAACCACTCTCCCTCCGTCCTCACTCACCTCGACCAACTCAAATCCTCAGGTCCTGCAAGGACCCGCTCCACTGCTTCGTATGACAGTCCACCCCTTGCTGCCAGAACCCATCAGGTTTTTGTTCTCTGACACGTCTTCCCTTGTTTGCTGCTGCTTGACACACATCATCTTTGCAAGGGACATGCCTTCTACTGGCTGTGGTACAGTAGCAAACTCTTGACTGACGAAACTTCCTCGATGCCTCATCGCCTGCCTTATACACACACACTGGAACTTCAGCTGCCACGCAGGCAGTGCTACTCTACATCCCATTTTCCGTGTCCTCCAATGGGCCGCCGTAGCTCCCTCAATCCCATCCTCCACGGTTACATCACACCCGTACCGAGCTGAAGAATGCGAACCTATGCAGCTACAGTCGCAGTTGTGCGCCAATGCCAATGCTACATTTCCGGACTTTGACCCCACATGGCCTCCGAGAGTAGACTGCGTACTACCTCCGTTTCCCCGCATCCGTGCAGCGCCGCCCGTCCTTTTCTTCGGTTGTACGGCCATTATTGAGGCTTTGGGGACGATTCGAAAAGTATAAAGAGCGGGACAATCAATCACTGAAATCTCCGTTTGCCACAACCAAGTGACTGCTCTGAAAGGCCAATTTACACACTCATAAGACATCTTCAGACCCCCGATCAACCATGCACTTCGCTAACCTGGCTTGCGCTCTTCTTTCCACCGCCATTGCGGTCAATGCATCCCCTTTCGCCAATCCCGACGTATCCAGCGCTCAGGGCCCACCCTGCAACAAGGACTTTTCCGACGAAGCCTGCGGCTCTTGTCACTATTTCCGCCAGTGCATTGACGATCGCACCAAGGCCTGGATCACCCCTTGGTATGCTTTCATAGAAGCATCTCTTAGCGAGCTGACTGACGTTTTTGAACAGCGAGGGGTGTGACCACACCTCTTGGTGCAACTGCACTGCTCCTCCCGATATCCTCGACCCTCCCCAAAACTTTCGATTCTAGGCGGATCACGGACGCCCCTAGTCAGCTGGCTCATTCGAAGGCAAGACCTTGGAGCATGATTACGGACCATCATGGTCTTTTTGGAGTCAAGACTTGGAGGGTGTAGGCTGTGTCATTAGTACCCGGAACGACTGGCTGTGGCAAACGAATTACATCTATACCAGAATTGATGTGTGCTGCTATGTGTCACACAAGTAGCCAGCCATGGAAAGATGACTATCCGTCAAACTTGCAATTGATCGTGCATCGCTCAATAGTAAATGTGGCTCAGTGTGGCCAAACGTGACAATCACAGTTCCACCAGGATAAGAGCTTTTTCCGCGGGAAGATGAATTTTATTTACAGGTGAATGTCAAGTATCTACAGTTTGCAAAAGAGCGGGATCCATTGCATCAACGCCCAACCCCCACCCGCTGAGACGGCCGTTCTCACTGGGGCAAAGATTGCTGGGCGTCGAGTACGCGTGGTCCGCAGGTCGGTCATGGAAGCCCAACGCCCCCCTGTTCCAAGGTCCTTTTTTCTGCCTTCGTCACAGTGATCTAGCAAGAGGGGAGAGCAGAGAGCTTGCCCTGAGCACCCTTGCAGTTTGCGGTGGTGGAAACCTTGGAGCTGCTGCCGCTGCCCTTGGTGACGCCCTTGTATTCCTGGCAGACCTTCTTGGACTTTCCGCACGAGTTGGAGATGGTAGCGGCTGTTGGAAAAGTTGCGTGATCAGCCAAATATCCCGAAACAGTGAGAGAGAATGCAGGAGAAGGGAGGAGGGAAAAAAATGGGACATGACTCACTGTCGCCGTAGTTGGAGTTGATGCCAACCAGATCAGAAGTGACACCGTTAGTGCGTACGCCGTCGAGGACGACGTTGCGGGGGCCGCCGTTGCCGGTGCAGTCGCCGCAGCTGCGGTACAGCTTGCCAACGTTGACGACGGTGAAGTTCTTGACGGTGACGGTGCCGCGGCCGTTGTGCTGGATGACCTTGTCCTGGGCCTCCTGCGCGCCACCGCCCTGGATCAAGACGTTGCCGTTGCCGAGGACGGAGATGGCGTCTGGAATGATTGAAGGTTCTTGTCAGTGGTTTTTTCCCCCGAATTGGCGCGCATCCCCATCCCGGAATCGACTCACCTTCGCAGACGTCACGGAACCAAACGTTGGTCAGGGTGCAAGCGCCCTCGCAGTGGATGCCCTCGAGCTGGTTCTTGCCGATGATGACGTTGGAAATGCTGGCGCCGTTCTTCAGGACGAAGACGGCGCTGTCGCTGCCAGTGTCGGCATCGGTGTCGCACGACCTGCCGCGGTCGTACTCCTGGTTGCCAAAGTCCTTGGATCCGGAGATGACGCTGGGAGCGGAGAGAGAGATGATGCTTCCGGAGCGGGTGGGAATGTTGAGAGTCTGGGCGGAAGCCAGAGCCGCCATGGCGGTCAGAGCGGCGTAGATGAACTTCATTGTGGAAGACAGAGGTAGAAGCGTGGAGTTGATGAGAGGAGCTGGAGTGTTGGGTTGAGATGGACTCTGATTCTGGTGCTTTCGAGCCTCCTTTTAAAGCCAACACCAAGAAGCGCTGGCTGCTGGGCGTCGTTTCATGGCTGTAGAAGTTCCCGTGTGTGCTCTTGATGCCAAGTACGTCTAGACCGAAAACAAGTCAACTCGGTGGCAGAGACGGCCGTCCGAAGCGGCACGCACGGAGGTGAGCTGTGGCGAGTTGGTCTCGTCCCGGATGCCAGCCGTAGGAGTAACTCGTATCTCAGGACTCCTTGGCCAGCAGTGATTCCGGACGCTTGAAGATGGCGTTACTTGGCACACATCCACGTACCTGCGCTGACTAGATGTTCCCGTTGGCCAACCACGCTTCAATGGGAAGCTCTGGTGACTTCGGTTTCTCTTGCCGTGGGTGGACGGTAGCCTGACTTCAATTTTAGGTAACCATTAAGGTTACCGAGTTTCATGCATACAAAAAGTATGCTTATTGTTTAGCTATGTGGATTGGCGGTCAGGCGGAAACAAAGATCACATCAATGCTGGGCTCGCCATAGGCTGGATCCGGCCGGATGTATGCGGTCCAGGCGATACGTCCGCATGGTTGAAGTCACATCTCCGGACCTCCGTTAAGCGATCTTGGCTGGAGGCGTCGGAAACGCGCGATCCAGGGTCTGCCCCGCCTAGGTCCGATATCCGGTCTCTGCCCTGCATGAAGAGCTACGTAGCAAAGCCGCCGATGCTTATCCAGTCTCCTGTGGCGCAATATCGTGGTTTCAGCAACGGGTTGGCAGCAGTGGATGCTCCCTGCTCCTCGTACCTGCCCGCGCCTCGGCCCGTGCAGCGGCTCGCGGGCCTCGGTGCCGCCGTAGTCCTTCCGCTGTTGCCAAGTAAAACCACACCAGCGGTCGAGGGGGTCCAATTGACTCGCAAGCAAACCACCGTGAGCTGGCCACGGCCGCCGTATCAAACGCACCTGTCCGAGATACCGCCAGCTGCGGCCGACAATCGGCAGCCCGGACAAGAAGCCTTCCGTAAAACACTTTCCCGATTGGGACATCTTGGCAGGCCCCTTTATGCATAACTCTCCGGACGCCACGCGCTAGGGTTCTATCGCTTCCTGCTGATACCAAAAAAAATAGAGATAATAGTCCGACCTTCTATGAAGGATTGCTCTCGCATTTCTTGGCAACAGTTGGGCAGGCGACTGGTACTGATCAGCTCATCGCCGACTTCCGCTCCGCCCGCACGCCCACGCTCCCCGCGTATGCACGCACCTTCGCTTAATCAACGTCAGGTCCCCCAACAAGTTGCCGCGGGGGCATTCCATCCGCCCAAGCCTTCAAGCGGTTCTCGGCTTGTTCTGGAATCCGAGCACAGCCACTCTCTGCCCCACTCCCCCGTTTCCGCTGCAGTCCAAGGCGCTTGTCCGCCGGGCCATTGGACACCGCAAGCGACCTTCCACCCACACAGCTTTACGTAGTAGGTGCGGGTAATCTTGCCAGAACCCAAACAGGCAGGCGTGAATACCAGCATTCTGCCGCTTCGCTTGTGAAGGGTGCTCATGTCCAAATCGGGACATGTGTATACCATTCACCGCGTAGTAGTATCGGAAAAGGGTCACAAGGCTCTCGTCGGAAAAGCGCACGCGGCAACCATCCAGAACCCATCGCCCTTGGCTGAGGCATCCTTGCCTCGGACTCAGCTCGGAAGATACGGCTGACGGTGGACTATTCTTGCCCTCCAGCTCGTCTACACGTTTCCTGCGCCCCATCCCTCAACTTCGACTTCGATCGATTTGGGCCATCATTTTTGAATCCGTTATTGGATATCTTACACGCAAAGCTACCTGGAATGAGAAGAGCAACCGTTCATTATTCGTCCCATCGTCATCGCTCTTTCCATGCCTCGTTTCATAGCCGCCGATAATTCCACCCAAGGAAAATTTCTCGTCGTCGGACTTGACAAATGCGTCCGAGCTTTCGAGAAATCGAATTGCAATGAGCGCACGCCTTTAAAGAAAACTCCCCACTCATTATCATCCCCATAAAGAAAAAGAACTGTAGCCCCCGCACGGATTAGAAAGGACATACCAAGGCGAATAGAGAACTGGGGGGCCATGTTCAAAGTGTTCAAGGAAGGGTGGGTTATGTTACCAAACAGAACGCGAATCCTCCACTTTGTATGGAGTAAAGAGCGGCCATAGCCGTAGAAAGCAGCTGGAGAAAACCTATGCCATTGCATGCCAACCACATTTGGGTCGGGAACGTTAATTGTCCGCGAGGCACCACACCCCTGAAAGGGTAATTAGTCTAGAACATTAGGTTTGGCGTGGTTGGAAAGTTTCAATTGATGGAACCATCGAAGGCCGTGGTTCAATCGAAAATCAAAAGAATCAATGACTCAGGCATCAAGCCTGTCTTGGGTGAACTTGTTGCCTGGGAGTGACTCCGGAAGACCTGGAAGTGGGGTGTGCATGGGCATGCCCGAGACCAGAAAGGATCACTGCACCATAGTAGATGGGCGTGAGCTCTTCTGACGTAGACTTGTGCGAGAACAGGCAAGAGTGCCCATGAGTCCAGATCCATGCGAATTGGTGAGGATCTTGTTGATGGCGATAAGGCTCTGCCGAGTCATTTCTTGGTGCATACTCGCCTCGCGAGCGGCTTGTGCAGCCTGCTCAGCCGCAATCTTTGCATGCTTTGCGCTGTCAATGGCACCAAGCATGGCGGTTGCCACAGAGAGCAGCTGGTGCTTCTTGGAGTCGTCATCTTGCTCTCGGGCCATCCTAGTCACGCGCATTGCCAGCGCCGTGGTCTGAGTGAGTTCAGATTCATGTGCCATCTCTGGCGGCGGCAACGCGGCTATGCACTCAGCAGGATGCTTGTGGTAAGCTTTCGTCAGTGTTCCGGAGCGACCAGGGCTGCGTCGGCACGAGGGCGTTTTGGCCACCCTATATCCAGATCTCTTTCCCAGCTCCGACGTTGGGCTTCCACTTGAACCGACCGTTGTGTTCAACCGCTTCTTCTTGTCACTTGGCTTGCCTGCGCTTCTGCCATCACCCTTCTTGTGGAAGAGACCACGGAAGCCAGACATGGTAAGCTTGGCCCTGGACACGGACCGCTTCTCTCCAGCTACGGACTGCGACGCATCCGTCATGGTCTGCGCCGAGCCTAGGCGTGCAGAGGAGCTATAGCCATTCGAAGGCTGAGGAATGTTCGACGGAGTTGCACTGTAACCATTTGAAAGGCCGTAGGGGCTTCTTAAGCCACTTGAATCAACACGTCCGGATGAGTCGCACTTTCGAATCGAGGGGGTTTTGGACGGGGCTTTTGAAGCAGGCCTGTAGTCTTTGGCTGGAACCGGCGGGCGTGATGAAGCTATAGAGATAGCCGATGTCGAGCGCTTCATGTTCGCAGCGCCCCGCGAGAGGTTGGTGACGCGCTTGCTGCTGACGCCGCTATGGCCCGAGTCGGAACGGACTAAGCCACCGCTGCTGCCATGAGCCTGGCTATTTCTAAAGACATCGCTATAATGGGCACTGTTTGGAGACTTGTGATCTTTGTCCACATAAGCCCGAGCGAGCGCAGCGTCTTGCTTGAGTTGAGGGTTCTCGGCGCCCTTCCTGTGGCCACCCTCAAGCATAGCAAGTGTTTGAGAGACTGCAGCAAGTCTCTCGTGGTCGTCAGGGAAGTTCTCCTCGGCTTGGCTTGCACTGGGTTTGCGAACCGATCCATCATCAAGCCGGGGAAAAGAATCAGAACTGTAATGCTTCTGCTCGGCTGCAGATCCGACTGTGAAGTTTTCAGCCTGGATCGAGTCCGAGCTGCTCTGATGACGCAGTGTCTTCGAAGGAGCTGCATTTCTCGATTTAGCACGCATACTGCTGCTCGCATCGCTTTGACCAGAGGCCTTACGGTGCTCGTTGGTGACGGCCCTTCGGTGCAAGTCGCGAGATCTCTGGCCCGATGATCTAGCAGACGCAGAACTGACTGGAGGGACGGGAGGCGAGGGCGTCGTTTTGCGTCCCATGACCAGCTCGTCGGCGTCTGGGGAAATGGTCAGCGTGGGTCCATAGTTGGACATCAATCCACTAGATCCGCCAGAGGAAAGGCGCTTCGTACGAATGCCCTCGTTGCTCTCAGTCTCTACCCAAGTCAAGCTCTCTGTCCGACTCGAAGGTCGTGAAACTGTGGTTTCAGTCTGTGCAGACAACATCGTGGGATCGGCATCAGTGTCGGCACTAAGATGCTTATATTCTCTGACATTCCCGCTGAGAGTAGGTCGACGCTGCGGGCCGCGTCTCATGACTGTGTTGGTATCGATGTCTTGATCAAATCTTCCAGTGTCGACGCTTTCAATTGTAGACAGCGACTTGCCACCCAGAGAGGAAGGCGTAGATACTTTGGCCCTGAGAGTGAAGACTGCAGGACCAGAGGGTATCGATTGCGGAGATGTGGTGCGAGAAGGAACGGGTATCGCGCTTTTCTTGCGTTGCGTATTCTCCTGGTGGTCGACGGGAGAGCGAGGGGGGGCCATGGCCCTACCAGCGGATCGCGGCTCAGGAGAGGCTGACTTGGGCGCTTCCATGCGAGGATATCCACGAGGGTGGTCTGATTCCGGCTGACGGGACACCTGGCGCGTGTTGTGGGCTTGTGTAGGGCCACCGGGGCGAGGGTTGCCACGCGGACGAGGAATGGCGCCTTTGTTGGTGACCGGAGGTCTACGTCCAGGCCTAGATTTTGGGGAAGGAATGTCGACCAACTTGGGCCTCGGCTGAGGAATAGAGGACCCGGCGGTGTGACCAGCCGAGTTGCTCGTTAGGTTAGAGCTCTTGGGCGGTGGGGTGGGCTGGTTGACGGGAAGCTTCGTGTCTTGACTAGATGTTCTCGACGGGGGAGTTGAGATCTTGTCTGTATGGCCACTACTCGGCAGGATATTCTCGGTACTCGATTGAGCCACCATCTTGATTGTAGGCCGCTGCTTGCCGGGTGAAGCGGGAGTCCGGCTGAGTGTAGCGTCCATGGGCATGCGACTCGATGCGGAATGTTGCTTTGGCGATGAAGGCACAGGATCAGAGTGAGAGGATGTTCGGGGAGTGCCTGGTACCGCGGGTTGAGCGGGGGAAAGAGTCGGCCAGTCGTCCTCGACGGAGGCGCCTGACGGACGGCGAAGAGGCTTTTCCGATGCGTCGATGAGTGTGCGCGCCTCCTTGTAGGGGCTGGTGCTCACGACATGAGCGACGGGTCGGATCGGCAGCGGCTTATCAAGTGCGGAGCTGGAGGGCGCAACTTGAGCAGACGGCGATGGTGCTGGCTATGTAAATTTCAGCAAGCTGCACCATTCGGGTGGGGATCTGGGTCTTACCTCAATATGACGCTCCGGAGAAGTGGCGAGAATGCCGTTCGCGTCTCCGACTGGGCGAGCGACGTCGTCTGCGTGCTCGCCGCCAGGTTTCTTTGAGCCAAAGGCGGCCAGAGTCAAGAGTGAGTGAGGAGTCGGAGTACGACGGGGTCTGGGGGTGGCGGATGCTTGTGCGGCCGAGGTGGAGCTGCGGGAAGCAGAAGCAGTGGTGCTGATCATGAAGTGCGGATCGATGCTCTGCTCGGACTCATCGGCAGATGCAAGGTCGTGCTCGGGGAGACGGTGGTGAGAGAGATACGACTTGGGTCGGAGATTGTCGAGGAACTGGATAGAAGAGCGTCTCGACGCGTGCGCGTCGGGATCGCGCTCTCTCAGCGGGCCCGGCATGACGTCCGCGGCGGCTTCCAACACGGTAAGGTGTGAGAAGTAATTCTGATGGGCAAGCAAAGGAGCGGCTCGTTGGTAATAGGAAAAGAGCGTAAACAACGAATGAAGCTGGTCGGTAGAGCGAGGCTGCGAGAAGCCAGGCCGGAGACGGGCTGGCGTCTGGATCGCGGGGAGATGGAGGGAAGGGTCGACGGCGCCGGGGGCTCGCATATCGAACGGCAGTGACGAAATGCAGACGACTCGACCCGCACCGCCCGCACCACCGCTGGCAGCGGCGGCAGCAGTCGCAGTCTTGCCCTCGAGCAGCTCCCAGACGGCAGCGAACTGGGCCTCGGTCACATCTCGACCGCCCAATCTCTGGTGTCGCACTGCCATGGTTCTCTGCAATCATGCAGCCAGCGCACATGCAGCGGCAATGCACCTTCCCGTGGTGTGGTGGAGAAAAAGTAGAGCCTCAGCCTTGCAGAAAACACAGAATTCCACGAACCGGGCTGCCGGGCACTGGGGAGGTGGGCTTAAGTACGACATTTCACGAAAAGTGAGCGCCGTGGAAAACAAAAGCGGGCGTCAGCTTCGAGGGCGCAGCCATGTCTTTATTTTTTCTCTTAAATTGGTAGCTACGAGGGGTTGCTGGGGAGCGCCCTCCGCCTTATGGCGCTCTGACACGCGGGCGACCGGAGCGCATGCTCGACAATCTGTGTGGCGGGTTCCTGCAGAGCGGTGCATATAGATGGGCGCCATGTCCGGCCCATTGGGGGCGCGGCCGTCGTACAGACATGGGCCAGGGCGAGACGCATTTTCGTGTACGCTGTTGGAGGCGTCAGGAAGCGCGGCCGCCAGGCGTGATAGGCCAAAACCCAAGTGTACAGTCAGCTCGAGATGCGATCAAACAGAGGCGGATGATGGGCTTGTCTCGAAGAGATGAGAAGCTGCAGCGGAGGCAAGGGAAAGCCCGACGTCCGCAGCTGCCGTTGTGCCACCATGATCTGCGCGCCGCCGGCGAATGTCTTTTCCGACCAGTCGCGTCGCGCTCACGCGCTCCCGCGCTCCCGCGCTCCCAGCTGACAGATGCCTGACGTTTCAGGAAGAGGCCAGCTTGAACGCCCTCTTTTTCCCGCATTCATCCCCGCCCACCTCGCCGGCCCGTCAGAACCTTGATCTCTCAAGTCATGTAAAGCAGTTTTCTGCCACTCTTCCCGTCTTTTCCCCGCACAATGGTCCACGACAAGGCTGCGAAGGAGGCCTTCGTCTCCAACCTTCTTGGAGGCACAGTCTCCGAAATCAACCTCGTCACTCTTGTCGCACCGGTGCGCTTGATCCAGATCCCCCCCCCAACTTCCAAGCTAACGTCCTCTGCAGTCAGCGCTTCTTCTCTGGTCTGTCTTGCAAGCGCGCCAAAACTTCTTCACCCCTTACACCGTTGCCGCTTGCGCAACCGACATCCTCCTCAACTGCATCGCCATCCTCCTTGCGACCACGCTCTATTCCTGGTCACCGCTACTACTCAACGCTCTTCTGATTGCTCATGCTGCATTCGCCGCCTTCACATCCGCTCCTCCGAGCACGCACAGCCACCCTCGCGTCCCTTCGCCTTCGCGAGACGCCGCGCCTACAAAAGACCCGCTTCCCCAGAAGCCATTCGTAACAGCATGGAGGGGCGCAATGATGATTGTGACATGCGCTGCAATCCTGGCTGTTGATTTCAGGGTATTTCCTCGGCGCTTCGCCAAGGTGGAGAACTGGGGCACCTCTCTGATGGATCTGGGAGTTGGCTCATTTGTCTTCTCTAGCGGCGTCGTCTCTGCGCGCGCCATCCTCAAACAACAAGCCACTGGTAAATCCTTGCCATTGACTACGCGCCTTTACGCTTCAACGAGACACTCCTTGCCCCTCCTTGTCCTTGGGCTGATCCGCCTTTGGACTGTCAAGGGCCTTGAATATGCCGAGCATGTGACCGAGTACGGCGTGCACTGGAACTTCTTCTTTACTCTGGGCTTCTTGCCTCCATTTTTGGCCCTCTTTGAGTCCGCATTCGTATTACTTCCGTCCTTCACGGCCTTGTCCATAATCCTCGGTGTTACATATGAGGGCGCACTGGATTTCACGGACCTTACGGCTTTCATAGTGTCGGCCCCTCGAACCAACCTTTTCAACCAGAATCGCGAAGGCATCTTCTCCTTCTTCGGATATCTTGCCGTCTTTCTTGCCGGGCGCGCCACCGGCATGAACATCCTACCCCGGGATGTCGGCGCAGATGAGGCTCCCACCGCCGAAACCGACAGCAATCGTGGTCGTACCTCTCGGCGCGGGACCAACCTCCGCAAGAACTGCCTGAAGCTTACGCAAGCATCTCTGAACGAACTCCGCGGTGAAATCAGCCGCGTGCGATTCAACCCCTTGCGCATTTCCTTTGCCTCTCTTCCTCAAACGAACCAGCTCTACGGGATCCTCAAGCGCTCTGCTTTCGGCCGTCTTCTCTTCTGGTCCATCATCTGGAGCACCATGTATATCTTCTCCACTAGCTATTATGGTCTTAACCTACGCGTCTCGCGCCGCCTCGCCAACCTTCCGTACTTTCTCTGGGTGTCGGCCTTCAACTGCAGTCAACTCGCCTTATTTTGCGCCATTGAGACAATCTTCTTCCCCGGCATCTACTCGGCGAAGACGCAAAGCGAAGAGAGCAAGAGAGCAAAGGAAGCGACAAGCAGAGTCCTGAATGCGTTCAATAGGAATGGCTTGGCCATCTTCTTGTTCGCTAATCTGCTAACTGGACTGGTAAATCTGACCATTCCGACGCTGCGAGTCACTCAGATGCAGTCAATGGCTGTGTTGGTGGCATATATGAGCGTTCTGAGCGGTGTGGCGCTGGCTTTGGATGCGTACAACATTAGCATCAAGTTGTGAGGTGTACATAAGATGAATTGATTCAATGAAGTTGGACACCAACGGTTTACTACTGTGGGTTACCACTTATGCCACTCATGCACTTCGCCATCTGCGGGTTCTGGTTGGCTTTGGACAAAGCTGAGGTAAGAGTATGTCTGACGTCAGAGTACTCATGGTATCAACTACTTTCCAGACGTCAGCCGTTCCTCATACACGTCCCATGCAGCCTTCCGATACTGCTCCGCCTTCGCCGCCGGATCCTGGGCATTGCATATGCCCGTACCCACGATGACCAGATCACAGCCCCTCCGCATCAACTCCTGAGGCGACACGTACCGCTGGCCCAGCGCATCGCCGCCCGCCCACTCGGACCCATCCAACGACTCTTCTCGCGGCAGGGCACACCCAGGCGTCATGACGACAAAATCATCATCCGGCATCTCGTTCAGCGGTTCCATGGCGATGAAGCCCATGACGAACGCCCGGCGCCGCCGCGCCATGTCGACGCACGCCCTCGTGTATCGCGAGTCCAGCAGGTTGTTCGCCGACGACATCTGCGCCACCACCAGCAGTGCGCGCCCGTCACCAGGCTCTCCACCCGATCCGTTCCGCTCCACCCACTCCGCCGCCACCCCCTCCAACGCCCTCAGCACATCCTCCCCGGCCACCGCGTGCGCGTTGACCACATGCGCCCACTCGACGATCCGATGGTCCCCGCCCGCGTACTGCGCCTGCACCGTGAAGCCGATGTCGGCGAACTTGCGGTCCTCGAAGACGAGGAAGCGGTGCCGGCGGGCGAGCGCGGCCAGCTGCGCGCCCGTGCCGCGCTCCGGGTCCGGGTCCCAGCCGGCGTGCATGTCGGCGTGCGTCTTGAAGACGGCGATGGAAGGCCCGACGGCGGCGGCGAGGGAGAGCATGGCCGAGGCGGTGGTGACGTCGGCGCTGACGCAAAGGGGGGATTGTTTGGCGTGGATGAGGGTGCGGAGGTAGGCTGTGAGGGGGTGCGGCGAGGACATGGTCGGTTCTTTTGTGGAAGGGGGGGATTCAGATGTCTGCTTCGACTTGCCCATGATTAGGGATCAAGAATGGGGTAATATACTAACTTTTAATCAGATAAGCGAGTGTAGTCACTCAACAATACAATATCCCATGCGCCTGCAGGTGGCACAAGCTCGTATTGACCGTCTATCTTCTCGAGCGGGGAACCCTGTCTGTCTCGCTTCCTGCAGACCGTTTTAATACTCTCGTTCGTAGCATTTCCACTAGCTGGTATCAACATTCATTTCCGATGCCATGGCTATCAAGCATTATTCTCCGCGAAAGGTTGCCTCGGCCGTCCGTGTAAGGTGGTCAGCGTTCAGAGCCGCCACACGGAGTACAGAAGAGTTTAAGAAGTACATGCAAACTCGTGACAGCGATGAAGCCGGTGCCTGGTCGTGGAAAAATGAGGGTTGGCCTCCTTCGCAGTCCACCAGCAGCTGGGTCCACTGCTGACAGTGGCCAGACCTTCTGCCAACGCCCCGCAGCAAGCGAACCTGGCGTGCCCGGCATTACATCTTCTTCTACAGCAGCCTCGCCATGGACAATTGGACCCTGGGATCAGCCATGGTCGGTGTTGGGCTCAACTGGTGGCAGGCCATCGTAGCCGTCTTCATTGGCGAAGTGCTCCGCTCGGTAGCTGCTGCTCTCAACTCGCGCTGCGCTGAGGTCTACCACATTGGCTTCCCCGTCGTGGCCCGCTCTGTCTTCGGCATGTATGGTGCATATTACGCAGTCGCCGCCCGTGCCGTTCTGGCTGCCATCTACTATTCACTCAAGAGTATTGGCACCATGACCGTCACAAACACGCGCTGACAGTCGCCCAGTGTACGTCGGCTCCGCCTTCATCGTCAACATGCTCCACGCCGCCTTCGGCTCCTCGTTCACCGGCATCCCCAACCACCTCCCCGAGTCCCTCGGCCTGACCACGCAGCAGATGCTCGCCTTCTTCCTCTTCTGGCTCCTGCACATCCCCTTTGCCTTCCTCCGCCCCAACCAGCTGACCTGGCTCTTCACCCTCAAGATGCCCGCCATGCTCCTCGCCACCCTCGGCCTCTTCACCTTCTGCATCGTCGCCACCCGCGCCACCCTGACCACCAGCGTCCCCCACCCCACCACCACCACCCCCTGGCTCTACCTCTACGCCATCAACTCGGTCCTCGGCGCCCACTCCACCCTCACCACCAACCAACCCGACTATTCGCGCTGGGCCGCCACGCCCACCGCCTCCACCTGGCCCCTCCTCGCCGCGTGGCCCCTCTCCGCCACCCTCGCCACCGCCCTCGGCATCCTCGCCACCGCCGCCATCAACCGCGCCTGGGGCCTCACGCTCTGGAACCCGTGGGACCTGCTGACGGCGGTGCTGCAGCGGCACTGGACGGCGGGCGCGCGCGTCGGCGTGCTCGCCTGCGCCGCGCTGTGGGCGCTGTGCGCGCTCGGCACGAACGTCGCCGCCAACATGGTGCCGCTGGGCGCCGACGCGGCCATGGTGCTGGCGCCGCGCTACGTCGACGCGCGCCGCGGCCAGGCGCTGGGCCTGCTGCTCGCGTGGGCCGTGTGCCCGTGGTACGTCTACGCGTCCGCCGCCGTCTTCACGCGCTTCCTCAGCGGCTACGGCCTCTTCATGGGCGGCCTGACCGGCGTCATGGTGGTCGAGTACCACGGGTGGGTCCGGGGGAACGTGTTCGTCGCGGACCTGTTTGATGGCGGCCGCTCCAATCCTCACTACTATTATGCCCGCGGCTGGAACTGGCAGGCCTATGCGGCCTATCTCTGTGGCATGGCGTTGGGGTTTCCGGGGTTTTGTGGGAGCCTGGGGGCCGAGGTGTCGGCCGAGGCGAGGAAGTTGGGGTATTTGGGGTGGTTGTTGGCGTTTACCGTGTCGATGGTTGTGTACTCCGGGTTGTGTTGGGTGTGGCCGACGCAGGTCCAGCTGGATGTCAAGAGACGGGGGCTGCGTCGAGAAGAGATGGCTTTGTGTGATGCGGACAATGACAGAGATGCAGACCAGGCATTGGAGGAACAGTTGTCTGTCCCAATCGCCATTCCAGTTGCGTCATCTTAGTACGCGTGGATGGCTATATGTTGTTTAGCTGAAAAAACACCAGAAGAGCGCCTTGGATGCCTCTGCCACAAAAGCCGACGAGGGAGAAAGTGACGTAAATGAGGGCATGAACATGGATATGAATCAGTTGGTGGATATTCCTTCATGTTTTCAACCATGTGGTCGCTATGATGTTAGTCCGGCGGTTGCCTTGCGAGGCGCTACAGTGGAGAATTGGATGGAATGAAGCGGTGGCTAGCCCGGCCTTCGGGATGGCGGATGGCTACGAGCATTTCGTGCTACGTAGAGTGCAGGAGGGTCTCGTATAGAAGTGCCGGGAGCCACCCTGCAAGTGCCGTTGATCCATGAGGCCGTCACAATGCCAGCGCTCGTTCGCCACCGCCCCTCCACCGCGCAACACTCGCCTTTTTTTTTTGCCGATGGGGGATGAACAAGGGCCTGGAGGCTCAGATGAGTGCATCCGTCGAACAGGGATTTGCCTTCCTTTTTCCTGTTGGTGTTTCACGATTCCCAAGGGATTCCCGGCCAGATCTCGGAGGCTGGCAAGCTCGAAAAACGGTTGGAGCTGCGACGTCACGGACGTATGCCCAGAACTCGGGTATGGCGGGGGCGCGGCTCTATCCGGGAGCCGGGATGTTGCTGGTCGAGAAAAGGGCCGGTGCGTTGCTAGTCCCGTGGTAGTAATGTAGTGGCTGGACTTCACACCCCGACCTCTTTCCCCACATTGCCATGGAGCAAGCCAACGCGAGTCAAACCACGCTCGGTTTCTGTTAGCAATGTTGGCAGTCGCAAGGCGACCATTTGGAGAGTGAGCGGGTTCGCCAAGGGCCCCTCTGCTCCACTGCTGCGCATGTCTGATTACGTTAAGGCCGAGATCAAAGACCAGCTCTCGAGAAGACTACCGCCGCTGGCGCCGACTATAACGTCCCGCGTCATGTACCTTCGTCATGTTGGAGAAAAACGAATAGAGAGCATGCGAGAAAGGAATGAGAGAGGAAAGAGGACAAAACTTGCTTCTTTGCATTACTGTATAACACTGATGGTGAAGAAATGAAAGCAACCTACCAAACGCCTTTGCTTGAGTGCTCATCCCCAAACCGCTTGTCCCAGATAGCCAAGGTGCCTTGAAGGTAAACGCCGTTCAACTGTAGGTACGTGACTTATCGTCGCGCCGATACGCCGAGGCATTCCGAGTCGCACGACAGCGCCTCGTGATGCATCCTACAAGTACACTTTCTTCGCGTCTCTTGGGTGGCTCTCGCCCGGGCAGTACGGACACTTGAACCTTGCACCTTTGCTGATCCTGTCGAGAGACTCCTTGGCGATGACGTGACCGCAGGGCATCATCATTGGAGGGTTTTGGTCCGTCGTTTGTTCTTTGGATACCGGGCATACGAAAATCGAATGGAAGTAGTACGAGGGTGGCAGGGGGATTTCGACCTGTCCATGTTAGGTTACACAACATGCCGCACTGCGTGTGATCGGCGCAGATGACTTACCGGAAGCTCGTTCTGGGACGTCCATTCCGTCTTTTTCTCCCGCATGATACTCTGCAGCTTGAGCAGGGTCGGAAGAGCGATGGCACCGGCAGTAGCAGCGATGTACAGTGGTGAGTCGGCTGAAAGGCCGAGGAGCGAGCAGAATTCTCGAGTGAATGAGTTGGCCACCTCTTCGAAGGCATGCTCGTTGTAGAAAGTCCGCTTATAGGGCGAGTCGCTCAAGTTCTCCCAGAACGGCATGGCCCCGATAAGCTGCTGTATGTCCTTGGCATACCGAGTCTGAAAGGCGCCGAACTCACTCCTGGCGTAGGCCCACGCACGCAGCGGACCTTGGTCAGGCTCGGAGACGGAGCCGTCCAGTTCGTGCCCCATGAAGAGACAAACATACTGCAGCCGGCAGAGTTCAAACTCCAAGTTGCTTCCCCGTGCCTCCAGCTGCGCGCTGTGCTCTCTGCTCCATGCGATGGCGGGCTGGAGATTCTGCTGCTGCTTCAGCTCGTGCAGAATGTGATACATTTCCGCAAACTGCTGCTGCAACGCGCCGCTGTCCATCTGACCGCCCGTGAAAGCCTTCTCCCATTGTTCGGCTGTGTAAGTGTGGGTGTCGTTTGCGGTCAAGGACGGCTTCGGCGGACGAGCCTTCGATTCGTCGATAAAAGTCGAGGCGACGCCGAACTGGCCTTCGCGCAGGAGGTGCATGGCTATAGCACGGTTGACGAGGGAGGGGTGTGCGGAGAGGGCATCGTTGCCGGCGTCCGGGAGAGGCTTATCTTTGAATTTCTGGCATGCAGGTTAGCCATCCTTCGGGCGGACGCAGTTGCGGCGGTGTACCTTATCGAGGGCCTTCCCGTACTTGCCCAGCGCTGAATAAACCTCCTTGAGGTCTTCGTTGACCTTCTCGAACGATTGCTTGACCGGGGCTTGGGCCTTCGCAAGCGTCATCTGGGCCGACGCCGGGTCTGCGGCCATGTCAGTTGGCGGGTCCCCGGGCGGAGGCAGAGCGACGCACCGTCCGCGACCTGGGCGCGGGCTTTGACGAGCAGATCGATGGTCTTCTGGACGTCATTGATGCTTTTGCTGAGGTTGCCCTTCTTCTGGAGCTTCTCGTGCTCGGTCTTCAGCGTGTCCATGGCGGCGGCGGGATGTCTGGTGGCGGCGCGGATCAGGGACGGAGCGGGGCGGCGGGCGAAGTGGCGTGAAGGAGCAGTGGGGGCTGCTCTAATGCGACGTGGTCAGCGGCAAGCGATGGGGTCACATGGGATGTTGCCATGTTCAGCGGCAGGACATGGTGTTGAGCGGCGCTCGAGGGGGACCGGCGAGAGCTTGTGACCGGGGCTGTGACGTTGCGCCGCATCGCGACACGCTGCCCGGGCCGTGCCTGTGCTGCGCAGCCCTCCCATCGCATGCCACACGGCACGACGAAAAGACCCCAGGCCGATCTCTCCGCCCGCACTGGCCTGCCCGCCGCCGTGTCAACATGGGCGCGTCCGTTCGAGCGCGCAGCCAATACCACCGTGCTCACTCCTAGTCCTGCCGAGCTCCAGCTCACCCGAACCTCCACCTCCCCCGAGGTGCCCACCATGCCGCGCACTCAACTGGAGCTCGACCCTCGCGACAGTGGACCTGCGCCGGCGCCCGCCGGAGCTCCTGCGAAAGAAGTGGACCCACGCGCGTCCACCGAAGCTCGCCGCGACGCTCCCGACGCTGGCCAGTCGGCCGAGCAGCTGCAAAGGGGCCCTGTCCAGGCAGGCCACCAGCGCTTCGTTCTGACCGACAGCGTCGCCTTCAGGCAAGTCTCGTAGGCCTGGCGTAGGCCTTCGCTAACAGCCTGACAAGATATCTGGAAGAAGACCCCTCCACCGTCGTTCTCGACCGCCGCCGCGTTCTCGAAGGCTACGAATGCTACATTGTCGAGCAATGGGCCTGCGCCCGCACGCATCCCACCTTCGTCATCACCACTTACACGGGCGATCTGTCCCACAAAGTAGTTGTCGGGGTTCTCAGTGTCCCCACCGACGAGAAGAGCTGGTCATTACGTCTCCGCATCTACTTCAAGGCCCTCAACCAATACCATGCTCGTCCTCGAGATACCCCTCTTGGCACCCTGATGATCACAAATCTGAGCGTGTTCCCATCCTCGTTGACTGTTATCTCTGTTCCGGATGGCGATGTCCGAAAACACCGCGAGTCTTTTTTCGTAAACGAGAACCTGAAGAGACTGGGATGCTCTGGCCGGGTTGGCATCACGCTCGCTCCGCCAAGCGGCGCTACCGAAGCCAAGTTCCAGCAGCTTTATCGCACGAGTGAGAAAATCCCGCTTGCTGGAGCTGTCGTCGAGCTTGTGAAGCTATGCCAGGTCGCGCTGGTTCTGTTTGGCAAGCTGGAGCCAGAGTATGCCGACGGCTTGCTCTGCGACGTCACCGAGAGGGCTGTGAATGACTGGTGGGTTGAGATTGGAAACGAGTACTACAACATAGAGCCCCACGACGGCATCTTGGGCCCCACTACCGTATCTGCTCTGCTCGGCACCTTGATAGGAGCGCGTAACCGCCTCAATGCATACGGAGCCCCCATCGCCAAAGACGTCTTTGACGTCGAAAACACGAAGCGAGGCATCGCATATTTCCAGAAATCCCAAAGACTGCAGAAATCGCGCCGCCTGGATCGCAAAACTCTAGGCCTACTGCACCGCGCGACCGCCAAGACTGCGAGTGGCGAAGGCTGGACCGTGCCAAAAGCTGTGAAATCCACCGTCGCCGAACTCAGTGGCAAGGGTGGAGAAATGGTCATGGACATTGTCGGTGGCAGAGACAAGGCTGGCATTGCCGAGGTGGAGACGGTTGACATCGAGAGATTCGTCCAACTGATCCACGGAGAGCGGTCTAAGTGGCTGTGGTATGGGAAACCAAGGAAGCACCACGGTAACATGTTCAGCAGACTTCCTGAAGAGGATACCAAAGCACATCGCAGAGAGTTCAAGGATGAAGACGACCCAGTACCTGCGATGGTTCAACGAAGAGAGTCTACCGCCGAGGCTCCCAGACTATGGAAACGAGATACAGCGGCTTCTGTTGACAAAGACTCTCCCGAGGACAAAGAGTCACGGATCAAAAGAGCCACAGGGAAACTTGGTGATGCTCGTAGTGGGATTGGAGGACGGCTCAAGGACGTGGTCGGGTTGCGTAGCCATCAGCACAAGCACCCCAAAGTCGAAAATGACCCCATGGTTGTTCCAAGCAACAACAGAAGCACGAGTCTCTTACGTCAGGCCAGCACCAGAGAGGACCGCGCGACCTACCCACCTGAACCGAGTCCACGAGCCTCAGCGGACATGTCAAGCGCAGCTGAAGACACGGCGATGGACCGCCCGAAGCAACCGCAGGGACAATTCACAAAAGTTCTTTCAGAGACGCCTATGGACTCACAATTAAAGGTCTTTGATAGTCGGGACAGTCTGCCTGCCGGTGACGAACAGCCGGAACTTGGTGCAATCCTGACAAACGAAGGCACAGCGCTATCGCGGACGGATACGGCCGAAGGGTCCATCGCAGGGTCCATCTACCGCGGAATTGACTTGGATGAGTTGTTTGAAGCCAACGTGCAGTTCGAGCCGGGCCCGCTTTTGCGCCGCACCAACAGCTTTTCTCAATTGGTCATTCGCCGCAGCTACGAGAACCGATCCGAAGAGCGCTGGCCCCGCCGGCTTTCTCTTAGCATTGCGGAAGAGAGCCTCTTCCGGTGGCAGAGTGTCACGCAGGACTTGGAAGATGACGAGTCTGCTAACACGGATCCAAGGAAGCAGCTAGCATGTGAACTGCTTGCCGCTGAAGAATCGCGGCTCAACGGGGAGCGCCTTGGACGAATGGGTAATGTGGTCAACACATGGGTTGAGGGCACCCTCAGCCACGTGAAAGAGTTGAATGTCATGGCAGAGCGCGACCAGCAAGAGCTTGAAGAGATGTACTATCCGCGACTGGACGAATACAACTCGCTTCGAGAGGAATCGAAAGAAATGCTCGCACAAGAGCGCGCAGCACTGCATGAAGGCATCAAAGACATCGAAACCCTTGGAGCGAAACTCGAATACGAAGTCAACGCTCTGCGAGGAAAAGTAGAAGACGTCGAAGATGGCGTTGCGGAATTCGAGAAGCAGGTTCTCGTGGTTGAAGACATGGTGCAGTTGCTTGAAGACGAGTGCCGACCAAGAGAAGGGTGGCTGGGCTGGATATATAGACGCGTGACCGGCAGCGGGGAAAAACGAAAGGCGGAGACGTAATAATGTGAGGAGCCGCAGCATCTTGTCGTCACACACGCGATGTCTTGACTCGTGGGATGTTGGCTGCTGCGAAGGCGAGGGCACAACGGGCCACGACAGAAACCAACACAGCTCCGTCTCCCATGTGTGGATGCATCTGTACAGCTTTAATACTCGCATCCATATCCGGATATCTGCTTCAGCTCCTGCTCGTTTGAAGCTACACCTTCTCGCTTCAACTGCACACACCGAGGATCGCCGGAGGTCAGACACTTTCGCACCCCACAGCGAGGCCTGCAGGGACGAGGGCGGCTGCAGTCTGTCGGCATCGGTGTAATTACGTCGGCGGGGGCCGAAGCAGACTCTGTTCAAGGACGCTGAAACCGGGCCTTGCAGCGGTTGGCAGAATCAGAAGCTTCATCAGTCCGCATTAAAGCAAAGTCTTCGCCCAGATGAGGTCATTGGCTATCTATTTGCAGCGATGTCCTCGACTCCCGCACGATCTGCGCACGTCATCCGATCCAGTGTCGCTATCCCGAGACGACCGTTGCCTGCCTCGCGTGTTCCGCCGAGCTCCGCCCAGTGCGCCGCCGACTGCTGAAAACACAGTCCATGGATGGGCCTGTCTGAGGGCATCACGTGCTGCGCCAGGTTCCGGGCGGGCCAGTAACGGCTGCCGGACGGATCCTCTGACCAGGATGTGACAGAGCTGCAGTGGTGAGTTTCAACCGTGCATGCCAGCCTCGCCTAAACTGCGCTACTGGGCCCTGCGAAGATCAGCATCATCAGTCTATGCTTCCCCAGAGAACCCTGGCCCGAGCATGTCCCCTCTGTGCCGTCTCCCGGATGTGGCATCCATCTGTCCCGCCCGCTGAAGATCGCGGCTCTTTTCGTCACGATCGTAAGAAAACCGCCCCCCTCGTATGATCGGAGGCGACAGCTTACGGCTGCCGAGTCACGGTGCGTCTAGACGAGCACTCGGAATCAACGGGGGCCGGGGTCAGGGCAGACGGAGCGGAGAATGCTCCATCGTGCTGATCCATTCGACCTGGGAATCTGTTTCGACTGCCCCTCCGTTTTTAAGCCGCTCGGAGTCCCGTCCAGTCCTCTTCTTGCATGCCACCTCCTCGCTCGCCAAGTCCTCCCATCTTTATTCATCATGTCTCAAGAGCCGCAAGCCCCCCTCCCGAGCTACTATGGTGAAAGGACTCCAGATGGACGCATTGTCAAGCGTCCGTCAAGTGAGCTCCCGGACATGACGCCGTTGAAGTCCCCTCCTCCCCGGACCAGCTCTGAGCAGCTGGCTCCCTTGAGCTCCAACGCCATGATCCCCGAGATCCAGTCACCCTCGGAAGTTCTTTCCCATCAGAACTCTTTTAGCGGCCCTCGTGCGCCCAATGCCATTCAGCGTTGGGGTCCTCTCTCAGATCCTCGTGCTAGTGAACATGCCTGGAGGAGCACTCCCAGCAAGCGCAGGCTCGGGGACGAGTTTTATTATCCAGACTATCAAGGCCCCGAGCGTAGGCCCTATCACGACTACGATGATGAGCATCCTCTCCGCCGGAACGGTACAGCTAGTGCCCGATCGCTAAGAGAGTATCCCGGCCCCGGCGCCTTGGTCCACCGCAACGTTGCCTACGCCGAGAGGCCTCACGATGCCCCGTCGCCTCGTGACCCTCGTGTGCCGCGCCAGTATTCTGAAAACAGTTACGACTATCCCACCAGTCCCGGCGGCAACGGTTTCCGTGGACCGCCTTCTGACGCGGGAAGAGTGCTTCGTTTGCCCCTGATATGGTGGATGAACTCGGATGCAAAGAATCGTAAGAAGACCCACGAATGTTCGGCTGACGATCTTGCTAATATATTCTAGACTTTGTTGCTGCGGTTGGAGAGTTCGTTGGTACCTTCATGTTCTTGTTCTTTGCTTTCTCCGGCACGCAGGTTGCAAATATCGGGTCTCAGGACAACACACAAAACTCAACCACGGGCGAGTCAACTGGCTTCGACGTCAACACTCTGCAGTACATTGCGCTCGTGTTTGCCTTTTCGCTAATGGTCAACGTCTGGATCTTCTTCCGCATCTCGGGCGGCCTCTTTAACCCAGCTGTAAGTGGCGGTGTCATCTCTGTCCAGCCATTGTTGTACTGACTGTCTCTCATCTAGGTCACCTTTGCCATGGTCATGGTAAAGGCGGTTTCGATTCCGCGTGGACTCCTTCTCGTATGCTCTCAACTGGTCGGCAGCATCTTCGCCTCGTACATCGTGTCGGTTTTGTTCCCGACAGAGTTTAATGTTCGAACCACGCTTTCGGATGGCACCTCGACAGCACGAGGCCTCTTCATCGAGGCATTCCTGACCGCGGAGCTCGTCTTCACCATATTCATGCTCGCAAAAGAGAAGCACAAGGCCACCTTCATCGCGCCCGTCGGCATCGGTCTCGCCCTCTTCATCGGCGAGCTGGTCGGGGTATACTACACCGGCGGCTCATTGAACCCCGCTCGCAGCTTCGGACCTTGCGTTGTGAACGGCCAATGGGATTCAGAGCATTGGATCTACTGTAAGTCTCCAACACCAGAGCCAACGAGTGCGCGTAGTCGCCCATTGCTGACACACCGTCTGTAGGGCTCGGGCCGGCCCTGGGCGCCGTCCTCGCGGTGCTGTTCTACGAATTCATCAAGATGCTCGAGTACGAGATGGCCAACCCAGGCCAGGACGCGGTGCATGAGGAAGAGGCCAAGCACGAAGCCGAATCGCTCAAGAACAAGGAGAGCAAGATCTCGCTGGCCGCGCGCAACCGCGCCGACTCGATCATGTCACCGCCCAAGAAGCGGTACACCGGCGACGCGTGACTACATGGCGCCGGTGCATTGCCGACCAGGATCATGAGACGCTTCGGCCAGCTGTTCGTCAGTGAGGAGCAGAACAAGCGCTTGAGTTCCCATGGTTCGCCAGCCGGCGGCGATAGTAAAGATGATGATGATGAGCACAGCCCGCCCAGTTCGCAGGCATTGCGGCGCATTTCCACCGTCCGCTTTTCGGATGATCCGGCGGTCCCGGTTGGGCCCCCGAAGTGAGTGAGGGGTTTGCTCGACCCTCTTCGCTGCGCATTTGCATTAAGTTTGCAAACTGTGATTGGAGACTGAGACGATTTTATGAAGCGCTTGTTGGGTTTTGTTGTCATTCGCGCGCTTGCCATGACGATGCTTTTAGAAGCGAGAAAACTGTTTGTTTGCTTTGAAGCTTGGAGCTTGAGCAATGATGAGGTATACAGCCTCAAATCGCCTGCACAGCAGAGCTCGCTCCATGGGCTTCACACGGCGTTACTCAGGAACACGTTATTTTTATATTGGATAGTGTAACTCTGTCTGCTAGATGGATTACTTTGATTCAGATATTGACTTTGACCGTCGTCAATTCTGCATGGCTGAGATACCTGTCTGGTTGTTTAAATCTGGTATGCTTTTCAAGCCTGTTGAGCTGTTCGTTTGGGACAGTTTTGCCCTTGCGCATGATGAGCTTACCCAGTCCCCTGCGGCCTCACCATCCTGCCCTTTTTTTTTAAAAAAAAAAAAAAACCTGTATCTGCACATTTCAGCATTGGTCACAAACTCCATAATTCAGCACAGTCAAGAGGTGAGGCCACCGCCACAATTAGCTCCGCAGACAAAAAGCAAAGCTAAGGAAAGCAGGAGAAGCTGAACATGTACAGGCGCGTGTCGTGTGATTCTTCCTGCGTCTGGTTTACCTTTGCGTTGGTGCGCAGCCGGGAGAGATTGCATCGGAGGAGTGTTTTGGAAAAGAGCAGCGGCTTACGGCTTTAGCCATCCGCTGACGATGTTCAGGTACAACCCCTCTCATCGGCCTTGACTGATCACTCGGGCGAAACGGACTAGTGACGGTCGTGATAGTGAGTATTTAGAGCTGGTAGCGTGCATGCAGGCATACCCGAATCCATCACTGTCGTGGACAACAGAAGAGGGAGAGGTGATTGTGGGGGTGGCTGGCGGAAGAAAGGAGCTAGTTTTGCGGGACGCGGGACAGATAGTAGCAGTGTATTCCGTGTTCCTCGACGGGCGGAGGCTTCTAGCAGGTTGTTTATACTTTCTTGCCATGCGTGTCACAGCAGCCAAACGGCAATGAGCTGCGGCGCTAAGGCAGGCTCGTCACACGCGTGGTTCATGCACCTGTCTTTAGGGTCTTGATTGAGCGGCACCATGTAAGGGCGCGCCACGGGCATTGCGGTTGCCGGCGCCGTACTGGGCTTGCCTCATTCTCCCCTTGACTCACAACGTCTTCCTGCCTGAGGCAGCTGATACCGGGAGACAGGAGAAGGTTGTTGTTCCAGGCAGGGGCAGTGGCTGGCAATGCGGAGTCGACGGTACGTACACGGCGCCCCGGCTGCGGTCGTGGCAAAGTCGCCGATCATGGGTAAGCTGATCGTCGTCAAGCTGAGGGTGGCCACGCAGCAGGATGGATCGACGACGGCGTGACGGGACGGGCGAGCAAGGCCTGCCAAAGCCCCTGCAGGACGAGTCGTTCCTTCCACAGCCTGTGGCACGCTTGTGTTCGGCTAGCGCGTGGCTGCCTCCCACGGAAAGCTAAGAAGCCGGAGCAGAGCTTCATTTCGCGGCTCTGGCCAGGGACGGTCGGCGAGTCAGCGCGTACTGCCCAACCTATACCCCCGGTCTCAAATAATGGCCCAGTGCTGCGGTTCAGCTTGGTTGAGCCTCATTGGTCAATTGGGCATCGCCATTCCCAACCGCAGCTGAAAGGGGACAGCGACCATGGGGCCCGTTCCACAGATAACGGAGCTGATGGGGCGGTGTGTGTGGTCTGAGCTGTCATTCCAGGCAGAACCTGGCGAAGGATCTGGCACAGCACTGCGCGCTGCCGGGGGCCAAGAAAGGGCGGTGGTTGAGCAGTGGGGACGGGGTGCGGGTGTTCATCGCGCAGCCCTGCGACAGCCTTGTTTGTTCCTGGCAGCCTGCACGGAACGGGGCTGGATGCGACGACCAGGCCCGTCGCTCAAATAATCCAACGTGAAGATGCGCAGGGCACCACGGAGAACAAAGATGCGAATAGAGTTGTTCGCCTCCACAAACGGCTCCACAGCCACGGCCGCAGCAGGCACGTGCCTGATCGCTTGCCGGTTGTGGGCTAGCGCAGGAGCCTCAGGAAGTGGCTTTGATGATATCACGGACGCTGCTGCGACCACTCACAGCCCGGGCTGGCCCACGACAGGCTTGGCTGCGGTCAGACTCTCGCCGTCCGCTGCAACTTCCAGCGTTGCAACCTCATCACCCTAAGGATCGCACCTCCCGACATAGCCTATTTGTGCCCGTCATCATATATCCCGCCCCCCTCCGGCCCTGTGACGTGTTCCCGCCACCTTGTCGCACAAATACGCATCTGCTTCCAAACAACTCTACCCCCATATAACCACCAGACTACTCTCGGCCTTCAGCCTTATCGCAACCGTAACAAGGGTACCCAAGCATGAGGCTTCTGCGCTCAATTGTCGCCCTCTGTGCCGGCGCTTCCGCCGTGTCGGCACTGTCGATCCCCCGCGACGTCAGCGCCCTGGCTGTCCGCGCCACTGATGACGTCTCCACCTTCGCCGCTCGCGCCGCATCTCTTTTCGACTCCAAGGCTCTCGAGAAGCGCAAGGGTGGCGGAGGTCGTGGAGGTGGCAGCTCTAGCGGCGGCAGCTCTTCATCTGGTAGCGGTAAGTTTTCTGGCCCCTCCAACCCACGCGCATCGACCATCGGCACATTCACCGAACCCTGTGACTGACAGTGCATATGCAGGTCGCAGTGGCGGCTCGTCTTCCAGCAGCGGCAGCTCCTCGTCCAGCGGCCGCACATCATCCTCGTCCAACACCGGCGGCCGCACGTCGTCGGGCTCGGGCGTCCGCCCTGCCTACGGTGGCGGCGCCTACTATGGCGGCGGTTCCTCAGTCCCCTATACCGCAGGACGCGCCACGCCCCGCGGCATCAGCCCGTTCCTCTTCCCCGTTGCCGCTCTAGCCTTCCTGCCCGCCATCTGGCTGGCGTCGAGCGCGTACGGCGCCTACGGCTATCACTACAACCACCCGTACAGCTTCCGCAACACGTCCGACTCCAACAACAACGGCACCAACACCACCCTGCCCATCGAGTGCTACTGCCAGCAGTACACGACGTGCGGCTGCGACGACAACAACGACACGGCTTACTACAGCAGCCTGGTCGGCAACGGCAGCTACGACGCCTTAAACAAGAGCCTCGTCACCGTCGCCCGTGTCAACGGCACCGATACCCTCCTCATCAACGGCGTCCTACCCAATGGGACCACCGCTTCCGGCGGCTCCGACTCGGCCGCCCCGCCTGCCCTGGCTAAGTTTGGTGGCTGGTGGGCCTTTATCTCGCTCACCGTCTACGCCGTTTGCTTCTTGTAGCGGAGAAGACAAGAAAACCATGTTCCTTTTTTTTTTTTTTAATCTTCGTGGAGGGTAATCGGTGCACATATTTCTCGTTTGCCTTTCGCGACTATTACCTGCGTTGTACGGTATGAGGATGGTTCATGATATTAAGATACCCTTCACTTTTTTTTTTCATGTTTCATCACGAACGCTTTCCGAGTTGGGAGAAAAGGCCATTGGGGGAAAAAGAAGAAAATGGGTAGCATAAACCAACCCTCCTACGACAACTGTTTCCCCTCTTTCCATCCCCCCCCCCCTTTTTTTTCCCCCCATCTTCAAATGATGACGGCCGAATAGATTATTACAAATCACTATGTATTTCTTCAGGATGGGGAGAGGCCAGCGGCACACCGGGCTACACGTCTCATCTCCGCTTCTGTACCACTAGAACCATCAATAACCCCATCTTCAATAACGAGCTACCTCTTAGAAATAGTAGTAGTGGCCCACACTGTCTACTCATTGAACATGATTTCCATTGAGATGGGCGACGTTGGAGCAGTTAAAAGCGGATCATGACTACAGCGTGGAAGTGGAGTGATCAGAAACGAACCGTGAGATATCTTAGCAAACCCTAGGGGGAGGCAAAATGGTCGAGTTGGCTGTTCATTTAAGGATTTCTGACTAGCAATGCATTTTTGCGGGTATCAATATCCCAGACCGATAACTTTTTGCCACCCACATTGATCAATCTCGCGATGTACGCCCAGCACTTTTGAAAAAACTAAAAAAACTGAAAAAAACTGACCCCAGACGTGTCGGTGTCCTGCCCACCGCCTAGGCGTGGTCGCGTTGAACTTCACTGGGGAATGTTGTCGTAACAGTAGAATAAGAGAGGTCAGCTCTCAAGGAGGATGCTCGCCGGAGAACTTTCTGCTCGACTTCCCTCTGCAACGGTAGGAGAGAGACTTCGGAGATGCCCCGGTCACAGGTCTTTTTGATGCCCTCTAAGTGCTGGCAGAGACTGCTGAGTAGACGATAGCTGATACCACAGCCCTCACATGCAAAAGGAGGCTCGTCGGTATGGACCCTTCCATTAGCAGCACCCTGGCGGAAGACTTGGCGGTACTTTGGCTTCACGAATTGGCGCAGGTTTGTGCATTTGGCCATGAGTCTGTAGTTGATGTCCTCGGAGGTGCAGCCCGAGACACAGCCTCCCGATTCGAGATGGCCGATCATGTCCGCGTATCGGACGAACTTGTTGTCGCAGCCCCAGCACTCGATAGCGGCTCGATTGTGTCGAGAAAGCTTGTGCTGCTTACGATTTGCCTCGTTGTGGCAGTGGGCTCCGCACTCCTCGCATGTGAAAAACGCGTTCGAGTGTTTGTTGTACAAGTTGAATGTGGTGAACCAGGCACCACAGCCGTCGCACTGGTATTGATAGCAGCCACCTTCGTAGATATGGTCTCCCAAGTCATCCCCGTCTTCACCGTCGAAGCCGCAGACCTCACATATGTAGTGTGCGCTCGAGTGATCCCAGTGTGATTGACGGGCATCAGCTGAGACGAAATGACGGTCGCAACGTTCGCAATAGATGTGCGCCGACGAGTTAGCGTAGTGCGCGCAGATATTGCCGAACCATCGGTTGCAGACTTTGCAGTGCTCCGTCCTATTTATGGTAGGTGAGTCTGCCGCACTGCGATGCGGAAGCCCAGAACTTACATGGTGGAGACGCGGCCCCTGCGACCGCCCTACTGGGCCAATGCAAGCTTGGGTGGTGAGGTGCAGTTGGAATCAAAGTGTGGCGTGGCATGTGAGGAGTGTAAGAGCCAAGCGCGAAGACGCTGGTTGGCAGGAGCTGGACCCTGAACCCTGGACCCTGGACAAGCCTGGACCTTGGCGTTGAGGCAACTGCGGGAGTGAAGCGTCGATTGAATATGCATCCATGTTCTGAGTCTACGTAAAGATTCGGGTAGGCGAGTCTGCTTAGCCTTTCACCTGCCCTGCGTATATGCAACCTTGAGGTTAGTTGCGAAAGCGCGCACTCGCCACGGTCATTAAGCAAAGTGAGGCTATCCTGGCAACGTCGCATACTCTTCTCGCCCGACTGCCACGAAATAAACTCATTACAATCGCCTGGTCATGTGCAAGTCCGTGGGCTGCGTCTATACGATAGTCTGTTGCAGGTCTGCAATTCCAATTTGTCAACGTGCCCGAAGTTGAGTGCTCACAGTGTCAGAGAAGACGAGATGGAATACGAACACTTGGTGTCGCTCTTTCGCTTCAGCGTCGGCCCTGGAACATAGGGCTGGGTCCAGATTAGCTTTGGAAGCGCTTCGTCCCTGCATGGCCCGGGACAAGCCGCGACACACAACGGCCGAGGTTGAGCAGAAGGGATGAGGTCGCAGCTGAGATGCATCCATGATCCTTCGCCCCGGATCTTCTCCGCCCCCGAACTAGCACCGCCATCGTGTACATAGGTCCGTATACTATGCAGCATATGCGGTCTCAGCAGCCGGCGGCTTGATCAGGCGTTGTGGGCCAAGGCAGACTTCTCGGTGGCTTCCTGTGTCCCCCCCCTCAAACCGTTGATCGACTGATTCGTGCGCGCAGCCAGTTCATCTCAACGGCCCAGCAAGGGAGCATGATAGATGAGCGGACCAATAGCGGGCCGCAGCGGGGATTGCTTTTTGTCTGCACAATTTCCACCGGACGTCGAGCACCGCGACGGCGCCGCGGGCCGCCGACATGTCCGCATTTTCGTGGGCGTTTCAGCTTTCGCTCGGTGCATGCGGCCGTCGAGTGTGCGTCGTGGGCTTTGCTTTTGGGGCGAGGCTTCGAGGCTTCGCGCAGCCTCATCACGGGCGGCCGGGGCGGGACAAGGTTTGGCCTTGGAGGGCGGGCTCACGGGCGCGGGCGCGGTGGGTGCGGCTGTTCTCGAACGGCATCAGAAAATTCTTGCAGCCTGATCAACGTGTTCCTGGGTTCCTGGTGGCCGGCGAGGCTCGGGCGACGCGGGCACGGCGCCCCCTGCGGACCCTCGCGCGATGGGCGTCGAAGCGAGGCTCGCGAGGCTCGGGGGGCGTGCGTGCGCGCTCGCGGTCCGGATGCGCGCAGTCGTCAGCTGGGCGCGGTGCCGCGGTGCCGCGGGCGGCCGGGGGGGCGCACGAGTCGCTGGCCGCTGCACGTCTGCAGGATGCGCAGCTCCTGATGCCGTCATTTGCAGCGCCGCTGCCCGCACCTGGGCTTGCGGGCTGCAGTCCGGCGCACGTAGCCCGACGCTGGTGCTCGCGGATGGCCGCAGGGGTCGGGCATGGCAAGGCGCGCGCTGAGCTGGCGAGGGCACGAGGATCGGGGCGATCAACTCGACCTGAGCCACGGTCCGCGGCGCTGCCTACGTCAGGCGGCTCTCGACGGGCTCGCAAGCGTCAGCCGTTGGGAAGCCATGCCATCCCGGAAGCTGCAGCTGTCCCGCATTCTGTGCAACCCATTGCCCTCGCTCCCATTCCTCCCGCAAAGCCCTGCGTTCCCCCGGCCGCGAATGTATATCCTAAGCCGCACCTCCCGCCCTCTGTAGCTGCTCCACGCCCTCACCCCAGCCCCGGCCGCCCCAGGCCTCGCCGTCATGTGGCAACGCACCAAGCACACCAGCAAGTCCGGCTTCGACAAGCTGTGGGGCTGGGCCGACAAGCTCGGCGCCCCCGTCAACAGGCTGTCCAACAAGCTGGGCTCCGAGGCCTTCTGGCCCACCACGCTGGACAAGGAGAGCGACAAGGCTGCACGCATTCTGCGCAGCTTTTGCAGTGAGCACCGCCCGAGCCCATCCTCGCCGAGAAGCCCGCTAACCACCGCGCCACAGAGGACGGCTTCTACGACGAGGAGGTCCTGTCCGCCGTCGACGGCCCCCAGCAGAAGCAAAAAGTGCTCAAGCACATCCCGCCAGAGGTACACCTCGCTTTCCGCCATTGCCCCGTTCAACGCTGACCCGAGTCTGTCCCAGGTCATCCGCAATGCTGTCGGTCTCGCCATCTTCACAACAATGCGCAGTGGCCTTTGGGTCTCGGGCGCCGGCGGAAGCGGAATCTTGGTCGGACGGACCGACGACGGCTCATGGTCACCACCTTCGGGCATCATGCTCCACACCGCCGGCCTCGGCTTCCTCGTCGGCGTCGACATCTACGACTGTGTTGTCGTCATCAACACGCACAAGGCACTGGAGGCTTTCTCAAAAGTACGATGTACCCTTGGGGGCGAGATCAGCGCTGTCGCCGGTCCGGTCGGCGTCGGCGGAGTCGTCGAATCGGAGGTGCACAAGAGACAAGCACCCATCTTTACCTACATGAAGTCGAGAGGATTCTACGCTGGCGTCCAGGTAGACGGGACCGTGGTGATAGAACGGACAGACGAGAACGAGAGGTTCTACGGTGAACACATAGGCGTTGCAGACATCCTTGCCGGCAAAGCACGGCATACACCTCCCGAGGCCCGGCCTCTGTTGGAAACCATCAAGGCAGCACAAGGCGACGTCGACATCGACCAAAGTTTGCTATCGTCTGAGCCGCCACCGGGAGACTTCGAGATCGACACGTCAGACCACATATTCGGAGTACCGGATGTACTCGACGATGACCCCTATGGAGTCCTCGCTTTGGAGAAGCAAGGGCTGCACATCGTGGAGGCAGGCACCGGGAAAAGGCCAACGAGCGAGGCTTTCGAATTCAACCCGAGCCCTCAAAGCCCGCTCTTTACCACATTCAGCAGAAAGAGCTCTGATCGGAACAGCTATCGGGACAGTTTCCGAGACAGCTATCGGGACAGCCGGACGGTCAGCAGGAGGAGCAGCTGGAGGACTAGTACCCTCAGCAGTATGACTGATCGGGCAACCCAGACCGTCGACATGGGCGTTCAGACTGACTTCGATGGGCCCAGCGTTAGCAGCAGCCAGAGAGTGTCGGAATCTGATAGCCGTTCGCCCATGAAGGAAATCCCTGAAAACGAAGTTGCTGAAATCCCACCTGCCGCACCACTTGCCTTGTCTAGGAGAAGCTCCAACTCTGCGTCAAGGTCCATGAAGAGCATCAGAGAGCAGGCCAAAGAAGAATCCGAGGAGGCACAGGTGATTGAGGAGATGGAGAAGGAGGAGCACAAGCAGGAATTCGAGTCGGCTGCGGAGAAGCAGACGGAAGCAATTCCAAAGGTGCAGGTGGAAGAGGAGAGGTCATCTCAAACCGCAGAGTTGGGCCCTAGCGAAGTCAAGGAGAAGAATGAGGCTAGTGACGGCCTCAGCGCACCGGAACTCAACCCTGTGAGGTTCTCGACATACGACTTCGAGAACGTGGCTGTCGAAGAGCCTGTTGTGCAACAGCTTCGGCAGGCCGCCACCCCGCAAGCCATCCGCGCGAGACTGGTGACTGTGAAGAAGCCAACCCCTCCGAGAATCCCGCCGCGTAATCCCATTCGGAACCGCAAGGGTCCTCTAATCATCAACGCGGAACCCCAGAACGATATCCATGCTCATGACAGCATATCTCCCCGGTCGCCACCTTCTTCGTCTGAGCACCCTTCCGTAAGCACCATGGACAGTGCGTCGACGATCAGCTCTCGCGACTCATTCACGTCCGATGAGGGCATGGACGCAATGAGTAAGCGTATCAGCGTGATGCGGACGAGCGACAGCGACGAGACCGAGGGCAAGATGGAGAAGAAGGCCCTGTCGAGGAGTAACTCGGATGAATTCCACTCGATGCCTGGCACCCCCGACCAGCGCCCCAAGAGCGCGATTGAGGAAGACTTCTCTTAGAATGTTGATGGAGTTCAGGAACACGCCATTTGTACTGTCTAATACGGTCTTCATTTCTGTTTGGTCCTTAGCGCTGGCATATATTGGCTTGGAGTCTGGGACGACCTTTGTACGACACTTCGATTCTACACAAAATCTGTAGCTTTTTTTTTTTTGGCCAAAGTGGCTTGGGAGAGGGGTTTTACCGGACGACTATGCGTACGCGCAGGCATTGGGGACTGGGCCTTATGGGGTTTTTGGGATGGTACATATCCTTTTTTTTTTCTTCAAGTCCTTGGATGTGGACGTGCGGCTTACTCGACTGCTTCTCTCCCTTGATTTTCGTCTTGGCTCATCTTTCTGCCGACGTCATCCCTAATCCTTCCCGAGGGATGCTTTAGGCATAGATCTCATTGAAGAAAGTTTTTTGATCACATAGTGTCTAGCCGATTTGCGGCTTCATTGCACCCACTTCCGTCATCCTGGTGGCATTCCAGGCTGTGAGCATGCACATGTTTGCCACTGTGCGGACAAAAGAGCTTGGGGTGTTCAGGTGATGAGCTTTGGCGCAGGACGCTTGCGTCGTGATTCTCGAGGCCTTCACCGCCGCCCAGGTATGTCAGCACTCGCATTGCTGCAGCGCAGGAGCCGGCGTGTTCCGATTGTGCGCGGGACGGGAAGGCTTGAGCCTCGCCGGGGGCCAGGCACAGGTGGATACGGCTCCGGGGAGGTCTGGGGTATGGCGGAAGATTTGTAACCCGCTCGAAGCGGAGAAGCGCTGCCAACGTGGACCTATTGCAGCCCGAGTCCTCAGCTTATCATATGTCATTGTGCGGGCTGGGGAGTTGAAGTCAGCATTGCAAACAACGTCAGCCCCCACCCTGGTGTATCACGGCTGTCACGAGAGCGGGCGTTTGGGCGCTCGGGCGCAGACCGCTGCTCGAGTCGGTGTCGTTGTAGTCGAATGCGGGCTCAGCGGCTGCAGCGGGGCGAGGGGCGGGGGGGACGTCTGGCGGGCGTCCGGCTCCGCACGCTGAGCTTGGGGGGGGGGGGGGGGGGGGGGGCAGGGTTCTGGCGGTGACGTCTGCAAGTTTGAGCCTCATCTTAGGCGACGCCAGCCAGTAGGAAGTCTGGCCGCGCGGATCACGACGACCACGCGCAGCTTCCTCGTCGCCGATTCCCGGCCGCCCTCACCACGCCGCAGCCCCAAGCCCCGAGCCCCAAGCCCCGAGCCCCACGCCCAATCCGCCCGGCTACCGGGTCGCCAGGAACGAGCAACGCGAGAGCCTCGTGCTGGACCGCGCTTCCTATGGCGGGTGCTGCGGCGCTGGTGCAGGGCTGGGGCGGGGCCGAGATCTTGGGACAGCGCGCAGCGGCCGTCAGCAAAGCCGGCGGCGCAGGCGTGGGCAGGCGTGGGCAGGAGGTGACATGCCGCGAGAAGCAGCGAATCTGGCCCGCCAAAAATAGGAGAGCTTCACCCAGCAGCGGTCTCACACCGCGACTCATCGCCCCAGGCGCGTCCCGAGGCCCCAGGCGACGATGTCGCGCGCGCCGGCGGCCGATGACTAACTGCCCAGGCTCTCACGTAACCTCCAGCCACTGCACGCCAACCCTCCGTCGTCTCCACTCGCCGTTTCTTTTTGCAGCCGTGGCCCAGCGGTACCTGCTTCGCGTCCGCATGGCGGTGGTGTGCACGCCCGGCCCCCCCCTAGACGCTGCTCACCACACGCGTGGCCGCGCGCCCCGTCCGCGCCTAGCCCAGGATGCCCGCCCAGGATTCCCGCCGCGGATCTGGCGCCAGCTGAGAGCCTCTCCATCGCGGTCCGCAGTCGTGCAACCAAACGCCCGCTGCTCGTCGTGATTGGGACTGGGCCGGGGCGGTGCTAACGCGACATGCAGCCCTATCTAAGCATCTGTGCTGACTGCTGTTCTTCCTTCCCTTGCAACTGGCCTCCTCTCCCATCTCGCTGCCTGCCGGCGACCTGCGTGATGCACACCGTAGGGCTGATTGTCGTCGAGAGAGCCTCTTCCCTCGCCATTGCCTGTCAGGACTGCTAACACGCGCTATATAAACCCCAGGCCTGACTCGGGACCAGGCCATTCTCACCACCAAGACGCCCATTCAACCTCTTCTTTTCACCGCAGTCGTCCAGCTCTCTTCTCTCCCGACTTTGTCCACTATCCTCGCCCGTTCAGCATGTGCTACCAGGTCGTCGAGCGGTATGCTGTTTGCCGTTGTCTGTACCACAAGCACGCCATCGACCCGTGCGCGCAATACGGGCAGTATGGCCACTCGGTCCAGGAGAAGACAGTCCTGGTAGGCTACGCCTGCAACGTCCACACCAACTACAGCTTGGCTGCCTCGCCATCAAGCTCCGCATGCGACAGCAGCGGACTCGACCCGGACTCGTGCTACTCGAGCTACTCCAATCTGGATTCATGCAGCTCCCACCACCGCTACCGACGCTTTTAGTCGTCGTCGTCGTCGTCGTCGTCACGCCCAGTGGAGTCCACAGAGTCATCACATGGGGGTTCTGGCTTTTCCCTCTACATTCTTGTCCCCTTTCCAACAAACAACAAGCGGCGTTGTTCGGTCTGAATTCAGTTGCGGTGGATGATGATTTGGGTTGGGATTTCATTTTGGATCCACTTGCTTGGAGCTGGAGTCGGGACGTTCGGGATGCTTGGAGGCAGCGGCGAGCATGGTTTACAGCATGGGTCTCGGAGTCCGGGTAGCAGCAGGGAACAAAAAAGGCCAGGTGGACTGGGCAGGCCCAACCTTGGCCGCCCTCGCCCATTGTTTCCCCTCGGCTTTTCATCTTGGGCCAATGCGAGGCGGGGGGTTCCGTTTTTCCCTTTCGATTGTCGTCCTGTTGTTAAGCCTGAAGCCTGGCACGGTATAATATTTTGGCATTGACCGCATCGCATCACTGATGGCTGTCCACGAGTTCCTTTGAGTTGAGTCATGGCGGCAGAGACGGGGTGGACGGTGGCTCAGCTGAGACAGCAGCGTGCCGGACTGAGCAGGCAGCGATGGCGCGCAGCATGTGCCGTGTGCCTTCGCATCTGCATCACGGCCAATGGACGAGGCGGCATGGCTTTCGTTCGGCTCTGGACCGAGGTAAGCGGTATGCACTCCGCCTCCACGAGCTCTCTTCTCCTAAATCACAAGCCGGGCGGGAACGCGGGAACCCCCATCAGCAGCCGGCGTATGCAGCAGGGCCGGGCCTCAGCTGGAGGAGCGGGAAGACAGGACGGTCGTCACCAGACGGCAGCCGGCGGTGCGATTGGGCCGGGGTGGGCGGAGCTAGCGTGGATTACTACCTAGCTCGCAACTCACAGCACGCCCGCCTCGCCTCGCCTCGCCCAGTGCAGCCGCCATTGTTCAAATCATCATCATCATCATCATCGTCGTCGTCGTCGTCGTCGTCGTCGCCGTCGTCGTCGTCATCGTCATCGCTTCGCCGTCGCGTGCTCCACACATGGCTTGTCCTCGGCTTGTCCGTGTCGTGTGATGCAGCAGGGCTCAACTCCACGCGGTCGCCGATACGAAGCAGGCCGTCAAGTACGAGCGAGCGAAGCGGCGGCCGTCTGCCGCAAAGGGAAAGCAAACGAGACCAAAGCGATCGGTGCACGGATGCCAAAGTATGCTCGCGCTTCCGGCTCCGCGGCGCTTGGGAGTTGGGACAGCTGCCATGTCAGCGGAGAATTTGGGAAATCAAAATTCGAGATTCTTCAGGGCGCAGTCGACCGCCACCGCGGCTAAGCGACCCCGGCATGGGCGGCAGAGCGGGCAGAGCGGGCAGAGCGGGCAGAGCGGGCAGAGCGGACAGAGCGGGCAGAGCGGCCAAGCCGCGTCCGAGCCCGAGATGCTGCTTTCTATTTTTGGACGGGGAGATCCCTCTCCTCCCTGCGTGCTGCTTTGCTTTTCCCTCGTTTCACCCTGTCTCGAGACTTCGTCGACGCGCTCCCGCCATTGGCCCGCCGATTTGCTTCTTATGCTTTGGTGTTGCTCTGGTCTGCTTGCATACCTGCTGCAGAGCTGCCTGTGCGGTCTCAGAACCAGACACGTAGGTCCCATGCCTATGCCCAGCTGCCCAACACCATGCGGTGCAGCAGAAACAGCAATGCGCCCAGCCAAAAGTGCCGACTAGCCCGTTGGAGGAACTTGCAGCAACGACCAAGGTACCCTTGTATGGATGTACATAGATACATGCAAGTAATCCATTCCCTAACACCTCTCGCCAGCCAACGATGCGCGTATATGCACCTCACCGTGGCATTGCTTGCGCAACTGCTGCACCTGTCACGGAGCTGCCGTCGCTGCTTGCCTCAGTCTCACTTCTCTTTCCCTCCGCACTTCTCACATAAAACTTTCCTTCTGGCCCAATCGGTCAAAGAACATCCCTGCTACGCCGTCTTATTTTCTCTGATGGTATTCGCTTTGTCCCAAGTCATCTTATAGCCAACCCAGCGCTCGTCATCACCTCGCATTCCCCTCCCCTGCGTAAACCAATGGGTAGTGCAGTGCCCGGTTTGGCGGTCTGATTTGAAGATTACATAGCCCGCGATACGGTACATTGGTACACTGCCTCTTCCTTCCATGTCCCACACCTCTTATTGGTTTTTTTCCTCCTGATAATCCCTGGCTGCTTCGCTCCCATCAGCCATTGCCACACATCCAACCCCGGACAAGGTCTCGGACAATGGCGCTGACGGGTTCGGAGATCCAGTCATGCCACGTTTTGTCATCTTCTATTTCACGTTCAGGCGTCTTTGTGATGATGGGTGGTAATGCTCACACATTCCCCAGAGAATCTTTCCTCTTCTCAACATAGCCTCACGGCATTTCGAAACGGGAATATCTGTTCCATCGAACACTCGAACACAGACACAGAAAAAGCAAAGGACTCCACACATGGTAGTCTTACACGCGCATCCATTCGGTCTGCCCGACGTCTCATCCCATTCCTTCTCGGGCTCTCCTTCCTTTGGCTTTGTACGCAATGCTATTTTCAGAAACACCGTGGGCAGTAGCAACGGGGTGCCCTCCGCGCTCAATTGCTCGTCAGATAGGCAGATAGGCAGGTGGATACAGGGTGACCGCTACTCCAGCCTTCCGACCCTCGCTTCCGCTGCCGTGGGGTCGAGAGCATGCAGCGTCACATGTCTTCGTTCGTATTACCCACCTGTTCCAGTCCCCACTCCTTCCCGCTGAGGTTCGGCCCGCGTAAAATGGGGACGTACAGTATGCGGTGGTAGCTGCCTCGGCCATGTACATAATAGTTGTGGATGCCTATCGACACGTAAAAGAGGAGGCCCCACACGTTCGTTGCCTGGAGGGAAAGGTGGGGACGGAGGAGAATACGACCGTGTGCATGCTCCATCAAATGACGCCTTTGCACCGGTTCCACAACACGAGTCAATCTCGTAGGACATGCATACCTACCTTGGGGGTCCAAGGCGGGAATCTCCTGCCCTGCAAAACCTTTCAACAGAGTTCACCAAATTGAGCCGACTTTATTCAAGCATGAGCGAGTAGCTTCTCTATTCCTCATTGACATCTCCCCTTCCATTCCTCGAATGCCAGTGATAAACTATCCAAAATTGTCCCGTTTCCACTGTGCCTCGGAAGGCGGATCGAATACAGAAAATCCCCGCAGTCAACCAATGCTCTCCAACATCTCATCGTTCCCCCTCTCTCTGGACCAAAAGGCGAGCTGCAGTAACCAATAGAGCTCGTGTCCATAACTTTTCCATCAAAACTTTTTTTTTTCTTTTCAGTGAAATCATCATTTTCCCATCAGATCATCCCCAAAGATTTCGTAAAACCATCATTCTTCATCAATTGCGGCATCGCCGGTTTCGCTTCTCCGTCCATCCCAGCGTGTACAGCATGAGGTGTAAATCGGACAAGTGAATGCGATGCCAAAGGGTCGTAAGATAGCTGAGAATCATCAAAAGAGGTCGCCTATTACCAGCGGACCTCAAACGTTTCCGACCTCCTCTCACCTTTTCCTGAATTCCGCCCCAGGAACTTGCGCTTCCCCAGAACCAGCTGATTATGGAAACGAAGCTGGGGAAGGAATTAGGATATTAGTAAGGAGTAAGAGGAGGCCAAGGAAGAACGTTCGAGTCCGGACTGAAGTAAATCGTCGGTCGAAAAGAACCTCTTGGTTTCTCGATTAAAGCCCCAGTAAAGGGTTGTTGCAAGACACACACAATGGGGGTCATTACGGTTGTGAGTGGTTGGCGATCAGGAAGAAAAAAAAGAGATCGCAACCATCACTCTCCGGTCGTAAGCAAGAGATCGCGTAGCAAGACGGCAAGATCGCAGCTAGGAGGACGAGGGGACAAGAAAGAGTTGTCAGAGCACACAAGCACCCACCCGGGCCAAGTCGCGGCTGATTTAGCTGCGGATGACGACGCCCTGGCGGCGGGTGGCGCGCTCCTTGTAGACCTCGTCGTCCTCGGACGAGCAGTCGGACGAGTCGTCAGAGTAGCCGCAGCGCGAGCCGCCGCAGTCGAGCTTGACGCGCTCGCCGGCGCGGGTGATGCCGTAGCGCTCGCAGGTGCAGCACGAGCTGGTACTGGACACGGACGACGGCGACGACGAGTTGGAGCTGCGCGAGGTGAGCGACGGCACGTCCGAGTCGATGTCGCTGTCCGAGTAGTCGTCCTCGGAGCTCTCGTCGATGTTGGCGTGGCTGAAGCGCGAGGTGAGGGCCTCGATGGTGGCGGGCTCGTAGGTGCCGTTGACGATCTGCTGGTGCTGGTTGGGCTTCACCGGGCGCGGCGACTTGATCTGCGAGGGCGACAGCGAGCGGCCCTTGACCACGTCCTGCGAGTAGCGGCGCGAGGCGCGCTTGGCGGCAGCATCGGGCACGGCGGCGGTCTTGCCGGGCGCGGGGATGTCGAGGATGTTGAGCTTGCGGCCGGTGGTGGGCTCGGTGGTGAACTCGCGGGCGGGGTCGTGCGAAACGTGGTAGCCGTCGATGATGTAGTAGTACCAGTAGCGCTGGCCCTGCTTCAGCGTGGCGCCCTGGAAGCGGAAGGTGCCCTTCCAGCCACCCGCCTTGGCCGAGTCGCTGGAGAGCGGGAGCTGGCCGTTGTAGTTGTCCCACGAGCCGAGCAGGTGGACGGTCTTGCAGTTGGCCGAGGTGCGGAGAGTGAAGTTGAGCTGGATGGCGGCCATTGTGAGGGTTGGTGTCTGGGGTATCGAGGGTTGGCGGTATCGGATATTGGCAGACGGAAGGCTTCGAGCAAGCAAGAGCTGTAATTAGATTTGGAGTGTCGTTATTGGGTGTCGGCCGGCGACGGAGTGGTGTGAATTAGAAACTGCGAAGTGGGTGATTACTGCGGGCGTGTATCGTGAAAGGGCGACAAGAGTACCAGACTCTGTGATCGTGAAAATTAGTGTAAAAAGGGGGAAAGAATTAAACAAAAAGAACAACACAAAAATCAAAGTACAGCTCCTGAGCTTTGCGGGCTTGCTGAAGAGAAAAAGACGAGTGCATGTCGCGCAGGCAGCGGTATATATAAACCCGGGCGCAGCTGCGGGCCCGTTCGCGCGCAGCAGTCGCCCCACCCGCACAGCGTCCGGCCCAGCTGACGGACGGACCGGGATGCTGCCATGCCTGCAGGCCGCATTGCAGCAAGAGGCAGCCGTGCAAGCGCTTCCGGTCGGGCGTCGAGTGGATGGTCGTCGTGGAGCGCACGCCCGGGCGGCTCGCCTGCGCGCGCTGATTCGCCTGCCGCCCGCGCCCCAGCACAAGCCCGGCCCCCCCGGCAGGCCAATCGTACGCCCCGCCCGCCGGCCACGAGTGACACACTCTGCAGTCCCGCTCCCGCTAGCTCGGTCACGCTGCAGGCTCTGCGCTGCTCTGCTGCTGCGCTCGGCCTCCGCCTGGTCCTGTCCGGCGCCCCCGACCGCGCCCTCACTCCAACGTGCTGCGAGTGCCTGGAGCCCGCAGCCCAGCCCGCAGCCCACAGCCCGCTCTGCAGCCCGCCAATCGCAGCCGGCCGCACCCATCACCACAGTCGAATCATTGCGCGGCCTGGCGTTTACCTGCATGCAACTCCAAGCCCCACGACGCTATCGATCTTTCGATGCATACCACCACGCCCGCCTGCTTATCCAGGTCGCACAGCGCCAATTCGACCTTGGAATGCGCTGCAAGGGGGGGCCAGCCACCGGTCAATCGAGCCCACACTCGCTGCCGCCCGTGAGGGGCCCGGGGCTTCAGAGCAGGGGAAAAAAAAAAAACTCAGAGCAAACCGCCCCTCATGGAGCCACCAGCCGCAATCTCCCGTCGCCGGCGACTGAGCGTCGTTCTTGTCGGCTCTCTGGATCTCGCCTCCAGGGCCGGCCTGGGCGATCCGCCCCGTGATTGGCCCGGCGTTTTGATGTTTCCACCGTCGTGCCTTTTCTTAGAAGTGCCTCTTCCCCACACCGCAGCGGCTGCGTGATATCAGCGTGCGATCATTGCGCGACCAGGGCCCTTCGGCCCTTCCTCCTGCCAACCTTGCCCGTAAGGTTATTCCCTGCACGCCGCTAATCTTTCCATGCGACAGCTGCAGAACGAGGCGAGAGCTCCAGGCTCCCTCCGCTCGAGGGCCTGCAGCCCGCGGCCCGACGCTCCAATCCGTCGCCCATCGCGCCACCTATTATGCAGCTGTCCGATTACTCGCGGGCGACCTCTGTTGCCGCCCGGGACTGAGGAGCATGATGACGCCGTTGACATTACCCGGCAACCGCCTGGCACGCCTGGGTACGCCATCCTTCAGCACGGCACGCGCTGTGACGCTTTGCAGCAGATAACGGCGATAACCTTGATGTAGACAGCCCCGCTCGCTCAAACAGGCAAGCCAATATGGGTGTCAAATTACTGTAGCCTTGTGTGTTGCAATAGCAGATGCCCTCGCGATGCCCTCGCCTAAGTCCACGACACCGACTCCTTTCGCCCTAGCTCCATTTGCCAATTGGGAGAAGCTCGGATCTCTAACCCATGCCACTTTTTTTTGCTTTCAGAAGCGCCCCGACCTCTTGTGTCCACCCCCCTCCAAAGCCTCGGGGAGGGGCTGTCGTCGTCGGTCCTCCCCGTTCGAGCCATGATCAGAACTCGTAGCCGCCAGTCCTGACTCGAGACGCACATCAGCCTGACGGGCAGCCTGACGAATATGCACCGTCCTATTCATGCGGTGCGACCCTCAGCGCTTCCGGCTTTCGGAATTCGCGAGAGTGGGCGACTTGCGGAAAGAGGCGGTGAAGCGAGGAATTTTGTTGAAAGAAAGACGCAGGCGCGCTTGTCGCGTGCGCTGGCCAGCGAGCCAGATAAAAGGGCCCATTGCGTGAGGCGTGGTGATCTACGTCCGCGTGCAAACACCCTGATAGCAACCTAGGGGTCACCGCTGATTGCTGATTGCGGCATCCACGTTGAAAATGTTGGTAGCGGATCCTCCGCCAACTCAGTCAACCCACCGCTGCCCTTCTTTATCCCATCCGATCATCTTGAGGTCAATGTTGAGAGTCTTGAGCATCGTATCCATCGTGAAACTCTGTCCCGCATCAGCCTGAAGCCTGTGACTCTGGGCTGCCCCATCGCCATCGAAAATCAACACTCACATCGTCGTCTCCACCATCGTCGGTGCGACTTTGTCTGAGCGCCTCTTCTTCCGCCTCTGCCTCCGCCTCTGCCTCCGCCTCCTGCTCCCGCCAGTGGCGCTCCTTTTTTGCTTCTGCCCTTGCTTCCGCGCGTTGTTCCCGTGCAACCAGTTTTGCTTCTTTCTCTTCGGGTGTCAGTCCAACATTTTCTTCTTCGTCCTCGTCGCTTTCATCCAGAGTCGGCTCGTGTTCTTGAGCATGGAACCCAAGTCTCCACTCCTGCTGACGCTGTTCGTTCTGCTTCCAGACGCCGATCCCACCCATACCGTTTACACGGTCCTTGGTTGTAGCGAAGACGTCCTCCGCCGCAGCTCGGGTTGCGTCGCGCCATTTCCTGGTCAAGGCTTGCAGCTCTGCATCTTTGGTCGATGTTGCAATCTTGAGAGCCTGATTGAGCGTGTCCAGCTCAACTCGTATACTCCGTATCTGTCTGCTCAAGTCTCGCTGTCGTTGCTCTTCTGCACGTATGGCGGTCTCAAGAGCATCGTCGTGGTCGACGGCGCCGACGCGTTGCGCGAAAAGCGGTGGCCTAGACGGCGTGGACAACGTCGTAGAGCTGCGAGAGCTGCGCAGTGTGCGAAGCGAGGAAACACTCAACGATTGGGCCGCCGACGAGTCTGGCAGGGTGCTCTGCACGAGCGGGCTGGGCACTGCGGTGCTGCTGGCCGTCGTGTCTGCCTTGGGGCTCTCGAGCTCGACTTTCCGGCTGGGTGTCTTGAAGGGAGAGCGGAAGGGCTTCCGCAAGGCGCTCTGGGCGTCCTCGAGGCGGCGGCGCTTGGCCGAAGGCGTGGACATCGAGCTGAAGACGTATTAGTGCTGCGATGGTCAGCGGCGAGCGAAGTTGACGACCGAACGAGACCGAACGATGGCCAAGCAGAGGTTGCGACGGGCTGTGTCGTCACTACTGCTGTGTCGTCACTGCTGCGACGGGTTGGAGCTCGAGCTCCTGGCCGCCGGCAGCTGCAACTGCCAGGCCCTCGCGTGGCGCCGGCGCAGCTTGGCAAGGGTCTCGACGCGGCTGAGGGCGCTTGACGGCGCTTGACCTCACTGGGTCGTCGTCCCCCGCGTTCACCCCAGGCTTGACAAGCGACTTTAGTAAAGCTTCCTCGGCTAGCATGGCTCGCCGTCTTATCGGCCTATCGCCGTCGCCCTCCTCCCGCTCCCGCAGGGCGATACCTGCGCGATCAGCCCCCGACGGGCGCCATCAGCGGCCTCTGCCTGCTCTGGGCTCGCTGTGACCTGCTTCCCCAAGCCAAAGATACCATTTTCTCTCATTCAGTCTTTCTACCAGTTGTCGTCTTCCAGTTGTACTTAAGTCTAGGCACGGGTAGCAGCAGCCCGCTTAATATAGTCGTCTTGTCTCAGCTCTTGTCGTGCCAGTCATCGTTCTCATCGTCTCCGCCATCACCTCACCCGCCCCCTGGCATCGACATGGACCCGCATAAGTCCAAGGACGACTACCCGCCGCATGCGATTACGCCACAATACACGGCCGAGGAGGGGGCTGTGGGCGCCAGCGCCGTGCTCAACGCATCGGGCCACACACAGGAGCTCGAGCGCAACTTCAGTCTGTGGAGCGCGGCCTCGGTCGGCATCTGCACGGGCAATACCTGGGTAGCCCTGGGCGGCAGCATTGTGCGTCGATTGACAGGCCTACATGCAGCGTGCATGAGCCGTGTGGGAGGCTGACTCGCATCGAAGGTTATCTCCTTGTATAACGGCGGTCCGCCCGGTGTCATCTACGAGCTGGTAATCCAAGCCACCTTGCTAGCCGCCCGGCTTGTTGATGCTCACGCGTACACTTGCAGTTTGCCGCCTGGTTCTTCTACTCTCTCCTGGCTGCCTGCATAGCCGAACTGGTCTCGGCGATCCCGTCTAGTGCCGGCGGCAAGTGAACTCCCCCATCTGGCGCAGTTTCGATATCGCCCTGCCGCCCTGCCGCCCTGAAGATTGCCCACTGACTCTTCCTCTTCCTCAGTCTACCACTGGGCGTCCGTCACCCCTGGCCGCAAATATGGCCGAGTCGTTGGATATTTCGCCGGTTGGTGGAATGCCTTCGCCTACATCTTCGCCGCCGCCTCGATGAGCGCCATCACGGCCAACCTGATCCTGGGCATGTACGGTCTGTTCCATCCCGACTATGTTTGGCAGCGTTGGCACACCTTCGTGACCTACCTCATTGCCACATGGTGCTGCTGCGCCGCAGTCCTCTTCGCGAACCGGGCCCTCCCCCTCGTCAACCAGATCGGCCTCTTCCTCATCGTGGCAGGATGCTTCGTGACCGTCCTCGTCTGCGCCATAATGCCTGGCACGTCCGGCAGCGGATACGCGTCCAACTCTTTCGTGTGGCGGGATTTTCTGAACCAGACGGGCTACTCGTCTGACGGCTTCGCGTTCCTGGCCGGCATGCTGAACGCTTCGTACGCCGTGGGCGTGCCGGACTGCGTCGCGCACTTGGCCGAGGAGATTCCCAAGCCTCGTAGCAACGTGCCGAAGGCCATCGCCATGCAGCAGCTGGTCGGCCTCTTCACCGCCTTCATCTATCTCATCGCCATCTTCTACAGCATCCAGGACTTCGACGCGCTGCTGGCCAGCACGTATACAGTGCCGTTGGCTGAGCTCTACCTGCAAGCGACGTCCTCGCGTGCCGGCGCCCTTGGGCTGTTGATCATCGTGCTGCTGCCAACCATCTGCACCCTTGTCGGCATCTACATCACTGCCGGCCGCATGCTGTGGACTCTGGCCCGCGAGGGCGCGACGCCCTTCCCCGGCATGCTCGGCCGCATCTCTCCGAAGTACAAGAACCCGTTTAATGCGACGCTGGCTTGCGGCCTCATCGCCACTGCCATGGGCGCCATCTATGTCGGCTCCACAACGGCCTTCAACGCTTTCGTCGGCTCCTTCGTTGTGCTGCTCTCACTGTCCTTCCTCGCCGCCATCCTGCCGCACCTCCTGACTCGCCGCCGCAACGTCGTGCCCGGCCCCTTCTGGATGCCGGACTGGGTGGCGTACACGGTCGGCAGCATTGGATGTGCGTACATTTGCGCCTTCGTGGTCATCTACTGCTTCCCATACGGAATCCCGTTTGATGCTGCGAGCATGAACTACTCGTGTGTGATCACGGGCGGGATCACGATATTCATGGGTGGGTGGTGGTTCTGGATCAGGGGGAGGGGGTACATTGGGCCTCAACCGCTGGTTGAAGAGGATGGTACAACGACTGCGGGGCATCATGTCAAGATCAGTAATGATGAAGTATAGATCCGTCGTGTACGCAGTCATACGTCAACAGAGGCGAGATTGGTCACTCATGCTGAGACAGATGTCTGTGTGAATATTGTGCTTGTATAGATGGCAACATCAAGTGTACATACTTATCTCTTGATTCTCTTTGGGCATATTGAGGATGTCGATTGGTTCCTCGATCCGAGGCAAGCGGCTTCGGGTGACAAGTAATGAAGGGTGTTTGGAATCCGGTGATGACCTAGTAGTATTCGGCGGCGGCGTCAGAAGCGCCGATGGCCGATGGCCGGTGACGGACGGAGCGAAGCGAAGCGCGAGCATCCACGCGAAGCCGAAACGATGGCGGAATTTCAGCGGAGGCTCAGCACAGAGAACAATTCGGGTTCGCAGTGAAGCAGGAGCCTTCCCGAACGGCACTGAGAGCAGGTGCCGAAAAAGTGGCAGCCGCTACGTAGCGTTTGCACTAGGTAGCTGGCTGGCCGGCCCACTCAACGGCGAGAGGGTCTGGGCGTGGCACAGTGAATGAGGGGAAGGCAGCCGTGCACGCGGCACTCTGCGTCGTGTGTGGACTACGCCGCATGACGTTTTGAAGCACCGCCCACGCGCCAAGCTCTGCAAGCTCTGGAGAGCGCCTGTCGACTGGCCAGTCGCAACGGACACGGACGGTGTTGTCGCGGACTACCATCTGTCCGCCCGCAGTTGACGCCCATCTGCTCCAAAACAAGGCCGTTGCGCGCTAGCCATTGACGCGGCTGTCAAGGGTGCGCCGCACCGCCACGTCGAGCGCCTTCAACGTTAATTAGACGCGCCTTTCTACCTCTGTATCTGCACTCAGCCCGCCCTTCCAGCTTTTTCCTCCACCGAAAGACTCTCGCTTCTCATGGTTCCCTCACCCGCCTAAGCGCCGTACCATTCACACTCCTCATCCACCATGGCTTCTGCCCCGCCGCCCGGGGGCTCGCCGGCTGCCGCTGAGCCAAATCCACTCAGCCAGGCCGTCGAAGCTATCGCGGCAGCTGAGCAAGACAGCGACTTCCCCTCCCCTCAACCCACGAGGAATGACGCATCGCCAACCGCACCGACCGGGTCTGCTTCTGGTGCGCATCGGAACACCTCTAAAGAATCCCAAAATCTTCCCGACTCCATCGCCGCGGACCCCCCGCCTCCCTATAGCGAAACACTGGGCAACATTACGGAAGATGGAGAATTAGGAACAAAGGCCACAATTGCTGGTAGGCAGCCTCTTCTGCACCCATTTCTGCAGCCTCTGTACGCCGAAGCAAAGCATACAAACTGACTGTGGCAGGTGACGGACGTGTCAACATTCACATCGATCAAAAGAACCGACGTCTCTCCTCTCTGCTGGTACCGGCCCTACGTAGCCAGGTCGACGTGGTCGCTCACGAGCCCGATCTTCCTGCGCCCTATATTCCGCCTTCACTCGGAGGCGAGCCCGGAAAAGAACCGCCCCCGCCGTTGAACATTGCCATACACGTTGTAGGCTCTCGTGGAGATGTGCAGCCATTCGTTGCCTTGGGAAAGGTGCTCAAGGAGACCTACCACCACCGTGTTCGTTTGGCTACACACCCCACCTTCAGGAACTTTGTCGAAGAAAACGGCCTAGAGTTCTTCAGTATCGGTGGTGATCCCGCTGAGCTCATGGCCTTCATGGTCAAGAACCCGGGGCTTATGCCTGGATTTGACACGCTGAGAAACGGCGACGTGGGGAAGCGTCGCAAAGGCATTGCCGAGATCATTGAAGGCTGTTGGAGATCCTGCATCGAATCGGAAGACGGATTCGGCGTTGGTTCAGAGGAGCGCACTGAGGCTTGGGTGAACAGCCCCAACTACAGCCCGGATATACCAGCCAACACTACCGGACGACCTTTCGTGGCCGACGCTATCATTGCCAATCCCCCTAGCTTCGCCCACGTCCACTGCGCTGAGAAACTTGGCATACCGTTGCACATGATGTTCACGTACGTTATGCGAGTATGCTGTGGGAACTGAGACTGACTCCTAGTAGCATGCCCTGGTCTCCTACGCAGGCGTTTCCCCACCCGCTCACCAACATCATGTCAAGCAACGCAGACGCTTCCCTCACAAACTATCTATCCTACGCACTCGTCGACATGCTGACCTGGCAAGGCCTCGGTGACATTATCAACCGATTCAGACAACGCACCCTCCATCTGGAACCTTTGAGCTCACTTGCAGCTCCCGGTCTGCTTCATCGCATGCGGATTCCATGCACTTACTGCTGGTCTCCTGCTCTCATTCCGAAACCTCGAGACTGGGCCAATTTCATCTCCATCTCCGGCTTCTATTTTCTGTCGCTCGCATCGAATTATACCCCTGAGCCTGAGCTGGCCGCTTTCCTCGCGGCTGGACCACCGCCAGTTTACATTGGCTTTGGAAGTATAGTGGTGGATGATCCAAACGGCATGACAAAGCTGATCTTCGACGCTGTCAAGAAATCTGGAGTGAGAGCGCTCGTCAGCAAGGGTTGGGGAGGCTTCGGCGCCGATGAGCTTGGCATCCCGGAGGGAGTGTTCATGCTGGGAAATGTGCCCCACGATTGGCTCTTCAAGCACGTGTCGGCTGTCGTTCACCACGGTGGCGCTGGAACAACATCTGCAGGTATTTCTTGTGGCCGACCGACAGTCGTCGTACCTTTTTTCGGAGATCAACCCTTTTGGGGCTCCATGGTAGCAAGAGCGGGAGCTGGACCGGACCCCATCCCTCACAAACAACTCACATCAGACAAGCTTGCGGAGGCCATTCAATTCTGCCTTCAACGTAGCTCCCAGGAGCGGGCACAGGAATTGGCGGCAAAGATCAACAAAGAGAAGGGGTGTGATGTAGGCGCACAGAGCTTTCATCAACAGTTGAGGGTCGACGAGATGCGTTGCTCCCTCATGCCCAACCGAGCCGCCGTCTGGAGGGTGAAGAGGACGAAGATCCTGCTCAGTGCTCTAGCGGCTGTTGTCCTCGCAAACGAAAAATGTTTGAGCTTCTCTGATCTTAAGCTGTAAGTCTAGAATACTCTGTGCGGGTAGGTAGATTACTGACAAAGCACCAAAACAGGCACCGACCCCGTGAATATGAGCCTGACGCTGGACCTTGGGATCCTTTGACTGGCGTCCTAAGTCCTGTCATGGGAACGGTGACTACCATGATGATGGGTGTCGCTGATCTTCCTATTGAGACACTCAAAGCTCTTCGCATCCATCCCGATATGAACAAAAACCGCTCAAAGCCAGGAAGCAGTTCGGAAAATGCCTCAAGTAGTACCGACAACAGAGGACCACCCACTCCCGGAACGTCAGAGTCCGGTAGAAGTACCCCACTGGAAGGTGGTCCGCAGGTCAGAGTGTCGGAGAACTACTCGGAGTTACATGAACGGGCGAGCTCTTCCCTTTCAGGTACCCCAAGACCTGGCGAACATAGTCGTCAGTCTTCCTTCGGACAAGCTTTGGGACACATGCGTAGCTCTTCCAACCCTAGAAGCGGGGCATCGACACCGCATTCACGCGACGGTTCGCAGCAGACGAAATCCGCAGCTGATACCGAGCACACGTCGTTTTCAGTTGAAAGCGCGCTACAATCTGGTAAGGGGGTGAGCAGAATTGTTGGCGCAGGTATGAAAGTTCCTATGGATGTCATGCTCGGTCTTCAGAGAGGCTTTCACAACACGTCTAAGCTGTACGGGGAAGAGCCTCGACAGGTTGAAAAAGTGACTGGCTTTTCAAGCGGCCTCAAGGTTGCTGGAAAAGAGTTTGGTACCGGCCTTTATGAAGGCATATCCGGACTCGTCACTCAGCCCCTCAAAGGAGCTCAGAAGGAAGGCGCCGGAGGCTTCATCAAAGGCGTAGGGAGAGGAATTGCTGGAATTGCTCTCAAGCCCCAGGCTGGTAGGCTCCCTTGGTTCGTCCACAAAACTCAATTGTGCTGACATGTGCACAGCTGCATTCGCCATTCCCGCCTATACGATGAAAGGTATTTACATGGGTATCAAGAAGCCCTTCGGTGCCACCGTTCAGAACTACATCATCTCTGCTCGTACTGCTCAAGGCTGGGAAGAGTACAACAAGTCCACGGCTCAAGAACGTGCTTTGATCGTTGAGTTGTATCAGATCATAGCCTCTTCCGTAAAGAAGAAGAGGAACCCTGGCGAGAAGGAGATGGAAGCGATCCAGGCACTGGTGACCAAGCGCAGAGCAAACGCTGGTGACCCCCGTCAGAGCCTGCAAAACTTCCTTGGTTGGAGACGGTTGGACGGGGCCTCAAGCGGAGCGGCGTCTCCACAGCCCGCATCTGGCCCTGAGCTTCCCCCGCGGTCCAGCAACACATATACTCCTCAAACCAGCGCGGCCGGGCAGTCTTCTTCCTCAACAACCCCAGCTCAAAACTCACAAGAGGGTCCCCTGTATGACCCCGCCACTCTGGAAAGGGCGGAGAACGAGGATCTCGAGGAAGCCATTCGCCTCTCGCTGGCCGAGGTGTCGCGTGGCAACCCGGAAGAAGACGCCCTCATGGAGCGTGCGATGCGCAACAGCATCAGAGAGACGCAAGCCGCCAACCCGTACATGCACGAACAATGCAGCGTCGAAGAGGAAGCACGCATACTGCACAGCGTGATGGAGCAGAGCAAGCTGGAAGTCGCAGAGGAGCTCAACCGGGACCGGGGCATCCGCGGCGCTGGCGGCACGGATGCGGACGAGCTGGAGGAGGCGCTGAGGCGCAGCCGTCTGGATGCGGGCGCGAAGGCGGTGGCGCGCGCGCAGCAGCGCGTCAATACGGACAGATCGTGGGACTCGGACAGCAGTCCAGCCAGCCCGCCGACAGTCGGGGAGGTGGACAGCAGGACGTTGGCGAGCCATAGGAGCACGGCTTTGGGCGAGTTGGAGAGCATGGGGACGGGAAGGTCGGGCAGGACAGCGACGGGGCAGCAGCAGCAGCACATGGTAGCGGATCCGCCTGTTGCTACGGGGCGGCAGGAGGAGGGCGTAACGGACGCGCAGGAGGAAGAGGATGAGGAGTTGAGGAGGGCGATGGAGGCGAGTGAGAGGGACTCGAGGGAGAGGGAAGACGCGGAGGAGAAAGCCAGGAGGGAGGAAGAGATTGTGCTGGAGTACGTCAAGAAGCAGAGTCTGGCTGAGGAGGAGCATAGGAATAGGATGCTGGGTGGTGGGGCTTAGGGGACTGGTTCTCCGGGAGCGTGCGAAGGGGGGGTTTTTTTTTGAGCGTTTTGATTGATTGGTTGGTTGTTTGAGAAACATTGATACCCCGATGTCGCTTTTAGGAATGTTTCTTCATGTTTGACGTGTTCGGCATGATTTTCTTCGTTTTCTGCTTTCCATGCTCACACATTTATTCGACTTGCTCGGAAGAAGCGGACACAAAATTGGTAAGAAGGATGACGCTAACTAGAGAAACAACAAAGCTCATGCATGCCATCACAGCGGATTGCAAACGAATTGGGCCCACCGAGATGTTCGGGAGGCAGTTGAGTTGTATCTCATGTCTAGATCTATACGTACAGTTAGGCTTCGTATCTGTCTGAGCTGTAGCTTCAAGTACGCCACGCTTACTCTGATAGGTAGCCATTTGTAATATCTTCTAGGATGGCCTGTATGCAACAGCGAATTACGACAGATGGAACGGCTCACGTTCCCGTGCCAATAAAGACATATCCAAGCCAGGGCTTCCAATGGCCACATGAGCATTTACGTGCGATCGAATCGTCGATGATGGTTGAGGTCTGATGACCTTTGAATAGCGCGTGGACGCTGGTGGAGGCTGGTAGCTAGTCATCCCGTATTGTGGCCGTAGCGTAGTGGCCGGCTCCTACGCGGTAGATGGTCCAGAATTTCCACACTGCCCCCCTGGAGTTGAGAGCAGGCAAACGACAGGAGCGAAAACGGAACAATGCGCGTCTTGTTCTGTTGCACTGCAGCGTTTTGAAGCCTGGCGGGTGATGTCAATATGGCAGATGCGGAACGGACAGGAAGCAAGCAGGTTGGCGCGTTGGGCGAAAGTCATGCATTGGTGCCTGTATCCGTACGGGTTGAAACGACGGCCGCGTTGCGAGATGAAGGCTCCACCGCGGGCAACGAAGACGGCCATGACGATCGTGGTCGGTCCATCGCAGCGAACGCGATGGCGACGCGACGCGGCCCCGCCAGACGCGGCAGCCGCACAGGCCACGACTTCACCGCCCTGGTTGCCCCCCGTGTCCGGCCAGCTCGGTGGTAAACAATGAATTTTAGCGCGGCTCCGCTCGCTCACCTTGCTCCTCCTGCTTTGTCCTCGTTCTGTACGTGCCTGCTGCACCCCGGTCCCTCCACGCACTTCTCCTCTGCACAACCTCGTCTCACGCTTCATCCCCCGCACACGCTATCCGCAGCCATGGACTCCCAGCTTAACCCCGCCGCAAACATGACCGACTCCATCCCGGAGGCTAACAAGGCCTCGGCGCCTGCCAAGCCCGCCAACAACGGCAATGTCACCAAGCGGTAGCTCTCCCTGATCGTGTCGCCTTGCGGGAAACACTAGCTGACGGTCCCCGCGTAGCCTGCAAACCGAGCTGATGACGCTCATGATGTCGCCTTCACCCGGTGTCTCAGCCTTCCCTAACGAGTCCAACTTCCTCGAGTGGATCGGCACCATCGAAGGCCCCGAGGGCACGCCTTACGCCGGCCTTACCCTCAAGCTATCGTTTTCCTTCCCGCAGAACTACCCCTACGTCCCGCCGACGGTGCTGTTCAAGACGCCCATCTACCATCCCAACATCGATTTCTCCGGCCGCATCTGCCTCGACATCCTGAAGGAGAAGTGGAGCGCCATCTACAACGTGCAGTCGGTGCTTCTGAGCCTGCAGAGCTTGCTTGGCGAGCCGAACAAGTAAGTCGAGCGAGATGTGTTTGGTCTTGGTCTACTAACAGCCGGCCAGTGCAAGCCCGCTGAACGGCCAGGCCGCTGAGCTCTGGGACAACGACTTTGAGGAATTCAAGCGCAACGTCCTCGCCCGCCACCGCGACCTTACCGAGGAGGAGCTTGCTGCGTAGACGTCGTTCGCGTTGCACAATTGACTTTACACGATACCAGGCGGCTGTGCATTGGGGCTGGGTCCCACGGTTTGTGTCTTTGGGCTGGCGTAGAGGGTATTGGGCTGTGGCCGGGGGAGTCTGTTCCAGTTTTGGGGGGTTGCATGGCAAAGGCCACATACGGGGAATTGCTTTTCTGCTCACTGACCTCTTCGGAGGATGATTCGAACCCCGTGTCCACACGGGCGTAATTGCTTTGTTCATGACATTTATTTGTTCCCCAGCACACCTTCCAGAAGATGGGTTTTATTCAGGAGCATCTTGCAACTTCGACCAAGACCCGTTCTTGGCATTTATGCCTGACGCTAGCCACCCGCTGCAGGGCACATGCATGAGACTTCGCTAACACGGTATGTTGTCTTCTGACAGTATTCAAATTGACCTCAGTCTACAAATACACGCCGTTGAGTGCGGATCGTTACCAGATTCGAGTCGTCACCTTGCACCCTGGCTCCTGGGCAGACGACGTCCGCTGCAGCCTCAATACCACTCTTTTCGACGGAGAGACAAAGTACGAGGCCCTGTCCTATGTATGGGGGGATACTAGTATAACGCATCGGATACTCCTCGACCATTGGCCTATAGATGTTACCGAAAACTCATGGCTGGCTCTTCGCCGGCTTTGAGGCCCGCTGGCTGCTCGCACAATACGGATTGATGCGCTGTGCATAAACCAGCGGGACGACAAAGAACAATCAAGCCAGGTCGCAATGATGGGAGAGATATGAAAATTGCGAGGTGATCCTATGGCTTGGAGAAGACTCGACGGTACCACCCGAAGAATCACCATCGCTACCACCGCCGACATCCGTCGTGGCTCGACGCGCTTTTGAACTACTACGACTCTTCGCTTCAGATCAGCATCTCCACGGGCTTCCGTGTCTTGACAGGGGTGTCACTTCGGAAATGAGATCCACTGCAGAATTCAAGCTTCACTTCGAAGCAACAGCCCATATGTTCAACCTTTCCTGGTGGCGACGTATCTGAATTGTGCAAGAGCTTGCTCTACCCGCTAGAGCTACCTTTGTCTACGTCTCTGAAAGTTGCCCCTACGATACCTTCGAGGCTTCCGCCCGACTCTTCGCAATGCATTGTGACAGCTGTTGCAGGGGCTTTGATGCCCGCTATCGCTCAACCGACCCCCTGACCACAGACGTCATGGTTACCTTGAGTGTAACCCTTCATAGCCTGGTATCCATACGGAACGACACAAAGAACGAGACTCGCTTTCCTCTGGCCGAGCTACGCATGATACTATGCACATCGTACGCCACAGACTAGTGAGATTTGTTCTACGCGCTGCTTGGCCTGGTGATGACCGCAAGCCCTAAACCAGCTGACGGATCTGAAATAGAGCCGCAACCACTGCTGCCCGACTACTCACTGTCTCCGCGGTCCGTAATTGCGCAAGTGGTAGTCAAATGCACCGGACAAACTGGGAGTCTTGCTATAATTACCGGCCTCAGGTGTCCCTGGATGAAGTCTGCCAAGCCGATGCCTACTTGGCTCCCACAGTCCAGCATCGATGCACGTCTTGCTTGGGGCGAGCGTCCCGTTCGTGCTTCGGCCACGAGCTGAACATGAAGCTAGAACAAGTTTCGATGTTTCCGGAGCACAGTCGTACACGGTGATGGGTGATGGGTACCTTCATATCAAGTTGACGTAGCTTATAATGATAGAAGCGCAGGGGGACACACGATCAGACGTCACCTCGAGCATCTAATACAGGTGCACGCTTACCGCTTATACTTAGCCCATGCTCCGACAGGATAAATTGTCATTCCTCAGGTGGTGTTTCATCCATGCAAGCGCCATCACAGCACCTTGCTTCTCAGTCGAAGCTGTTCCTGCATGGACCCTTGCCGGATTCTCAAATCCTCATACGCATGCAAAACGGCAGATCAGCCTTCTTCTGTCGACGCTTCCCAGCCACCGTTTCTTCCTTCCCCAACTGTCACCATGGGGTAGAGCCTGCAAGGGTGGCGAAACGGTTACTATTTCGGACCGGAGTGGTGGTCAAAGAACGTTCCGATCACCCCACCCACGCGCTTCTTTCTTCCCTCCCCGGAGCATGTCAGAGGGAAGCGATTCCTGACCGATGCAGATGGAGTGGTGCAGACGGCGGCAGGAAAAACCGGTAAAGTAACATGTACACGGCATGAGGCATGCGCATCATCGTCCCGCCGCTGCCGTATTCCATATTTATTGCTACTATGCACGCAATACCTCACCCCCACAAAATGCCGCCCCAACCGCTGACCTTCATACTCGTGATCCCTTTTCCAAATGCGCTTTTGTGCTGTACTGCGGTATTGTTCGATACAGCGGAGAAAATAAATAACGGCAACTGAAACACGGAGAGAGTGAGCATGAGCACAGCCGGGGGCGGGAGGCAGGGCGGGAACCCGGGTGGGAAATCCAGGAAATGCAGTGCGACAACGACATGAAAGGCGGGGGGCGCGGGAAAAAGGGAGAGGGGATCAGACACGCAACGGATATTGTCGCACATGAACAGCTCAGCAGTCATGTGTTTTCCCTTCCTTTTTTTTTTTTGGCTCCTAGTTCACTGCCCTCATCCTCCTCCCTCCACCACTAGTTGTCGTTTGAGAATATCCGCCCAGCCACGTTTCTGGTCCCTGCCATGCCTAGTACGTAACGCTGCTTGCGTTTAGACTTTCCTTCCCCACGTTATGGCCACCCCCCTTCTTCACTAGACCCCGCCGGTTTTACTTTTTTTTTTTAAACAATATAAATCTTTCTTTGAGTTTTGCGTTCCTTCGTGCCCGGTAGGCACGCGCATCATGCCGAATCCGTATGACGCGTACGTCCGCACGGAGACATACATGCACGTGCAACAGGTTGGCCTACGAATAAATGCAGCCAAGAGCCTTTTTCCCTCTCGCCAAGTGATATCATTGGCGGTGGTCCGAGTACATGCACTACTGCTGACGGTGGAAAAGCTGCGTGGCTGATGACGCGTGTGGGAGGCCGTTCGCCTTATTTTTGGGGTGGTCCTAGCCTCGGGGGGTTTTTCTGGTTGAGCTCGGAACGGCGGCGTGGGGTGGTGTGTTCGACGAGGGTTACCTACGGAAGAGGGTTCCAAGGGATCACTATGGACGGCGGGGAAAGGGTGGTTCTGGGGAGCTAAAAGGTACCAGAACCGCGAAACGCGAGGGGTAGAATCGAATGATCTGTGTGTCGTGCATTCAAATTGCCCGACAGGGTCACTCTCGTTGCCCGTACGTGTGCATGTGTGTGTGTTTGGACGTGTGTTTGGGGGTGTGTGTCTGTGTTGCGCCTCCGCCCGTGCCTGCATGTGGGAAACTCGTGCCTTGTCTGGGCGAGTGGCTTTAAGCCCGCCGCCGGGGGAAATCTAAGCGCGACGCAGTACTGAGTGGCTGGATCGTCGATCGCTCTTTTCGACGTGTGGAGAGCTGTTGGCCATGGACGAGGCGTTTTTGCTGCACCGGCTTGGGTGTTGAGTGTGCTGTTTAGCGCCTACCTGCCCCGCATCTTGGGCCAACATTCGGAAGCCGGCTGGAGGGACGGGACCAGAAAATATGATGCGTACCTTTTTTCTATGCGAGCGTGGAAGAAGGCCGGCTGCTGCATATGGAAAAGGAAGTTGGTTCTGGATCTGGCTGCAAGCACGGCTATTGCCCCGAATATGGCCGGCTTCTTACTTTCGACACTGCACCCTCCAATCCGAGCACTATGCTCAGAACAAGGAAGCTGGGTTTCCAGAATATCATGGGGTAGCAGGGTTTCCCGCTCTAGTTTCGCACACACTCCGCATCTCAGGGAGTCCAGACATTGACAAATTGGAAATCCCGGCCTTCTCTTCCAGGCAGAGAAGGCGAGCAGCTACTTCGAGCAGAGTCTGCAGGTGATGAGCCTGGCCAGACCTGCATTTCGTCCCTGAGGATCCGGCAGCTCTCCTGCTACACGGGTCCCAAAAGAGCTAGTTCCGGCGTACGCCCAAGAGCTTCGGACTTCGGTTGCTATGTGGGGTGGAAAGAGCTGCTAATAACATCCTGTAGTAGTACTGCATCGGTTTCAGTGGAGCTCACAGCAATACGCTATGGTACGCTAGTGCCGAACGGTTCAGGGCGGAGAGCATGACGAGACAACAGAGCAGTCTCAACGAAAAAATTCATTCAGAAAGACCATCGGTCCCAGATGTAGTTGAACGAACTGACCGTTCGACATACTGTAGGAGTTTTAGCTCAAAGACTGCAGCAGTCCCGCCTAAGCGCCCGCTCATAGTCCTATTTCAAGCGTCAACAGAAGAGCAATGCGGCTTACCGTTCAGACTTCACAAGGCAGCCTCTCCGCCATATGAGAATCCCCATGTGCCGGATCAACGGGCGGCTAAGTTCTGAGGACGAACCCCGCTTGCCCAATTTAGGTAGTTCCGTATAGCTCCTTAAACTAACTTCACTTACTTGGCATGTATAACGAAGTCTTTGGTTCTTAGCTCCGGTGTACCATGGTATAAAGCAGTGACGTGCGAAGCATTGGGATGGCCCAGGATGCAGGGTTGGTTCGTTCCTCATTCATCATACCTACATTTCGTAGCCGGCATTCACTAGTCGGTGCCGTGCTCAGAGCTTCGTCCTGTGGCTGAGATGCTTGTTCCTGTACTGGCGGCCGCGCTTGCGTTGCCGTGGTGCCATGCGCTTCCCGCAGGGCGCCATACGAGCTGCGCTACCGTCCACATCACGATGGCCAGAGGCACGACGGAAGAATAGCGGGGGGAGGTGATAACGCTGGCGAAGTCGATGATTGCGGCCAACGGAGACGCCGATTACGAGGAGATCATTTAGCTAGGTTGCCAGCACGCAGCAGGGGATGAGTGCTACCAAGCGCCAACTGACGGCGTACGTCGAGGCGTGCCCGGATTCGAGGATCGTTCTCTTGGGCTACTCTCAGGTCAGTGTCGTCCCATGGCCGAGGCCGCACCGCTCCTTTTCCAATCCCATATTAACTTGGGCGCACGGGTGACGGGGAGATTCTGGAGGGGGGCGCGGCTAAACCGTGTTGTTGACCTAGGGAGCGCACGTCACGGGCGATGCGCTTAGCGGTGGTGGCGGAGATGGCCTGGGCGCTGCGACGCAGCCCGTTTCGACGGACGTCGGCCAGCACGGTAAGATTGATTGGAAAATGGCAGACCGCCAGAAGTCGCTTGCCGCTGCCGGCACGGCGGGCGTAGTTGCCGCGGTCGTCTGGTGCGGCGGCCCAAGACATGTCGCCGGTCAGTCGTACGACGAGCGGACGGCGACAACGGACGGAGCACGCATTCCTCGATGCCCCAAACGAGCGCTGCTGATCCCCTTCTTTTGCCCGCGCAGATATACCCGCGCACCGCCGCCCAGCTTGCCGTTTTGGCCGAGCGTTACGAGCTTACGCCAATAGGATCCGCCCATACTGTGACGACAACGACATGTAGTCTGTGCCCGTGTTCTTAAATTTGCAAGGCAAGCCAGGGCTGGCATATAAATGGTCGCTTGAGGTGAGCGCCGGCGGCAGCGGCGTTCCCGTGCAGGGCGGATGCCCTGGGACTTACGACGAGCAGGCGGCGGCGTGGGTGCAGTCGGTGTTGGAGGCCAATGGCGGCGGCGCAAGGGGCTGCGACAGCTCCTGCGATGCTGGACGCGGGCAGGCGACTGGTTTTCCTTTTATCGTCGGGGCCATGAAACGGGCAGAGCGAAGGCCGGTTTCACAAGCGTGGTTTCAGATGGCGCCCCGCGAACAATGGCGGCGCTGCCATCTCAGATGCTCCCAAGGGGAATCTCGACGGGACATCTCGGCGGAGGCTCTTGATGCAGCGCGTCGCGGGCCGTGGCTGGCCCGCGAATTGGAATCCTGTCTCCGCATGACGGATGAGGCGCGGCCGGGCGTGGCATTGGGTGCGCTGCGTGCAACGACTGCTGGCGGCGGACGGAAATGGAACAGAGATGCGCATCGTCATGTCGGCCACGAAGGGCTAGTGCCTGGGGCAGCGGGCACGCTTGGTGAGCAAGCAGCCGGCTGACCGTCGGAGATCAGAATTAGGCACGACGATGAATGATGAGCCCGCTGCCCGCTGCCCGCTGCCCGCTGCCCGCGTGCTGACATGGCTTCCCGCGCCGCTTCGGGACGCCGCTGCTGCTGGCGGGCGGGCGCGCGCCAGGGATGGAGGTCATTTCTCAGGCCACTAGCCGTGGTGAGTGGTGACTGGCGCGCAACACACGTGAGCGCCCGCGGCTTGCATGCCGGCAGCGTGACCCCACCACCCGCGAATAACACGAGGGCGGAGTCAGTCATGGACACTCCCTCCGGCGGCCCGTGGCCCTGCGGCATCATGGCAAGTGGAGGAGCCGTCGCGCTGCAGGAACCGCGCCAACCCGGCCACGCAAACCAGCGGTGGCCCAGCCGTGGCCGGACGGGGGCGCAGGGCCGCTCGTCAGATGGACTGCGGCGTTGCGCAGGGCTGCTGGATCGAGGCGGCGGCGGTGCGCGCGGGGGCTCTGGGGCGCCTGGGCTGACAGGGTCGTCGAGGCTCTGGACCAGGGCGTCTGTTTTCCTTTTTTAAGCAGCAGCCGCTTTCCCGGCGGTTCGACGGCCGTAGCATTGGCGAGCCGACAAGGGCTCAGGAACCCTCTCCGCCGCGCCGGGGGTCTGAGGACGAGGGCCGGGCGCGCGCCGGGCACGCGAGTGCGTCGCGATTAATGGGGGCGCCTCCCATAGTACGCAGTACACACAGTACACCCAGCCGGCCCCCGGCGCCCTGAGCAGCCCTGAGCAGCCCTGCGCAGCCCTGAGGGGTGAGGTGAGCCGGCATCGGCTGCTGCCCGTGGTGGCTTGCCCGACGCCGTGTTGGGGCGGGCAGCGGCGGGCAGCGGCTTCGGGGCGCGTCCAGTTCCCTTGGGTGCGGGCTTGCTGGCGGCCGGGGGAGGCCAGCAACGTTTGACTGTACCCGTTGATCTCCTTCTGCTTTGATCAGCGCAGAGTCCCATGAGTTTGGATTAGGGCCCGCCCGCCGCGAGATGCAAGGATGGGCGTGCGGGAACACTCGACGGGCGTCAGCGCGTGGCTGCCTGCCAACAAAGGCCCGCGCCGGACAGCGCAGGTGAACAAAGCAAGCCGCAGCTGGCGTGAGCGCGAGCTGGAGCTGGAGCTGGAGCAGCTGGAGCTGTTAACGGCCAAGGCCGCCGCGGCGTGGCAGCCCGCAATGCCCGGTGAGGATGAGCCATCCCCCATCGGGTTGAGGTCGGCGGATGACGCGGGCGCGCCAGTGAGCGGAAGAGCCCACCTCAGGCTAACGCCCATCGATCTGGAGTCTGGCCGCGCTGGCTCTGGCGGTGATGCCTTCGTCCCCCGGCCGCGTCGCCGCCTGCGAGACGGCGGGCTTGGAGCTGCGAGCCCTGGGACTGCCTGCGGCGGCGGAGCGCGGCGGACCGGTGCTCGGCACGCCTGCAATATCTCTGCTGCAGTGACCGCGAGCGTGTGCCGGGCGAAGCGCGTGCGACGGCTGGCGGGCAGTACCGGCGGGCATTGAAGCCCTACCCTGGCCTGCTGCTGCGGGCGCGATGAGGTACCGTAGCCGTAGCGCCATCGAGCTGCGCCGCCCTCTCTTCACCCTCACAAAGCGTTTCGATCCGCCAGCGCAGTGGCTTACCCACGCACGCCACGCCCGGCCCTTTCGTCGTCTCGCTCGGCTTTGACTGTCCAGGGCTCGCTTGCACGCTTGCACCTGGCTGCCCCGACTCCGCTCGGAACCCGTACCCTACCTCCATTCCGCACGCTCACCACCTCACTGCACCACCACCAACACGCCGCTCAGCTTGCTGCGTGCTTCGCCCCGACCGCCCGACCCTCCCCATACACACACGCCGACGACAAACCTGGCTCTCCAATTGCACCTCCAGCCTGCCTGTGAAGCTGCCCGCCCAGGCGAGCTAGCTTCGCGCTCCATCTCACCAACCGCCGCCGCCCTAACTCCGGTCTCAGCCCGGATACCCTCACTCACCCCACAACCCGCGACCGCCGTCTCGCAACAACACACTCGTGCCGAATCAGCACCTTCGCCATGGGTTCCGACTTCGCGTCAGGCGTCGGCATCGCCCTTCGCGGCGCCCCGGATGAGTACATCGGCGAGAAGCAGATGCCCAGCTCCAGCAGGCGCGCCATGCAGGTGGAGATGACCCAGGACGTCATCGACGACATGCTCCAGAGCATTCGCGACGGTCGTCCTCCGATGCTCCACTTCAGTCAAAACCCCGTGCGTGCTCCAAGCTCTTGCTGAAGTGTCGACGCGTCTCACTGACTGTCACCTCAGATCCTCAAGATCGGAGAGACCAAGATCGTCATCGACGCGACAAAGGAGACATTCAGGAACGAGCTGTACCAGACTGCCCCTACTAACGCGGAAGACGGCAGCAGCGATGTCACCAGCAACTTCTTTGGCACCGTCGACTACCGACTTGCTCTTCAGAGGGCTAGTGAGGCCAGCCAGGCCATGAACAGGACCGACTCCGCTCTCCAAGCCCTCAAGTCGAACATGAAGGCGATCCGCAAGGAGAAAGAGGCTCCGAAGTGGGCACCCAAAATTATCAGCACCGCTCGGTTAAACATGCTAACTTCTAAACGCAAAAGGGTATCCATGGAAGTCGATCCCCTGCAACTGGACAGAATGAAGCGGCTTCAACAGGGTAGGTATGCGAAGCCAAGCCGTGGAACTGTCCTGGGAGGTAGACTGGTTGCTTCAACCTCGAACGCGTCGAGCCCTGCCCTGTCCGCCGCCTCACCCAGACCGACCGCACCGACCTCCGCACCAATCTCCAAGAAGACATCGGCAGTAGAATCGGCCCTACGCAAGGCACTCGTCCACATACTCGCCCTTGAGCCCGTGAAGGTGCAAGATATTGCTCGCAAGATGAGGGTCCCGAAGGAAGATATCTCATCGGTGCTGGAAAAGATTGCGAAGGAGCAGGGAGGAGAGTGGAAGTTGACGGACAAGGCATACAAAGAGCTGGACCCCTTCAGCCCGAGCATTCGATTCTGGACGGAGGAGCAGCGCAAGAAGGCGATCGACAATGCCATCAAGGCGCTGGATCGTCAGAGGCTTGATCCTCGTGACAAGATTTGGCAGAATCTCCTTCCAGAGCATGAGCGCGGCAAGGGAAAGATCCTGTCCAAGTTGAGCCTGGCTTCATCCAGCGCTGCGCCAAAGACTTCAACGCCGTCCGTGAAGCCCGCTATGGGCAACAAACAGAAGCTGAACCAGCTGACGAAGAAGACGAAGACGGAAACGAAGAAGAAGGAGCCGAAGAAGAAGAAAAGCGAAGAAGATGCATTCGGAATCGCATCTCAAAAGAAATCCAGGCCTTTGGTGGGGGAGAGCACAACTGCTTTGGGACAGAAGAAGACGCTTAAGGGTGAGGAGAAGGGAACCACAACTCTCAAGAGAAAGATCGACAAGCCTTCTAGCGAGGAGGATACCGGACGTACGACGTTGTCAAAGGCCGTGAAACGTCCAATTGCTGAAGATCAGGCCAACCAAAATCCACCCAAGAAGACCAAGAGGTCCAACCCCGATGACGGAGAGGTTGGCCAGGTCGCGAGGAAGACATTGTCAAAGATGTCAGGTGAAGGCGACAAAGGCGGTCAGAACACGGGTCTCCAGAAGACAACCCGGATCCGGAAGGAGGGTACAACGGTCGTGTCTGCTAAGCTTAACAAAGAGAACGCCCAGTCAGAAACAAAGGTCGGCAGCAAGCCCATCACCAAGAAACAAACACAGACAAACAGCACCGTCAGAACGACCAACACTGCCCCGACAGTGGCAGCGCCCAAGAAGCCCACAAGCAAGATGAATGAACAAAAAGCGTCTGAGCATACAGCTGAAAAGAGCATTCAGCCAAAGATCAACGGACTACCATTCACATCCACGAAGAAGGTCGCGAATGCCCTATCCTCCAAAAACCCTTCATCAACTGGATCCCCTCTCAACACTTCGGACGTGGAGAAGTCACGTACTGTCCACAAGTCTTCTACCACTGCAGCTGGTGTCACCACTCCCGGAAACTCTGACCGCACCCTCAAGCGGAAGGCGAACGACATTGATAGTGACATTCACAAGCACGACGTCAGCGTCAAGCATCGCAAGACTGCAGGACACGCTCCTGTGCCCGGCAACACGGCTACAGCGACCCCTCCCAGCAGTGACAGGCCTTCGCTAAAGCGTAAGCCTGATGGAACTATGGCAGATTCGAAACAGCCCACTGCCAAGAAGCTGGCTGCTACGTACAAGGCTTCTAAGCCTACACAGACTCCGACGCCGAGTTACTCCGGGGCGTCATCAATCTCGTCGACCTCATCCACCCACTCCCACCAGCTGGGTATGGGACATGTTCACCACCATGACTCTCCGCAGAGCTTCCACGACGCTAGCTCTGCTTCGCCTGAGCAGGGTCTGCCGCTCAACCACCGCCGGGCAATTGAACTAAGTGCCCAGTTCAAGCGCTGCTATCCCCAGTACCTCGCGCTGTACATGTCGCTCAAAGGCCGGCCAGCGACGAAACAGGAGCTGGAGGAGCTCTACAAGAAGGACGCTATCCTCAAGGGCATGAAGAAGGAGGTGAACCGTCTCTGGGCTAACCCGGAGGCTTAAGCCTCCGGGTTAGCCAAGGGGAAGACAGCACACAGCGTAGTTCCTCGATGCGGTCATTGGAGGGCACTAAAATGGGGTTGATTGTCATTCTTGTGGCGTACCAGCATGGTCATGAGGGGCGGATTCGGATAAAATAACGGTGGAATTTACGGTTCTTAACGGATGAAAGAGAAAATGAACATTTGGGAAGAGCTGCAGCTCTTCCACTGCCCTCCTGTCACTTGGTGAATGGTTCGCGATACTAAGTGAATCCGCCCCGTACTATGAAAGCTAATTCAATAGTGACGTTGTGGTTTCGTGGAAGATCGTGGACGTAGTTGCAGGGCTATCCCGGCTTGGCCCAGCGCCTAAGTGCAAGCTGCGTCATCCGGCGGCGCGATGGTAATGTGGGAGAAATTAAGGCTCGCGAATGGCACGTCGCAGGATAGTTCGCATAAGGCAAATTATGGAGATTTGATTATTGAGGGGCGTCGGTGAGCGACTCCCTTGCTGGCACGGCTGGGTTAGTGTGATGCGCTTTACATAGGTAGTACTTTCTCCTTGGGAGTTGTTGGGATCGCACAGCACGCGCAAAAGGGAGTTTACCGATGTGCGTATGCTTACACAGTGCGCCACTAGGCACAATCATTGGCGCAGGCCTTGTTCGTGGCACTGGATGAGGAGAAGATAGGAAGCATGGACAGTCCTCATCCGCCGCAAACCGGCATCGTACTAGAACCGTGCGCCGGCGAAAACAACGGCGACTTGGGCCGGTCATTCTGGTTCCTACGCCCCTCGGCTCATAGCCCGAGACATGCCATCCTATATACTCGAGAGTATAGGGGTTTCGCATCCGACCGTTGGCGTTGAAGATTGAAAACCCCTAGGATGGGGGACCTGCCCGTACTCTAATGATTTGGTAAGTTGGAACCTCATCAATGTATGGAAAGTCAACAACGCGCTAGCGATCGGCGGCGGAACCCCTCTGTACAGATGCTAAGAACACACGTCTTCAAGAAAAGGATAGCTAGCAAGTCTGAACGACTACCCCACAACAGGCGCCAAATGCCGGTAAAGAGCTCTACGCATTAAAGAGAAGCACGCGGAAACACGAGGTGTGAGACCAGACCCGCACGGCACTTCTAACCTTCCCGGAAGCCAGACCGAACAAAAAAATATGTGTGTGAGGAGTGTGCATGAGCGTAGAGCCCGTGGAGGTGACCGAGGCGGAGAGTGCAGGATTGATGTAGATAAACCTATCCGCCCCAAGTGCCACGGCGCGGTATCGAGCGCGCTCTACCAGGACGGAGCCGCATGTTTTATCGGGCGGGACTTTGGGTCAAACGGTTCGGCGAACGGGCAATTGGTCAGTCGACGTCGCCGTTCTGGTGCTTGCGTTTGCCGTTGGTGGCTTCGTCCAGCGCTGCCGCATCCCTTGCGGTCTGCGTGTCGAGCGTGTCCTTGTAGTTCTCGGGCAGGCCCGGAATGCTGGCAGGGTCGATGCCCTTTGCACGGGCAGCGTCGACCAGCCTCTGCTGTTCAGCATACTGGTCTCTAATGTACCTCACGGTGGCGTCGAGGACGATGGCTTCGCTGCGGCCCTGGCCCTCCATGCCGGGTACAATGGAGGCCAGGCGGTCGAAGCCCTGGCGGATGGCCTGGCGGCGCTTCTGCTCGGAGGCGATGTGGTTGTTCTTCTTCTCCTCCTCGGTCAGGCGCGGCTTCTCGGGCTGGGCGGGGGTCGCCTTCTGGGCGGGGGGCGAGGTGGACATTGGCAATGCGGGCGGAGGTGCGTCTGAGAGAAGGTGCGGCGGGGACGAGGCGGAGGAGCCGCGGGTGTTAGGGGATGCTCAGATCGCGCGGCGGGCCTTCCCCGCGAACACTGGGCGCCATTCCCTCAGCCCTGCAGCTCTAGTGCAGGGAAGCGCCTGAGGCAGTGGATACGGGCGCTCCATCCCTGTCGTGCCCGGAAAGCCAGGTGCAATTTGAAACATTGCCGTCACCTGCGACGGCCTGCCGCGTCCCTCTCACCACCCCCCCAGACCCTCCCCAGCGAGCGGCCGTCTCGAGCGCAGCCCACGCCCGCCGCCCGCCGCCGCCGAGCGCCTCCAATCTCGAAAACCGCCGCCGCCGCCTCACCGCCCAGCGTCGTCGCTGCGCCGTTGCCCTCCGTGCCCAACCAGCCCAGCCCGCCCCTCTCGAATGACATGCGCTGCGGAGCCCGCGCCTCGAAGAAGCCCGTGAAACAACACTCCCGCCCGCAGCAATGTCGACCTCGTCTCACCACAGCCGCTCATTGAGCAACAATCGCTGGCGCGTCAGCAGCTTGGTGCAGGAAGAGCGCGCCAACCGCCGCAGCTCCTCCTACTCCCGCAAGCGCGTCGTCAGCTCGCAGGATGCCTATACCTATGCCCTCCGCGTGGCCTTTCTCGCCTACCTGCTCCAGCCACGCGCCCGCCGCGTGCAGCACGTCCCGGCGCCCAAGCAGCTGCACCGCTCCTCGACCTCCGTCACCGACCTGGTCAAGGACTTCTCCCTGATAAGGGACAGCAAGAGCACAAAGTTCCCCCATGGCTTCATGAAGGAGCTCGACAAGCGCCTGACCGGCGTGCTGGTCGGCAAGGAGAAGATGCCCGAGTACAATGATCCGCTGGTCAAGTCCACCTTTGCCGGCTTCCTGAACGAGTTCAAAGACCCCAAGTTCAGGAAGACCATGGAGGAGAACCGCCGGGTCGAGGACCTGTTGCTGATCTTCTTCTCCAACGCCACCAAGATCATGCAGCGAGGCAAGGCTCCGGACGACGACAGCTGGCGGCTCATGGTTGATCGCCACGTTGCTTTGTTCATTCGCCTTATCAGCTCCACTCTCCGCAACCACGACTGGACCCGCGACAGGCCCGAGCTGCTGTCAAGGCTGACCACAATGGAGAAGAAGCTTTTGATGCACGACCAGGACCTGGCTGCTGCTTCACAACGCAATGGCGGCTCAGGTGGCTCGACCGTCGAGGTCGAGGTACCTCGGAGCTACGAGGTCAAGGACATGCCCTTGGTCTTGGTTGTGTCACGTATATTCAGTGTCCCATACGACACGGTGCAGCAGGACATCAATGCAAGGAAAGACACCTGGACCGAGAAGGCTGCGTTGCAGGATCTCAAGGCCTACCAAACTAACCTGAGCCTTAACACGAGGCAAACGCTGAGCCCCGACGACTTCGACACGGAAGAAGCGTATGAGGCGTGGAAGAGGGGAGAGACCCAGGATTTGTCCCAAATGATGTTGGCAATCATTCAATCCAGCCCTGAGCTCGCAAAGAGCAGCGGTGGCGCACTGCCGCAGTTCAAGCCGGATCGTTCAAGCATCATAGATTCCGGCTATTCAGAAATGTCTAGGAAGATGTCTGAAGCTTCGGAGACCGGTTCATACGTCATCGATCAGCCGGTTGATGTGGCTTCCTTGAACCTGAACGATGTTCCAAGCCCTACTGAGGATGGCAGCACCCCCTACACTTACATTCCGTCGGAACCGAGAGCATTCTACCGTGCCATTGTCAAGCAAGCCCTCACATATGATTTGCAAGATGACGGCCTAGACCCTACGAGCCCGACTGGAGACACACAGGCCATGAAGCTGCTGTCGAGAGACTCCGCAGAGCTGCTGAGTGAGATTGGCCTGCGCTGGCGGGTACCTCAATTCTCCCGACTCGTGCTATTCTTGGATGTAGTGAAGGAGAAGTACCAGCAAACAGAAATTAGCCTGGAAACGCTGGATGACGCATTCACTTTCGTCAAGCAACCGCCGCTGGAGAACAATAAGAAGGGCAACAGGTCAAGCATCATGATGCTTCAGCAGACCACGATGTTCGATCACACCAAATGGACCATTCACGATTGTATGTTGAAGCAGCAGATTCTGTCGGCATTGCATGAGGACCTCCTTCGTGAACTCTTCCAGCTCATGCTGTTCTGCTACGACTCTAAGCCCCCGACTCTCGGCCCGGTGATGTTTGTGCTCAACAATCATATTTACGAAGATCCCCTGTTCAACGGAACACCCGAGGAGCTGGACGAGTATTCGGACAAGCTCAAAGATGCGCTTGCAAAGCGGGCAGCCGAAGTGTACAGCGAGATCTTGGCAAAGAACATTCCCGACACCAAGGACGAGTGGGAGTTCTTCCATGTTATCGAGCTTGGAAAGGCAGTGATCAAGCTGTGTGAGAAGATCCAGAAGCGTTACCGCAAAAACCCGGAGATTATGGGGTAATTCAGTCTCTTGACACGTCTGGTGCGCCAGCTAACTTTGATGGCAGTGTCAACCCTCTCAACGTTCTCGTTGCAGAAATCCTACCTTCGTACGCCGCTGACGCTAGGGACTTGGTCGCCAAAATCATGGAGTTTTCCCAGCAGAAGGGCGAAGACGTCCCTATCCCAGATGGGTTCGATCTGTACAAGGAGCTCGTTGAGATCCGTCGCATCCATGCCGATGCCTTGCCAGAGTGGGTTGTGCAACTCAGTCCATGCAGTTACAGGCTAACCTTTCCTTAGCCGGCCGTTTGCTTTCCACATCGAAGATCAGCTCCAAGACTTTGTGTGGCGTTGGATTGACATGACTAACCAGAATCTCGTGGGATGGGTTGAAAACGCTGTCAAGCAGGATGACTTCCAAGTTCGCATAGATTTCCCAGACCAGATCCCCACCGACGATGAGCGCCATAGTGTTTCGGTTGTCGACATATTCCGTTCTTTCAATCAATCCATCGAACAGATCGTGAATCTGAACTGGGACGACGACCTCCAGTATGCCAAGTTCATGACCGCAACCTCGAAGGCGGTTGGCGGCGCTCTTTCCCGGTATTGCGAAATGCTTGAGACTATGTTCAGCAAGGAGATGGAACGCTTGACTCCTGAGCAAGAAGCGGCGGCGCGCCAGACTCGCCAGGAAAAATGGCTGCAGATGGCGAAGGATACTTGGAACAACAAAGACAAGATTGAGCCGTATCAGTTCTTGCCAGAGGTACTCGATGATTCTCACCACCCACCCATCATGGTTTCTCGGCTCGACATAGCCTAGGTTCATGAAGTTCCTGCTGACAATTCGCCAACCATAGTCCCTCGTGAAACTTAACAACATCGAATATGCTACGCAACAACTCGACAAGCTCGAACGCGAAGTCAACGTTGACGCTTGCGCCGAGGTCATTCAGAAACACACCCCACCCTCTAACCAGCGACAGAAGATGACCAAGTACGTTTTCACCATCAAGATTATCGAGGCGGAAGACATCAAGGCCTGCGACATGAACGGTCTCAGCGATCCGTACGTTGTTCTGGGTGATGAGTATCAAAAGCGTCTGGCAAAGACCCGTGTGGTATACGGCAGTCTTAACCCGCGCTGGGAGGAAACGGTTGATATCACGACATCGGGACCTCTCAATATCATTGCGACCATCTGGGACTGGGATACCTTAGGTGACCACGATTGCGTGGGCAGGACCTCGCTCAAGCTTGACCCCTCTCACTTCCGTGATTTCATGCCGAGGGAGTATTGGCTTGATCTGGACACGCAGGGTCGTCTCCTGCTCAGAGTGAGTATGGAAGGTGAGAAGGATGACATCCAATTCTACTTTGGCAAGGCTTTCCGAACCCTGAAGAGGTCGGAGCGTGATATGACTCGCAAGATTACGGACAAGGTAAGCTCTTCAAAGACTTGACAAAGGTCTCTTGGTTGACCTCTCGCAGCTCTCCTCGTACATCCACTACTGTCTATCGCGTCGTGCGTTGAAAGCACTCTTGAATCGCGGTGTTACCGTCTCAGCGGTTGCTTCGTACTTCCGTGCAAGGCCCCCGTCTGTTCAGCAGGCTCCTTCGCAAGCAGATGTCATGAACGCGCTTCAGCCGCTTTTTGGCTACTTCAACGACAACTTTGCGCTCATGAAGGAGACGCTCACAGACAGTGCCATGGTCATGGTCATGTCCAGACTGTGGAAGGAGGTGCTAGCTGTTCTCGAGAGTCTTTTGGTGCCGCCTTTGAGCGACAAGCCTAGCCAGCAGAGGCCTCTCACGCAGCAGGAGTTGGACATTGTCTTCAAGTGGTTGCAGGTGCGTTCAAGAACAACCCCCCTCTGTCGAGGCTCGTGCTCACCATATCACAGCTTCTATTTGACTTCTTCCATGCGGTTGACGAAGACACCGGCGTTGCGTCGGGTGTTCCTCTTGATATCCTCAAGTCTCCCAAGTATCACGACTTGCAGAACCTGAACTTCTTCTACTTCGAATCGTCAGAGAACCTCATCCGTACGTCCGAGGCAATGGCTGCTGCATCGCTGCAGAGGCAGCAGGAGAAGAACGCCCGTAACAACCGTCTCTCCTCACCGGCGTATCTTGGTGGGCCTCCTGCTGGCCACAGCTTCGGTGGGGCCGCCGGCTTGGTCGGCACGCCCACCCGGAAGCACAAGACAGTGATGCTGAGTCGCAATTTGGGCACCATGAAGCGAGCCAAGGAGGAGAAGCGGAAGGAAGCTCAAGCCGAGCCAAGCGACGACATCATCCTCAGGATCCTTCGAATGAGACCTGAGGCGGAGAGGTACCTGCGTGATCGATCCCGGCAGAAGGAAAGGCTGGCGGCAGCAGCGGCAGCCGAGATGATCGTCAAGCAGAGCTTGATGGCGAGCAATTCTAGGAGATAAGGGTGATGTTACGACGAGACTGGAGTGATGATTTCAACGAACTCGGAGGGATTTGAATGTCGGGGAAAATTGCAACAGGCAAGTGTTACACTTGCGTACGAGCGAGCAACGAATGCACGGACACACGCACACAGCAGGCGCATGCGCATGCGCACACCTATACCCGGCCAGGCAATGAAGAACGTTCCGGAAAGCTTTTTTTGGCCAACAAACCTCTCGTCTGCTTTGGTTTTGTGGGTCTTTTCGTTCATGTCATGACAGCGAGGGGAGTCATTTTGGTTGCGTAGCGGCAAAGTCATGGGGCACGCGTCTCCTTCTTTCCAACTCGAACCTTCCCCGGTCATGATTCATGGGCAAGCCTGGTTCCTCCCCTTTTCTTGTTGAGTTTAATCTATCGCGATGCTTCTGGGACGGTTTGGGCAAGTGGACGGCGGGAGGGGAACGGTTCAGCGGATGGAAGGAGGGTTTCGGAACGCGGGTCTAATTTCTCTAAGTTTCTTATTTGCTTGTTCCTTGTAATGCGATAGTAGTCACGGTTGCTCTGGGAGCCCTGCATTCTCTTATTGTAGTAATTAAGGATACAGCTCTACTTGTCTCTCGGTTGAACCATGGGTGATGGGATGAGCGGATAGAACTGAGAAGTGCTCGTGCTGGAGTCAACCCGTGTTAGACTTTCAAACAGCAAGCAACCCCACCCGTTGTGCCTTTCAGATACGGTTGATGATTGCTGCTTTGTACAGGTTGTCGGGTTCCGTTCTTTCTCCCAAAGGTGTTTGGGAGAAAGAACAGCCTCTTTGCCATGGCCAAAAAGCTGAGATTCGTTGTTCACGTGTGTGGAGTCGCTTCGGGAACCGATGATGGGAGGAGATGGTTCATCACAATTGCACTACAAGCCACGGAAGAGAATCAAGTCAGGAGCCCGGAGGCCGGTAGGGTGTGTTGGCCGTTAAGGTGTGTTGCACGAAGAGTCGTCGTTGCACATCGGTAGACTAACACCCTTAGTTGCAAATGTCATGCAAGATCGATCGCCAGGAACCGATCCGCTAAGCTAGCTCCTCCCCTCCCCATCATCTCTCCGAGCTGATGATGATTATCCTCCATCATCCATTCGGTGCGCCTCCCAGCCACCCGAGCCCTACTTCGGAAGTCCTGTCACGACGTCATCAAAAGACGGATTAGTGTCATGGGCCGCCCCCCGCTACAACTGACTTAAGCCGACTGCTGCTCCTCCTGCATCGATGCCTTTCTCGGATCCAAACTGCCAGCCAGATTCATTTCCACAATTGCAACATCCTTTGGAAAGAAGGAACAGAGACCAAGAGCAATCGAAAGCATTACCGTCATGCCGGCAACACGCGCTCAAGTCCGAGGAGGTCAGCCCGACGACGACGCGAGGTCGCCCACGTGGTGTCTGGCCGAGCTCGAAAATAGCGGCGCCATGCATCCGGACAGCTACAAGCACGTCGCGCCGGCACCGAAAGGCGACATGGACGAAAGCAACAACCCACGCAAGCGCAAAGACAGCAAGCAGCACTCGTCCCCTTCGCCAACCAAGGCCACCCGCAACAGCAACCGCGCTTCTTCCGCCGAAGCGGAGAAAGGGCAGCAGGACGACGACGAAGACGACGCCACCAAGCCGCCCCAGGACCAGGTGAAGCTCCTGCGCTTCCTCCTCTCGCCCCACGCGCTGCCCTACACGACGCCCGAGGCCGAAGCCTCGCAGCCGTCCTCGGTGCGCACCTACGCCACGGCGCGGCTCACGCCCTTCGAGGAGCTTCTGGCGGCCGTGATCCTGTCGCGGCCCATCTCGCACGCCCTCGGCCAGCGCGCCGTCCGCACTGTGCTGAACCCGCCGTACGGCCTGACCACGCCGGGCAAGGTCCGGACAGCGGCCGGCGAGGGCAAGGTGCAGGAAGCGCTCGGGAAGGCGCGGACGCAGCACAAGGAGAAAACGGCCGAGGAGATTGGCGGGTTGGCGGAGGCGGTGGTGGAGAGGTGGGGGGATGGGGAGGATGGAGATGGCGGGCTGGAGGGCGTAAGGGTGGAGGCTGGGTGGGATGTTGGTGAGGAGAGGAGGGTGTTGAAGGAGGCGGTGAAGGGGTTGGGGGAGACGGGGCTGGATATCTTTTGCAGAAGGGTGCAGTGGCTCTGGCAAGAGGTGTATCCGTTTGTGGATGGAAGAACGAAGGGGGCGTTGGAGCAGTTGGGATTACCGGGTGAGGCGAGCGGTTTGCGGAAGCTCATGGAGAATGGGTGGGATGAGATTGGGGTGAAGGATATCGGGTTGAAGGATGAAGAGGAGAAGAAGAGGCGGGCGTTCGTGCTTGTGTTGGAGAGAGCGGTCGGGGCCAGCTTGGAGAAGAGAGTGCAGGACGTCGTGACCGAGGCCGCAAAGGAGTAGAAATGATTCGACTTAGCAATACCGTCTGCGGCAAGCAAAGGACGCCTCAAGCCCTACATGCGAGTGGAGGCATAGTGAATGACATCCGGTGATGTAGGCGCAGGCGGATGGCGCATGACAATGCTGAAATCAGCATTCTGGAGGCTTCGTGCGACTGTGTCGCTCTGTGGGTGGCCGCAAAAGCAGGGCCCCGGTAGCTGATGCACAGGGCTGGGCCTTGGGCGGTGCGACTGTCTTAAGCGTGAAGGAAAAGCAAGGCGGTGAGGTGGAGGCTGCGGGGCCCACGCTGGGAATAGAATTAGAGGCAGTCGGATGAGGCATCCGAGTCCATGTGAGCGGAGTTGGATCCGGATTGGCGGGACAATGATACATGGCACCTAGCTGGAATAGGACAGCGTTCCTGGAGGGGGCAGGGCGTGAAGTGCCGAATGTCTCGTGCACACATAGGGAACCGGGTTAGGCAAGTCGGCGCGGCGCGATCGCTGAGGATCTCCAGGTGACTGCGGTCAGCGGCAGGGCTGACGGCGGAGCGGGCGCCAGAATCAGGAGGCCGTCAGATGTCGACTCGAGATGGAGTGAGTTGAGAGTTGGTGCGACGCGTCACAGCAGCTGCAGCAGCGCCTTAGCAGCGCCTTAGCAGCGCTCGGACAGGCAGGCACGTTTCGCGGCGGGAGCGTGGGAGGCTCCACCCCACCAAAACCTGTCTTCACCTCCCGCCCGCCGTGCAATATCACCCCCATCCCTGTCGCGCGCCATTTTCGCCGCCATCCCCGGCCCTCGCTCCCGTTCGCGGTCCCGCCCGAAGTCAGCGGCCCGGCTGCCGGGCCTCCTGGTGGTGGGAATGCTCCCAGCTGAGCCTCGAGTCCACGCGCTCGACGCTCTCCACGCGTCGTCGCGCGCCGCGACGGTCATGCGAGCCTCGTAGCTCCTCTCTCCGCCCCGTGGCGCTGGTGTAGATCCGGGGCAGCGCGAGCTGAGTCGGCGCATGACTCTGCCCGCGCGGGAGCGTGGATGGCGCGACCAGAGCTGATTGGAGATCTGCCGTTGCTTAGCCTGGCCGCCGGAATCGTCATCGCTGCATCGACTGCCGCTTGAACTGACCTCTTCAGCTTTGCTTCTGCCATTGGGACGTGCGTTGGCCTTGGCCGCCTTACTCGCCTCCCTGCCATCACACCGTGGCGCCTTGGTCTGCATTGCTGTGTCTCGGTCATCTCCCTCCAGCACTACCCAGTCACCCGTCTGCCATGCTGTGTTGTCTTGAACCAGCCCTGCGTAGTTGTATATAAGATTGGCCGCTGCCAGCTGCGAGGCCGCCTTCCCATCGCTAGTCTGCGCCCCGTCCCTGAATCTAGTTTCTCGACTATTGGTTCCCCAAACGTCATGACGAGCCCCGTCAAGCGCCTCATCCAGCGCCTCCAGCGCCTGCGAAAGCCCAAGGTCCAGGAACAGGGCCAATCCAAGCCTCCTGTCCCGGCTAACCGCCCCCAGCAAGCTCAACAACCAATCCGCGCCACCGCAGACACCCTGAGCATTGACTTGGTGAACAACACCGACTCCAGCACCGTCTACGCCTACATCACCGGCCAAGCCATCGACAACGACAACGCCCTGTTCATCCTGAAGGCTGACGGCGCCACCGCCTATTACCCAACCTCGCCCTCCAAGGAAGGCGCCGATCTCTCAGACGATGCCTCGATTCCGCTGGGTGCGCCAGGATCGACCAAAACCGTCACCATCCCCCATCTTGCCGGTGCTCGCATCTGGTTCTGCATTGACGACAAGCTCACCTTCCTCCTGAACCCCGGACCTGCTCTGGTCACCCCGTCCGTGACCAATAACTCTGACCCCAACATCAACAAGAAGTGGGACTTCTGCGAATTCACCTGGAACAGCGCTCAACTCTATGCCAACATCACCTACGTCGACTTCGTCAGTGTTTCGGTGGGCCTGAAGCTCACCAACACTGCGGGAGCCACCCAGTCGGTGACTGGAATGGCCGAAGACGGTCTCGATACCGTTTGCTCTGCTCTCACGACGCAGACCAGTTCCGACGGTGCGCCGTGGTCCAGTCTGATTGTCAAGGACTCCAGCGGTGCCAATCTTCGGGCCCTCTCCCCGAACAACGGCGCAGTCACGGGCAACGACTTCGGCACCTACTTCCAGGACTATGTCGACCGAGTCTGGACCAAATACGCCTCGGAATCTCTGAGTGTCAACACGCAGGCGTCGTATGGTACCGTCACAGGCAAAATCACGGACAACCAGTTTGTCTTTGATACCGAGACCTTCAGCCAGCCCTCAAGCGCCGACATCTTCTCCTGCAGCACCGGGCCCTTTGCCAATGCTTCTGGAAGCCAGCTTCGCAATGCCATTATCCCGCGCCTGGCAGCTGCCTTCAACCGTAGCACTCTGTTGGTTGATACCACCACACCGGCCACCAGCGTGGACGAGTACTACACCGACTCCATCACCAACCATTATTCGAGGATTGTGCATGAAGCGAATACAGACAAAAGGGGATATAGCTTCCCTTATGATGACGTAGCTCCCGACAATGGCGTGGATCAGTCGGGAAGTGTGTTCGATGGGGCGCCGCAGGTCTTGACCGTCTACATTGGGGGCAGTTCGACCTAGATATCTACCCCGCCGACCCCAGTTTTTTCTCCTGTTGATTAAGTGGTCAAGCGGCATCTTGGCGAAGGACGGAAATTTGTCACATGGCGGATTGGATTGGGTACTTACGACTTTGTGTTCACTGTATATAAGCTCTCGCTGCATAGATTAACTGCATTTGTACATTCTCCATTGGCTGCGTTGTTCTGCGAAGTAAAGTGGCACCTGACTGTTCCCCGCAGATCCAACGGTTCTTTCCCCCCGTTGGACGCGTTGGTGGGTAGGACAAATGCAGTCACGAAACCATCCACCCGCTGTGCAACCTTGAAAGCCAACCCTACCCAGAATGTAAGCTGATCGGCGGCAGACCTCGGCTTACCCCAGATTCAAGCTTCCTTCTCCGCAACGTCCGGCTAACCCACCCCTCCCAACCAAACAGCGTCATGGAATCCCAATAATCTCACAGGAGTCGCTCCGTTTCTCACAAGACAGCTCCACACCTGGTTTTGACCTTTTCCGAAACCTCCGAAAGTGCCTATATTCGTGCCCTGGGTCACTGCAAACAACAAACAAACACCTCTACGACCACCGAAATGTCTTCATCCCTCCCGCAGTCCTACGCCGCCCTCCCCTTCCGGGACATCAAGCTGTCGCACCACCCGGCCTCGTCGCCGACGCCGACGCCCGTCGTGGTGGTGACGCTGCACCGGCCGGGCCGGCACAACGCCTTCACCCCGACCATGATGGAGGAGCTGGAGCGCACCTTCGCCCTGGTCGACGCCGACGACCGCGTGCGCTGCGTCGTCGTCACGGGCCACGGGTCCGTCTTCTGCGCCGGCGCCGACCTCGACCTCGGCTTCGTCGGTGGGAAAGAGAAGATTAATGATCATCGTGATGGGTAAGCCTGGTATCCTCTTTCCCTTTCCGGCCTTCTTTTTTTCGTTTTGCACTTTCAATCCTGTTTCCTTCTCCCCCTTCCCTGCATAATTGAAGGTCCACTATTATGTACTACCTTGAACACATACCCCGGGATAAAGAGGATGCCCAAAAAAAAGAAGCAAAAAAAAAAAAAAGAAGAAAGAAGAAAGTAACAATCGCTGACGCGCTCGACCCGCCCTCTCCCCCCAAACAGCGGCGGCCGCGTCGTCCTCGCCATCCACCGCTGCCGCAAGCCCGTCATCGGCGCGCTGCAGGGCGCCGCCGTCGGCGTCGGCATCACCATGACGCTCCCCATGGCCATCCGCGTGGCGCACCGCGACGCCAAGGTCGGCTTCGTCTTCGCGCGGCGCGGCCTCGTCATGGAGGCGTGCTCCTCGTACTTCCTGCCGCGCCTCATCGGCCACTCGCGCGCCGCGCACCTGACCACGACCGGCGCCGTCTACCGCGCGGGCGACCCGCTGCTCGGCCCGCTCTTCACCGAGCTGTGCGACCGCCCCGGCGACGTGCTGCCGCGCGCGCTGGCCGTCGCCGGCGACGTCGTGGCCAACACGAGCGTCGTGAGCACCAATCTGATGAAGGAGCTGATGTGGAGGGATGCCGGGAGCGCCGAGGCGCAGCATTTGCTCGATTCGCGCATCCTGTACGAGCTGTTTAGTAGCAAGTCAGTGGTAGTCCCCGCCCCGCGAGGGGTTCCCTGCATATTCCCCCACCAGTGGTGGGCTGACAGTCGCTGCAGAGATAACAAGGAGGGGGTCCAGTCGTTCTTGGAGAAGAGGCCTCCGAAATTCAGCGATACCATGGAGAACGATGCTCCTGCCGCCTATCCGTGGTGGAGCCCTGTCGACACGTCGGGAAAACCAAAATTGGGACTGGATGCCAAATCAAAGCTGTAGATATGTAGTCAGAAACACTCATTGGACCTCTTTCAACCAGCGTCACCTTCCCCACCGGTTCTAAAGTTGCTTTTGTGATCGAGATTCGTTGGGCTTTTCATTCATTTTTTGAGCTACCGCCATGGTATCGTAGCTACAACAGAGTGCCCATAATGCCGATAACCCTGAAGTATGACCCCCATGCACTCCTCCCACGCAACCCGGAAAACGCTTAGAAGAAAGTCGACGGCCTGTTCGCGGTGAAGATCTTCTTCGAGGTCGTCTTGTTGACGCGGTGAGGCAGAGGGAACTTGAGGTCCTTGGCGAGGACCTGCTTGATGTAGGGGCGGCGGATCGACTCGGCCTTCTCGATCTCGACAACCTTGAGGATCTGCACACGGCCGTCAGCACTGCGCACTGCCACATCGTGCGCGCGAGATTCCTTACGTGGATGGACCTGAAGCGGGAGCGGTGGCGGGCGGCCATATCCTGGTAGAGAGCCTCGACCGCATCGGTGCGGGACATCTCACGGTACTCCTTGTACATGTTGTGAGTGCCGGACCTGGAGTCGTAGCGGATCCAGATGCCGAAGTTCTTGACCTTCTGGGGGCGCTTCTCGGCGATCTTTGAGGCGCGTTAGCTGCCGTACAATTTTCGAGGGACGATGCAGGTGTACGGACCAGGTTCAACGAGACGATCTCGCCGTTGGTCTTCTTGATCTTGCGGAGCTTGCTCAGGAAGTACCAGAAGCGGGACTTGGCGACGACATCGTTGGGAGCAAAGATGCGCATCCGGTAAAGCTTGGGGGTCGGGTTGGCCTCACTGGGGAGGTGACGGCCAATGACCTGGTACTCCTGAAGACGACCTGCGAAACTCAGTCAGTCTCTTGCATCGTCGACCGTGCTTTGCGTGGTTGTGGCTGTGGGCGGTCCAAGGGTGTCGGTTGCGGTCGGGTGCGGTTTGTTGAATATTCCATCTGGGCGCGTCCCGAGCGGTCTGCCAGCAATTCATGGGCTTCCTCCTTCACGGAGCATGGCAATCGGCGCCTGGCTTCGCGCTGAGGCATCCGCATGCTCCAATCACCCCGCTCTGCCTCCACAAAGCTGCCGTTGCAGACGTCGATACGATTGTGCCGGTCGGTGCGTAGGGGTGGAGGTGAAGAAGAAAAGCGGCTTACCCATCTTCGCAGCGTTAGCAGGGGCGATTCGATGGCGGGGGAGACAACGGTTTACTGACCTTGATGTTTTTTGGCGTCGGCGGTGTGGATGTCGTCCGTTGTCGTCGTCGTCTTAGGCAGGAAAATGACTTTTGCTCGCGGATGTCTTGTCGGGTGTGCGATTCTCGCTTAGCTTTGGCGCTAGTGCCGAGCCGCATATGCCTGCCCTACACAGCACACCACGACCGGCGCCCGCCCTGGCGCCCCGCCCCACCGACGCGACACGCTGCCCGAACGTGATGACGCTCTTGCTCTGGGCGCGCGCACCATAAACCACCATTGCGTCCCTATCCGCGGCTTGCAGTGATCAGCGCCACCCATCAATCCCATCATGGACGCCATTCTTGGCGAATTCAAGCGCGCCTTTGCTAATGCCAACGGCTACGGCGTCGCTGCAACCATCACCCCCGTTCCGCCGCCCAGCGCTGCAGGCCTCCTCTATGCCTTTCACCGCAGTACCACCTCGGCCAGTGTCCAGCATGACCTCCGGCACCGCCTTGCTTCAAACAATAACATTGGGCTGACAAAGGCCGAGATTGGTGCTTGGACCGAGGTCTACGTTGCATACTGGGCCGCACTGGGTGACATACTGAGCGCTGAAGAGACGTCATACCAAGGTCAGAGGGATGGCGACTGGCCCAAGGCGTACGATACATGGAAGGGGGTTGTCAATGCCCTCATCAAAGGCTACTCGGCCGGCCACTTTCCCGCTTGGACCATTCCTTGCCTTTATGTCGGCGCCAAATTCCTCCGCATCTTCGCCATCAAAGCTGACGAGAGTCTCGCTCAAGCGAAGGGAAAGAGTTTCAATGCTGGGTTTTCAGATGACATCACAGATACGATGGGCAAGAACGACAAGTTGGAGGACGCTGCCAGAAATATCAACCGCATGTTCGGCTTGTGCATCAGCGATCGGTATGTGCAGCACCACGACGGCGCGCCGAGCCTCAATATTGATACAAAGTCCAGCGAACCCTTAGAAGAATCCCGCAAATGGGCACTCTACTACATCGCCAACATCCTCTTCAAGACTTACTTTAAGCTGAACGCCGTTAGCCTTTCGAAGAACATCCTGCGTTCCCTGCACGCCGCCAGAGGTGATATGCCGCCGTTCAGCGCCTTTCCAAAGTCTCACCAGGTGACATTCAAATACTACAGTGGTGTCCTGAGCTTCCTCGACGAGGACTACAAGCAAGCAGAGGAACATCTCACCGAGGCTTGGCGACTCTGTCATAGGGATGCTAGAAAGAATCGCCAACTGATCCTGACATACTTGATCCCTTGCCATCTTCTCACTACTCATACACTTCCAACACAGCGGTTGCTGGAGCCGTACCCCCGCTTGCAGCAGCTCTTCACCCCTCTTGCAACCTGCATCAAGAAGGGCGATCTGGCGGGCTTTGACGCTGCTCTTGTTGCTGGTGAAGATGAGTTCGTCAAACGGCGCATCTACTTGACTCTGGAGCGCGGCCGTGACATCGTCCTGCGAAATTTACTTCGCAAGGTCTTCATCGTCGGAGGCTTCGAGCCGCCGAAGGAGGGCCAAACTGAGAAAGACAAGATCCGGCGAACGAGAATTCCGATTGCTGAGTTCGGCGCTGCTCTCAATCTGAGCATGGCTAGGCGTGATGGAGAGGCCCTCGACAATGACGAAATAGAGTGCCTACTCGCAAATATGATCTACAAGGTAAGTTCATCCGGTATGAAGGGGGTATCACGTTCCGCGCTGATTGACCTTGCGTAGAACTTAATGAAGGGCTATATATCTCGCGAGTACGGCAAGGTCGTTCTCAGCAAAGCTGGCGCATTCCCTGGTACCGGCGTATGAACTGGCACCCGAGAGCACGTTACGCAAAAATTTCCGGCCTAAGAGCACCCGAATAATATCATATTGCACCGCCCCTATTCGTGCGCTCACGGCTCAACTCTGGAGCCATTGTAGCCAACTCAATAGAGTCGACTAGCCATGTCGGTATGTCGGTATGTCGGGAGAAGATTGAGGCTCAAAGGGGTCTTCTAGTTCGTGTCGATTGCGCTGAGCACAAGGTCGGGGGACCTAGAGAGCCAAGCAACCGTCAGGCAGTTTTTCCGACGCAGAGACGATCCGACAACTAGAAATAAACATCAGTTTTCAACGTTCTGAGGCTAGTTTAGAGGGCGCATCCGAGCACTGCTACTTATGCGTTTAATTACCACAGGACACGGCTCGTATAGGCGACTTTGTCAGAGATCAAATGCGGTGAGACACCACCCTCGTAAACGCAGGATCCCTATTGTTTCCCCCGGCCCGTTCCCGCTCCTAACATACATGAGACATTCGACCATTCGTGAGTGGATTCATGGTTCGACGAGTGATGAAACGTTTCATGCCTTTCTTCAGGAATGGCTGCGATGGCCGGCGCAGCGTTTGCAGATCCTTTCAAAACGTACTTTCGGCATCCCTGTGCGCTGCTGTCTATCAAGCTAATCTTATAACCTTTTCTTAAGCTTTTTTCCTCTTATTAATTCCGTCAAGCTTTGATACATATTACAGCAGCTATACCTAGTCTCTCAAAGAAGACGTTCCTCCTCACCCTTGCCGGAAACGCCGCCGCGCAGTACAGCGTGCGCTTCGGCCCCTGCCACTCCCTCGAAGCCGAGACGATGCTGTGTCCTGGCAAGATGCCCGATCCGCGACAAGACCGAATGGTGCTTTGGCCGGGCATGGGCACGAGCATCGTGAGCTCGAGCACCGAGACTACAGCGTGAGTACCTCGTTGACTGTCGGTCTTGACGGATTCAAATGGGTCGTGCTTTTTTTTTTTGGGCATGCAATGCGGCAGTAGGTACGAGTGGTCAGTGGTGCATTTTTGCGAGCACGTACACCGGCGACACGCAACTTAGTGGTGACGCGAAGCCCATGTCTGCCAACCGAGGAGTCGCAATCAACTGTAAACGACACTCTTTTGTGTCTGTGAACGTGCTTTGTTGGCTCATTTCCTCCTTAGACAAGTAAGATGAAGCGTCGGGTAATTCCACGCAGGCCGTCATCATCGAGGGAGAAATCGTTTCGACACTCTCGACTGCTTCTGGCAAGATTCAGGGCTGGGACACAGCCGTAGAGTGCCAGGATGAGTGCAGTGAGATTGTGGATGCTCACAGCAAGCTCCTGGCACCTCTCAATCATCATTGAGAACTTCTGCCGATGGCCAGAGCGTACCAAAACACTACTATCAAGTTGGCGGAGCGGAGTTCTTGTAGATGTTTGAGTTGTGATTTGGATATATATGCACCGGGATAATGGGATATCTCTCCCCCACTGACACCAAGGACCCCACGCGACTGCGGCCATGATCTATGAAACATCCAAGGCATAGAGAGGCCGTGATTAGATGATACAAGATGTGTGATGATACAATATATATTAAAACATCGACTGTGCAAGGGGAGGAGCCCGCCTGAGTGAGAAACCAAGGTTCCGCAAGGAAGGAAACGTATTGAAGAGCAAACCAAACGACAGAAATGAAAACCCCTGGCACCAGCTGACCTGTTCCCCAAACCTAGCAATCCAACCTTCTAACAACCTTCGCGCCGCTTGCCTTATCATTCCCAACGTTGAACGGCATGTCTAGATGTTGCGTATAGCATCGTTCACTCCTCAGGACTGAGGTCCTCATCAACGCCAAACTCCTGCACAATCCACAGACAGAACTTTTCCCATGATGCAATCCACTCTTTCAGCCTCTGTGCTCGCACGCCACTTCCAAGAGCACCGACTTTGATATCCTCTTGCCACTCTTTCTGAGAGCAGTCCTCAAAGTTGGCCCACCTCACGCTATTCTCCGCCAACGATCCGAGGCCGGCAAGTCCGAGGTTCTCCCAGCCCTGAAGCGCCTGCCAGAAATCGTGCGTCATCCCGCTAGTTCCTTGGCCCAAGATCGACGGGTCATCGTTGCAAAGGGAAACGTTCACGCCACGCGCGAGGAGAGCCGGCAGCGGGTGTGACATGATGGAACCGGTCAAGCGGAGCACCTCGTTGGACACGGGACAGCTCTCAATCAGAATCTTCTTTTGCTTGATCATGTCGATGAGAAGTGGATGCTTGAAAAGCGAGAACCCGTGGCCGATCCGTCTTGTACCGAGCAGGACCGCGTCGAACAAGTTTTCGTCGGTGGTATCGCCGTCTCCTAGCGTCTCGCCAGCATGGAAGAAGAATGGCACATCCACACCAGATTCCATACAGCGCTTCTTGAACCAGAACAGTTCAGGAAGGAGGTCCTGAAGCGGTCGTCCGGTATCCTCTTGGCCTACCAGATCGTAGCCTCCAATCAGTTCAGGAAATTTGACCTTACTCTCAACACAACACTTCATGCCTGGCACCAGAGTTAGAGGGCTACAGATGGAGTGGATTGTAGCTCGAGCCACTTACTCTCAACAATGCGGCGTTTGTTAAGAACTCTGGGAGTAGTCCAAATGAACCGGGCACCCCAGAAGCCCTTGCCCTCGTCCGAAGCCTTGAACTTCTCCACTTCCTCACCAAACGCCTCGAAAAACCCGTCGTGGTTGGGCGCAACCTCCTCGGATCTCTCGGGCCGCCAGGGATTGACAAAAACGGCTCGCACGTCTACCCACCGCACACCGTCGGCATAGAGGTTTTGGAGCATCTTCCGTATATACCGGCGGAAAAAGGGTTCATAGAAGATCAGACTCGCAAGGATGGGGAAACATGATGCAAACTTCCGCCATACATCATTGACGCCGTAATGATGCTTCAAGCATTCGTCAGAGGTGATCATCGTCCGCTTTTTGACCCATTCCCTGAAGCCGTCGCGGCCACCATTGGGGAAGGAGTCGGCAGCAGCTTCTAGTGGAATCGGCGTCTTCGGTTCGTAAGAGCCCGACCATATGGAGGCGCGTCCCTCTTTGGAAAGCTTGGTGTAGGTAAAGAAAAACGGGGCCTTGGCACGGCTGGCTTCGTCGGAAAGACTCTGGTCGGACCAAACGTGGATACCGTCCAGGCTGAAGGCCTCGTCGAGCATCCAGTCCAGCTCGACCATGGCCTCCAGATGGCAGTGCAGCAGAGCGCCCTTGGGCATGCGGCGCACAATCTGCCACAGCTTGCTCCTCTCCATGCGCTCCTTGGCGAGCGAGAACATCATGCCGGGGAAGACATCGCCGTCGTCGAGCAAGGTGTTCTCGTAGTCCTTGGTCCATAGGGTCTGCTGCTCTTCGAAGCGAATCTGATCGACAATGGAGCAGGCCTCGAAGGCCGTGGGCGACAGACTGTCGCGGAAGAAGCGGTCTGACCACGTTTGTCAGACCCTCTTCTACTCATCGATTCTGGCAATGATCACCAACCGCTTCGCTGTTTCTTTTCCTCTTGGACGAGCTTGTCGCGGCCGTCGAGGTACTTCTGGATGAAGGCGTCCTCCAGGCGCGGCACGCCTAGCTGCTGCAGCCAGGCAGCGTCGTCGTCCTGCACGGATGCGCAGTCCATAGTTACTGACTCGGCCGCGGGGAGCTCGCTGCGGGTGGACCTAGAGCCTGGCGCTCAGTGGCTGCAGGGAGCGGTGATGTGGAGTCGATTGTCGGCTTGGGCGAAATGCCGGGCGGTCAGAGGGATTTGAGCAGTTGAGGGAGCGGAAAAGGGGCATGGGGGGGCGCGTTCGCGACCGCGGGGAGGCGCGTGCATGGGCGGTGCTAGGGCGCGGGCGCGGGTGCAGCCCGCTGCGGCTGGGGCAGCGAGCCAGCGCGTCATCAGCCAGTTTGATAGCGCTTATCGCCGGCCGAGACACTGAGCACGCGTGCCCGTGACACGCTCGAGTCTGGTGCTGCTTCGGTCTCGTTGCTGGCTCACCTGCGCCCGACACCCCAAGACCAAACAAGAGCTGCCACCGCGCCAGCTCAAGCCCGCCCGCCGCCTGCCAGCCCTGGCTCTAGCCCGCGCCCTGCCCGCACCTCTCGCCATTCCCCTGCGCCCAACGCATGCCCGCTTAATGTCGCCCACCGACATCACCTCGCATCCGCCGCATGGCCACAGCTAGAGCTTCCACGCTCGCCGCCGCCGCCGCCGCCGCTCGCCAGCCCACCGAGCCGCGTCCTCCGCCTGCCGCTGCGCTACCAGCCTCTCCCAACGCGCGCCGTGGCGCCCGCATCACCGCCTCGCAGTCGCCATGGCCTTTCTACTACCACCCTCGGTCAAGCAGCGCCTTCTGCGCTTCGCCCTCTCCAAAGTCGACCTTATCGACGACACGGCCATCGACCTGGACAAGTTCAACTTCAGCTGGGGCAGGACCAGCGTGATTACCTTGCCCAAGGTCCCGCTCAAGGCTGCGGTGCGTGAAGACTTTCGTCGGGCGATGCACTGACATCATGCTAACTCCAACTTTCGGTAGAAACTAACCTCCTTCCTGCCGCTGCCGCCCAACTTTCAAGTTGGCGAGGCCTACGTGAATGACCTCCGCATCACCGTCCCCGCCAACCTGCAGGGCGTGTCCATAGATACTTCCGGCATCGTCGTCAAGGGGAAATTATCACAGGACGGCGATGAGGATGCGAGCCATACGAGGCACACGTCCGCTAAAGGCACCGGCTCAGACGCTATACCAACCGCCGAAGATCTGGCAAAGTCGTTCATACAGGAAGAGTCGGCCGAGGAAAGGAGACAGCTCGAAGCTGCCATCCACTCCCAGTCGCAGCATCTACACCAGGACCCCTTCACCGGATCGAGCGTGTACAGCGACGATGTCGATGAGTCGGAGCTGGGTATGGGTGTCGGCTTGACTGTGCCAGACTATCTGACCAACTACCTTCATCTCATGGAGGATACCGTGCAGCTCTCCGTTGGCGATATCGAGCTTCATGTGGAGACCGAAATCCCTTCCGAGGGCTGGGAAGATGACGAACCCGTTCAGGCAGACCTTGTTATCCACATCGGAGGCATCGAGGTTGAGGGACTGACTGTGGGTGGGCCTGAGGCGCCATTTTCGCCTGAGCAGCAGTCGCAGACAAGGCCGGGAAAACGCAAGATCACTCTGAAAGCATTATCCGCTGGGGTTCTTCTGGACGAACAGAGCATGGCGAGGAGCAGGATCGCGTCGTCGCTTGCTGCGTCTTCAACCGCGAGTAGGATTGCCCGGTCTGATTCAATCAGCCACTCTGCTCATGCGGCGGAAAACCCGGTCGCCGCAAGCCCGGTTACCACAAGTCCGGTCGCCACAAGTCCGGTCGCCACAAGTCCGGTGGTCGCCACAATGTCTCCAGCCCCGCGAAGTCGCTCGCCGTCAGCCACATCTGGATCACTACCTTCCCCGCAGTCCAGCCAACAATTCCCAGATATGGCTGCATCGATCATGACGACAGATGCGGATAGGTTCGCTGATGCTGAAGATGAGGACCATGCTCCCGCCAACCCAAGCATGACTTCGTCGGCAACATCTGGTGATTTTGGCCAGCAAAGCTTGTATGGTGATGAGTCGATCCTCCAATTCGGCGTGGACAATGGCGTCTTTGATACAAATATCGAAGGAGAAGAAAGCCCTGTTCAGAGCCGCGGGAGCTTGTATGGCCTGGAACGATCAAATGCGGGTGCACATCAAGCACGTGCTGTCTTCTCTGGTAGCAATTCACTGCCTGGTCGGCTTCCAGATGACCATGGACAAATTCAAGTCGACAACGATGGAAGCTACACGTCCAAGTCTCAGCCTATGCCCGAGCATGTGCGTTCAGATTCTCATGCAGGACATCGCGACGAGAATGTTGCGATCCACAGTCCTCCGAGCCCCGAGAACACTAGCACATCCGATCGCTCAACAAGCACGTCCCCTTCACCAGCATCCTCCTCGCAAGGTGATCTTGCGGAGTCAAAACTGTTCAGCCACGAAGAGGCCGAGAGCATGTATATGAGCGCAATCGATGATGGGTCTTCTCAATCAAGCAGATCCTTCCATATGCCCGGCGCGTGGGACACTTCAAGTGTGACCAGCAATGACTCGGATCGCATTTATCAACCGCCAACCTCGGCCGCCCCTGCCTCTCTTGACCCGATTGTCGAAAGAGACGACGGTTGCGAGACCCCTAGGCCTGGCAGCCGCATTGGCGCTGATCCGGCCACGCCTAGCGAAGGTAAGGACGATCTGTCTACGAAGGCTTTCGTTCCGCTCTTGGATATTGATACCATTTCCGCGTGGGTACCCGGTCACCAAACTGCTCAGGACGTTGATCATGCGGACCCACTTGAATATTCCGATCAACCAAGTCGCTCCAAAGTCGCCTTCGCGGACGATTCTATCTTTCACGATGTGCCTGGTGCCTTCTCACAATACGCGGCATCTACTGCAAGGTCTAGACCGTCAGCTAGTATCATGCGTGAGTCGCGTAGATTACCCACTCAGCATCGATCGGCAATGCCCAGTGCGGAAGCACCGAAGAACAACGGAGCGGAGCGGTCGAGCCACGAGATCGAGGTTTCAGTCGGCAATGTACGGCTTCAAGTAGACGTAGAGACCGTACACCTGGCCATGCGTCTCGTTAAGTTAATCCAGCAAGTGTTCGGAGCCTCCTCTGCGGTGGATACTCCCAAAGAGCCCTCCAAGGGTGCTAGAATCACAGGGGATGAGGCCGAGTCGGACCCTGGCGGGATTGCACTCAAGTTCAGTATGGAGAGTCTACGGATTGCTCTGCTCAAAGAGGTCTCAAGCCAAAGCGTGGCCACCAACAAACCTATGGGTGCCCTGCGTCACGCTGAGTGGGATTCGAATGAAATCTTCCTGCAGTTGCAAGGCCGGGATCTCAGCGCTACGTGCGAGACCAAACGCGGTTCTCCGAGGGCAAATCTGAAAATAGGGACCTTCTCGCTCGGATTCAATGATGGCGACATTCTCAGTTTCCGGCCGGGAACAGGATTAGATGAGACGACTATGGATATCACCAAGCCTATCGAAACCGACATCTCAGTTGCCTACAGACACGAGAGTGGAGACCAGCGCATTGAAGTGTCAACCCTGCCAATCAATGTTTCCTTGGATGTTCAAAAGTTGGATGACACATTTGCTTCCTACGGCGGCTTCAGCGGAGTCCTGAAGATTGGCAATCACATCAAGTCGACATGCATTCTACCACCGCCTACATCTAAGAACCAACCCACACCTAAAGTTGTCCCCGATGCCGAAGTAGAAGCACCATTCCCAAAGGTTGACGCACGCTTCGCGGGCCTCAACTTTGCGCTTCAAGGAGAGACATGCAGTTTGCTGCTGGAAACCAGCACTATTCGCACGTCTGTACGCAAAGGTGGCGTCCGACTCAGCATCAAACATACAAAGGTGACGGGTCCTCATATGACTAGTTCGGCAGTGTTGTCAAACAAGCCTCCACTAGACGTTGAGATTGATGGTGTCCGCCTGGACTACGCTTTCATCCCGGCAGAGGCTGATTTGTCTGACCTCCTTTCGCTGATCACTCCAACCGACTTCAAATACGAGGCTGACGACGATATCCTCATCGATACACTGCTGTCTCAAAGACGGAAGGGTTCGTTGGTAAAGGTCAGAGTTCAAAACTCTGTACGGCTCGCTATCTCCGACCTGGATGGGTTGAAGCAGCTTGAGGCGCTCGGACAAGATGTTTCCAAGCTGTCCAGTGTCGCTAAGCTTCTGCCGGATGATGAGCGTCCTGGGATTCTTGCCATGATTGAGCTGGCCGACTGCAAGATCGATGTCATGGTAAATGACCGGATCGGGCAGCTCACTCTGCACTGCAGTCAAGTGCGCGTCGCTCACGTTGGCTTACCCGCTTTACTTGCACTTTCAGTTAGAAAAATCGAAGCTGAGCGTAATGGCTCGGAGTTGGTGGTGACCGAGGTTACTGAAGTCGATGGCCGAGAAGCTACTGTACCAATGATCATGGCACGCTGGCTGGGAGACGACATGGAACCCACCCTAAAAGTCAAGCTGTTCAACCTTGTCCTTGACTATCGGGTCACCACCATCATGGCTCTATTGGACCTCTCAGAAGACTGCACAGCAGATGATGTAGCCCTCGGCATGGCCTCCTCCGTTGCAACGATTAAGCGGGCACCATCACCTGAGATTACGAGACAGTCGTCCACTGCCAGTGAGAAAACGGGGCCACCATCTCGACCAATGAACCTTGACTTACTCTTGCGTGACTGCGCGATCGGCCTGAATCCTCACAAGAGCCGTGCAAAGGCTCTCCTCGTCCTCTCCGACACCCGGTTCACTGGATCCCTCGTCCAGGATGAGGCAATGACGGCCTGTCTTGATGTAAGAAAAGCGTCTCTTCTGGTGATCGATGATGTGGACCGCCTGCAAATAGACGAAACAGAGGATGCGAGGCCTTCACATGCAGAACTCGGGACCCCTCAAGTTCACAGTCTCTGTCGCTGGGGCTTTGTCTCGGTTGGGACCACATCCAAAGCCAGAGCCATTGTCAAGATTACCGAGACGGCTGGAGACGGACCCCGGGCAGTGGATGTGGAGTTCAAGAACGACCTCTTCGTCATGGGCAGTTGCGCCGATTCGACGCAGACCCTTATCTCAGTCTTAGGCGGGCTAGCGCCACCGCAGCCGCCTTCCAAGGAAATCCAGTACAGGACAAAGGTTGAGCCGGTCATGGACATGATGGCTTCCCTCGTTGGAGACAATTTCAAGGCTCCTGCAGGAGAGCATCTCCATCAGGATCAAGAGATCGTAGTCGACGATGACGACCAAGACCTTCATTTCGCAGGCAGCCTCTACGATCCCAGTCACTTGCCACTGCTTGACGATATGACTGAAGAATCAATTGAGGAATCCATGATTCAGTCTCAGGAGAGAAGTGATCCTGGAGAGCCTACAGAGGAGCTCCAATGGGATGAGGACTTCTTCGGACAATCATCGCCAGATCGTCCAGCTGCTCAAGCTTGGAACTCTCGCAAGAACGAGTATATCGAGTCTAGTGAAGTTCCAGTAGTCAAGAGTCCGCTGACGTTGCGGGTGAAGGATGTTCACTTCATTTGGAACTTGTACGATGGCTACGATTGGCCGAGGACACGCGAGAAGCTTGGCCAGAAGCTTGAGGAGGTGCAGCAGCGTGCGCAGGAGAGACGCGAGAGGGGCTACGACGAAGACGACGGCATGTCCATCGAGGAAGATCTGCTCTTCGGCTCGGTTTACATTGCTCTCCCTGTCAACAACACGCCAGAGGAGAATCGGAGGCAGATCAACCGTGCAATGAGAGGTGGTGACGATACCGCTAGCGAAACCAGCTACGCCACGACCACTGCATCACGGGCAACTGCACGCCCACGCTCAAGAGGCATGCGTCTGAAGCTTGAAAGGGGTCGCCGTCCCAAGATCACCTTTGAACTGAAGGGCATCTCTGCTGATGTTGTGGTTTTTCCTCCGGGCTCCGGAGAAACACAGAACTCTGTTGACGTTCGTGTTGGTGACCTTGAGGTCAACGATCATGTCCCTTCTTCCACTTGGAATAAATTCGTCACTTACGACATGAGCGCTGGAGAACGGCCCCTCGGCTCGCCCATGATCCACCTCGATATGCTGACTGTGCGGCCCGTGGTCAATCTGGCCGCATCGGAACTTGTGATTCGCGTAAGTCATTCCATTCCATACAGCGATATAAGGTTGTTTGATATTAAAAAAAGACACATACAGGTCTCGGTACTTCCCCTACGGCTGCATGTCGATCAGGATGCGCTCGACTTCATCACTCGCTTCTTTGAGTTCAAGGACGATAGAGTCGTTTCCAAAGAGGCACCTGGAGAACAGCCTTTCATTCAACGTCTCGAAGTGCGAACGGTCAAGTTGAAGCTTGATTACAAACCTAAGAAGGTTGACTATGCCGGCCTCCGCTCTGGCCACACGACAGAGTTCATGAATTTCTTGATCCTGGACTGCGCAAACATCACACTCAGGCGATGCATCGTCTATGGAATTTCGGGCTTCGACAAGATCCACAACACTTTGAACGACATCTGGATGCCTGATGTCAAGAGCAACCAGATTCCTCAAATCATGGCAGGCCTCGCTATAGCTCGCCCGGCTGCAAATGTTATGAACGCTGCGAAGAGTATCGTTACTGTTCCCATGGCACAATACAGTAGGGATGGACGTATACTACGCAGCGCGCAGATGGGCGCGGTTGCATTCGCCAAAAACACTACGACAGAGCTTCTGCGCCTTGGTGCGAAGATTTCTATTGGCACCCAAGCCATGATGCAGACCGCCGAAGGCATCCTCTCACCCGTCTCCCCATCTGCTGCATCGTCGACTGCGCAACAGGATGACGGCAACTGGCACGATGTTTCGTCATCCGGTGCCTCGCCAGCGGAAGGGCCCAAGGCTTTCTCTCACTACGCAGACCAGCCCATTGGCGTGCGAGCCGGACTGATCAGCGCACGTCGCCACCTTCAACAGGACTTCGCCTCAGCCCGTGACGCCATCATCGCCATCCCGGGCGAAGTCATGGACAGTGGCAGCGCAACCGGCGCGGCTAAGGCCGTCGTGCGCCACGCTCCGGTCGTGATGCTGCGCCCTTTCACTGGAGTCGCCAAAGCGACCGGGGCGACCCTGTTCGGTGCTGCGAACGCGCTTGATCCGGAGAGCGCGAGGAAGAGGGATGAGAAGTACAAACGTCACTAAACGAGGCCGCGTATAGCACCTTTCCGATCCTGTCGTTCTGAACTTCATGTTTTCTCTTTTTTTTTTCATTTTGAGTAAAGATTTGGATGGATAATGGAGTACTCGATGATCCTTGGTCTACCCGTCCATTACCCTCGTTCTTTACGCCCCTTTATAGCTTTAGACAGGATTTCCTCTTTGCCGGGCCTTTTTCTTTCTCTGCGAATTTTGCGTCAACTTTTCTGCATAGCGACGGTTTTCTCTTTCTGTCTATTTCTTTTCAGCATGAGTCCGAGTCTGCAATACTGCATGCGAGGCGCGCATCTTCGTGACGAGAAGAATGACTATGGGTCATATTTCTCCTTCTCTCATCTCACCGCGCGTGAACGATGAACGGGGTGAAGCGCGACAGACAGCATATCATAGCATAGTGAGTAGTAACACAGCTTCGGTGATGAACATGCCTAGGTGTCAACTTGGATCGGAGGAATTTTGCTCTTTTTTTGGGTTGAGATGTTAGGGGACTTTCTTGATTTTTTTCCACTGGGCATGTCGGAACAGATTGGCACTAAAGGGGGGACTTTAATATAATACCCTCTTGTGAAGAAGTAGTTAGACGATCCGATTATCTCATCTCTGCCTTTTCTTCTTTTTCTTTCTTATTTCCCTTCCTGTTATTGTTGCGCTACTATACCCGCAAGATCAGACCAAGCGCCTTTATTTTTTTTTACCGCTCTCGGTGAGCGACAGACTGCGAAAGTTTCACAACTCGATATTATAGACCAAAGACTGCTGTAGGAAATTGAGAACCATCATCATTATCGGCAGCAGTAATTGGTCCGATTCACATGCAACTAGCTGAGTTAAGCATGTCTAGTTTGAAAATCTTCACACGTTGGATATTGACCAAAGCACTGTACTAATACTCTCTCCTCTTACTTCGTCACAAGCCCTCTTATATATATACAAGATTCCATCTTCCAAGCTCTGACCTCCGAGTCTCATGCATATGTTCAACTCATGTTTGTAAACGACGAAAACAAAAACCAAACGAAATATCGCGGGCCAAGATCGAGGAGAGAACAGAAGAACCAGTGCAGCGGAATAGATAGTTACTTAATCAAAGAAAAAAAAAAACATGAACACGTGCGGATGAACACCTAGCAAATACCGGCTCGCACGACTGACCCTAAACAATATGACATAGTTCTCCATGGGGAACATGAACTAGGGTGGTAGCAGGTCCATCCTTATACTTCACCCATATCGCGCAGCGGGACGGGCGCATACCCAGCTTCCTCCCTCTCCCTCTTCCTCTCGGCCCAGAAGCTCTTAACCCAAGCCACGACGCTAGCGAAGCCGCTGCCGCCGCTCTTCTTTGCGGAGTCCAACGACTTGCCATCGGCGGCCTCGAGCGCCGCGGCGGCGGGGTCGAGGTTCTCGAGGCTCATCCAACGGGGGCGGCGCCACCAGCGCAGGGCGAGCGAGGAGGCGACGACGGATACAGAGGAGCATGCCATGGCGGCGCCGGCGGCCATGGGGTGCAGGGACAGACCCCAGGGCAGGAAGAATCCCATGGCGAAGGGCAGGCCAACGAGGTTGTAGCCACACGCCCATAGCAGGTTGAGCTTGATGCGGCGGAAGATGGTCTGAGACAAGTGCAGCGACGCCGGAATCGAGAGAAGATCGTTGGGTGTCATGAGGACAACCGATGCCGCCTCCATCGCGATGTCGGTACCGGACGCGAGCGAGATGCCGACGGCGGCTGTGGCGAGCGCGGGCGAGTCGTTGATACCATCGCCGACCATGGCCACGACATGGCCCTGGCCGCCTTGCGCGAGCGGTCGTTGGAGTTCTTCGATGATTTCTTGCTTGGTCGAGGGTGTGGCGCTGGCGTACACGTTGGAAGCCGGGATGCCGACCGCCCTGGCGACTGCCAGTGCGGGAGCTTTCTGGTCACCGGTCACGATTGAGGCGCTGACGCCAAGGCGGCGGAGCGCGCGGATTGTTGCGCGGGCGGTAGGCTTAAGGGTATCGGAGAGTGAGATGGTGCCAGTGAAGATGGTGTCAACAGCGGTGTGGATGGTGGTGACGCCGGTGGATCCGAGGCCTTCGTTGCTTTCAGTGTCATTGAATGAGGCGGCAGCTTCCTCGGAAGACGCTGGGACATCAACTCCCTGTGATCGCAGAAAGTCTGCGTTGCCGATAAGAACGCGGTATCTCTTCTGGTCCGGAGAGATAGCGGCCTCAACGTTCGCGGAGATACCCTTTCCAATGGTGGCTTCAAAGTCACCAGCACTACCATCAAGAGCTCCGTCTTCACCAAGTCCGAGGTTGTCCTTTGCAGCCATGACGACAGCGCGTGCAATAGGATGCTCGCTGCTCATCTCGGCAAGGCCGATCAAGGTCCACCACAGGCGCTCCTTGGGCTTCGAGCTGGTCCATCCGCCACGAATATCAGCGCCCGATACGCTCATCTTGCCGACAGTGAGCGTTCCAGTCTTGTCCAGAACGACATGGGTGACTTTCGTAGCCATTTCAAGTGCAGCACCACCCTTGACCAAGATACCTTGCTCTGCGCCAACACCAGTTCCGACCATGACAGCTGTGGGAGTGCTGAGTCCTAGAGCACACGGGCATGCGAAAACGATGACGGAAATGCAAAGCTTGACACAGACCATGAGCCTACCGCCACTGGCGTGGTCCATGAAGACCTTGGGCGGGTTCGGAAGTGCGTGGCTGAGGACCATCCAGGCAACGAACGTTGCCAGGCCGAGGGTGACGATGACCGGGACGAAGTAGCCTGCGACAAGATCGGCGAGGCGCTGAATGGGGGCGCGAGTAGTCTGGGCTTCTTGGACGAGGCGAACGATCTGGGAAAGTTGGGTGTCACGACCTGCACGCGTAACGATGAAGTCCACGCGTCCAGCGCCATTGACCGTGCCCGCCATAAGACCATGACCGTTCTTCTTGAGAATAGGCATTGCTTCACCAGTGACCATACTCTCGTCGACGTAGCTTTCGCCACGAGTGACGGTACCGTCAGCCGGGATCTTGTCACCGGGCTTAAGGATGACGATGTCGCCAACCTCAAGGAGCTCGGTTGGGATGACTTTTTCCTCTGCAGCATTTCCGTTCATGGCAGACTCATCCCTGATGGCCTTCTCATCTTGGCCCCATTCTTCCGCTGCCTTGAGCGCGGCAATGGGATCCGCGTAGATAGTAGCCATAGAGGGAGCGAGGGACATCAGGCGAGAAAGAGCCTTCGAGGTCTGGCCCTTTGCCCGGTTCTCCAAGTAGCGACCGAGAGTGATGAAGGTAATCAGCATGGTGCTGGTGTCGAAGACGGTTGCAGGTTTGGTGTGCGGAGGAGTGAGGAAGGACACAAGCATGGCCGCGACGGAGAAGAAGAAGGCCGCAGAAGTGCCGAGAACAACCAGGACGTCCATTGTCGGAGAGCCATGCTTAAGCGACTTGTAAGCAGACTTGTAGAAGCGCTTACCGATGCCAAACTGAACCGGTATGGTGAGAATAAGACACAGGATATCGCCAAGCCAAAGACCATGCATGAGTTGGCATTTACCGAAGTTCATGAATGGGAGGAACATGGGAATGAACATGCTGATAAGGAAAACAGGGATAGCGAAACATGCCGAAATTTTGAATGCTCTGCGCCATTCCTGAATCTCCTTTGTCTTGGAGAGGGATTCGAGCTGAGCGTTGTTGTCATCCGAATCGGCCACAAGAGCATTGTAGCCTGCTGCTTCCACAGCTTCCACAATCGCCCTTAGGCCGGTGACCGAGGACTTGTGCGTGATGGCGGCTCGAGAGGTTGAGAAGTTTACGGACACAGCCAAGACACCAGGCATTGCCTTCAAAGTGGATTCCAGCTCTTCTGCGGATTTCGCGTCGACCAGTCCGTAGATCTTGAGGTGTTGGGCTGTGCTGCTGGCAGAGGCCTGCACGCTATCCACTGAGGACAGAAGCTTGGCGTCAAAGCCCCTCTCTTCGATGATTTCTGCTATTCTTTCTGGCGAGAGTTTCCGAGGGTCATGTGTGACCACAGCGCGCTCGGCGAGCAGACTGATGTTGAACTGCAGCATCCCATCGAGATCCCTGAAGCCGGACTCGACGGCAGAGGTGCATGCACCGCAGGTCATGCCCTCGATAGCGACGGTGGTGGTGAGGACATTCCCGCGCTTGCCGGAACCTTGGGGCTGGGACTGCGCTAGAGCCTGCTTTGTTTCCAGAAGCTTTGCGTCGAAGCCGGTGTCTTCGATCATTTCCGCAATCTGCTCGGGGCTAAGCATTCCTGGATCATGGTCGATGACGGCGCGCTCCGAGAGCAGCGAAATGTTGAAGTTCTTAACGCCTGCGACGTCCTTGAAGGCGCCTTCGATGGCCGAAGTGCACGCGCCGCAAGTCATCCCTCCCACAGACACGGTCGTCGTCACTAGTCCCTCCGAAGCCGCGTCACTGTCATGGTCCGCAGCACCGCTGGGGCTCTGCGGAAGATCGGTCGAAAGCACCTCGGCGTCAAACCCTCGGTCCTCGATTATCTCCTGAATCCGGTCGGCGGACAGCTTGGTGGGATCGTGCTGGACGACTGCGCGCTCCATGACCAGGCTGACCGAGACATTGCCGGCTCCGTCGACTCCTTGGAATCCGCTCTCGACAGCCGACGTGCAAGCGCCGCAGGTCATGCCGCCGACCTTCAGTGTGGTGGTAGCCATGTGGGTGGTAGAGGCTCGCGGCAACGAGCTGTCGACATCCTGCGTCGACACGGGAAGGTAGGATTTGGCCATGGCGAAAGAGTCGCGGTCGTGAGCCCTTGGGAGGGCTGTTTCGAGACAGGTGGCCAGTGCAAATCAAGACCCAGGCGGTCGCGGTGTCGCAACGGCAGTGGCAGTGGCAGTGGTGGGCGCAGTGGTGGTGGTGGAGAAGTAGACAATGCGCGTGGGCTCCGAGACACAATAAGAAGCCGGGGGCGAGGAGTTAAAGCAGCCACAAAGGCGGCACGCCAGCACCGAAGAGGGCGTTCGAGGATAAACTTAGGACAATGAGTGGGAAGCGGCTGCGGTAAGCTGAAGATACGACCTGCATAAGTCAGCTTCGCGGGACGCGCACTCAGGCTCGCTAGTCCGGGAAGAGTCCGACGCAGCCGGAATGGAAGGTGCTTGACGAGCGCGGGAAGGCGGGCAGGGCTGGTACCGCGGGCGTCAGGCAGGCGGCGCAGGCGGCGCACGTCCAGGCTCACAAAGAACAGTCGCTCGACAATAGGCTGGGGCCGTCGCCGGGACTGGCCACGAGGAAAGAATGGAACGCGATGAGACGCAGTCTGGCTGGCAGCACGAGGCGCAGGCGCCGGCGCACCGTGGCTATTTTACTGCTGCCGTCACCCGCAGTCAGTTGTCGCTTACGCTAATACAGGAGGCCATCTGAGACGACTGATCTCTGGATCTCCGGCGCCTGCCCGAGGAGCCCAGCCCAGCCAGGCTCCTCAAACGCACAGTGCCCCATCTGGCTACTCGTGCTACTCATGCTACCGCCCCAAACTCGCGCCCCTCGACACCTGTCCGCGGGACCCCTGCCGCAACGGCCTGCAGCTGAGTCGCCTCCGCTACCGCCGCCGCCGCCCGTGCACACGTGCGCCCGTTCTGCCACCGCCCGCCGCCTGCGCCATCGACGCTGCTGGCTGAAGGCAGCACGCCGGAGCCGCACAACCATCCATCGCCCCAAACACTCCCGCCGGCCAGCTTCTGACGCCGTGCATCGGCCTCACCCCAGCTCGCCATGGAGCAGACCCGCGCCCTCAACGCCCTCGAGCCCTTCCTGGCCCTCTCCAAGTCAGCCAACTCGCCCCGCGCCGCAGTCGACCTGGTCATCCAAGCTACCTCCGCACCCAACACCTACGTCTTTGCCGAGCTGCTGCAGCAGAGCAACATCCAAGCTCTGCGGGACTCGCCCGAACATGCCAGCTATCTACGTCTTCTCGAGATATTCGCTTGGGGCACCTGGCAAGACTACACCAGTACGCCATCTCGCACTCCCGCATACGTCCAAGCGCAGCTCCCCGCTCCGTTGGTTTTCATAGGAAGATAAGGTTGAGGCTGACTCCCAATTGCTATAACAGCCGCCAAAGACAACCTCCCCACGCTGTCCCCCGCACAAACGCAGAAGCTCAAGCTGCTCTCGCTCCTGCCGCTCGCCGCACAGCCGACGACGCAGTTGACCTACGACCACCTGCGTGCCACGCTCGACGTCGCCACGACGCGCGCGCTCGAGGACCTGCTCATCCAGGCCATCTACTCGCACCTCATCACCGGCTCGCTCGATCCCGCCGCCGCCCGCGTCACCGTCACCTCGGTCGCCCCGCTGCGCGACCTCGCTCCCGGCAGCATCCCCGCCCTCGTCGCCGAGCTGGACGCCTGGCAGGCCCGCTGCGACGGCACCCTCGCCAGCCTCGACGCCGAAATCGCTGCCGTCCGCCGTCGCGCCGCCGCCCGCGAGCACAGGCGCCGCAAGGAAGAGCTGCTGCGCCTGCGCGTCGAGGTCAGCTTTGAGGACAAGTCCAACGCCAAGAGGAGCCATCCGTCCGCCAACAGCGGAGGTAGTCAGCTCGCCGAGGGTGGTGGCGCCGGCGGCGATGCCGATGCGATGGAATTGGACGAGGGCATTGGTGAGGAAGGTGGCGCGTCTAGCGGCGGCAAGGCCTCGAGGGGTGCGAAGCGGACCGCCTTCTCCGGCCGCTCAAGATAAAAGAAGCACACAAAGCTCGTGGAATTTGAACCAAGTCCAGGGTATCTGAATTGCTGAGAGAGACTCGCATCGGGCTGGATCGGATGGGCTTGTCACCATCTCAAAGCGCCAGAGTTTCGGATATGCACTGCCCTCAATTGATGTTGAGCACAGATGGATGAATACAGGATGGCAGGGCTGGGGAAAGGCCACATAACCCACTTGAGACAGGTCCGCAGGCTAGCGACCGCTATAGTTTGCACGATGAGCTATTTACAGTCTAAGGGCTACTTCGATAGACCGGGCTCGACAGCCGCATTGCTACCGGCTGCGCAGTTATTATTTACTATTATGAGAAATGTGATTGACGATCAAGATTCTGTTCTAATATTTTGATTTGATGCTTGAAGAGTTGTCTGGTACGGGATAAGTAAGGCTGTCGTTGAGTCAAGCTGCGCATGTACCGCAGATCAAACTGGGCCTCTCCAATCTTGAACCAGGATAAAAGCTTGATCGTCCTTCCCCGCGTTCGAAAAGCGTGATGGAAAACGCCAAGTTTGAGGAGTGTATCAAGACCTGTCTCTTCCCTAGATGGCATTCTGCTCCTGGAACACCAGATTTCATCCCAATTACAATTCATGCCGAACCACCGCTCCCCCCTTCAGTGTCTACTCCTACCTCGGGGTGGAAGCAAAATCGAGCCAGGTTAATGCCTCGTAACCGGCCCTCCGTGCCGAAAGTGCAAAGGTAAAGAGAGAGAAAGAGGAAAAGAGAAAAAGAAGTAGGAGTTTTCTCCGCAATCAAAGCTCTTCTTCTTCCGCATGCCCATTGCCTGTGCACACAAGCCCGCCGAAGTCAGCCCAGGTCAACCCATTCGAACCCTTCGCCGCTCTAGCCGCCCATGTGCGAATGCTCGGTGACGTTGCTTCTAGCGCGTCTTCCGCGTCTTCCACGTCTTCCACGTCTTCACACACATTCTCCTCATCTCGATCTATTTTCGTGGGAGACCATTGTTCCGGATACGTTGCAGAATCTTTCGCGGGGGATGTGTCCGAAAGACCTGGCGCTTGTCCAGCCTGTGGCGTTCCTTCAAGGCTTTCCTCAAACGATACCAGGACGCTAGATGGAGTGGTTGAAGGTCGACGCATCTCTGCATCAGTAGTAGCAGCAGCTTCTGCAGAAATGCACCTTCTCTTGACATTGCTGCCCTGCTCGTCCGGCGACGCACTATCATCATCACCACTGGATTGCGTTTCCTGTGTTTCTTCCTGCTGCCTTTTATTCCCACTTACCCACCTTTTGCGCCGCTCCTCCCATACATCCATCATCTTCCTATCATGCACGAACACATCGCCCGAGCAGAGGTGCCCAAACAGCGCTCTCATGCCATCTTCCGGCGTCCAACTCTGCTCATTTACCGTGCAGGGGTGGATGTCGTACGGGCGGAAAGCCCCTACCAGCTCGCACAACTCCAAGTAGGACGCGTGTCTCGCCCACGGGAAGGTAATCGTACGCGACTGCGGTCCGTGGGTCAGGTTCCCAGCTGCAGCCGCGGGGCTGGACGTGTTTGAGACGTGTCGCGTTTTGCCGCTTTGAGCGGCGGCAGAAACGGCGAACGTGGGCGCGTCAGATGTGAGGCGTGCCAGCATCTCGACCAACTGATGCAGCGGCATGTCGTCCAGCGCTTCCTGGTCGTCCTGCACATCGCTATCACTGTTGCAGAGACGGATCCTGCTTAGCCCATTTTCCATCGCCGATGTTAGCGTATGGAGAACGTCTGACAACGTATCAGGGACGTCCTCCAGTCTAGATTCGCATAGGTGCATCAGCTGCTCGATCGCAACCCTGTCGTGGGTTTCGAGCTCGTGTACTTGGTCCAGATCTCCTTTGCCACCCCCTACACCAACCTCCGCAACTTCTGTGCCATCACCTAGTCTTGTCACTATGGGTATGATGCGGACCACTTCGGAGTTCTCATTGGTCGCCGGACAAAACGTGCCGTGTTCGCAGCTGTGCAGACGGACGTCCGGGTTGGAGGTTAAACAGCCGACTCTGTGGTGATTTCCTAAACTGAATCCAACCAATGGAGGCGCCTCGCGACATGAAGGCAATTCTGGAGGAGTGACCAGAGAGTTGTACAGGCGCCATCGGTACCTATCGAGATGGACTGAACTGTCGAGATATGAGGATAGCGCAAGCCACACATCCTCGTACCCGAATGTCCAGGCTTCGATGTGAAATACAGTATCCTCAGGGTAGTTTGACACTTTTGTTAGTAGCTCGCGCAGACCTTCATCTTTAGTCGGAAACTCCCGGTTGAACCGAGACCTGCTCGCATAGGTAGTGTCGAGATAGATTTTATCAAGGCGCCTATGCCCTGATGCGTAGGGGAGAAGCACGGGACTTCGCGTCAGTGAATTTATCCACCACGTCTCTGCCCTGATGTCACCGGTGTAAAGAATGGCTTGACCGTGACCCTGAATAAGAAACATTACCGCGCCAACGCAATGGTTGGCGTCAAAGAGGGTGACTTGGATCTCATTGCCAGGCGAAAGTTCGATGGCTGTGGGAGTTTCTAGCGGAATCGTCTTCAGAAGCTTCTTCAAGTGTTTGTATGTTTGTCTGCGAGACTCGAGGATTCCCTTGGCGAAGTTCATGCGGTGAGGATACTTCTCGAGGCGCAGAAGAATCTAATCAGTCGAATCAGTGAACCAGCCGGGTAGGAAATGAAGAAAGGCAGCGCAGCAGAACGACATGGAATGTACAATCTAGACTTGACCCGGGATGAAAGACAGGAAAATGCAGATCGTGAGGGCTTCATTAGTCGCACGGTGCTCTAAGCTCGGATTGGCGTTTGCACGTCATATGCTAATATTATGCACTGTAAAGGAGGGCGGGCGCAAACGATCGGTGCAAGGGACGACAGCAATTGTTATAAGATCACGCTCGGCGATATCATCTTCCTTTAAGAGGGACCGTGCCTCGAGGGTAAGCTCTTGTCGTTCGCACAGGTGTCTCAAGCCGCCAAATGGCCAAGGTGCCGCCATACTGGTGCACCCGGCTGATGGATGCACCATTTTAGGGTTTCGTGGCAGCCTCGCATCGCAATCATAATAATAGAGGCGGCTTTGACGTCGAGTGACCCGTCAGGGATCAAGGGCATTGGTTTCATTGCAGCGGGTGGGCTCACCCGATCTGCAACAATGTTCGTCCGAGGCTCGGCCTCGTAAGCCGCACAGCAACATTCACGAAGGCAAGCTGCCAGGTGTCTGCGCATCGTCGGCTGCGGCGGATGGGTGCCCTCGGCGGGCCGAAAAGCAGGATCGGCGAACACAAGGTGGATGCAAGATGACATTGACCGACGTACCTCTCGAGTCGCAGGCGAACAGTAGACGAATGGCGCCTTTAGGGCTTCCAAACCCTGCAGGTGATCAGAATGGACATGAGCTAGCGGCCATGTCAGTGGTGGTCAAGCGCATGGAGCCCAACTGTAGGTGGCAGAAAAAGGAAAGACCGACTCAGGAAGCAGGCCAACGGCGGCGGGTGATGGGTGCTGGCACGGAAGCAGTCGACGCGGACGTCGGGAAACTCTGGGCGCAGTGTCAGGCGGCGTGGCGGAGCTGTAGGGGCGCGTGGAAGGGGCAGCCATCACCCACCGGCGACGATGCCATCGAAGGTCGACATGGCGGAGTCAGCGCAGCGCAGCACGGGACGCCGTGTCGCATGTGACGATACGAGCGGGCTGGTGGTCGGGCTGGTGGGCGGGCTGGAGGGGATCACGTGGGGGGCCGAGTGCCGGATAAGACTCCGCGGCGCGGCGAGGGTCAGAGGGAGTGCCGGCGAGGGAATGCCGGCGAGGGCGCGTGGGAGGCTGATGAGCGAGCAGGTTTGGCGGGCTGGCGGGCTGGCGGGCTGGCGGGCTGGCGGGCTCACGGCTGGCGGGCTGGCGATCCTCAGGAACGGCGGCGCTGGGCCAGTACCTACGGAGACGCGCACGCGCGGTGACAGTGACAGCGTCGTCGGGCGGTAGCGCAGCGCAGCGTCGGCGTCGGCGTCGGCGGCGGGGTCGCGCTCGCCAGCAGCACCGTGGACCGTGGACCCGTGGTTGGCAGCACGGGCTCGGTCGGGCGCTGCGGCGGGCGCGTTCGAGCGGTCTTGGGCTGGGGGGTTGATTGGGGCCGGCCAGCGCAGACGTGTTCATGCAGGGCGAATGTGACCGCCTCTTCGGCGGCCGGTCAGGGCGCGGTGGCTGTTGGATTGCCAGCATGGAAGCCGGCTTCGTTCAGGCTAGCGGACGGGGAGAAACGCGGGAGAAGGGCACGTCCCTGCCAGGGCTGAGGCCGCGGGTGGCGATTGGCCACGATCTTTCTCTTGGACGCGGTCAGATGAGCGCGCATGAGGAGGGCTGCTCACCGCAAAGGTGCCATGGCAGGCACGCCGAACGTGCAGAGCGTGCCAATTTGCAGCTGCCAGCGTGATCCCGGGCGCGCAGATGCGCTGGCCGCACAGCCGCGCCTACATAAACTCGCCTGCAGTCGCCAGCGCGCCCGTCGCGGCCTCCTGATTGCGACCCACGGCCTCAGTCTGTTTCGCCAGCGCCTAGCGCCTCCCGCCTGTCTCGAGCCTGCTCCCTGTGCCCTGCCGCTTAGCCTCCCTTTCGGGTGCATCTGCCGCCCCCAGGAACCCGCAAGAAAAGTCCAGCAGCACGCTCCAGTCCGCCAGCCAACGCCGCCTTCGGCCCTTTACCGCAGCCAGCGCCCGGCTTCCTGCAATTTCCCCTCCGGGCCCCAGCCATATAGACCGCGCCTGCCTCCTGGCCGCCCACGGGCACACTGTCTCTCCTCTCCCTGCATCCCTCTCTCCGACCACTCCACGCCGCCGCCATGCACCGCAAAACCCCCATCTCCGTGCTGGTCTACAACCACCTCTTCCCGACCCCGCGCTCCGAGGATCCCACCTCCTTCTCCGCCCACCTGAGCAAGAACCTGGTCGGCGAGGTCCGCATCGAGACGGCCACCTTCTACGGCTCGCTCGACACCATCGAGGCCCGCTACCCCGGCCTGAACTACTCGCATCCGCCCCACCGCAAGCGCCTGGGCCGCTTCCCCCACCACGCCCGCCTGTTCAAGGCCTTCGACGAGCTGCGCCTGACCGAGACCGAGATCGCGAGCCTTTGCCGCTGGGAGGGCACGCTCTGGGCGCGGCAACGCTACGAGCGCGACGAGGGCATCAAGGTCCTCGACACCACCGGCAACGAGATCGGCCCCTGGGTCGACAGGCGGCGGACTCGCCAGTCGTCGCACATCAAGGTCAAGACGGACATCGAGGTCGAAATCGAGGTCTCGGGAAACGCCCCGGCACAACGTCCCCAGCAGCAGCAGCCGCAGCAGGACGAGGACATGATGGACGAGGACAGCGACGAGGAAATCGAGAGCATCGGCATCCCGCTGAACCAGCGGCTCATCGCGGCCGCTGCTCGCCGTGAGCAGGGCGCAACCAACGTCATGATGGATGCCGACTGGGAAAAGTACCTTGAGCGTGCGCAGGAGCGGGGCGAGATTGCCGGAACTGTGCAGTACTCGATACCGGCGGTCCTTGCCCAGGGCGGCGTGCCCACGAATCCCCACGACAGGACAATGCCCCCCGCTCCTCCGTCGGCTCCCGCGTAATTCGATTCCATCTCTGCCTCTTTTACCACGACATCATCTATTTTCCTACGACCATCGAGCAACAATCGGCGTTAAAGCGACCTCGTACCTGCGTGCACTGTCCGCAATCATCCTCATCATCTTGCATCTTCACATTTACACGGCGTTCTTGAATTTTCAAACGGGCGGCACTGGAGGCATTATCACGGAACCTGGCATTTTCTCTCTCAAGCGATCGGTTCCCGGCGTCAATACCCGTTTCCCATAATTGCTCTGTTCTCTCTGTTGGAGTATGCCCCCCCTTCCGGGAGGCGTTCTTTCCTGACGGCTCATGTAATGGCGTTTATGTAGAACTGTTTTCCTCCACATCCAGCCTGAGCAGCAACCAACAAGCAATAATACTTATCTGCCAACATTGTTCAATCCTGCTTCCATCTATGAGGCTCCAGCCACCAACGTGCTTTTGCAGCCACAGGGACCTGGCTAATCCTTCCCGCTCGTCGCGCCAGACCTGCCAACAGCAACACAGCGATGAACGAGATCGACGATTACACAAGCCGCTCCGTCCCGCTCCCCCTAATCAATCGCCACCGCACGCATAAGAACCCCATCACCCCGTCAATTTACACACAGAACCACGGACCAAGAACCCAACTTGATCTAGCCTAGAATACCCACCGATCTGCGCGCCGTCGCGGCCACCGGTTTCCCTTTACCGCCTTTCCGCACCCCTCTTTTCTCCCAATCGTCCTCACTCCCGGCACGTCAGGAACGCGCAACGACAGATAACGGCCGGAATTAACCCAGGGTCCTCCATATCGACAGCCTTACGTGAAATGGCGCGCCCTGAGAACGCCCGAAGACACTGTGCATCGAGGCCACCAATCGCCTTGCCACATGCACGCCCACCCCCCCACCAAATACGCTTGCACAATGCCGACGGTTCGGCTGTCCCCATTGGCGGGCGAGGCGTGCAAAGCCCACGCCCCCATCGCGGCCGCCTCATCCAGCCGCACGATGAGGCTGACTTGGGGTCAAAACGTACGGGAGAAGGCCCATGTTCGGCGGCTCACACCGTTGCTCTGACGTAGTCACATCCGTGTCCTCTCTCCTTTGCGCAGCCACCGTGCAGCTGCTGGTGGATCAACAAACACAGAGAAAGGCAAGCTGGAATTCCGAGGTGATGATCTTGGGTCAGCCCAATCTGCACTGCTTGCACACAACCCTTCTTCCTTCCTTCTTTTCTTCCCTTCCCTCCTCTCCCCCGCCTCCTTGTATGTGCATCATGCATGCAGACATGCAGAAGCGAAAAAGCCGTGCGTTCGCCCTTTCGGGGTTCTCCGAGACCGCTCCGACGACCAAACCCCACAGGTACGGGCATGTCTGTTTTCAACAAGCCGCAATTATTGCCTACGGTGATCGATCTTTTCTGTATGTCGGTGAGCATGACGGATGCAGCGAGCCTGAGAGACGATGTGCGGCGGATGCGGGAAGGTACGCTGGAAGAGAAAGAGAGAGAGAGAGAGAGGAAAGGAATGTAGTGCAACAAGGCCACCCCCTCCGGCTTCCCCGAGCCGCATGCCAGGCTGACGAAGATGGGCGTGTTCTTACTCATCGTTTGCGCAGTAAAAGGTGTAATATTGTAGTCAAGACACGCATGCGCACACGTGCATGCAGAAGCACTGCAGCCAGGCAGCAGGGGAGGACAGAAACCGTGCCAGGCCTCCAAACAAGGCAGAAGAAACAGAGGCGCAATAGAGGCGATGTAGGTCAGACGGCCAGATATTCATGCGCAAAGACTATCACGCACACAGTTGTGCACAGAGAACCACCCTCTGATTTGTATTGGAGTATCGTGATCTACTAATCGTGCTGACCTTCAGCCTTTGCTTTTTTATTGTACACCCGAAATAATGATCTTTGTGCTGCTTTGCATGCCAACCTGGTTAGGCATGCATCACAGCGCTTCTCCCCCCAAGGAAGGCAGAAGAATGTGTCTGAAAGACTACGGTCTTCGTCATCGCCATATCGCCGCATTGCCTGCCACTCACAACGTAAAACTGAAAGAATAAACTTTTGTTTCTAAGTGCCGAGCAATGAAAACCTTTGGGGTTGAAGAAATCCTGCATACCTACTCAGACCTGTGCATGTACCTCGAGAAAAGTACACGTCCCAAGAAGAAACATCACATATTACGCCCCACCACCGCTATGCACTAATGCAGAAAGCACGCTAGAAGGAGAAAAGCAATTAGAAAGCAGCTGCACGAGGCAGAAGAAAGGGCGGATTTGGCTGATTGATCCGGTGAGAGGGCGTTCATCGCCGGGGACATGGCATCCGACGTGTAGGTGAACGAGAAGATAGTGAGCCAGCGAGCCAATGACATACACATGTGTCATTGGACGGCCCACCCGAGTCCCGCACAAAGCCCCTTAGTATCGAAATTCTTGAAGCAAAAAGTAAAAGACCTAGAAAAGAGGCCCAGGTGAAGAAAAGGATCCGTCAAGATAGATCTTCTTCTCACTGTTCTCGAGAACAGGGCTACCTGCAGGCAAAACAAGCTGCCTACGATGACTTGCTTGACTCGCAAACATCGACGAACTTTGCGCAGTCAGCGTCGTCCTCGAACTTCAGGTACTGCGGTGTAATTTTGCCCTTCTCATCCGGGAGCGGGAAGGTAGCAAACTTCGCCTTGGCCTTCTTGTAGTGGAACGAGGGCTGGACGCGCGTGTTGATCAGAACGCGACCCATCGGCTCAGCCTTGAAGAGAATGCTGACACCGCCACTTTCCTTATGCTTGAGTACACGAACGGGTCCCTTCCCTTTACTCTCCCACTTCTTCGCACCCTTCTTCGGCTCTGCTTTGAGCTCATCCTCTGACCTGTCAACCAGGTGCATGAGTGTCACAGGCTGAATGTCTGTGTCAAAAAGAACTTCGTAGGTCTTTTTGTCCTCATCAGTCAGAGCAGTATGCAGGGCGACTTGTTCATTATCAACCGTCTGCGATTCCTCATCATCATCATTCTCAGCCGCACTCGTTTCGTTTTCCGATGCACCAGTAGAAACACCGGGTGTGGTGGCACGGGAGCCAAAGCCCGAAGCAAAGACAGAGCTTGTGCCTGAGGGCGTAGCGGCAGGGGGGTTGAACTTGAAGGGGGATGCGTCACCGGCGGGAGGCGTCGGAGCAGGCGTGAACTTGAAGAGCGGGGCGCTGGCGGACGAGTTTCCAGTAGCTATTCCTGAAAAGGGATTAGAGCTCGCGGATGGAGTAGCCTCCTTCTTTCCATCGTCTGAGGCAGCTGGCTGCGAAGTGCCGAATTTGATAGGAGATGCAGCGTCGCCGTTCCACGTCTTCAACACGGGACCGGTCTTAGCTCCGCCTGGAAGTTCGTAGCTCGAGGCAGGGAAGCCGAATGGATTAGCCGCAGCGGGCTTGGAGTTATCGGTCGATGTGCCGGTAATACGTCCGAAAATGCCACCGTCGTCGGGGGTTTTTGGGTCCCCATTGGATGCAATGTCGTCTTTGGTGATACGTCCGAAAAGACCATCGACGCGCTTGGGGGTGGCCGTGGGGGTTGTGCTGCCTTGCTCAACAGTTTCTTCCTCCTCAGACCCATCTTCGTCGTCTCCATCCTTGTTGCTCTCCTCCTGCGAGAGATTTCCGAAGGGGTTGCGAGCATCAGGAGATGCCTGTCTGCTATTGAGTACAGAGCCAGTATCGGCGGATGACACTGGTGTAGAGGTCTTCTGCCTCTTGTCATTTTGTGTGGTGTCGTCCTGCGACTCCTCCTCCTGCTCGTCAGAAGAGATCTCCTCAGACCTCCTCTTCGCGCTCGGGGTCTTCTCAGTAGCTCCAACTTGACCGAATGTTGGAGCTTTGATAGGTGACTGTGAAAAGCCGCCGGGCTTCGCCGGGCTTCCAATAGGAGTAGTAGAGCCCGACATACCACCATTGGGGTTGAAGTTGAAAGGGCTAGAAGCAGACGCCCCAAAGACATTGTTGGACGACGGGCCAGCTTCAGCATCTGGCGATGTTGCCGACTCAACATTACGCAGAGGAGACTGGGCAGGCTTGTTGATGAGGCTGTTGAAAACGTTGGCGGTGTTCGAAGCGCCCGCGGAGTTGCTGTCGTCCTGACTTGATGGAACCTTCGACTTCTTCGGTGATCCAGCTTCAGGCTCATCATCTGCCTTACGTTTTCCATTGCTCTTAGTCTGGAACTGGGCCTGGGCACTAGGTCTAGCATCGAAGTACGCACTAGTGTGCTTGACGAAGAATTTCAGGTAAACCTGAGCGATAGCGGCAAAATCGTCGGTTTCTGACATTGTAGAGGCTTTCATTTTCATCCAGCGATTCAGGCAGCGAACCTTTCGGATCATCTCGACTTTCTTCACGTCGATCTTAGACATGTCGAAATCGGGAGCTGCAGGAGCCGTGGATGTGGCTTCTGAAGTCTGTGCTGGGGAGGCGTTCGGCTTGACAGGGCTTCCAACACCATCGCTCGAGCTTTCCTGGGCAGATGGCGCTCCGTTGACTTTGAATGGAGACGCGGCTGGGCCAGTAAGCGAAGTAGTGGACGGCGTGATTGAGGAGAACGGATTGGAGCTTCGGGTCGATTCTGCCAGCTTGTCCTGCTTCGGAGAAGCGGTCTGGCCCGGCGATTCGGTTGTAGCCGATTCGCTTGGGCCACCAGAGGCCGCCTTTGCAAACAAGTTCGATGTGCTGCTGGCCTGAGTCTCTGTACTGTTCTGCACATGCTTCTGGGCATCCTCGTTGCTAGTTCTCTGGCTCTGAAAGTTGAAGAGATTCGTACTAGTCTGTGATGGACTTTCGCTGGTCGAGCCAAAGAGGGTCGAGCCAAGCTTGGGGGTGGCATTGGACGTAGACGGAGCGAACATGTTGGCCGCAGGCTTTGCTTGACTATCCGCATTGCCAGACGTATCTTTGCCGAAACCAGTAAACGGAGTGGCGTCGGTGGCGGTCTTGGCCGGGCTCTGAGCTGGGAAGTTGAAGATGCCAGCCCCGCTGGTTGAGGGTTGGGCGGCAGAAGCCGGTGGAAAGGGATTGCTGGCTGAGCTTTGCTTGGGTCCGCTAGTGGCGGGGTTGCTTTGCTCGTTTGCTGCGCTCGAGGTCTTAGCGCCTGGCTGGCCTCCAAAGTTGAACGAACCAGACGGGGGGGTAGAGCTCGCCGCTGTCTGCGCGAACAAGTTGGCTGTCTGAGAAGCGGATTCAGCTGACCCTGAAGACGGGGTAGGATTTGAGAAGATGTTGCCCGCAGGACCTGCGCTAGGGGCATTCGAGGCATTGACAGGGGCCGAGGATGTGTTGGAAGTAGCAGCTCCGAAAAGAGTGGTCGCCGGCGCGGATGAGGTTCCGCTTTTGCCAAATATGTTGCCGGACAGAGCTGATGAAGCTGGAATACTGCCGAAGATGTTGGATGGCGCTGAAGATGTGGCACCGCCGAAGGCGCTGGTAGACGGCGTAGAAGAAGTCTTCATGTTGTCAAAAAGATTGGGTGATGGCGCTGAAGAAGTGTTACCACCAAACAGATTGCTTGAGGATGCAGATGACACAGCAGTGCCACCGAAAGCACTGGCAGAAGGGCCCGAGGTGGTAGTACCTCCAAAGGCATTGCCCGTCTGCGGCTGGGACGTGGCGTCCGAGTTCTTGGCAAGGCCAGCGAACATGTTTGTGGATGGCGACGACGAAGCTACCGCACCAAAAATAGTCGATGGAGCAGCGGAAGACGTCGCAGCGCCGAACGAGGTACTGCTAGGAGCACTAGGAGCTGCCGCGGCGAACAGGTTACTCGCCGGTGCGGCGGACGAGGTGGATCCAAAGATGTTGCCAGAAGTGGCCGATGGGTTGGCTCCGAACACGTTGGTTGAGCCGGAGGAATTGTTCGTGAAAAGGTTGTTCGACGAATCTGACGGCTTGCTTGCGAATGCGTTCTGCTGTGTGGAAGATGCGCCAAACAAGTTCGAGCTCGGTGCAGAAGACGTGCTGTTGCCTCCAAAGGGGTTGTTCAAAGGGGCGGATGAGGAGCTGAAGACACTGTTTGATGGGGCGCCCGCCGACTCGGTGTTCCCAAACGCGTTGCTCGCGGGGGAAGCCGAAGCAATGCTGCCGAATGGGTTGTTCGCACCGGACGGATTGCTTGCACCGGATTGATTGCTACCGAAGGTGAAAGAGGAGGAGAAGGCGTTGCTACCAGTGTTGCTACCGGCGCTGTTGTTGTTCGCTACGGCTTGTGAAGCAAACGGATTGGACGCGGGACCGGCGCTGAAGTTGAACCCTCCGCTTGGCGGCGCAGGTGAGAATCCACCGAAGGCGTTGGCAGTAGGCTGCTGTTGAGCTGCGGGCGGGAAGCTTTGAGAGCTGGTCTGTGTGTCGGCATCGTTAGCCATGTCATGGTCACGATAATCGCGACCGTCCACGCCCGTGGAGACGGGGGGAGCGAGGCGGGACGAGGCAGCCCAGGGAAATGTCAGGGTCGGTGCTGCAGCCGGTGCTGTAGCGGGAGCTTCGACGGGTCCCGGGGCTGGGGTTGTAGCGGGAGCTGGAGACGCCGCAGCGTTGACCATAAACGAGATGGGAGCATTCGCTCCCGCAGGCGGGCGGACGGCCTTGGCCACGGGCACCGAAGCGCCCAGCGCTACTGCTGCGCCGATGGCGAACGGGGAGCGCCGGTTCGCGTGCAAGGCCCATGGATCGGAACGATCGATCGGAGCCATGGTTGAAGCGTGAAATGAAGAAGACGGAGGTGTCGAGTGAAGTTGGGGGAAGATTGCAGCTGTGGAGGATGAGGTTGTGGAGGAAAAGTACTTACAGAACCTGCGACACGCGGACGGCCCTTGAGTGGCTTCAATCTGGGGACAATAGGATCAGCACGATGCGAGTGTGAAAGTGAAAGCAGAGCGCGCCAGCCCCGTCCTCCCAACGCCGACTCTCCGCGCAACGCGCAACGCACACGCCACATCTTCAGGTACGCAATGGATCCGCACTTACTTTCTTTTTGCCAGCTGCGCAGCCGTGGCCGGCCTGGGCTTATCATCCCCCGACAGCTCGTTCGACCCATCTCCAAAAAAGTTCCCCTCCTTGCTCAACTGCTGCGACGCGCCGCGCTTCGACATGGTGGCGGTTTCTCGACGCGCGCGCTGTGAGCACTCGGCCGACGACCTTTTCCAGCTCGCGGCGGTTCCAACGGCTATTCAGAAGCGGGTGGACGGCAACGCGCTCCCATACGCGACGGACACACGGGCGGGCGGGATGCGGGTGGTGGAGCGCGTGTCTGTTGACGGTCAGCGCCGCGGCTTTGGTGCACGAGGGTCCGGCCTTAAATACCTGGACGCACACTCCTACGCAAGCCTGACGGGATCCTACGGGGGGTGTGTCGGGCGGCTCGAGGCGGGGACGCACAAGGTCGCGTCTGGGAGATGATTCGGACTCGCTCGCGCAAAACAGAGGACGCGATGGTAGGGGCGCGGGATGCATGAGGTCGCTCGGCTCTCAGGCGTCATGGAAATAATTTTCGCCGACTGCCACCGCCCGCTGAGTCGGCCCTGCGACTTCCACACACTTACCGCACCGTGGAATCCGCACCAGACACGCCTGGACACGCGTTACACCGCTCCAAACCGCGCGACTCACCTCGAGCCCAAAACATTCGTGTGAATGCAGAGATGCAGCACCGGCGGACTGCGCTGTCACGCTGTGTCGACCTACGGTAGTCCCACCCGAGCGGCCGGGAAGCTAGGACTCCGGCGAGGTGCAGAGCCTCGTGCGGCCACCTGTCAATCCACCCCCGAAGCTCACATGACTTGCAGACTCCAGTCGATGGAGCCGACTGGTGATCCGTTGGGCTGTAGGCTGGCGCAGAATGCCCCTGGCGAAATCAAGTTTGGGTCTTGAAGAGTAGCTTGTTGATGAGTAGCCAATCAGCAGAGCGCGCATGCTGGAACTGTTGAAACGGACAAACATGTCTGGACACAAGACTGGGTATCAGCAAACGACTGTTCAGGTGTGGCTGTTAGCTCGCAGCCTCGTTCCATTCGCTTCTCTGCGCACTGCACAATTTTGCCAGTAGTTGTGGATTGATACAGCAACAAGAGCTTGCAGTCTCATCCAAGGTTCCTCAGGTAAGATTGACACGATCCTCGAAAAGAAAGTGGCCGCGAGCAACAGCCCTGGACTTGTCAGCCTTAACAGCTTGATATTGGATCTTCATGTGAGCTTCTGCGTTCCTCAAAGGATGGTGGCGAGGACACAGTGAGTTGCAGAGAAATTTGTCCACGGCGATCCCCCATGTGGGGGTGACCTGAAACATTACCACCACGTATGTGCAGGTTTTGAACAACCTTTCTTCACGAGCAGATGGCCGGATATAAATGCGAGTGTCGAAACTATATGAATGCATCGAGACATAGCCTTCTGTTGCCCACGTGGGAGGCTATAGGTGGGTCAATCGATTTCGCGGCCCCCTTCGATGGTGATATTGAAAGCAACTTGTACACAAAGTGGCTCAGAGAGCTGTCGACCCACCGCTCATATGGCCAACGTGAAGGGAATATACCTCATAGCTCCGATCAGGCTGTCTTACTTTGATTAGGCAGAGCAAGCAGATCAGAGCACCAAGCTCGGACATAGGGATTGTAGACTGGAGTGAACATGTTCGTAAGCTGTACTCCTTAGTGAAAGTTCATCACACCTGGAACTCTATCAACCAATCACACGCTCGCGGAGAGGGCGAAGGCGAGAGAGCAAAAGGCTACAGCTGACGGGTACCTGGAATTCCACTGCGCCTATCCCCAGTAGGATTTCCGAATAGGCCGATTCTCACAGCCAGCAATAGATACAGCCCAATCCAATTTGTTGAATGACGTCACCAGCGGCATGGCGACGGTGTTCGCGAGCCGTTGACATCAATGTTACGTGAAGACGACCCCAAGAAGAGAAGGGATATCGTTGTTTGACACGCGGGGAGTTTAAGGCCGCATAACGCCCGCCGTCTTACGTCGAGCGATCAGCTCGTGCTCATCCAGATTCACCAGTCAAGGGTTTGGTCTGATTCTGCAATCCGCGTCAGCAAGAGCTCTCATTGACCCAACCGGATCGCATGATCTCTGCGACCAAGAAACACCTTGTGCCGATCTACGCGGTATCGAAATCTACACGTCATCAGACTTTCCCGAGCTCACTCCCGACATACAACCCTGCCTTTCGACCCGCGCAAGCGGATGATCTACAGCAACGATCGCGTGGAATACGGTTGCTCACGGAGCCTGATTCGTATAATGTTCCACGGGGCGCCAGGGTAACTGAGTGTAGCCGTTGCAGCTCAAGGTCATTTGATAGCAAATCAAAAGGGAAGCCAGGGCTGCCAAAGCGGCTGTTTATGCGATCTGTCGGGGGATATTCTCCAAGTACTATTTCAAGCGTGGTAGTAGGTGGCCAATGGCTGCTTGGACCATATGTGGTTCTGCTCTACCTCCCCTAATTGGCAAAGTATTCGGGCATGTAAGTCACAATACCACAGTTGTTCATCTGGTATACGCGCTGTTTCTGACCCACCCGGTAGATCAATGATAAGACGTTGCTGCATCGTGCGCGACTGCGGGGAGCCGCGTTAGCCTGGAGGAAGCATACGGATCCTCAACCCAGTACTGCCATCCTGTCCACGCCCACCAACGTGCGGGGCTCCATCTGAGACGCATGAAGGTTGTCATTATTGTAAAGGAGCATGGAATTTTGAACCCGGCATCAATGGGCAGATACCGAGGCAGCGGGCCTGCGCATGCGGCCCGTCCTTGCAGTGGGGCTCTCTAATATTGATAGGGAGTATTATTAGCTTTGGGGGGTCAAAGTAGACGCTGATCACGGGGGAGCGTTATTGCGGGTTGCGCGCGGCAGATCCCCCTGAATGTCGAGGTACGCGAGATGACAGCCAGCCGCGGGCATCCGTTTGATGATTCAGACAATGCGCCCTCAAGGTAATTTCGCGATCGTGATCAGCGCCGGATGAATCAGAGCGAGGGCCGCGTATGTGATGGCGCACAGTTGGAGCAAACGTTTTCGAACGTTGCTTGTGTCAGGAAGGATCCACCGGCCCAAGGATAACGCCATCCGAACATTGTCAGAAAGCAGAAAGCAGACGGATGCAGCAGAAGGGCGAAGAAAGCGCAGGACGCTGCCAGCGAAGGAGCGGTTCCTCGACACTCGCAATCGTCCTTCCAGTAGCGCGATTGGAGCAGCATTACGACGGATTGGGAAAAAGGAGCTGGCGTGACAAAGGAGAGGGGAAGCATGTCTGGGCTGGACACGGTGCTGCAGTACTGGCAGCGCTGCGGGCTTTCTCCGCCTTTGTCAGCCTTATGGAAACGTCATGGTACTTGAGCGTGCGGGGTGATGTTTATGATGGCTGACAGTATTCATTTGGATCGCGGTTGCAACCACTATCCGACGCGTCGAGCGAGCAGCCCGTGGCTGACACTCGCAGCCGCCGTCACGCGCGCGGACCGGGTCTGGGCTGCTGACAGGACTCTGCGATGGCCGCCGGTGAAGCGGTCTTCCTTCTCCTTCAGCGCCGCGCTCGGCTTCCAAGCGAGTCTAGCAGCGGAGCAGGACGGCCTGTCATTCGCGCGTCGCGGAATGCGCATGGTGGGCCGGCGCGGGCCCACGCCTCCGCCCTGCAGCCAAAGGTTCTTCTCGAACCTGTTCGTCGGTGGGGTCGGTGGGGTCGGCACATCGGGACGTGCGGAGTGGCAGAGAGGCGGTAATGCACTCGCGCGACACATGCTTGCGGCGGCGCAGCGGGCTTCGGCAGCGCAGGGCAGCTGATAGAGTTTGCCAGAGCCGGGCGCAGCGCAGCAGGGCGGGCGCTTGACGTTTGCTCCCGCCCACCGTCCCGTCGTCGACCACAGATTGCCGAAGCGCAGATCTCGGGCTGGCGTGCCAAGGCGCACTGCAGGCGCGATAACGGGCGAATATATCGCAGCGTCGCATGCGCCATGCGGCTTTCAGCTCGCGGCGCGGCGCACGCACATGCCAGCGCCGCGGAAAATGAGGCGGGGCTGCGCGCGCGCGCTTGGGAGGGCGCGGCGGAGGCCTGGCCCCGGGCAGCGTGGGAGCGTGGGAGCGTGGGAGCGTGGGAGCCATGGAGCGCGGCGCATTCGAGCGCGGCCCCGAAAGCGGGGAGCAGGTGCGCAGACGGTGGCAGAGGCTTGGGCGACCATGGAGCAGGGAAGCCGGGCGGTGGCCAGGCAGCTGGGCGGGCGGGCGGCGCGCTGAAACAGGCCGCCGCTGTGCCGCTGCGGGTGGTTGTTGAGGTGACGCTATGGACGGAGTACTTGACCGAGACTTATTCATATTGCGCGCGGCGTCCGAGTTCTACTCGCTCTCGGGGCGCGCCCTGGCTACAGCAGCTCTGCGACCGCCTTTCTCCCATCTCCCGCCGCTCCCCTTCCACAGGCGACGCGCGACTGCGCGGGGCTCTGCCGACTCCGCGGTTTAAAGCAGCGCTGCTCGCCACAGGAGTGTAGAGCGGTGTCTTGTTTGCCCCGGTGCTGCGCCCAAGTGTTGACGCCAGCCATCTCGCCTATCACCACTCACGATCCTGCCCGCGCGCCCAACGCCAGGACTCTCCGCGCCGACCGCACTGCGCCGCATCCCGCTTGCCCCCCTGACGCTGCCTCGCAGAGGCCGACGAGACCTCCGCCGGTCCCAGCGCTGCTGGACGTGCCCGCTGCCCTGCAGCCCCCGTCATCCGTGTGCTCCGCCCATATTACAACATCATGCTGCGGTGATAGCGGCTTGCGACGACTCTCGATTCCCTCGGCGCTGACCGCAGCCTCCAAAATGGCTCCTCACCACCTCCACCTGCACCCGGTACGCACCGCCTCGCTGAACCGCCATGCGTCGTATACCAGCTCTCCCTCGCCCACTAGCGCGCCGACGAGCGCGCCCACAAGCGCCCCTCGGATGGACCTGTATGCGACAACAACTTCCAGATCCGGCGCAACCTCGACTCATGCAAGACTGCACAAGCGCGGCGGTTCCAGCAACTCCAACTGCTCTGCGCCGAGCCCCACCGCCCGCTCGCACTCGCCCGATATCTCGTCCCTGCCCTACAGGCCCGTCGACACTTCCGGCGTACTACAAGAGGAGGGGCGCCGCAGCCTCGACCTCGCCGTGCACTCCGCCCGCAAGCTGCGCCCCTACCTGCGCCGGCTGCACACCCGCGACGACGTCTCTCTCGACCTGTCGGTGCCCGCGCCGGACCTGGACAGCCCTTCAGGCCTGGGCATACACGAGTTCCGTGCTCCGCCACGCTCTGTCACCGACTCCGTGACTTTCACTTCGTCAGGTGCCAGGCACCGCCACGTCCACAACCGCTCCACCAGTGGCAACTCGGACCTGTCCAACTCCAGTGGCCGCCGCCAGCCCACCCAACCCACCTTCCTCAGGAACACGCCGCGCCAGATCAGTGATCTCAGCGAGCACTCCCAGCCTCCTTCCATCTACGACGACGACTGCATTGCTGAAGCCGGCGACATCATGTCCGACGACGAGTACCTCTACCGCCAGCACGCCTGTGACCCCCGTCGCCGGTCCGGTTCCATGTCCTCGACACCCAATGCGCCTGCGCCGCTTCACTCGGCATCAAGCGGTTCGGTCAGCCGCCTCGGAAGCCGATCCCAAACCAGCCTCTCGAACCTGTACGACCCCGTCCGGCAAAGGCGGGACACGATGAGGTCAGAGACGGCGACTTCTCCCAGTTCGCGTACTTCTCTTGACAGGGCAATTGGCTTGGTGCGCGGCCGCGAATCCCCCGTCGACCCCGCATCACGCGCAGCCTCGATCCGCGCCCTGCGCGCCGAGTTCCAGGCAAAGGAAGAGGCCAAGGAACGCAAGGCGGAGAAGGAAGCGGCCAAGCGGCGGGATCGCGAGGAGCGGAAGCGTGCCAAGCTGGAAGAGCGGCACCCCGGAAGGCCGGAGATGGAGGAGATCAACGAGAAGGCCGACTCGACCGTCGATGCTGGGGAGTACCCTTCAGCGCCCTCGAGCAACGCGACGGCGCACAATGGCAGCCTGCCGTCTTACGTGCTCCAGAGCAGCGCGCCGCCGGGGCCGCAACGGAGCAACACGGCGTCGAAGCGACCTCGGCCCCGAGTGAAGGGCCGGTGGGCAACGTTCGTTGCGTGGTTCCGCACGCGGCTGCTCCGGCTGAAGTGCATATGACGACCACACACGAGCAGACTCGGGGAGTCATTACGACAATTTTCCTAAAGCGATTAGAGCAGTGGGGTGCAAAGCGCTCCTAGGGCACGGCCAAGGCTTCTGGATTGGGTGCATCGAGCATAGTACATACATGTTCCGCGGCGTTGGGTCATCATCATCTTTATCAACATCATCCCGGATCGGTCTGGGAAACGGTTCCTTCTTTCATCATCTTTCGCGCGGCATTGCCGAGGCATTGCACTTCGGCGTTTACCTTTGCATTCTTGTGACATACATTGGCGGAAGCGCTTGGGGCTATTGCTTTCTTTTCTCTCTTTTGACTCTGCTGCACACTACAGCGAGGCGTTTTTGGACTTGGGGGGTTCGCTCACTTCTGATCCTCCCCGCAAAAAGGGCAGGGCATGCATAGCACGCATACTTGGGTTGGCACATTTGAATCAATTCAATCAGCATTCTTTCTCTCTTGACTCAGATACCGGTACACACCGTCTCGGCGAGGGTGGACCTACTACGAACGGCAGGCGCCGACAGCAGCTGGCGCACTTGACCAGTGAGAGGGCCGGTGAAGGAAGGATCTTTGGGACGACTGGGAGCAAAGTCCAGGCGCGCCAGTGCGTGCATAAGCCGAAATTAGAGAATTTGCGCCCCCACAGTGGTGAGATAAGGACCGAGCGTTTTGGGCGGTGTACGTGCTCGCGGGCAGGATGATGTGATGCAATCCATGGTGTTCATCGTGGAGTTCTTTCGGCAATCGTGCGGAACCTCCGCGCGCTGCCGGCACGGGCAAGACAAAGTAAGCAGCGCGCTGTGGGACGGCCCGCCGCTTCATAACAACACCCTCCGCCCGCCAATGCTGTTCTCCCGCAACCGGCCATGAAGCTTGGACACCGCATCTCATCGCAATAATGCCCATGTCGAACATGATCCGCGCGCGCCCCGCCGTGCGCCGTGCTGCCCTGCTCTCGCGACCTGCCGCCACCGTCCCCGCCGCCGCCGCCGCCTTCTCCGCACGCCTCTCGTCACCCAGCTCCGCTCTCGCGCTGCGCAATGTCTCACAGCACCGATGGGCCTCGGGCGGAGGCTCCAATGGCAGAGATTTCATGGGCCAGCTGTACGACAGCACACAGGCGCGCCTGCAGAGGGAAAAAGCGGAGCAGGCAAGGTTTGCCGCCCAGAGAGACCTGACCGGCCGCGGGACCAAGGGCGCAGGACTGTTGGCCCGTAAGACATTTCCACACTGCTTCGTACTCGCTACAGACTGCGTGCGCCACGGAGCGTGCTGCTAGAATCTCGCGGATTGGTGCTGATGCGATTCTTTCTCGCCCAATGCAGTAATTTTCGTCGCCATCGCCGCGGGCTATTACGCCGGTGCGCAGAAACCAGCCTCGCTGCCCGCCGATTCGACCGCCCCCCTCTACAAGACTGAGGACTTGAAGCATGACACGTCGACGGGCAACTTGCAGGCGGCGTGGGCGGACTTCAGGGCCATTGTCGGCGAGGAGAACATCTCCACCAACGAGATAGACCTGAAGGCGCATGCCGGATCCGAGTGGTCTTCGTACCCCTCTCTGCCTGGCGACGTGCCCTTCGCAATCGTCAAGCCGGCGTCGACCGACGAGGTCAGCCAGATCATGAAGGTCTGCCACCAGAGAAGGATACCCGTTACGCCTTACTCCGGCGGCACGAGCCTGGAGGGCCACTTCGCCGCGACGCAGGGAGGCATCTGCATCGACTTCAGTCGTATGGACAAGATCGTCAAGCTGAACAGGGATGACATGGACGTCGTCGTGCAGCCCGCCGTGGGCTGGGAGGCCCTGAACGAGGAGCTGGCCGAGCACAACCTCTTCTTCCCGCCCGATCCTGGCCCGGGTGCGCAGATAGGCGGCATGGTCGGCACCGGCTGCTCCGGCACGAACGCCTACCGCTACGGCACCATGCGCGACTGGGTGCTCTCGCTGACGGTCGTGCTTGCCGACGGCACTGTCATCACGACGCGCCAGCGCCCGCGCAAGAGCAGCGCCGGCTACGACCTCACGCGCATGTTCATCGGCAGCGAGGGCACGCTTGGCCTCGTCACCGAGGCGACGCTCAAGCTGACGACCAAGCCGGCCAACACTTCGGTGGCCGTCTGCAGCTTCGCCAGCATCCGCGATGCCGCCGACTGCGTCTTCCGCGTCGTTGGTGCGGGCGTGCCCATCGCCGCCATCGAGATTCTAGACGACGTTCAGATGCGGTGCATCAACGACGCGGGCTCGACGTCGAAACGGTGGAAGGAGGCACCGACGCTGTTTTTCAAGTTCGCCGGCACGCCTACAAGCGTCAAGGAGCACATCAGCATCGTCCAGAGCTTGGCCAAGAGCACGGGAAGCAAGAGTTTCGAGTTCGCTCGCAGCAAGGATGAGGCGGACCAGCTGTGGAGCGCCCGTAAGGAAGCGCTTTGGAGCGTGATGGCTAAGAAGCGGGACGAGGGCGACAAAGTCTGGACCACAGACGTCGCGGTCCCAATCAGCAAGTTGTCTCAGATAATCGAGGAGACCAAGGCCGATATCGACAAGAGCGGCCTCATCGGCGCCATTGTGGGCCATGTTGGTGATGGAAACTTCCACGGTAAGTTCTCTTTTCTCCCTGCATACTTACCCAATCTGCTGTTGGGGACGCTTGCTGATGTTTACTCCTCTACGACAGCCATCCTGCTTTACAATGACAAGGAGCACGCCGCGGCTGATGGCGTCGTCCATCGCATGGTGAAGCGTGCCATCGAAATGGAAGGCACTGCTACAGGTGAGCACGGAGTTGGCCTCGTCAAGCGTGACTACCTGAACCACGAATTGGGCGAGTCGACGGTCGATGCCATGAGAAAGCTCAAGCAGGCGTATGACCCACTTTGCTTGCTCAACTGCGACAAGGTGGTGAGGACAAAGAAGCCAAAGCCGGGCGAGGTCCAGCCGTGGTAGATACGATGAGAAGCACATGGTACAAGTGAACATTTTTAGTGAGTATTGTGTAGCGTTGAACGCGTGCCGAATGGGCCTCTCTCTTAGAGGGGAGTAGATACCCGCAATCTCTACTCGTAGATCTGGTGGAAGCGGGGGTAACCCTATGTAGAGAATATCGAAACAACTTGTGGATGTCACCATTACGCAGCCTTTGGCCAAGGACAAGTTCGGTATATCGCTGACGGGGCAGGAATTTCGGGGTCCAATCTTCATACTTTCGGCATTCGACTTCAGCCCTCCCAATCCCACCTCTTCTTCACAAACCTCAGGACATACACCAGCCCAATGAGGACCGGAACTTCGATGAGCGGGCCGACAGTCGCTATCCAGCAGGCCGCTCCATTAGTAAAACTTGACAAAAGGCCGGAACGAAACCGAAACTAGCAAAAGACGGTAGAACCCAAAGGGGTGGGGGAAAAGTAGTGTTTTCTCGGGGACTACTGACCGGCAAGACTCTGCCCACTGCCGCTGCCGAAGGTGGCGACGCACACGGCGATGGCCAGCTCGAAGTTGTTGCTGGCGGCGGTGAAGCTCTGGGCGCAGGCGACGGCGTAGCCGTCGTCGCAGCCCAGCCAGCGCGGCAGCACGCGGCGGCACAGCAGCACGGTGCCGCCGAAGACGAGCATGAAGTAGACGACCAGCGGCGCGGCCACGCGCAGCACCGATGTGATCTGGTGCGCGACGTGCGCCCCCTGCGACGCGAACAGCACGACGATGGTGTAGAGCAGCCCGACCAGCGAGAGCGGCGAGAGCGGCCGGATGAAGTAAGTCAGGTAGCGCGATGGGCCGAGCACGCGGAGGAGGACAAGTCGCGTAAGAACGGCGGCGGCGAGGGGGATGCCTGAGATTGGGAGGGTAGAGGTTCGGGTCAGCTGGGCTGCTGGTCCCCAAGACGGGTAGGGGAAGAAGATGGGTTATAAAAGAGTGAGTGAAAGGGGAGAACGAACCCATAAAGACGGCCACACTCTTCGCCACGACTTCGTACCGCACCGTCGCGGCGGCCGTCGAATGCCCCTCACCGCCGCCACTCACCACGCGCGTGTAGAAGATGGCCAGCGGCGCGAACAGCACGATCTGCAGCAGGCTGTTGACCGCGACCAGCACGGCGCAGTAGTCGCCGTCGCCGTGCGCCAGGTCCGTCCACACGAGCACCATGGCGATGCAGCGCGCCACGCCCACGAATATCAGGCCCTCGCGCAGGTCCTGCCGGTCCGGCAGGAACGCCCATGCCAAACCCGTCATCAGCAGCGGCGCCAGGATCCAGTTGAGCACGAAGGAGACGAGGAGCTGCCGCCAGAGACTGCGTCGGGAGAGCAGCTTGTGCAGCGTCTCGTACCGAACCTTGCAGAGGATCGGGAAGAGCATGACGAGCAGGCCGACTGCGATGGGCACGGATACGCCAACGAAACTTTGGGATGTCAGTAGGGGGGCTTTTTTGCTTGTCCAATTTTTTGTCTTGATTCCATCAACTTCTCTCCCGTAGGAGAAGGGAACACGTACGTTCCGCGCTGGAGCGAGGGACCAGCGGAAGGTATAAGGTTGCCCAGTATGATGCCTATGGCCATGGCGAGAAATATCCAGACCACGAGGAAGCGATCGAGGAAGGAAAGCCCTCGGAGCGGTGCCATGTCGGCTGGCTCATTGTTCGAAGACTCTGGAGATACATCCCTTGGTTTATCTATGGCCCCAGGGTGATCTTCCACTGTTCTCAATATCAGAGATAGGTTCTTTCTTTCCATTTCTTTGCATTCGTAGAATGTTTACCAGACGGGCGAGTCCGACCTGCTGTCACGGCATGTCCCTTCTCCGCGTTCGAAATGCTTTGAGGAAGTTCGGTCTCTGTGGCATTTCGGCGGTCTGTTGCCGATGCTACCGTGTGTTGGCGTGTATTTGAAGATTCAAAAGAGGCCATGGTTAGGCTAACAGCAAGCGATTTCATCAGGAATACGGAGGGGTGATTCTCTCAATGATGTTGATTTACTCGGCTGTCGGTCTGACTACTTCGGCCAATCAGAACGGAGCGGCGACATGCCAGTTCTTGTGGCGAACACTGCACGAGCGGATTTTTGTGAAACCAGTGCGAACAAGGGCGGTGCTCAAACGAAACTAACCAAAACAAAGCTAAATGTCGCTGGATCTCTTGCTAAACTATATTCGACGAGGTTGTGTCGGAGCCGACTCCGCAGGCCGTGATAATGTAGCATGGTTGTGGTTGAACCTCCAGAATCTCGACCGTACCACAGCGATTTGCAATCGCCAAGCTATTCTACATCCGGCTCACAATAATATTGTATTATTTACAAAGCTAGTCTATTTTAATGCTTGAATGCATCCATACTATTTAAGTCCGCATCTGCGTCTAAGAACAAGAATGACGAAAGGGAATACAGAATTTTGAAAATCAATCGAGTGGCGGATTTACTAAGTATGCCGAATAGAGCATAGTTGAGGCTAGAGCTGTTCTTTACTACATTTGCTTCCGTTCTCTTACCCGAATGTTTCGAGCTACTCACAGAGCATGCTGTCACGAGAGTTTCAGCACATCTACATATCGGCATCGCCACATCCGTGTGCTGACATTTAAAGGGGGAAATCTCGGAAACAAGTCTGTCCACTGAAATGACTCCGGGCTTCTCCATATGCTCCAAGATGTGAAGCAGGGGTAACCGAAGTGCGTGGACAAAATCCCGGGGTTTTATCTAGTCCGCTCCGAAGCACGAAAGAAAAAGAAGAGCTTACAATTTGATTCGTAGAAGGTTTACAGGACTGAAACTCGCTGTCTCCTCTGATTGATACCATACACCAGTGGAAACTACGGCTGAGCTGTGGCAGGCTGGCCGAACAAATCAGCCTCGAGCAGGTCGCGCATCGTGGCGAAGATGTTATCTTCAGACTGGGGTGGATGTCCATCGCCCGGGAACAGTTGCTGAGGTTGGGGCTGGGGCTCCGGCTCATGCCTACTGTTGGTGTTGATGAGGACGAATGCCGTCATCGAGTGCTTGTTGACCTTGTACTCTGCGTACAGCCAGCAGGCCTGACTGGGATCATCAAGATACTTGAAGACCGTTTAGGTGCAAGTAAGACAGTGGCAGCAACCCTTGGAGGGTCCGGTGATCATCTGATTTAGGAGTGCAACTTCCAGGCAATGGAAGCAGAAGACATGACCGCAGCGGAGACGGATGGATGCCCTGGATTTACCGCGCATCGAATACACCTAGCCGCATTTCGGACATGCTCATGGTATGGATGTATGTACGTCGTGAGTCGTTGGACTGTCCAGGATCATTGCATCCAGACTGAAAGCTGAGCACGAAAGAAGCGTAGATAGCACGTCGGAGAAGATGAGAACGACTAAGGTTGACATTTCGTAGTTGAATTGATCGCCATTGGGGATCGACTCCAGCTGGCTGGTGGTCTTGAGTGCTTGTTTACTTGATTGATTTCCCGTCTGTGCGCGGCTTGATTCCCACATTCGTTTACCCTGGCTCACAGCTTGGCCTTGGCCTGGACCTTCTTCAACACAGGCTCGATCTTGGTGGCCTTCATGACGTCGCCCTTGATCTTCAACTTGCCGGACATGAACAGCTTCTGGGCGTTGGCCTTTCCGGCGACTAGCGATGCGAAGTCGCTGTCGGAGAGCAGCATTGTGACTGTGCAGAAAAAAACCGGCGAGTCAGCCATCGGGTCCACCCGTGTAGATAGTAAGCGCCAAACACCATCTCCACTTCTCTACGCCGTGTGCGGATAGGGCGCATCGAGGAGTTGGGATTATGCCGCGGTTCAGGCGCCGTCCAACTGCCAACTGCCGTGCTGGTGCTGGCGCTGGCGCTGGCGCCGGTGCCGAAGCCGAAGCCAGCGCCATCATAGCGCGCGCGATCGTCGAGAGACTGGAAGCAACCGCGATGGATGCGTTGTGCTGGCAACACAACACACCACGCGGACGCTCCCCAGCCATCCCATCGACTCGCAGCCTATCATCCGAGTCCTTGCAGAGATCAACAGTGTCAAACTCACCATCAGCCTTGCCACCCTCGGGCGCGGCGCCCTTGCCGACGGTACCCGTCTTCTTGAGGTCGATGTACCAGCTGTCCGTCTCGCCCGCCTGGTTCTTGATGGTGAAGGCGAAGACGGCGCCGCCCTTCTTCACCGCGTCCTTGCGGTCGGCATCGTCGGCGAGCGAGGCGGCGATGGCGTCGAACGCGGCCGACGAGGGGATCTTGTCTGCAGTTCGCGTGCCGATCGTGTGAGCGCGGTATTCGCGGCTGGGGGCTTTGTGCCTTGTGCCCTCTGTTGCGTCGTCATCCCGGCCGCCGCCGTAGCCTGGGGCCGCGACCAGGCCAAAGTGGATGCGGTGATGCAGGCATGCGGCGCGAGACGACGGAAGAAGGCCATGGAAGGGTTGGTCATGCACGCGTGCACTTACCGCTCTTGAGACTCATGGTGGGCGGGCTAGTGGGGTTCTGCGGTGGCTGCCGATGATAACAATGACGCACTGCCTGGACCGGTGGTGCTGAGGTTCGGGAGAATCGAAGTGCAGAACACAGAGACAGTTCCCCAGGGGTTTATAGGCGCAGCAGGTGGCAGTCAGCCGTCAGTATTCGGGTGTCGGTGTCGATGATGCATGATGCACGCGGCGGGCGCAAGTCCGGGGTTGGCATGTGAAAGCGCCGAGGCTCAGCCCCCGGCACGTGCCATGGGAGGTCACTTGTCGCTTCTTCAGCATCCGAGCCGTGATTCGCTCCAAAGTCAATGAAATTCGGCGGCCGTCATGTAGGCCCTTTCTATATACGTCGTGCTACATAGCGGGCGTACGGGGATATCTTATACTATAAAAAAAAAAGGAAATGATGTAGAGAGTGTAGTCGGATCGTTGATCTTGGTCGGCATCCATCTGATCTGTGCTCATGGATGATAGTGATGGTGGGCGGTCCCTCCCATCGAGTCGTAAATGCAACAAAAAAAAAAAAACATTAGGAAAGTGTCGTGAATCGTCTCTCGTTGACGAGAGGGTGTTTTCCCCCCGTGCGCCTCATACAACTCCGCGGTTGACCCGGGCAGAAACTTCGCTGCCGTCAACTCGTACAACCCCCATGGTACAGTACTCCAGAGACACCGTTGATGCATATTTACATTAGCGCCAAGGGAACAGGAACTTGCGCATGTGCTCTTCCGCTTCGACAAGCTGTTCCTTGGCTTTGGCCGTTACTTTGCTGTTGCGGGTGCGCGACCACCATTTGCTGACCGATCGCGACTCGGGCGTGCCCTTGAGGTCGTCTAGCTCGTCGGTGATGAGCAGGTCCGGCTTGATCTCGTCGACCGGGCTGAGGACGATGGGCACGTCCATGACTTCTTCCGCCCGGTTCTTCCACTCTTCGCTGCCCGCAATGCGCGTGAGCGGCGCCAGCGCGTCGTCCCACGTGCCCGTGCGGAGCGCGACGTCCTCGAAGTTGAACTCGGTGATGGAACGGCGGTGGCGGATGATGAATGTGCTGATCTGGGACGAGTCCATGACTGCGTTCTCGAGTTCCAAGAAGAGCAGGCTGGCGAACTTGAGCGCGCGGATGCCCGTGGGTCGGCTCGCGCCCGACTCCGGGGTGCTGGGGGGCGACAGTCCGGGCTCCAGATCCAGCGAGAGCGGCGACGGTCCTTTCTCGCCCCTCCAGCGGAAGAGCAGCTTGTTGATGGAGAGGGAGAAGGTGCGTAGATAAGAATGAAGGAGTCGGAGGTGTTCCGACGATGAGCCCTCCAGATAGGGCTGGCTGTCCAGGTGGATGGCGAGTTTCTTGATCTGGCGCCATCTTCTGTTCGACGCCGGCGTGGAACCAGGGCCCATGGTTGGCTGGAGGTACAGGAGGCCGGCAGGGTGTATGGCCTTGATGGTCAGAGTGTCCAGCTCCGGAAGTTGGGCACGTTCAACGGCGATCCGGAGGGAGATGAGCGCATAATCGACCGCACTGCGTCGGTGGCGCTGCGAAAGCTCCTGGTCGGGACAGTCAAGCTTCAGGTGGACCAGGCCGGGAAGCGCCTGGAGGGCGCGGATGAAGGCGGGGACGTTGGTGGCGGCGTGGAAGACAGGAGGGTACTGCTTGATGAGAAGGTCCGTCATTTCCCAGGAGCCGTACTTGGGCGTCTTCATCTTTCCGATGAGGGTTGGCGGCTTGTGGATCTGCGGCTCGTAGACCAGGCTCTTTTGCTCGCCGGTCACGGGATCAATGAGCGGCGGCAGGAACGTGTCCGCGGAATGCGGCATGCGGAAGGTAAGGGACTTGACGCGAGGACCGATGCTCTCCAGGGCTTCCATGCGGGCGGGCCGGGCAAAGGTACTCGGGCGGAAGGTGACGGTGATGTCTTCAAACAGAAAAGGGGCGACGCGGGTGCTCATGTCGTGGCAGACAAGACGGCAGTTGGCGAGGTCGGCCTTGTCGACGCGGGCCAGGAAGGCGTCGCGGCAGGGCTCCGACAGCCAGAACCTGAGGAAGGCCGAGCTGGTCGACATGACCAGGTTGCATACCGAGCTGTTGGATCGGAGCGCTGAGGAAAGGGCATCAGTCGCAGTCGGACGAAGAAGCGGCCGGCGGGACACGGATGAGGGGAACAACGAGCAGAGCACTCAAGACCACGGAAGGGAGGATTTATGGCAGACGGCGGAGGCACTTACACCGACTACCAGGCGCTTCGAGCGGTGTCGGGATCTCGCCGAAGAGCAGCTTCTGGGTGGAGGCCGAGCTGGCCGTCGACCTGGCCGTGGCATTGCTGCTCTGGCTGCCCTGAGTGCGATGACTCCCGGACGAAACTTGATGTTTCAAGGACGGTCGAGATTCGCAAATCATTCGAGAGAGTTGTCATAGATGGTGGCTAGGAAAGAGCGGTGGACATTGGGATGTTGGCAAAGCGTTGCGAGGAGATGGCAAAGAGAAGGAAACCTAAGGTACATCAGGCACACGCGCGCCGCCGCCATGCTATTTACTGGCTGCGGGCGCCCCCTCAGTCCGAAAGCGGTCGTGGCCTAAGTGGGGATGTGTGTGTGAGTCAACGGTCTGTGCAGAGCAGCAGATCCGCCCGGCTCTAACTGACAACGGTGGGATGATTGAAAGAATCACGACCATGTCGCGCTCGTGGGGTTAAGTAAACGCAGCGTGTCCAGCGCGTTCAGTGGGCCTGGTGGTGCGGGGATTTCTGTTCCGGGCAAGGCCCGTTTTGAAACGCCGCAGGAGGTGCGCTTTTCGCGCCGCTGGGCCAATCGATTCCGCTGCCAAGGCCAGCGGTGAGGACGCACTACTGCACGAGATGCAGCGCGCGCTTGCCCGGCTGGCCACAAACGCGTCTTTAATCCCGCATCGCCGACTCTGCGGCCGGCAGCGTGAGCGGGAGGCGATCCTCACACGAGCAGACGCGTCGAAACCTTCTCGAAGCGAAATCCGGGGTAGCCGCAGTGCGAACCGCACGCAGCCTTGTTTTGTCTATCTATGTATAGGGAGAGCTTGGCTGCGACCCGCGAGGCGGGCGCCCTGGAGCGCGTGGCAAAGGCCCGATGCGAGCGATGGAAGGCCGCCGCTGATGTGCTGCCATGACCGCTGCCACCCGGCCACCCTGCCACCCTGCCATCTGTCTTCACAGCGGCCGACGTCCGGCTCCGGCAGCTGTCGGCTGCTGCTGATGTGAGCTCCCGTCTGGCTCTGTGCCCCGAGGCCCAAAACCCACGGCCCACGGCCCAAGGCGCCCGGGCACGCCCGTCGCCCGTCGCCCGTCGCGGCCGCCGAGCAAAGCAAACAATGATGGATGGATCCTGTATCGACAGAATGTACATACATACATTCCTCGCCGGATGCAGGCCCCCTGCCCCTTTCAGACACACGAGTCAGCGCGAGCATGAGGTGCAGCAGTGCATACCCGTCGACACCTACGCAGCACCTATGCGGGCGTCGTCGGTGCCGCAGCGCCGCAGCGCCTCAGCGCCGCAAAGCCGCAACCTACGCCGAGAGAGTCAGGCCACATCCGCCAGGGCGCGCCACGGAGCAGAGCGTGGCGGGGCAGGCTACCCCAAAGCACCCAAGCTGCACGTCGCTCGGAGATGTGGTGGACCTCGGGGGCGGCCGTACGTAAGCGGCGAATTGGAAGGCCTTGGTGGTCGAGTGGCACAGTGGCAGCCGCATGCGACGGCTTGGTCTGGCCCTTTTTGGCCTTTTCTGGCCGCTGCGGCTGGGGCCCGAGCACGGCGGACGTGGTTCCCCGTTCACTCTAGTGGCGATCGCTGTGCTCCCGAGGTGATCGTCGATGGAAAGCGAGGCTCAACGTGCAGAAAACGCTGCGCTGCGGCGGCCGTCTGGTGGATAGGTAGTCACGTAGTGTCCGCTTAACGGCCTTTCCGGAGCAGCGCAGCGGGGGCTGTTGTGGAGATTGCAGGTGGCTCGCGCGGCAACGTGCGCTGCTCGTAGATTATCGATGTACGGAGCCGGCTGGTCTGGAGGCGGAGCAATCCTAGCGGCCGCTGTATTAGCCTACCTAGACGCGCCGTTGTTGCTGCGTCGTATGCTGCAAAGGCGAAAGCGAAGGCAAGAGCCGTGGCGCTCCAGTGCAGTTCAACCACATCTGCCCTCTCGCGCCCTTCGCCCATGATTCCGTCCTCCTCCGCTGTCTCACGCTTCCCACCGACCCACCGGGCCCCGTCCGCCCACGCCTCCCCCTCGCTCCCTCGCTCCGCCGCCGCTCTCGTTCTCGCTTCCGCGCGCATCGCGTTCCACCTGCCGGCTTAATCTTCTCCGCAGCTGAGCCAGCTGGGCTCTTTGTTGTCTGCGCCAAAGCACCATTCCCCCGGACGCTGCCCTGAACCCTCACGCCTGCGAGTCTCGCTGCTGCTTTCCCAACAAGGCATGGCCGTGATACGCACTCGACTCCGCCGAACTTAGCCTTCTCCCTGGCCCGGGTCCGTCAAAAGCAGCCGCTCCCACCCGCGGCTCCCGCAATCGCCTCTCTGGCCGTCGCCAGGGATCTTCAGGGTCTACATGGTCAAGATGCGCATTCCCATCCGGGAGCAACTTGGATGTCTGGTGTTGCTGGTTTCCCTAATCGCTCTCGCCGTCGTTGCCGCTGCAACATGGGTCTGTCACCCTCTCCCGTTCTTTGCCGCGGTCATTGAGAGTAGCCGAATCGGATGCGCTTTTCGATTCTCTGCGCACTCGGTCGAGCATGCTGCAATGGCTCCTGCGAGCTTGCGCGGCCGCTCTGGCTTCGCGTCGAATGCCCAGCCCGCTACCCGCAAATCACCGACTGCACCTCATCGTTCTACATTTGCTGACGCGCTGTCTAGATTACCAATTACAACTTCGTTCTGGACATCCGAGCCTCACGGCTGACACTGACGGCATCATTGAAGGCATCGCAGCTGGCGTCAAACCTCTTACTGATGCAGTCAACCGTGCGCTCCGCCTCCAGCAGAATCGTCATCCAGCGGCAGCTCCAGCGTTATAACGATGGCAATGAGACTTATCGGGCGAATACAAACTGGACCACTTCGCAGACTGACCTAGCTGCCGTCTTCGATGGGGGGCAGCAGATGACATTGCTACTACAAGCCCAGATTTGGCCCAAGACATATACTGGACTGGCCGCAGACAATGCCAAGCTTGCAGCTACCGCTTCGGTCGTCTCCGGCACGCTCGCTCTCCCCATGACCTACGATAATGGTTCGACCGTCTACCTCGGTGATCCGGGCCTGGGTTATCCGCCTCGATTATACCCCAACTTGACCTTCACTTCCCAACGGGTAAACGACACTTTCAACGAAACCTTGGCTCAGTACGCAGGCCAGACCTTGAACGAGACCGGCAGTATCTTACTTGGTCCTTGGGAACTGAACGAGACATTCTCCTTGATGTCCCTCACAGTCCCTATCATCAACAACACCTCCGCACTTGATATCCTTGGTTGGATGACCGTTCTTGTGGATGCCAAATTGGTCTACCAGACTGTGAATGCCGGCGAAGGGCTTGACAGTAGCGGTCTGACTCTCATCGTTGGACCCGACACCATCAACAACAGGTTTTCATCTGATGTGCTTTACTCGAACAACAGCGGCAGCCCCGCCAGCGACGTATCGGTTCATTTCGTGTTGCCACCGGGAAACATAGACCAACGCCATGCATCCCGCGCCTGGGGAACCGCACAACATGCTTTCGACTACAATCAATTTCCCGCCGTTAAGAAAGGGTTGACTACCGATCAGAATTCGCCAAACAATGCGGGGTCCATGATATCCACCGTGAACGAGGAACGAAAGCACGTGGCAGTTGGGTTTGCCATACCGTCCACTACCTTGTGTGATTGGATTGTCCTCGTGGAGCAAGCGCATGACGAAGTCTGGCAGCCTATCAACCATCTGCGAAACATACTGATCGCTTGTGTCTTCGGCACGGCGGGCGCCATATTACTTTTGACGCTTCCCCTAGCGCACTATTCTGTCCGACCGATTCGCCAGCTCAGGTCTGCCACGCAACGATCCGTCTCGCCGACCGGGTACCTGCCAGATGATTCAAGCGTTTCCTCAGGTCATATGGATGTTGATGATCCTGATATTCTTGCTCGCAAGGAAGGATTCATGTCGAAAATCAACTCTTGGAGACACAGAGGGCGTCGAACTCGCGTGGAGCAGCGCGAGGTGGAAAGAAGGCGACAGTTCCGGATCCCTGAGAAGGTCAGGGATCATAAGCATTTGATTCATGATGAGCTTACGGATCTCACCACCACCTTCAATGAGATGACAGACGAACTCATGATGCAGTATGAGAAGCTGGAAGAAAGAGTGAAGCAGCGTACAGCTGAGCTTGAGGAGGCAATGAAGGCTGCCGAAGCTGCCAACGAGAGCAAGACGCTATTCATCGCCAACATTTCGCATGAGCTGAAGACCCCTCTCAACGGCATCCTGGGAATGTGCGCTGTGTGCATGTCGGAGGAAGATCCCATCAAGCTAAAGCGTTCGATGAGCATCATATACAAGAGCGGAGACCTGCTACTCAATCTCTTGACAGATCTTCTGACTTTCAGCAAGAACCAGATGGGCCATCAGCAACTCTCACTTGACGAAAAGGAGTTTCGTTTGCGAGATGTCAGCACCCAGGTTCTAGCAATTTTCGACAAACAAGCAAAGGAGAACGGCATCACCTTGTCCGTACGGTTCGAAGGTCCAGCCGACGTTAATGCCGACGAGTCTGCTCAGCGCGGCGAACAGGGGCTTGCTCCGTTTGGTCTTGGGCGCATAAAGGACATGATCCTGTGGGGCGATCAACATCGTATTCTCCAGGTACTCATCAACTTGGTCTCTAACGCTCTCAAGTTTACCCCCAGAGGTGGTTCCGTCTCTTGCACGATCCGATGTGTTGGAGACGCGAATGTAACGCCAGGATTTGGGAGTCGGAAAGGATCTCTCAACTCATCACGGCAGAACTCTGGACGGAATTCCAGGAATCGTGGGAGGCTGGAATCGAATTCGATGTCTTCCCAGGTTACATCGAGGCGTACGGATACCGCGAACCAAATCAATGTCCTCCATGACAAGGCATATGCTCACATCCTAGAAGCCGAAAGGGCACAAACACCGCCGCCCGGAAGATTTCTTACTTTCGAGTTTGAGGTTGAGGATACCGGTCCGGGCGTTCCGGAATATCTGCAACAACGTATCTTCGAACCTTTTGTACAAGGTGACCTTGGGCTCAGCAAGAAGTTTGGTGGTACTGGTCTCGGACTTTCCATTTGCCAGCAACTCGCGACCCTGATGAGAGGTACTATTACTCTCAAGAGCACTGTTGGTCAGGGCAGCACGTTCACCGTGGAAGCTCCTTTGAGACATCTGAAGACGCGAGCAGATAGCACGGCTTCGTCAAGGGTTTCGGAGGTTCCGAATGTCAGCAGAAAGAGCAGTCTGTCGATCGAGTCGCCAACTTCCCGTACGGCAGAAGAGAATACCACCACCAACGTGGCGCCTGTTTCGTTCGAGTCAGACTCCCAGCCACGGTTGGTAGGACTTAGGCAACCTTTCTTTGCTTCCCCCACGCCTCTGGATTCCCCTGGTTCACAGGGAGCTGCAATGGATCGCATCGCAGCCCAGGCTTCAAACAAGAGTGATAGACTCAAAGTCCTGGTCGCCGAAGACAACAAGGTGAGTGTCATCAAGTTCATCCTAATCTTTAGATAGTGCTGGTGACGCTGACGAACCACAGACCAATCAAGAAGTTGTCCTGCGGATGCTCAAACTCGAAGATGTGTACGACGTACAGATCGCGAAGGATGGCCAAGAGGCTTTGGACAAAGTCAAAGAGAGCATGGAGAACCAAAACCCTTACGATTTGATTTTCATGGACGTGCAAATGCCAAACCTCGATGGTATCCAATCCACTCGTCTCATCCGCCAAGCCGGTTATTCAGCGCCTATCGTCGCCCTCACGGCTTACGCGGAGGAGAGCAATGTCAAGGTCGGTCGATGATTTTCCCTTGCTACGTCGAGTCTGCTGACACGCTATTCAGGAGTGCTACGAGTCAGGAATGGACTATTTCCTGTCAAAGCCGATCCGACGCCCTGCGCTGAAGCATGTCCTGAAGACTTACTGCGCTCCTATCCCGGAAGAAACAGAGCCTGGAGACAGCCCTCCATTGGATTCGAAGAAGACGAAGAAAGGTGCCGCCCCGAACCCGAAGCCAGCGGCGAAGCCAAAGGCAAAGGACGAAACTCCAGGACCTTCGCCTCTGTCATAACGTACATGACTGAGGTGTTGCTTCTGTTGATTCTGTGTTCGTCTGCTCGTGCGAGCCCCTATGCTTGTTGATGCATGCAGATTTCCCTGCCACAGGCAGTCCTTTTGTAATGGAAGAATGGTTGGTGATCTATGCGGAGAAGTAGGGCTGCTCCGCTGTTTATACTTGGCCCTTTTGAGACTTTTCTTTGGTCGCATGCAATTGTTTTGGAGTTCGGAGGAGAGAAAAACAGGGGTGGATTGCGACTTTTATCCTTTTGTTTCATTCATAGCATGGCGCTTCCAGGGGGGATGGCTTAGCCCACAGCATCTGCTTTGGGCAAATGGTTTTTGGCGCGTTCTGCGAGGTGGATGAGCCGCGAAGGCGCGGTCTTAGGTCTCGGCATCTTTGGGTATGATGATGGCGGCCTTTTTGTGTGCATCTGTCAGTCTTTTAACCTTGTTCAAATTTCCTTGTTTCTTTAGTCGCGGTGCACCTGCACTACTGCGGCAGTGGTGGTTCCCACGAGTCCGGCATTTTCAGCGCCATACAGAGACAGCCCTTTGGCCCGACGCTGTTCAGAAATTGGATGACGGAAAGAGAAAAAAAAAAAGAAGCATAGCGCTCAGGTGTGGGTGGTCTGGATTGATTTTTGTTCACATGTTTTTCCATTGTTCTGGGAATCTAGAGGTTGTTCAGATATGAATGAATCAATGAGCATGAAGCTGAACTGGCGGGTCGAGCACACGGGAGTGCATATGCAGGCCGAAGGCAGCACAAGCTTGGAGGCCGAGGGGAGACGCGCTTAGCAATCAGGCACAGCGGAGCTGGAGCTTGGGGCCTCCAGCGGGCGCAGGGAAGCTCGGGTCCGGCGCTTTGCGTCATCAAGAGTCCGAAGGTCCGATCTGCGCGCACGCCTTTCACACCTGCTTTCCCGCGACCCGCACCCTTCCCATCTCAGTACTCAGAAGCCTTCCGCTGCTCCAATCGCCTCAACCAGCAGCCAAAATGTTCGCCCGCCAGGCTTTCCGTCCCGCCCGCACCCTCACCAACGTAAGCCCACGCCCGCGCCGCAACACGCTTCCATGTCCCCGACGCCCTGCTGACCGCGTCGCCATCCCAACAGTCCGTCCGCAGATACGCGTCCGAGGCCCCCAAGAAGAGTTCCAATGGGGCTCTCTATGGCGCGTTGGCTCTCGGCGCCGGCGGCGCCGGCTACTGGTACTTGAACAGCTCGAAGGGCGCCGTCCCCACACCTGCGTCCTTGAAGCCCGCCGAGAAGACCTTCAAGGGTGGCGATCAGGGCTTCGTTTCTCTCGTGCTCGAGGATGTCGAGACCGTCAGCCACAACACCAAGCGCTTCCGCTTCAAGCTGCCCGAGGATGACCACGTTTCCGGCCTTGAGGTCGCCTGTGAGTGCAGCTCAGACATGGCACACGGTGAACAACAGGTGCTGATGCGAAAACAGCCGCGCTATTGACCAAGTACAAGGGTCCGGAGATGCAGAAGGCAGTTTTGCGGCCGTACACTCCTGTGAACGATGAGGGTAAGGATATCTATCCGTGGTCCCAACCGTCCGATCCTGGCGAGCTCTGTCTGACCTGATCTTGGCAGATGCCCGCGGCTACCTCGACCTCGTCGTCAAGCAATACCCCAACGGCCCCATGTCAACGCACATGCACAACATGACACCCGGCCAGAGCCTTGACTTCAAGGGCCCGCTGCCCAAGTTCCAGTGGGCCCCGAACAAGCACGAGCATATCGCTCTCATCGCTGGTGGTACCGGTATCACGCCCATGTACCAGCTCATGCGCGCCATTTTCAAGAACCCCGAGGATAAGACCAAGGTCACGCTTGTCTACGGCAACGTCGGCGAGGACGACATCCTGTTGAAGAAGGAGCTTCACGAGCTGGAGAACACGTACCCTCAGCGCTTCCGCGCCTTCTACGTACTTGACAACCCGCCGAAGGAGTGGACTCAGGGCAAGGGCCGTGTCACCAAGGAGGTGCTCAAGACGGTTCTGCCAGAGCCGAAGGAGGGCGACAAGCTTAAGATCTTCGTCTGCGGTCCTCCCGGCATGTACAACGCCATTTCTGGCAACAAGGTCAGCCCCAAGGACCAGGGTGAGCTGTCTGGTATGTTGAAGGAGCTTGGATATGACAAGGAGCAGGTTTACAAGTTCTAGACAATTGGTTGGGAAGACTGAGATGTTCAACGCGCTAGAACGAGGGCGGTCGACTTTTTTTTTTTTCCAGCGTAGAGCATAGAGAGAACAGTACACCGCGCTGTGTTATAATTTTAAGCCTCTCGCCCTTCACCGACAAGTCCAGGCTAATGACGGTCTTTGGTTTGTCAAAAAAAAAAAAAGCCTTCGCCAAATGACGTTTTACCGACATTTGGCGACAGGTCTTATTTTCGTCAATTGCCGCTGTGCCGTTTTTCCCACCCACCATCGACGTCATTACGCCTGCACGATGGCTGCAGCGGGAAATATCGACATGTCATTATCCGCATAACGTCAATTATCCACGTTGAATAAGAGAAGTTTAGGTCCCTGATGTTGCTTGTCTTGTCAAATTTCCTTTGAGCTGCATTTCTTTCCAAAGTGTCACTTCGATCTTCTGTTGGAAGCAATCATGCAATCTTTTATTCAGTATCGCAAGTTCCGCACGCACCTGAAGATGCAATACGAGAGAGACCGCGAAAAGACGGCGGCATTAGCACAGCAACAATCGCAGCGCAGACACGATGACCATCTCCGCCGAGTAACCTCGACGCCCTCATCCTCAGATACGTTCGATAGTAAGCCATCGTCATCCGCAGACGGCCGCCGCGACCTCGAAAGGGGCGAAGGGGGAGCTCCATCATTGGTCCAAGAAGAACAGCCGGATGCAGCACCCACAGCAGATGCAGAGCAGCTTGACCACCACGCTGCCGCCACCACCGAGGAGCCAGCAGAAAGGACGCCCTCGCCCAGACCCCCCTCCACAACATCCCGGGCCCTCCAACCCGTCGGCACGGCGTTGGGACACGCGTTGACCGGCGTGAGCGTGCGCTCGCGGACGTCCAGCCAGCATCCGGGAGGAAAGATATTCATCGTTGGCTACGAGGGCGCCCACGATCCGCTTAACCCACACAATTGGGCGTACGGCACGCGCGTGTTCGCGACCTTTTTGGTGGCCGGGATTGGCTTCGTGGTCGGGGTGGCGAGCAGTATCGATGCGGAGGCGTTGAGGCCGGCGGCGAAGGAATTTGGGGTGAGTGAGGTGGTGGAGAGTTTGGCGACGGGTGAGTGTTTTGATACGTCTTCTTTTCTGTTTCTATTTTTGTTTTTATAATGCCTCTCACTTCTTGCTCTGCTACTGACTGGAATGGTTCAGGATTATATCTCATCGGCTTTGGCGCCGGCGCGCTCTTCGCCGGCCCTTTCTCTGAGACATTGGGGAGAAATCCCGTGTACATTGTAACAATGACGCTCTACATGGTTTTCATCATGGCGTCCGGACTGGCACCCAACATTGGGGCGCAGCTGGCCTTTAGGTTCTTGGCAGGCTTATTCGGCAGCACGCCGTTGACGTGCGCCGGAGGATCGCTTTCTGACCTGTGGAACCCAATGGAGAGGGTCTTCGCGTTTCCGGTGTTTGCCAATGCCGCGTTTACGGGCCCTGTGCTGGGTAAGCCTTGACCCAGGTCGATGGGAAATGAGTGCTGATGCAAGGGATGGTCTAGGCCCCGTCATGGGCGGCTTCATCGCGCAGAGCAGTGCCGTGTCCTGGCGTTGGGTCGAGTGGACGACACTCATCATGTCCGGCCTTGTGCTCGGTGCCGTCGTCCTTTTTCAGCCAGAGACATATCCCCCGGTGCTTCTCCGCTGGAAAGCACAGCACCTCCGTCGCATCACTGGAGATGAGCGCTACGTCGCCGAGGTCGAGCTGATGGGTGCTACTTTCGGCGAGCGTATCAAACGGGCCCTGTATCGCCCGTTTCTGTTGACTTTGTCTGAGCCCATCATCATCCTCGTGGCGCTCTACTTGACTGTCATCTACATCGTGCTCTTTACCTTTCTGGACGGGTACGACTTCATCTTTGGTGAGGTCTACGGCGTCAGCCAAGGCATCACGGGGCTTTGCTTCTTGGGCATCGCTGTCGGCCTCTTCGGAGCATCAGCGCTCGTACCAATCATCTACAAGTGGGCGAAGCGTGACTTGAAGAAGATTCAGGAGGAGGGCAGAGGCGACAGACTGCCTCCGGAGTTCAGGTTGTGGTTCTCGATGCTCGGCGGAAGCTTCGCGATCCCAATAAGCCTGTTCTGGCTGGGCTGGACTTCGTATCCATCCATCAGCATCTGGAGCCCCTTGGCGGCGACCGTGCTGTTTGGATACGGCATCTTGTGCGTCTTCATCTCCTGCTACCAAGTGAGTCGCTACTCCTTCCGTTCAAGCCCTGCCGCCGTGGGTTCTTTTGTTGACTGGGCTGCCCAGTACATCATCGACTCGTACGAGGTTTATGCTGCATCGGCACTCGCATCGGTCACATTGATCAGATATGTCGCGGCTGGCGGCATGGTAGTCGTGGGCATACCGTTCTATGAAAATGTCGGAGTGCACTGGACTTGCACCATCCTTGGCTGCATTAGTCTCCTGTTGGCCCCTGTGCCATACATGTTTTACATGTACGGAAGTAGGATTCGAAGCAAGAGCAAATTTGCGGGGAAAGTCCAACAGTAGCTGGTGCATCAATTGAAGGTCGGGCCAGACGCAATGAAATGAATTGGTGCCGTGTCGAGGGCCCGTTACCAGTACTTTATGTACAATACAACTGCTTCGTTTGATTCCTTCACCACTCACCCTCACCGTCCTTCCTTGCCTGGATGGGCTGGTCAGCATCGGAGACGGGATGGAACTGTGTCACGACGGAAACTTACGCGCACGACGCTGGGGCCACCCAGTTCCTTCTCCAGACCATCAACGAAAGTCCTTGGGGTGCTGGGCTTGTCTGGACGAAGGTAGTAGGTAAGGGCGGCGCCGCTGCCGAAAACGGCCCAGAAGGAGCCGAAGAGGACCCAGCCCCAGCCGGGGGTGAAGTGGGTGTACTCCTCAGGCGAGAAGATGGCAAGAACGTCGTTGTCCTCGTGGAGGGGTTCGCCGTAGTTGCGGCGCTCCTGCTTGTCCCACCAGTCGCCGTACGGGTCGCGGAACTGGCGCTTGACAGCCGGGGGGTTGACGTAGCCGCCGTTCTGTACGCAGGAAGCGTGTTAGCCGTCGGGTTCGATGAAGCCATGGCGACCGCACACAGCGTCCGGGGAAAGCTCTGGCAATCCGCCCGTCCTGCCATGCTGCTTCCCGAGCCACGCCCCTCATCTCCGACCATGCGTGCAACTGGGGGCAATATCGACTGATGGGCGCGGGACGCAAATGGGCGGACTGACCATCTCGGGGTCCTCGACATGGGCGCTGGTGGAGGCCGGGCGGAATTGGAGACGGGAGGCTTGGGGAGCGGCGGGCCGCAGGGCGCGGGTCAGCGGGCGGGCGGCGGCGATTCTGCGCGAGAGCATCTGGGCGGATCAGCGGAGGCAGCGGCGCGCTTTGGGGAGCGCATACGGTGGCAGCGGGGGCGCAATGGGTGGTGCTGCGGGCGGGATGGCGTGGGTGGTGGGCAGGGCGACGGGTGTTGGAGGTGGAGCGTGCCTCGGGCCGCCAAGCGTCAGCAAGTCAAGGCGGCGCTGATTGCTCCGGAATGTCTCTTCGCCGCCCATTCGAACACGCTCAGGCGCTTTTTTCGCCCACCGCGCACGCGCCAGATCGCAAAGCTCATGTCTGACCGCGGCTCTGCATCTCCCGCGCGCTGAACTTCCCAACCGCATCGAATTCGGCGCCCCGCACGCGACGCTCGCATGTGCAGAGGGGGTCCGACGACTTTGGCGGCCCTCCAAAGCCCTGGCTATGCAAAACACGGATGTTCTCGAGCGCGACGAGAGCACCCACCACCGCAGTAACGGGCTCGCCGTGCAGCCACCCAGCGACGGGAATGCTCACGATTCCCACCCCAACGGCTCGCCCTCGCACGCCTGCACCAGCGGCCAGCCTCACGCCGATGATGCCACCCCCGACCGTTCCCAAACGCCTGGCGGAGGCCCGCCCAACAAGCGCCGCAAGCTCGACGACGCGAGTCGCCCGTCGCGTCCGCCTTCGCCGCCGTGGAAGCGCATCGAGGCCGACGGCCCAACATCTTTCATGGTTGATGGCAAACGCCGCTCCGGACGCATGAATCTCCTGCCCGCCGAGCAGTCGCCACAGCCCGACACGCGGCGCTCGTCTCGTCGCGCGCTGCAAAAGTCAACTTCGTCCAGCAATCTCACCAAGACCGCAGGCTCCTACAAAGGCCGCAAGACCGCCGCCGCCGCCGCCGCCGCCGCCGCATCGCCCACTCCCAAAGCAACGAAGCCCCAGCGCCATGCCAAGTCCTCTGCCGTCCCTTCGCCCACCCACAAGACGCCTGGCCGCAAGCCGAAGGCCGCCGAGCACGCCCAGTCCACGCCCGCACGTGCGCAGCAAGCCGCCAATGCCACACATGGGACTTCGCGCCGCAAACGTGCTGAGGCAAACTCGACACCGAATGGCGTGCCGCGGAGGAAGTCAGGCCGCATAAGCGAAGCACAGAGTGCGGCGGAGGCACACGCCGCTCAGGATGGCTACTCGGGCTCCCGTGGCGGTGGCACTTCGCCGCTCGCGCAGCGTCCGAAGATCGACCTGGACGGTCCCGTCGAACTCCCGTTCCTGCATCCGCTCCAGGCGCGGCCCGGAGATGAGAACTCTTCGTTTGCTCGCTGGCTCGAACAGGACGACCCTCTGGCCGGCGAGGATGCCAAGAAGCTCACATGGGAAGAAGCGCAAGAAGAGGCGCGGTTGAGGCTGCGGATCCTCGATGCTGCGGAGCCGGGTGGTGTGCTGAGTGAAGAGAGGTGTTCCAAGTATGCCGTTGAGGCAGAGGAAGAGCCGCCACCTCGGTACGGCCCTTGGGACCACATCGCCGCTCACGCGTGTCATTTTCGTAAGCTGCTCATGAAGGAGCACCGAGAGCATGTACAGACCGCTCGAAGGCTGGCTCATGAGTGCGCCGAGGCTTGGCGGACGCGGGAGGAAGCGAAGCAAGCAAAGCTTAAGGCGGAGCGACCCAAGACGAAGGAGGAGATCGAGGAAGAGGAGAAGGAGGATGCGGAGAAGCGCTACAGGCAACTTGTGAGGGACATGCAACAAACTTGGGTGTTGGTAAAGGCGGAGGTGGACAAGAGGCGGCAAGACCGGTGGCTGGAGGAGCAGGAGAAGCTGGGAAAGCAGACTATGAAGTCGTTGCTACACCAGTCTACTGCATTGTTGAAAGAGAGAAGGAACATGGCTGGCTCTATGCAGAGCAGTGACGATGAGGATGATTTTGAATCGTTCATGGAAGACGAGGAGGACGACATGGAAACCGAAAGCCGGATGGCTAGTACGAGACCAGCGTCCAGCATGGCGGAAAAGGAGGGCGGTACCGAAAGAGGAGAAACGGATATGGGCTCAGAGAACATGTCAAGCGACGAGAGTGAAGAAGACCCTCTTCCTGACGACGATGACGCCAATCTCACTCAAGAACAACTCCGAGAAAAATATGCGAAGCTTCAACTACCGGATCCGGTTTCATCCGATGAGGACGAGGACGAGGACGAGGATGAGGAAGATGAAGAGGACGATGACGACGAGCCAGGCTTGGCTGACCTTCTTACCAATGGCCATGTGGATAAACCCGATAGCTCTCCGGCACTGGACTCTGTTATCAATGAATCAAGACCAAATGGCATCGACCCCGCAACCATTGAGTTGGATGCAGTCGACGACATTCTAATGGATGACGAGGATGACGACTCGGACATGGACATGGATTCTGACAGTGATGAAGGCAGCGCGACGGAGCCGGATGAAGAGCTCGAGGAAGGAAGCGAAGAAGAAGAAGAGGACGAAGAGGACGAAGGCTTGGGCACGTGGGGTTTCCTTTCCGCGCAGGAAATATCGGACTTGAAAAAGAAAGCTGCTGAGCAAGTGGAGGATACGGCTGAAGCAACGCCACCAGATGAGGATGGAACCCCGCCCCCGGAAGAGGATCCGGAGCTGATGGAGGACGTCACGCCCAGGCCAGTGGAGAACGGCCATGTCGAAGGACCCAGTGCGACCACGCTTGACCGGGAGCCTGCTACGGTCAACTCTACAAACGGAGTCACTGAGGTTCAGTCTCCCCCAGAGGAAATGGCCGTGTCGGACTCCATGGAGGACTTACAGAAGCCTGAAGGAGCCAAGGAAACAGAGGAAGCGGCGGAGGAAATTGAGGAAGTCACCGAGCCGACGTCTACGCTTCGAACACCAGTTCCGTCTCTGTTCCGCGGGAAATTGCGTCCTTATCAGCATGAGGGTCTGGACTGGCTTGCTGGACTTTACAATGGAGAGACCAACGGTATTCTTGCCGACGAGATGGGTTTAGGAAAGACGATTCAGACAATTGCATTGCTTGCCCATCTCGCAGTCGAAAAAGAGGTCTGGGGCCCGCACCTTGTCGTTGTCCCCACCAGTGTCATGCTCAACTGGGAAATGGAGTTCAAAAAGTTCTGTCCCGGCTTCAAGGTCATGGCATACTATGGATCAATTGAAGAGCGCAGACGCAAGCGCCAAGGCTGGATGAACGACGACATGTGGAACGTGGTCATCACTTCCTACCAGCTGATTCTTCACGACGCAGCGGCGTTCAAGAAGCGCAGTTGGCATTACCTGATCCTAGACGAGGCCCACAACATCAAGAACTTCCAGACCCAGCGTTGGCAAACGCTGCTTACCTTCAAGACCTCCAAGCGTCTTCTTCTTACTGGCACACCGCTGCAAAACAACCTGCAAGAGCTTTGGTCGTTGCTGTTCTTTCTCATGCCATCCGGAGATGACGGCAACGGTGGGTTTGCAGCGTTGAGCAACTTCACCACTGCGTTGGCTCGTCCTGCCAATCAAATTCTGGACCAAGGAAGGCAAGAGCTCGATGCGGAAGCGCAGGCTACAGTCAAACAACTGCATGAGGTTCTGCGCCCTTACTTGCTGAGAAGATTGAAGGCGGACGTTGAAAAGCAGATGCCAGGCAAGTATGAACACGTCGTGTACTGCCGCCTTTCCAAAAGACAGAGACAGCTATACGACGGATTCATGGGCAGAGCGGACACGCGGCAGATTCTCTCTGGTGGAAACTACATGTCCATCATGAACTGTTTGATGTCCCTTCGTAAAGTCTGCAACCACCCTGATCTGTTTGAGACAAGACAGATTGTCACGTCTTTTGCGATGCGCAAGTCTGTCCCGGCCGACTTTGAGATCCAAGAATTGCTCGTGCGCAGGCGCTTCCTGAGAGAGGAGGAGGAGAAGGTGGACTTGGACTTCCTTAACCTCAATCTTGTCCAGAACGAGAGCACGCCAGCCATCCAGAGCCAGCGCATTCAGGCCATCCAAGCCATCCGGCCCTTCGAGGGACTCATCGAGCGACAGACCCGCCGTCTGAAACCTGCAGGCCAATTTGACGGAAGGACAGCCGCCTCCATTGCAAGCTATCTCGAGCATGAGTCTAATAGGTCTGTCTTGGAACATCTTCAAAACTGCCTTCGCGTCACGCGCCAACGCGCGCAGAGGAAGCCAATCTACGGACGCGGCTTAATCGAGCAGCTGACGGTGAACGATTCTCCACAGCAAATGATCACGTCGAGAGGCCCAAAGAAGAAGCAAACTTATGGTGACTGGTATATGAACACACACTCCATGTGGCAGGACGTAGTGCCTACGCTGGAGGAACGCGCTGAGTGTTACAAGTCCACGATTCAAAAGTTCAGCTGTGTCACTCCTGCGGTCGTGGCTAACGATCTCCCGGGCCTGACTCTCGGTGAAGAGCGCGTGGCTATGATCCGCAGTACCATGCCAGTGAGCAAGCCTGACCCGTTTCACGAGTCTCGCGTCCGGCTATCAATCGCCTTCCCCGACAAGCGTCTCCTCCAATACGATTGTGGAAAGCTCCAACGACTGGCGAAGCTCCTGCGTGACCTGCAGGCTGGCGGACACCGAGCGCTCATCTTCACTCAGATGACAAAGGTACTCGACGTTTTGGAAACATTTCTCAACATTCACGGTCACCGCTACCTCCGTCTCGACGGTGCAACCAAGATCGAGCAGCGCCAGATTCTCACTGATCGCTTCAACAACGACCCTAGGATTCTTTGCTTTATCCTCTCGTCGCGTTCTGGTGGGCTTGGGATCAACTTGACTGGTGCTGATACGGTCATTTTCTACGATCTCGACTGGAATCCTGCAATGGACAAGCAGTGCCAGGACCGCTGCCACAGAATTGGGCAGACGCGCGATGTGCATATCTATAGGTTTGTCTCAGAGTACACGATCGAGGCAAACATTCTCCGCAAATCCAACCAAAAGAGGCTGCTGGACGATGTCATCATCCAGAAAGGCGACTTCACCACCGACTATTTCAACCGGCTGACGTATAAGGATGCCTTCGACGAGATCCCGGAGGCAGATGACGAGGAGGCCAACGCAGCAATGGACAGGGTGCTAGGGAACATGGGCGGGCCAGATCCGTCTGGGATTGCCCCTGTTCTTGAGGGCATCGAGGATAAGGAAGATACGGAAGCAGCCAAGGTTGCGCAGAAGGAGATCGTTCACGAAGTTCACATCGATGACGCGGACTTCGACGAAAATGCTTCTCGGCCTAGCGCGACGCCAAAGACTTCTGTACCGCCTACACCAGCTCCTGGTGAAGAGGGTGATTTGGATGAATTGCCACATGTCGACGAGTACATGATCAGACTTTGGGAATGGGAAATGAGAGACGTGCCATTGGGGCCGCCGCCTGATAAGAGGCGCCGTAAGAGCAGGAAAGGTCAGGAGCATCGCGTTCGTCGACGGAGATGAGTTTGTTGTTCCGCGCGTGTACACAAGTTGTCTGTCAAGTGGAAGCATGTGATATCTATTGTGAAGGGGCTGTCAGAGGGGAATGTGCATTCCGGCGAACACGAGGGCATGGTCGGCGTTGTCATTGTTTGTTTAGTGGGTAGGCATAAAGAATCGTTCAGGGCATGGTTCTCGGCTGGTTGGTATTCTGTTGGCGAAGACAGAGTTTAGTTTCTCTTCTCCATTGTTGGCTTGTATGACTATCGACATCGATCGCAAAAATCAAAAACTGTCTGGCTCGCATTGTTCTCAGGCCGCTCGAGCGAAATCTTCAGCTTCTGCACATTGATGGCTTCAAATTTGTAGAGAGTGCTGCGAAGGATGCGGAAGGAGCGGGGCACGGAAAGGGCCCAAGCCGGCCAAGGATGGACTCGATTGGCTCCGCTCCGCCCCCGCTGCGCCTCAAGTGGCCCTTGCCACTTTCCTTGTTCGCTCCATCCACCACCCAACAACCTTATATTTCCTTCATCTTTGCATCCTACAAATACATCAATCTCACTCCCAAACACAGTTACCTGACACTGTCGAGCTTGCCATCCTTCTGACGAGATCCTGGGATATCGCCAGTCACCCCGCTAGCCGGTCAACATTGACACTTCACACACGGTCAACAAGGAGGGTCCGTCTGCATTGATTCGGTCATACGGATCCCAACCGAAGAGCTAGGGACTCACCTAACTTTGGATCTGCAGAAGAGGAATATCAACCACCACCGACATCATGCCACACTGGAACCCTTTCAAGAAGGAAAAGCAGCAGCCCCAAGAGGACCAGTACGAACCTCCACCCGGTCCTCCGCCGAGCTACGTGCAGCAGCATCAAACTCCTGGATACGTTCCTCCTCCCTCCGGTAGTGGCTACATCCCTCCTCCGGGCCCGCCGCCGTCGCACAATCCAAACAACCCGTTCGTAGACTACACCAAAAAGTCGGACCAACCCCATGCCGACCCCTCTCATCAACCCGAACCCGCCTACTACTCCACCTACCAACGACTGCCGCAGCCACCGCTTCCCACCCCCGGCGCCCCTGCCTCCTCCTCCCCCTCTGCGGCGGAGCCTCCCCCATACCACGACTGGACCGTCGTCCCCGACACAGCGCTGCTCCCGCCGCCGCCGCCCATGAACAACGACTTCTCGCCCACGGCCAACGCATCGGCCGAAGCCGGCGCCGCCGCCTTCGAGTGGTGCAACGCCAACCCGCTGCGGGCCCCGCTCGCCCTCAGCCCCGCGCAGCTCTCGGCCCTCGCCTTCGGCCGCGTCACCTTCGTCCCATTCGACCGGCAGACGTACAAGGGCGAGCTGCTCCCGCACGACGCGTCGCCGGGCCGGTACCGCGGCCGCACCGCCAGCGGCTGCGGCGACGCCTGCCTGTGGACGGCGCTGCCGCTGTACAGCGCCGCGGCGCACAGCCCGTCGGTCACCGCCAACGCCGGCAGGCCGAAGACGGTGTACTTTGAGCTGCGCGTGGCGGGCGTCGGCGGCATGCCCGGCGCGGGCAACAGCAAGAACACGAGCCTGGAGGAAGCAGACGCGGGCATCGCCCTCGGCTTCGTCGCCCAGCCGTACCCGGCGTGGCGGCTGCCCGGCTGGCAGCGCGGCAGCCTCGGCGTGCACGGCGACGACGGCCGCAGGTACGTCAACGACACGTTTGGCGGCGTCGACTTCACGACGGCCTTTGCGCAGGGCGACACGGTGGGGCTGGGCATGACGTTTGGGTTGCCGCGGAACGGCCCCCCGCCGCAGTATGGTCAACAGCAGCAGCAGCAGCGGCGGCCGGGGAAATGCGACGTCCAAGTCTTTTTCACGCGCAACGGGAAGAGGGCGGGTGGGTGGGACTTGCACGAGGAGCTGGACGAGCGGGCAATTGGCGGCGTCGAGGGACTCGAAGGCGACTTTGACGTCCATGGTGCTGTGGGCGTGTTTGGAGGCGTCGAGTTCGCGGTCTTTTTCAATCAGGCAGATTGGATGTATCGGCCTGAACACGTCTGATCTCTGCTTTGAGAGAGTGTGATGGGGATAAGGGGAGGGGAGAAGTCTGGGCAAGTTGAGGGATTCGTCGAGTCGGGTGCACGTGAGTGAGCGGGAGGACGGTGAATATGGGGATTGCTGCTGCTGCTCCGTCGAGGCCGGCTTAATTGCTTACTCACTTGGCGTGGCATTTCTTTGCCATTGTTCTCTTTTTGCTCCTTAGAGGGGTTCCGTACCTACATACTCAATTTTTTTTTCCCCTCTCTTGCGCGGGAATGGTTGCTTTTTCATCATTCTGTTTTGGACTTCCTTTTTGAACTTTCCGCCCTGTGAGGAGTGTGAGTGGGTGGAGAGTGAGTCAGTCGAATCGGAATCAAAATGCTCACTCCAAATATGACCAACTCCGACCCGAGAGGATCTCAAGCACCACCGTGTGCAGACACAAACCCGATTCAAGTCTTTTGTCAACTTCTGAATAATGGAACTCTCATTTGCGACAGTGTCTGGCACTTGTTTCTCGGGGAGGTAGCAGAGGCGGTAGTGCTAGAAGTCCTCATCCTCGGTGTAAGTCTCGTCTGCTTCTCTGGGCATGCAAGGAGGTTGCGAGAAGTTAATTGGAAACCGGTATTCAAGGTAGCTAAGTCTGATTGGGAACACTCAGCTCTTCTCTCCCCAGCCCAAGGTATTCACGGTGGAAAAATGAATGAGGTGAATCACATGTTGCTCGGTGTTGAGAATCGTCTCGCTTGTGATTCAAGTAGTGGATATGATGAATACTATCAAATTATGAAGGCCATGCACGGGTAACCTTTTTCCGTAGCTTGGGGCCCTACCACTCAAAACGCCAGAACCAGAAGTGAAGTCATCACTTCGTTCGTCTCTAGTACGCCACCTGGGTGCTCAGGCCACTCGTTTCCCGTTCCCAGCTCCTGTGCTGTGAGATCTCGTAGAAGTAGGCATCCACGAAGTCCTTAGCACCCTTTGCCATCTTGAAAACCTCCTTGAAACTCTCCGGGGTGATCTTGGCCGCGGTAACCACACCGTACGAAACCTGCGTCTCTCCGGACCCAGAGAGCTGAACATCAGGAAGGGCAACGGCGTCCTTGACAAATTCGACCGCCTCGCCGCATGCGCCGATGGCCTTGAGATGACCAAATGCCTCACGCACCCAGTGCAGCGCGCGCCCACTCTTCCGAAGCGTGGCAATGGAATCGGCGCCGCCAGGAATGAAGACGGAGTCGAACATGGTCGAACGCATGCCTTCAAGGTGGTGGTCGGGCTTGACACCCTTTCCGGTCTTGCGATCCTCACCAGCAGCGAAAATAGGCGAACGGCGAGTCGCAATAGTGAAGGGGAAGGCCTTCGCTGCGGTCAATGCGGCCTTGATGCCGGCGTAGGCGGCCGGATCGAAACCGTCGGCGATGATGATGGCTACACGGCGAGAAGCAATGGTCGGCTCCTTGGGCAGAAACTCCATCTGGCTGAGACCCTTGGCTTTCTTGCCATGGTTGGGGCGGGGGGTGTCCTGTGGGATTTCACCGCCAACCATCTCGGCAACCTGCTGCGCCAGGGAAAGGTCGATCTCAGCCAGGCGCTGGCTCATGCGCTCGTAAACCACAGGGTCATCACAGTGGTCCAGCTCGAATGACAGCGCGGCCGCAACGTGAGACTTCTCAGGCTCAGAAAGAGAATTGTAGAACAGTTGGGCTTGGTTGAAATGCTCTTGGAACTTCTTGCTGCGTAGGCGCGACTTGATACCAACAAGTTTCTCCGGGTACTCTACGTAGCCTCCTTCTGCGGCTGTGGCAGGAGGGCAGGCGCCATATCTGTTGGGCCAATAGTTGACAGTTCCCTTGTGAATACCGTGGCGCATGGCACCGTCGCGATTCTGGTTCATGACGGGGCAGACCGGGCGGTTGATTGGCAACTCCTGCCAGTTGATGCCGAGGCGGGACAGCTGAGTATCGAAGTAAGAGAAGTTGCGGCCCTGAAGCAACGGATCATCCGAGAAACCAATGCCGGGAACGACGTGGGAGGTGCAGAAGGCCACCTGCTCGGTCTGGGTGAAGAACTCATCGACGTTGCGGTTGAGCTCAAGCTCACCAATGTAGCGGATAGGCACAAGCTCCTCGGGCCAGACCTTGGTGGCGTCCAGAATGTCGAACTCGAAGCTGTCCTCCTCAGCTTCAGGGATGACCTGGATGCCAAACTTCCACTTGGGGTAGACGCCCATATCAATGGCCTCCATGAGGTCCTTGCGGTGGAAGTCAGGGTCCTGGCCAGCGATCTTGAGAGCCTCGTCCCAAACAAACGAGTGGACTCCAAGTTCGGGAGTGAAGTGGAACTTGACGAAATGCCTCTGCCCCTTGTCGTTGGTCAGGGTATAGGTATTGACACCAAAGCCCTGCATCATACGGTAAGAACGGGGAATGGCACGGTCGGACTGGGTCCACATGAACATGTGCGTGGCCTCGGTGTGCAGGAACTGGAAGTCCCAGAAGTTGTTGTGGGCAGACTGGGCTTGCGGGACTTCGTTGTGGGGCTCAGGCTTTCCAGCGTGAATGACATCGGGGAACTTGATTGCGTCCTGGATGAAGAAGACGGGGATGTTGTTGCCAACGATGTCCCAGTTTCCTTCCTCGGTGTAGAACTTGACAGCGAAGCCACGGACATCGCGAACAGTGTCAGCACTGCCGCGGCTGCCCAGAACGGTGGAAAAGCGCAAGAAGACAGGGGTCTCTCTCGAGGTGTCGGTCAGGACGGCAGCATCGGTGACGTCTGAGGCGCTCTCAAACAAAGTGAACTTTCCAAAGGCAGCCGAACCTCTGGCATGGACAACACGCTCAGGAATGCGCTCGTGATCAAAGCGCATGATCTGAAACAGGTCAGCTCCGAAAGCACAGTCTCCACGTTGCTCCTGGTCTTACCTTCTCACGGGCGAAGTGGTCCTCCAGCAACATAGGGCCAGTCTTGCCCTCGCTGGCAACCTTCAGCCAGTCATCGGTGTTGGTCTTCTTCACACCCCTGTGGTTGTGTGTCAGTCACAGTCCGAGGTCCGGGTGAGCACGTGGAATTGAAGGTGCTTACCAGTCAGAGGTTTCCCTGTTGTTCGAGTCCTGGTAGTTCTTGGACTCCCTTTCCAGATCGGCGATCTTCTTGCCTTCAGTGCCGTGGGCGACCTTGGCCAGGCCGGAGGCGAGGATGTTGCCAGCCATGATGCAGTTGAAAGCAACGGATTGGGGTATCTCGAGAGGAAAGCAAGGGCGGTACAGCTTGGACAGGAACGCGGTGGCATGGATATAAAGCGCAGGTGGGAGGCGGGCGAATCATGACGTAGTTATTGAGCAATATGGGAAAGGACGTGGCCGGGCCAGAGCAGGTGTTTACTCCGCAAGAGAGCAGCGGGGCTCGTCGGGGCTCGTCAGTAATCGACACCATGGGGCAAGCGCATCGGGCAAGATGGCGGGCTGCCCAATGGGAGGCAGCGTCTTTGCAATGGGCGGCGGCGGCAGGTGGTGGTAGTGTGCGGACGACGTCAGCCAGAATGGAGCACTGTTGGGCGCGAGCGAATCAGCGTGCCCCGGGCCATGCGCCCCCCGGCCGCCGCTCCGATCGATTCGAACTTCTCATGGCGATTTCTGGCAATCCCATGTTTTCAATTGCCGGTTTGTCGGTCGAGGCCTAGCAGCTTCGAAATCACCGCTGCCGCTGCCGCTGCCGCTGCCGCTGCCGCTGCCGCCTGCCGAAGCGTTCGCTCTGGCTGACGCCCTCGTCGCGTCATCACAGCGATCGCCCCTGCGGGCACCGTTCCCGCTGACGCTTGGCCAACAAGTTGCCACGCATTTGTCGAGCTTCTGGCACGTGTTTTGCTCCGTTCGCAGCGGGCAGCCACGTTCTTCGTTTTCGCCACAGCTACGGACTACTGATACGCGTCGAGGCAGGGCGGCTGCCGTTGCATCTCCAGCACCCAGCACGCCAGCCCCGCAGCTGCCCCGTCGCGTCGCGTCGCGTCGCGTCGCCTGCCTGCGCCGTGAAGACGACTGCGCCGACTGCGCCCTTCCGGTGCCCCGAGTCTGGACCACGCAACTCGGAGGAGTCGGGATGAAGAGTCTATGACGGTGATCGCCTTCGCTAATTACTCAGACGCAGGCGCATCAAAGCTTCTCGCCGCACAGCACCGCTCCACCCTCCGCCTGCCTGCGCGACAGCTCCATTGTCCGTCCAGACGCCCATGTCCCTGCGCCGGCGCTGCTGCCACGGCCGCTGTCCGTGTTCCATATTGCCTTTGATTGCAATCCCCCACTCCCCCCCGCGACCGGTGCCACCCCCTGAGCCGCAAGTGCAGGCGTGTTGAGGACCAACATCAGACCAAAGCACCGGTGGATAATCACAAGCTCTCGAGGCAACGTCCTGCCTTCCAATGCTGCATTGCCCTGTCACCTCGCACAATGCAACCCGTCGCGATACCCACCGCTGTGCTCGCCCGCCCCAGCCACTCAACAAGCCTGGTCCTTGAGCGCCGCAGCCAGCTGTGGGAATCCGATGACTTCGGGTGGCTGCCTGGTTGACACATGCCACAGACATGATGCTAAGCGCCCGCGACTCGTTTGCACACGAGAAATGCACGAGAGACGGCATACTGCATGCCGCCCGCGTGCGCCTCTCATCTCCAGCCCACAGCCTTCCGAGTCCGACCCCGACCTGCCCACCTTGAGCGCCCTTAGGCTGCCCCTCTCCTGCTACCACAGCGCCGTCGCATGCCTGATCCGGGCCTTGGCACATCGGCCCGCTCGCCAGTCGCTCGAGCTGTACGCCGCTGCCCTGCTGCACGACACGCAGTCCTGCTCACAATTCGTGGCCGCCGCGGGGAGACCGACACTCCTCTAACCTTTCGAAGAAGACCCTCTCCTCGCCATCATTCTGTAGCCGCGCGACCCGCTGTGAATAACTCCTGCCCTGTTGTCCGCCCTCTGTCGTCGTACGTCTGCGCTGCGTCCCCCACCCTGCAGCCGCTGTGGCGTTTTTTGTTCGGTGTTGGGGAACGCCCACATTATCGCTGCCCCCCCC